CCAGTCCCATGGCTGAGCGTTAGTGGCGTGTTCCTGCTGGGACTTGACTCACCGACAAGTCAAACTGCAGTGGCAGTGAGTGAAGCTCGTAGATCGTCGAAGAGTGAGAGCTGGCACGGTCGAGGTGATATAAGGCCCTAACCACAGAGCGAAAGCCATGTGGCACAACTAGGGGGCCATCATCATACTCAGCAATGGGAGTAGGCTCAATATCAGCCATGCGACGCCTTTTGAGGTTGGTCTTCTCTGCAAAGGAACGGGAGAAACGCTGTCCGTGATGAACTCGGCAAAGGGGGGAGGGCTGTCATCCTGATCATCGACGTCTTGGCATTCATCTGAATCCTGCGCGATGGGAGGCGTAGTGCGATCCTGATACTGCGCGGCAGGCCGGCCTCGTGAACGGCGACCCACCAAGGCGGGGTGGGGGCGGGGGATGTCGTCGACGTCCATGGATGGATGGAAAGTGGTGGGGAAGTGGGAGATGCGAGTGAGATGAGGAGTTGGGGAGTTAGATGATGAATCAACGAGCCCAGGTGACCATTGGGATGCAATATATCAGTGAGAGAGTGAGAGTGAGTGGGGAGCGAAGAACAAAGATCGTATCATCCAAGGCGCACACACCAGATTTCAATGTTTTCAAATCAGTGATGGGGGCGTCGTGAGGCGATGCCAAATGGATCCAACAGCGCCTGTGGAGCGTAAGCTACATTGTTCCCTCGAATGGCGTTGAACCATGGAGGAGTGAACGGTAACAGTATGTGGAGGCTGTCGCAACAAAGTCGTGCATAGCACAGTTGTGAGACAGCAGTATTTATGTCATTCGATGAGGCCAGGGAAAACACGGATGCAATATCGCGGAATCTGGCTGCTATGTCGGGGAATCAGGGTCCAAAGCTAGGTGTTAATACAGCAAGCCTGGACAAAATGCGATAAATCATTCACATATATGGACGTGCTAGCAATCGTCGTCATCATGACCATTTTCGAAAATCCACCCATTGCATAAAATCAGAAAACAGACACATCCGAGTCACGTGGCTTGACCTCCACCGGTGGAGGTGCACGATTTCCAGCGCCAACGAAGATGCTGTCAACAACATTCTTCACCATAAGATGCGGCCAGACGGACGAACGAACTACGAACTCCGCCCCATGCGTGTGGCAATCGGCGAGCTCGACCGCGCCGATGGCTCGGGGAGGTTTGAATTCGGTGAGTGAAGCCGCCCTGCCATCGTGACGAAGCTGACACTCCCCTCCTCTCGCCGCCGCTCCGTTTATGGCTCCATTTGAACCACAGGTCCCGCCGCCGCCCTCGCCTCCTTCACCGGACCTATCGAGGTGCGAATTCGCGACGAGCGCGTAGACGCGGCCACGCTCGAGGTCATCCACCGCCCCCTCGACGGTATTGGCGCCACGCCCTCCCGCGCGCTGGAAGACGCCCTCCGCGCCTCCTTCGCCCCCATTCTCACGCTGAACCGCTTCCCCCGCTCGCTCGTCCAGCTCGTCGTCCAGAGCCTGACTCCCGCCGCACCCCAAGCCTCGTCGTCCCCACCATGGATCGGAGAGAAAACGACATCTTGGCCCCCATCAACCTTCCCTCCACCACAGGGGACGCCGACCCTCTCCGGCGGCATGGTGCCGCGCGCGGCCGCGTTCAACGCCGCCTCTCTGGCTGCGATGCACGCCGGGTCTGTTGGCATGCGCGCAGTGCCTCTCGCCGTCGGCGTTGCTCTCGTGGACGGCGAGTATGTGTTGGACCCCAGTGCGGAGGAGGAGGCTGCGGCCGATGCGCGCTTCGGCTTCGGTTGGGCGTTTGGTACTGGTATCTCGAGTGCCAAGGATAGGATGGAGGACGAGGCTGAGGAGGTCGAGAGCGTCTGGATTGAGGCTGAGGGGACGTTCACACGGCAGCAGGTGGGTGATCAGGAGCCGCTGCGCTGACTTCAGTTTGACGAGGCGCGTGCGCTAGGGCTCCGTGGAGCCAGGGAGGTATTTGCGTTCGTGCAGGGCGAGTTTGAGACGTTCTTCGAGCGGCAAGTGTAGATTATGCATGTGCATCTAGAGTGATATAGTAGGGGTGGGCTGGAGAGGAGCGGGAGGATGAGGTTACTGGAGGTGGACTATGATGAGGCGCTCGCCTGAACCCACGCTTCAACACCTCGTCCTGCGCGGAACACCACGTCTTCTGTGCCCCACTGCCCTACGATGCTCACACCTACGGGCCACCCGTCCACGCGACTAGCCGGAACGCTCATGGCGGGCAGGCCGGCCAGGTTGGCACTGGCAGTCAGGACGTCCTGGAGGTACTCGTAGCGCGCATCATCACCGCTCCCGTCATCGTGAAGGCGTGGTGCCGGGCCGATAGCTGTGGGGTGGAGGAGGACGTGCACGCCGCCCTGCCTCCCCTCTCCTCGCAAGGGATGCGCGAGGGCGAACACGTCCGAGTACTGCTGCTTCAAATCATGCCGCAGCGCTAGCGCCTTGAGATACGAATTGTTGAATGCGTCCGCCGTGAGCGTGTGCGTGCCGGCCATGATGCGCTTGCGGACCTCATACCCGAACCCCTCGGAGCGAATGCGGCGCCGGCGCTCGGTACCGCTCTCGTCGTCGCGCGCGCGCTCCCACGCTGAGCCCCACCACGACCCGCCAAACCGGCCGAGGTTGGACGCTGCCTCCGCCGTCGCGAGCACATAGTACGCCGGAAGTGAAAGGCGGAGCGCCGGGATGTCAACGGGCACCAGCTCCGCCCCCTGGGACTTGAGGTGCTCCAGCAGAGCTGGCGGGAGCTGGTACGCGCCCTGGACGTGCGTCTGCACTGGCAACCCGATCCGCAGGCCCTGCATGCTCGATGGGGCGGCCGCGGCGATACTTGCGGCGCGTTCGCGAGTTGCCGCGGTCGCGCATGTCATGTCCCGCTCATCTGGAACAGACAGTACGCCGAAAACCTCCTCCACGACATCGATCGTTGAGCCTAGTACGCCCACGCAATCAAGACTGTCCGCATACGACACCACGCCGTACCGGCTGATCATGCCGTAGCTGGGTTTCAAACCCACGACCCCGCAGAATGATGCCGGCAGGCGCACTGAGCCACCCGTGTCTGTCCCCAGCGCGCTGAGATTAGTCTAAAGCCAAGATTCGCAACTCACGCCCATGCGCTGCCATCTGCCACCGCCGCAGCCGAACCACCCGAGCTACCTCCTACTGAGCGAGGTTCGCCTGGCGGACCAGATGGGTTGGGTACCGGCCCCCAACCTTTGGGCATGTGCGTGTTCTCAGAGCTGCGGTCAGCCACTGCCCCGCATGTATGACCTCACCCCATCCCAAACTCATCCATCTTCGTCTTGCCCACGATGTGCGCGCCCTCATCGATGAGGCGCTGCACACAAGTCGCAGTGTAGGGCGGCATATATCCCTCTAAAATGCGGGACGAGCATGTCGTGGGCGCACCTGCATAAGAGATGTTGTCCTTTACAGCGATGGAACGCCCGGAAAGCCGACCTGTTGTTAGCGCAGCTTAACATCGCGATCCAGGACGCAGCTCACCTGATGATGGGCCTGGTGTTGCAGCGCTGCGCCAGACGTAAGGACCGGGCGTTGCGTGCACCTCCGCCCCTTGAGCACTAAAACTCGCAGCTTGCTTTGCACCCTGGGCTAGACGCAGTGAGGAGCGCATGGTTGTTGCTGCTACAGTCGTCTAATTGAGAAGTTGGGCAGAGTCGCGAGATTCCGGTGGACTCAATGGTGGAGGTCGCTGGTGGAGGTCATTATGTAAGGACTTTCCACGTGGCGGAGAATTGAAAACGCCGGAGCAGGTGGCGAGAGCTGCTGGGCGTGGGCTCACCGTACGCGGGGAAGGTGTCCGGCAGTGCAAGGCTAGGGCGACGACTGTGCAGCGTCGCGCACGATCAAGTCATCCTCCCTCACCATCACATCCTCCTCCCTCTCCAGTCACCTAACCTTCGCCTTTCATCAGGCATCCTCTCTTCTCGCCCCTACCAGCCCCCCATCCTACTCCTCCGACCTCCTTCGACCGCCCCGCACGCTCCTCCCCCGCGTGCGCTGTCACCCAACCTTACACACCTCAACTCCACCTAAACCTCCGCACGTTGGCCACTTGCCCCCGCCGGTCGACGCACCCTTCGATCTTCAGACTGCTCGTCCGACCAACTTCCGTGTCTCCCCCAACCTCGAGGGTGCACACGGTGTAGCTAGGTAGGTGCCCTCCGTGCACTGCGCGCCCGCGCCATAATCGCACCGCCGGTAGACCACGTCCGGCTGGGTCCTCGCCCTCGCCTCTCTCGCTCTCGTGCTAACAAGTTCAGTCTCCACCGCGCATGTCCTCTCAGGCCCCTGCAGCGTCAGCAGACCCTCCCGCCTTGTCAAAGTCGGCCAAGAAGAAGGCCAAGAAGGCGGCAAAGGCGGCAAAGCAACAGAGCTTCGACTCCGCTGCCCTCGCCGCTGTTGACGACGAACTGCATTCATCAGCCCAGTTCGCCGAGGGCCGCCCTGCTCTCAATCCCGCTGCCGACTTTTCAGCGGCGGCTCTCGAGCCGTACTACGAAGACGCTGTCGCCAAGCTCGGCATTGACCCCGCAGCCGCAGCCGTTGCCAACGCCGCTGCCAGCGCCGCGCGCACCCGCGGTCTTCCTCCCGACCCCTTGACCTTTGCCAGCTACGCCTTCGATCATCCCCTCGGCCCTCCACCGGGCGATAACCCGTTCGATACCGGCTTCTCACCCTCTGTCGGCATAGGACACGACGAGCTTTTGGAAACCGCCAACGAGCTCTTTCGCAGGATGCACTACGATTCGTACGGCGACGACGACCCGTACTGGTCGACGCTCCCAACGCATGTGCGCCAGTTCATACGCGAGGCCATTCCTTTCAACGGGCAGAGCAACCCATCAAATGACCCTCATGCGACGCAAAAGGACCTCTACGCCATGGCGCAGCGCATCGTGCAGGCTGCCAGCCACGGAATAGGTTTCCAGGCGGTGAACCCCATGAACGGTAGAGCGCACATGCCGTCCAGCATCGCCGAGGACTTGGGTTTCCACAATCATCCTAATCACCCCGACGCCCCCGCCCGCGAAGACGAGTACGATGAGGAGGACGACTTTGATGAGGAGCCCGAATCTGGTTTGGTCCAGCCCAACGGCGAGGCGCCAAAGAAGAAGAACAAGAAGAAGAAGAAGAAGGCGACGCAGCCGGTTGAACCGCCCCCCGCGACGCTTCCGCCTCCTGCAGTCAAGCAGCCTCCTCGGCAACCGGTACCGCCGCAACCCCAACCTCTTCTCCCTCAACCCCAGCTTCATCCTCCTCCACCGCCCGTCGCATCTGCCCCATCCGCTCAGCCCGCGCCAAGCTCGCGTGCCGCCGGCAAGCAGCCGATGACCCATGCGCCCGTTGCGGCGGCCAACCCTCCGGCGCGATCTGTGCGTGCCGCTGGGAAAGCTCCCGTCACCGCCACGCCGCACACGCACCACAACCACACGCACCCTCCGCCCCCCAAGCTCGGAAATAAGGGCAAGGCAGCGGCGCCTGCGCAACCAGCAAAGATTTGGACTGCTGCATCTCCTGAGGAACGCGAGGCTATCACTCAGTTCTGGCTCGCGTTGAGCGATGCGGAGCGTAGAGACCTTCTTCAGCTCGAGAAGGAATCTGTGCTCAAGCGCATGAAGGAGCAGCAGCGCCATTCGTGCGGATGTGCAGTGTGCGGCCGGAAAAAGGTTAACATCGAGATGGAGTTGGAGCAACTCTACCACGGCTACTACGCCGACTTGGAGCAGTACACATCCCATCAACGTGCGGCGATGGCCAGCCAGGACTGCCCTCCACCACCGGGTGCGGGGCCATTCCCAGGAAGTGTCGAGATCGATCCCAGCGGTCAACTTCTCAAGCTCGATCACCTCGCGCCCAACTCGTCACATCATCCAAGCGTGGACGAAAGCGACGAGGACTACGAGGATGACGACTACGAAGACGAGGAGGAGATCGACGAGGATGACCTTGCGTCCGAGGAGGCTGACACTGACTACGCTCGCAAGCCCAAGGCGCATGCTTCGCGACCCGAGGGGTCAGATGACTTCTTCGGCTTTGGCAAGAACCTCGCCACAATCAAGGGCATAATCACGGTTGCCGATGACATGCTCAAGAACGACGGGGCGAAGTTCCTGGAAATGATGGAGCAGCTAGCTGTCAAGCGTGTAGCTCGCGAGGAGCTCAACGCGCGTGAGCTCCAGGAGGAGACGGATGAGGATGATGAGGAGGATGACATCTCCGAATCTCAGCGAATGGAGGACGGTCGTCGAATGTTCGCTATCTTCGCCGCGCGCATGTTTGAGACTCGCGTCCTCACCGCCTATCGCGAGCGCGTTGCCAAAGAACGAGAGGAACAGCTCCTGCGCGAACTCGAAGCAGAGGAGGAAGGGCAGCGAGCCAAACAGGAGAAGAAGGCCAAGGAGGCGCAGCGGAAGCGCGACAAGAAGAAGTGAGTGGCATCATATCGCTCATGCTGACAGCCTAGGGCCCAGAAGCAACGCCAGGACGATGAGCGTGCCGCACGAGAGGCCGCCGCCGCCGAGGAGGCGCGGGCTGCCGAAGCCAAGGCCGCCGAGGATGCCAAAGAGCGTCAGCGGCGGCAGGAGGAGGAGCGCGCTCGCCGCGAGGCTGCTAAGCGTGCCGCCCAGGAAGAGGCTGCTCGCAAGGAGGCTGAGCGTCGCAAGCGCCAAGAGGAGGAGCGCGCCCGGGAGGAAGAAGCCGCGCGCAAGAAACGCGAGCGCGAGGAGAAGATCAAGAAGGAGCGCGAGGCACGCGAACGCGAGGCCAAGGAGAAGGAGCGCCGCGAACGTGAGGAGAAGGAACGGCTCAGCAAGGAGAAGGCCGAGAAGGAGCGCATCGCCCGTGAGGCGCGCGAGAAGGCTGAAAAGGAGCGACAAGCCAAGCTTGAGGAAGAGCGCCTTGAAAAGCAGCGGCGGGAAGCGAGCCAACAACGCAAGGTTCTCGCTGCGCAGCAGGCCTCGCGCGAAAAGGCCGCCGCGGACAAGGAGAAGGCCGAGAAGGCCGCCGCCGCCGAGCGGGCGAAGGCTGCTGCGGCCACCCCCATCCGTCCTTCTCCCGGCGTCGCAGCTAACCGTAAAACCTCCGTTCCTCCTCCACCCGGTGCGCGCAATGGACCAAGCCCTCCTGGTATGAGCCCGGCGCCCATTCAGGTCCCAGGCTCGTCTATGGTCCAGTCACCCTCTCCTACCTCCGGGCGCACACCTCTCTCGTCGCGTCTCACCCCCAAGGCACCGCAGTTTGGGACATTCCCGCAGGCGCAGCCTGTGCCGTCGATGCCGACTCGTGCGACCCAGGCCCCTCCGCCCGGCTTCAGCTTCGCTCCCGGCTCAAGCTATACGCGCCAGTCGTATCGCGCGACCTCGCCCGTATTCAGCGGGCCGCCGACGAATGGGCAGATGTTTGGTGGTCCGGCCTCGTTGACGGGCTCACCTTCTTCTGCGCTGCCTCGGAGCTTCGGCGCCACACCTGACAGTGCTTTCGATGCGTTCGTTGACCCTCCTCGCCAGGCCTTGGGCGTGGGCTATCTTGGCAAGCCGGCAACTCCCACCCGGACGCCCGCCGACGAGCCGTTCCGCGCGGGCGCCGTTGGACAGCGCATGGCCTCTGGACCGAGTGCTCTGTTCTCGCCGAGCGAGGACGACTTTGTGCCGCGTGAACCCATCGCGCAGCCTATCGGCCCTCCTCCTCCCGGACCAATTGGCTCACGGCCTCCAGGCCTGTTTGAAGCCCCTCCAGCGGCCACCGCCGCTGCGCCTGGCGCCGGGGCTCCTCACGGCGCGATCAGGAGCGGACGACGGTCGCCCACCCAGCCCGACAAGGTGCTGGGTTCCGCTGCCCTCGGCGGCGACGAGGTTGTGCCAGACACGCGCCGCGCCGCGCCGTCGTGGAACAAACCGATGGCTGGCCCCATCGGAGGAGCAGCGATCGGTGGTGGTCGGTGGTCGGTCACTCCTGCTCGCAACCCTTCTTGGGGGACAGGTGCCTCCAATTGGCCTCCAGCCTACGGCTCGTCTTCCATGGCTGGTGTCACGTCCGGCATGGGTAACTTGGCCGTCGGTGGCTCGACGCCTTTTGGTGCGCCTGGCGGTCCGAGTATGCTCGGTGCCCCCGGCGAGATGCGGCAGACCGACCTCGCACCCGGCGCGCCCCCGCCTGGCTTCGGCAGCATGCCTCCTCCCCAACACCAGCCGCTGGGTCACGACCAGCGCCGAGGGCCCAACTCATTTGGCGCCGCGCCCGGGCAGCCGTTCTACGGTCAGAGTATGTTCAGTCCAGGTGGCCAGTAGTGTACAGGCCGCCTCTGCGGAGCGTGCTTTTGATCCAGATGCATTCCTCCATGTGACAAATTGTGCAGCGCTGAGTTGTGCGCTCCTTCACACACGAGTGCAGTAGCAGTGTTCACATCTTCTGACTGATATACATATGGTACAAGCACAATATTACAGTTGGTGGTTGCTACGCAGAAGTCCATGACCGGTGAAACCGGCCAACTGTTCAGCCTTGAGGTCGACCAAGGGCTGGCCACCCGTGGGACCATGTCCGGCCGACAGGCGGGGGCGAGGCCGCGAGCTGTGGGCGCCGTGAGTGGTGTGACCGGTAGGAGAGCGATGAAGGCCGGTGTGCTTGGCCAGGCTCGGGCCCATGGGGATGGCAGGGGCAGGCGGTGTGTGGGGATGCGAATGGGAGTGTGCTGACGGGTTGAGGCGTGCGCGCACGCCGGGGTCGGCCTGCGCCATTGCAAAGGAGCGGCTCGCGAAGATGGCGCTGTGCAGCTTCCAGCCCGTGGCGTCATCGGCAGCCAAGAAGGAGATGTACTCGCTCGGCTCCTGGAACGAGGCCGCTGCGTCCAGTCTCTTGAGCGCGAACGTGTATGGCATTGGCGCCTGGCGGCTCTTGCGCACAGTGTACACGTCCGAGAAGAGGGTGTTGATATGCACCTCATCTTTGCCCTTCTCGTTCTTGCTGAGAAACACCTGGCCGCCGCGCACGTCGAGCCACTTCTTGGCCCACTTGCCCGGCTTGGTCTCGAGCTGCACCCAACCGCTCACCATCGGCGGCGTGTCGGGGATGTTGCGGCTCCACACGTTGTGCGCCGGCATCTCACGGATGACGAGCGCATTTGACGCAGTGGCGTCCCAACCCTTGGTCACGCCGGAGAGAATAAGCTCGTGCTCGCGGACCTGGCGTTCTGTTGTCAGCTCGCGGTTCTCAATAGGAAGTGCTCACCTAGGCCGAGCTCAGCAAAGCTTTCAAAGACGACCCAGCTCCCGTCGGAAATGTCGCCACGCGCACGCGCGCCGGCAAGGACGTCCCGCGCCGTTGTCTCGGGATACGCGTCCAGGTTGATTGGCCGGACGTCCGTGCCGTGCGTGACGAGGCAGCGCACGGCGGTGGCACGACGCACGGGTGTCGGCTCTGTTGGTGCAGACGGCATTGGCATGCGCCCCGCATTGGATTGCGAGCGCTTGCGCGTTGCGGATGAGTTGATGGATGTGGCACGGCTAAGTGCCGCCGAACGGTCGCCATCGGATGGGATGCGGTGCCCACTTGCACCGCTACGGGCGCTGTGACCGCTTGTGCTCCGACCCACGGTCGTCGAACGCGATAACGACGGCGTGTTTGAGTTACTGCGGTCGCTGCGCTCGGACGGCGGGGGACGCAAAGCGCGCGAAGGGATGGGTGGCGCTTTGCCGATCGCGACTCTCTCGAGCTGCCCGACTAACGCGTCCGGATGCACACCTTCACCGTTCCATTGACGACGCGACTTGGTGGTAGCGGAAGTCGCGGCACGGCGCAGCTCGCCTTCCTTCTTGGCTTCGCGCAGAGCGCGCTGTGCGCGGCGAGCCTCGCGGCGCTTCTTCTGGTCAGCTAGGCGCTGCTGCTGCGCGGCCGCGGCACCGGGGTGCAGGCTGCCCAAGGGGACGTCCTCGTCTTCGCTCTCGCTTGTGTCCGAGTCTGAGTCATCCCAAGTGCTCTCCGCTGTGCGCGCACGTCTGCCGTGACTGCTACCGCGGGACGATTCGCTCTGTCCTGATGCACGGCGGTGGGGCACGTCGCGCCAGGACGACCACATAACGCTGTTGGTGTCGGCAGCCGGGTCGTTACCGGAGGATTCCGCGTGGTCGTTTGAACGGGAGAGGGGAGTGTGAGAAGCGAAGCTGTGGGTACACGAGTCGGTGGGTGCGACTGCAGCGTTGGAAGCAAGGCTCTCGCGCTCGCCGGGGCCGCTGTAGATGTGGAACGGGTGGTTGTTGACGTGGTCGTCGATGGTGGGGAATGCGGCAATTGCAGCCTCCCAAGACTGAGTTCCAAACGTTGAGGGACACGTCTCGGACCGATCATCCCGAGTCAGGTTCTCATTCCGACTGTGCGCGGCAAGCGCCCGTGCCAAGGCTTCCTCGCTTTGCGTTCGCGAGTGGCATTGTCCTCCCCAATTTTCCTGGACCCCTGCAGTCGGCGTCGAGAGAGCATCCGTGTCGAATGCTCGACTGTGCTCGAGAGCCTCGCTGGAGGACTGGGAGGGAGAGAATCGTCCACAGCCACCTGGGTGCGAGACTTGAGGAGTGATGAGCTCGATGGATGAACCAGAGACTGATGCCGCGCCGCCCGTGACGTCGATCGACAGGTCTGGTGCCTGTGACGTTGGCATACTGTGCACATGGGGAGAGCCCGACCGCGAAACTTGGGTTGTCGACGGCTGGTCCCCCGCATCCATCCACTCCTGTGGCTCAAGTGGTTCAAGCAACAGCTGCGGCTCATCTTTCTCATTGCCGTCATCGCCGAGGTCGAAACTGTCATAGAACAGGGGCCGGGGGGGCTCGAGCGGCGACTGGCGCATAGCTACTGCCACCAACTCGTCAAGGGCTGGGACGCGGTCAGGAGGCGAAGGCCGCATAGCCGGGGAGGGGATGGGCGAGGCACCCCGCGACACGCGCCCATTCTCGCCACCTGTGCGAAACGCGCTGAGTATACTCGAGGGCCGTCGCGTAATCCCCATGCTCTTGCTTTTGCGGAGCCGAGGTACAAGAGACTGCTTGAGGTTGGTCAAGCTGGGCGAGTGCCGCGGCCCTGCCAGCTCCTCGAGTAGTGGTGGAGGAGAGGGGAGGACGCAGAATTCTTGCGGCAGCGGTGAGCGGGAAGGGCGACGCTGGCGCTGGGGCTGCGAGTAGTCAATAGCAGAGGCGAAAGGGTCGTTCTCCATGTCATCCACGCCAAGCATGTTGGACCTGGGTGAAAGGGCGCGGTATGAGGGGTATTTCTCATCGAGCTGCGCGAGTATCGAGTCATCGCCGGTGTCACTGCGATGCGAGTGTGCACGGACAAGCGCGCCACTGCCGTTGAAGCTGGGGGAGGAAAGATACGAAGCGGACTGGTCCGGTGACAATGCAAGCGGCGGAGAGAGAGCCGCGGGCGGGGCAGCTGGTGACATGGGCCGCGACGCTGGGGCCGCTGCCTGCGATGCGAGACGGGTGCGAGCATTGTCGCGAGCGTGCTCGAGAGGAAGGGAGGGGACTGGAGGAAGGTTCTCCTGCTCGGCGTGGCGGTACTGCTCACGCATGTTGCCAGCCGACTTTGAACGCCACAGTCGCTCCATTCCACGCTTCCACGCCGACTGCTTCTTTCCATCCGGCGCCTTGTTCTCCAAGGGAGTGGGCGCGCGCTTGGGGATGTTACCGGTGTTAATCAACGGCGATAACGGGGGACGGGCAATGGGTGTCTTGAGCTGCTGTCAGTATGGGACATGTCACCCGCGGAAAACAATGTAACGCACATCCTGACTGTCCTGCTCGTTCTGACGCGCCGTCTTGCTACGCAAGCGAAGCCGTGTCTTGCTCTTGCGCTGCTTGAGCTGCGGCACCTCGGGCAACGGAGGATGCGAGGGGAGTCCGGTAGAAGAGTAGGTCGCGGAGCTTGGAAATGTGGACCCTGGGGAGGGGAAGGCGGGGGATGGACTTGCCGCCGGGAAGGGCTGCTGAGTACTTGGGGGTCGCTGTGTGCTCTGCGGCCGGGACGCCACTCCGACGCTGTCGGCCATCGAGGGCCCACGGACGTGAGTTTGCGACTGCGAAAAACCGCGACCGTGGCTTGGGGAATTGACAGAGGAAGCTGCCTGGTGCGACTTGCGCATCCAAGGCCATGGGCCAGCCTCGACGGATGGCGAGGGGCTCACCATCCCGCTCATGGTGTTGCTACGTGAGCGCCCACCGCCGCTCTTTGAACTCTTGGTGCTCTTCACGCTGCGACGGTCGCCGGTGTTGGAGCTTGTGCTGCCACTGAGTCGGGCACGCCAGCTTGATGTGCGGTCCTTGTCGCCTTCGTCGCTGTCGTCGTCCCAGAAGCCACTCTTCGCGTACATGCCGCTGGTGGGCGCGCCGCTCTCCTCGGCCTCGCGTTGATGCGCGGCAGCGGCTGAGGGTGCGCGTGGCCTCGCTGGAGACGAGCGCGCACTGGCAAGTTCTTTGATGGGAGTAAGAGGCGGGGCGTGACCGATGCTTGGTGAATGTCCATGACCGAGATTGGGGGTGAACGGAGTAGAGGGAGCAGGCCCATGTCCGAGGGAAGAGGTGTGGGCGTGGTTAGAGGTGAGGGAAGGCGAGTGACTGTGTCCGTGACTTGATGGGACTGGTGGGAGAGTGGAAAACGCGCTCGAGAATGAGGGCGTGTGTGAGTGAGCGCTGGACATGGAGGGCGTCGGCGCGTGTCGTGGTGGTTGAGATGATGCCATGGTGAGGGCGCGGCGGGGGCGGCGGGGGCGGCGGGGGTTGATCTATCGAGCGGCGTGGGGGATTGTCGATGGAGGAGAGGAGGATTGTCGTGAAGTGGAGAAAAGAGAAGGGCAAGGAGCAGGAGGGATCACCGGAGTAGTGATGTCTGGGGGAGGGGCAGGCGTTACTGTCGTCGGAGTTGGGATTGATGAAGAAGAGAGAACGAGAGAGAGAGAATGTGTGTACAGAAGACGTGAGGAATCGAGTAATGAAGGATGATGAAAGAATGAGGAGAAGGAGAAGAGAGGACAAGGGGCCGTAGTTTGAAAGGTTGAGAGAAGAGAGAAGAGGGATCAGAGATCATAGAGTTGAGAGGAGACGGAGACGGACGCGACTGATTTGAAAGAGCAATTCCTCGGGTCCTGATCCATTTGCTGCGCACGCTCCAGTCGTAGTGCATCCAAAGTCCATGACCGCATTCGAACCATCATCCCTGCAGCCTGTCCTACAATTTCCCAGTCCCCACGCTCTGGACTGAGCTCTGAGGCCTGTGAGGGTTGTTGATGCTTGATGTCTTGATCTCATGGCGGGCCAGATGCCGCGCGACGAGAGAAAAAGCAAACGGGTCGAGCGGGGGGCGTGTTTTGGTCGTGTGCCTGGTGTTTAGACGTGGCGATAGGGGCTCATTACAATCCGTCCAATGCGATATATCCCCTCGGCCCTCTCCAAACTCGACCCAAACCCCTTTCCGCCTCTTTCTCTCCCCCTCTCCCCTGTCCCCCCCCACCCCCCCGTCGCCCAGCATCGAGTTTCGGATCCTCGGAACTGCACCCCCAGCTCGAGCACAGCATCTGGAATCCCGACACTGGATGGCATTGGAATCCTTCGGCGTCGACGCTCGATACTCTACTCTTCTACGCGTCATGCTGTGATGCCCATAAGCATGCCGCGATCCGCGCGGAACGCGTCCCCCGCAAACTTTGTGGTGCTGGTCCGCTACCTGGCTCTACAGTAGCTCCAGCTCCAGGGCGCCAGTAAACATTGGCCGAACTGGTGCCCGCCAAAAACACGCAGACACGCAGCTGAATTGGGATCTTAAAGGGAAAGCAGACGCGTCCATCCCATTCCTCATCGACGCGTCCTGAGCTGCGACGCCTTGTGTCTCGATTCCTTCCCAATCCTCCAGCACCTCCCAGTTGGGAAGGTGGCAGCGCTGCTCCTATGCTGCATGCTGCATGCATGAATGGTTTCACTGCCATTCACCTCACCAGCCTAGCCTGCGCCCTCAGCCTTATACTGTAAGCAGTCGGTATCTGGAAGCTACACCCGTGGTCCCCGACCCGGACCCGGGGTCTCGCTCCTCGTCAATCAACCCTGTAGCGAGGCGAGTTTGTTTACATCGGCGTCACAGAATGACTACTAGTTGCCAAGGCCATGTCCCCCATGGCCCCATGCCCATGGCCCATCGCCCAACTGTGTGCTCGGACGTGGCTTCGTTTCTCCCATTTCCCAAACTCCTAACGCTCGTGCGCTCATGCACCCCTGCCCATGACTAGAGTCACGTGCGCTCGGCCATGAATTGGGATCTTCACAGCCAGAATCGCCGTGCGCCAGCGCCATCGCCAGCGCCACAAACCATGTAGCATGCAAGCCAAGGCCACGGACAGGACAATGGCTCACGTGCGCCACGATCGCGGGCGAGTGGGGAGACAGCATAGCCTGGACGTGGGGCGAGGGCATGGGGCGAAGAGAGAAGAGAGGGAGAGGGCGACGTGTGAGTAATGGCCGACGGGGCGGCTGCGAAGCTCGCCACGAAGCATCGACAGCGCCACAGTCAGATGCTCAGATTTAGAGGCGAGAGCACGGTCGTCGTCTGATCGCGTCTGAGCGACCGAACCATCCACCTGGAGGCGCACGAAAGCGACGGCGCAAAATTCTGAGCCGCACAGACTTGCTTTACGTCGGGGACGCCGCATCTCTCGAGCCTCGGCTTCGAGCTCCTCTAACCTCTCCCTTGATGTCGCCTCCAGATCTCCAGATCCAAGAGAAGGCATGCCAACCACATCGAACCGTGCCAAGTCCACTAAACTTCACATCCATGCTCATGTCGCCCGACTATGCACTAAGAATACACACCAACCTCACTGCGTCATGTCACGCACACCCTTCTCGCTGAAGCTCAGCATGCCGCCCTCCTGCAGCTTCTCGACGACATCCTCGGCCTCGGCCACACTCATGCTGCCCAAGACCTTGTTGACCTCGTCCAGCTTTTCCGTCTGCAGCGCCTTCTTGAGCGCCGGCGGGAACGCCTCAAACAGCTCCCACTTGCGCTGGAGGAACGCGCGCACCTGCTCCATGTCCAGTTCCTCGGCGCCCTCGCCCTCAACACGCAGCTCGGCCGGCGGCGGCCCATCCGGCAAGTTGAAGCCAATCTTCATGTTGGGGTCCTCGGCGACGAGCTGGATCTGCTCCCGGTCGCCGTCGTCCGCCTCAGCCTCCTTCGCGAGCTCAACGCTCCGCCGCTCAATGTGGCCGTACGTGCGCGCAAAGTCGTCAGCGAACATCTTGAGCGACTTTGGATTGCGCGAAATCATGCGCTGGAAGAAGAGGCCCACGCCGTCGCGTCCCAGCTCCCGGCAGTAGTTGATGATCAAGCTCTGGTGGACGCAGCGCCGCGCCAGGTCCTTGTTTCCCTTGCGCTCCGCCTCGAACGCCTCGAGCAGAACTGCGTTGTGCGCCTTCTCCGTAAGCACCGACGAGTCATTCTGAATGAAGGCGTATGTCTGCTCGAACGCGCCCAAGGGGATGTCGACGAACTTGCGCAGCGCAGGCGTCATCGTCCCGTACTCGGACTCATCCTCCTCCTCCGCTGGTACTGAGGCCTGGGCTGTGGCCTTAGATGACTGCGGTCAGTTCCAGTCGAATAGCACCAACTCACTGATGCTCCCGGGTTCAGCACCTCGATCTCCTGCACCGTCTCCTTCTTTGGCGAGCTAGGCTTGGGCTTGGGCTTGTCGAGCGGGCTCGGCGCTGGCTTGTTCACAGTCGAGCTGCTCCAGCCATCCCGAATATCGTCGCTCGTGATCTTCCGCTTGCCCTCCTCCTCTTCCTTCTTGATCTCCTGGCGCACGTCGGCATCGCGCTTGTCGAGCGCCTTGACATGCCAGTCCAGCCGCTCGGCTAGCGCCTGCGCCATAAGCTCCGCCTTGGAGTCGGGCACGGTCGCCTCGCTCGCCCACGCCGGCTCCCCACTCTTCTCGTCGACCTTCTTCCCGCCCTTCATTACGTTGCCGTTCTCGACCTTGGCCTCGCCGTCGACGAGCCACGCCGCCTCGCGCCACACGTCGGAAAGCAGCTGACCCATCATCATGTCGTACGTCGGCTGGTTGGGCGCGCCAGTCGCCGGCTTCTCAGGCGAAGGCTGCTCCTTGATCCGCCGCTGGACGGCCCGGTAGTGCGTCACACCCTTGCCCTTAACACCGTCGAGGATCGACACGATGCGCGGACGCAGCACGCCGTTGAGCTCCAGCTCCGAGTTGAGCTTGGCGATGAGGAGGCGGCGCTGTTCACGCTTCTCGTGAATGTCGCGCTGGCGCCAGCGGATCATCGACCGCTTGTCGACGTTTGGGTGCTCCTCGATGTCCGAGTCATCGGAGAGCTGGGATCAGTCGTGGCCCCTTTCATCGGTTCGCTATGACTCACCTCGAGGTTGTCCCACTTGGAGTAGTTGAGAGGCATGATGGAGCCGCGGTTGTGAGGTTGATGGGAGAGCAGTCAGAGGACTCGGTTTATGAGACCGTGAGCTGCGCAATGTTGTAAGAGACGAGGAGCCGGGGAAGGTCGACTGTCGCGCTGATTGTGGAACGTCCGAGAACGTCGTCATGGCGCGCTTCGTATCGAGATCCTGGCTGCATGCCGTCGTCTTATGAAACCCACGTGAATTTACGTAAGCACAGGCCGATGCTGTACAGACGTCACCGGCCTTCTGGCTGCGTGGCGGGCGATGCACCACCAACGACTGCACGACTCTTCTACTTCTCTTCTCCTCATCATCGCTCACCTTCATCCATCATGTCGGTCAGCTTTACAGCACCAGACCTGCAGCCCACATACCAGGCCATCATCGATGGCTCGGCTGATTATGACTGGGCCATCTTCAACCAGTCCGGGAACGAGCTCAAGGTCCAGGCCACCGGCGAGGGCCTCGAGGACTTCTCGGACGAGTTCATGGACGGCCGGTAAGCCCAGGTTCACCGTTCACGGCACTGACAACAGTATTCAATACGGCTTTGCACGCGTGCAGGACCCTAGTGTGAGCGCTTTACCTGACACGTCTGACTTTAGCGCTCGCTCGACCGCTTCGTCCTGATCGCCTGGTGCGGCGAAGGCGTTCCCGAGTCGCGCAAGGGCCTGTTCCGTGAGCTCGTCTTCTCTCTATCCAGCTAACAACAGACATTCACCTAGCGCAGGTTCAGAACAAGTTCCTCAAGAACGCAACGCTCGTTATCCAGGCGCGCTCGGAGCTCGACGTGACCCCCGAGCATATTCACAAGCGTATTCAAGAGTCGAGCGGTTCCAAGTACTCGTCATCGGCGCCGGCGCCTGTGCGTCCCGCCGTGTCAAAGCCCGCGCCCGCTCCGTCGTACCGCCCCAGCCAGGGTCTTGGCGGCTCCCAGGGCAAGGTATGTCGACCTCAGATCCACTCTCACACAAGCCCGCGTCCACCGCTTTTGGCTCCACCGCCCGCGCTGTGGCCCCTCCTTCTGCCCCAGGACCTCCTCCCATACCGAGCGCCGCGCGCCCAACCTTTGGCGGTGCTCCCCCTCGGGCCCCCTCTCCCATCAAGGCTCCATCGCCTCCGAAGGCGCCCTCTCCGCCTCCTGCGCCGGTCGCCGCGCCTCCTCCCCCCGCCCGTCCGGTGAGCGCGTTGACACCCAGCATCCAAGAGCCATCCAAGCCCGCGCCCGATGATCGCATCGCTCCAGTCGGCACCAACTACGAGCCTGTCCGCCTCAACAAGCCCGGCAAGCTTGGAAACCGCTGGAATCCAGGCGCCGCATCGGCAGCCGACGATGACGAGCCTTCCTCGACCGGCCCCAGTCTCAAGGAGCGCATGGCTGCCTTCCAGGGCGGTGCTGGTAGCAGTGGATCCCCTACCGCGCCCCTCCAACAGCAGCGCAGCGGTCAGAAGCTCACTTGGTCGCAACGCCAGGCCGAGGCTAAGCGCCAGCGCGAGGAGGAAGAGGCGCGTAGCGCCGCTGCCATTGCCGGTGCGGCCGGCAAGAGCCAAGCGCATCGCGGGAGCTTTGGCACTTCTAACGCGCCCGCGCGCGCCAGCTTCGGTTCTGCTGGATCGCCTCGCCGCTCCTTCGAGACGCGTGAGGCCTCACCCCCTCCCGCTCCCGCGCCGCCCCCTCCTCCGCGCGCGCCTTCTCCGCCTCCGGCTGCCCCGGCGCCTCCTCCCATGCCAGGCTCGCGCCCCACCCCTGCAGCGTCCCGTCAGGTGCCACCGCGCCCCGTTGACTCGGACGATGAGGAGCAAGAGGGCGACGACTGGGGAGCGCCCCCTCCCCCTCCGGCGAGCAGCTTCCGCCCGCCGCCTCCGAGGGCCTCGACGCCTCCCCAGGCCGCGTCTCCGCCTCCGCCCCCGCCTCCTCCTCCCCCGCCTCCCCCGCCTCCTCCCCCTCACCCGGCTGCGGACCCCGTAAGTTCTGTGCTCACTTTCGCAACTAACGTCAGGTTGCTGAGATCACCCGCCTGAAGGAGGATTTGACACTGCGCGACACCCCGCCTCCTCCCGCACCGCCGCCTCCTCCTGGCCCTCCTCCCGTCCCCCAGACATCGAGACCAGGTATGGGCGTCGCCGCTGGCGTTGGGGCGGCCGCTATCGGCGCGGCGGCTGCCGGTGTTGGAGCTGTGACAGCGGCTGTCAGCGCTGTAGCGGGCTTGCCCCCTCCTCCTCCCCCACCACCTCCCCCTCCCCCTCCTCCTCCTCCTCCTCCTCCTCCTGCGCCCGCCGCTCCAGAGCCAGAACCTGAGGCGGATCATGGCACCACTGCGCGTGCGGTTTACGACTACGAGGCGCAGGAGGAAGGCGAGATTGGGTTCGCTGAGGGTGAGCTTATCACTGCCATTGACCAGGTCGATGAGGGCTGGTGGTCCGGCACGAACTCAGCCGGCGAGACCGGGCTCTTCCCGAGCAACTATTGCGAGCTGGTTGAGGGCGGCGAGGCCGGCGGGTACGAGCGCCACGATGACCCCGAGCCAGAGCCAGAGCCAGAGCCAGAGCCAGAGCCGGCTTCTGCTGCTGCTGCTCCGCCGCCTCCGCCGCCTCCGCCTCCTCCCCCTCCTGCTGCGGCTCCCGCGCAGGCGGAGGAAGAGCACATGGTTGCCGCATACGATTACGCTGCAGCTGAGGACGGTGAGCTGTCGTTCGCCGAGGGTGACAAGGTGTACAACATCGACCGCGTCGACGAAAACTGGTGGGAGGGCGAGGCCAACGGTCAGCGCGGCCTGTTCCCGAGCGCGTATGTCGTGTCGCCTGATGAGTACGCACAGCAGCTGGCCGAATACGGCGAGTAACCAGCGAGAGAGCAGAAGCCTGAAACGTAGATACCAGTAGAGAAAGAATGAACCAAGAACTGGGACCGGCAGCGCTGGATCAGTATTAGGAGAGCACGAGGATTCGTTTCATGAAATGAGGTATTGTCAGGGCCGAGTGGGGCAGTTGATTGATAATTGATAAAACCACGTCATAGAATTCCGATCTTAATCACCAATGCAAGTGTTCATGCACCCTTGGTCATCCATCCGTATCTGCTCCTACTGATTCATCAACCATCGACATCTCGCATCAGTCTCTCGTCTTCGGCTACCTGAGATCTACCTACATTCATTGCTGCCCAACCTTCCCAAGCTCCACACCTCGCCCCCAGCAGCTCCGCCAACTGCGCACGCGCACGCCTGCTGCGCTGTCGCACGAGATCTTGCATAAGCGATAGCACGCGATATTCTGCATCCTACGATGGTGGTCCCAACACATAACGACCCAGACGCGTGGATCGAGCATGTACGTCGGCTGCGAGTGTGTTACGAGATGGTGGTGGGGAGCGAGGGTGGCGTGACGGTGGGCTGAGGGAGCGCAGGCGAGCTCGGAAGACCGCAGCGCCGGCCGGAGTGTGATGGGCCACCAACTTCGCGCGCGGCGGCGTCGCGAGTCTGCACTACTCCTCGAGCATTTCGGTCCAAATCCGGCCGCACTGCGCTTCGTCCATCCCGCTGCTAAGCGCTTGATCGCTCAATCGTCGTTTGTCTCGGGGCTGTGCCGGGCTGAGAAGTTCAGAGGTGCTCGCCCCCAGCTTCCTGCTGCCCTCGGGGCCTTCGTGTCTTCCTGACGCGCTCTATCCTGCTCACACCAGATCCGGCAATGCAAGCATTTGCCAGAGCGCCAGATGACGGCGCTGTGCTCGCGCGTCGCGGACTTGTTGCTCGAAGAGAGCAACGTGCACCTCGTCCAAAGTCCCGTGACGGTGTGCGGCGACATCCACGGGCAGTTCTGGGACGTGCTCGAGATCTTCAGACAGGGCGGCGAGGCGCCGCAAACGAGCTACATTTTCATGGTGGGCCCAGCCGCCGCGGCGCTGACAGCAGGGCGACTTCGTCGACCGAGGATACTACTCGCTGGAGACGCTGAGCCTGCTGCTGGCCTTGAAGGCGCGGTATCCGGACCGCATCACGCTCCTGCGCGGCAACCACGAGTCGCGCCAAATCACGCAGGTGTACGGCTTCTACGACGAGTGCATGCTCAAGTACGGGAACCCGAGCGTGTGGCGCGCGTGCTGCAACGTCTTCGACAACCTCAACCTCGCGGCGATTATCGACTCGTCCATCCTCTGCGTCCACGGCGGGCTGAGCCCAGATATCCGCACGCTCGACCAGGTGCGCACAATATCGCGCGCGCAGGAGGTGCCGCATGAAGGGCCGTTCTGCGACCTCATGTGGTCGGATCCGGACGACGTCGAGACGTGGGCCGTGTCCCCGCGCGGCGCTGGGTGGCTGTTCGGCGCTAAAGTCACGGGCGAGGTGAGTGCACTGTTGGCGGCTTCCTGCGCACGCTCACCCAGTTCAACCATGTCAACGGCCTCAAGCTGGTCGCGCGAGCACACCAGCTCGTGCAAGAGGGGTATAAGCACATGTTTGACGACAAGCTCGTGACGGTGTGGTCGGCACCAAACTACTGCTACCGGTGCGGGAACAGCGCGAGTATCATGCAGGTCGACGAGAACTCGAAGACGAGTTTCAAGGTGTACGAAGCAGCGATCGAGAACCAGACCGACCAGCGGAATCCCGCCATGCGCCGCGCCGCCGCCCCGAGCTACTTTGTCTAGTCTAGTGGTTGTACAACATGCATCTCATCCAGCTGCGCGTGTCGCCGGGCGGGGGCCGGGCAGCGGAGCGACCGCCGGCCGCCGGCTGCTGTTCGTCTATGTGCACTACTCCTTGGCCTCGCGCTCGCGCTTGCGCTTCTTGCGGCGCTCGTCGAGCGTCGGCGCCGCCGTCTCGGCAGGCGCGATGAACATCTCCTCGCGCTTGGCGCGGCGCTTCTCGTCGGCCGCGGCGTGGCGCTCGGCGCGGTCCGCGTCCTCGGCCGCCTTCTTGTCCGACGCCTTGAGGAAATACTCGCCGGTCTGCATGGCGATGTCCTCCTTGCGCAGCGTCTGTGCGGGCGGGAAGGGGGTGTACACCTTCTTCTTGGGCTCCTTGTCCTTCTCTTTGCCCTCGAGTGCGGCGTTCTTGCGTGCCGTCTTCTCCGACGTTTTGAGGTGCTTCTTCTGGAACTCTGGCTGTCAGCATGGCAGCGCTTACTATGTGCTCGGCAACTCACTAGGCAGGAACCGGTCCCAGCTCTCGCCGGCGAGCTTGGGGTCCTTGGCCAGCTCGCGGCGGATCATGAGCTCCTTGATGCGGTAGATCGGGTGGATGTTGTTCATGCAGTCGAGCACGATGCGGCGCACCTCCTTGAGCCCCTTCCAGCTCCCCATCGCGCTGACCGTGTTTCCCTGCACGAGGACATAGCAGTCCGTGAGCAGCTCGATGGCCTTGAGCGTGCTCCCGTTCGGCCCGACGATGCGCTGCCGCCGCTTGACGAAGCGTTCTTTGTTGCGCACAATCCCGCTGATCTTGATCACGTCGCACGCCACCCCGTCCTGCAGCACCTTGAGCGCTTGCGGCGCCGACACGCCGCGCGAGAGCAGCTTGAGCAGGTCCCGGCCCTTGAGCACAATGTACGGGTCCCATGTCTTGCGCGTCGTGCGCACCGTCATCCGGCCTTGCACGAGGTCGAGCTCGCACGCGAGGCCAACGCCGTCCAGCGCAGACGTGATCCCACCCCACACCGAGCGCAAGTACGCTTCGCGGTACTTGGGGAAAAGGAGGGCAAAGCTGCTCTCCTCGAGGAACGGCTGGTGCGCGCCCTTGCCTGGCGCCGGCATCGGGTCAATCTTCCAGCTGCATGTCAGTGGGAGGTCGGGAGAGCAGCCGCAAGCTACGTACTGGTCAATGTCGTCCGTGTCCCATGGCTTGTCCTTGCGGAAACGCTTGTTTTTGGGCACCTCGGCCTCGGCGGCCTCGTTCTTGGGGTCGCTCATGGTCAATGCTTGGGGTGTTGAGTGCGAAGCCGAGATGACGCTGGGGTGGCAATTGAAATTTCAGTCAAGCGGTGGAGGGAGAAGGTTGTATGTGTGGGTCACGTGACACTCACTCAGCGTCAGGATGAATCTAGCTAGGATGCCTGCCTCCTGCTGGCTTGCTAACGCAACTCGACAAAGCACAACCGCGTATCGTAAAGCTACAAGACCCCCAAATTAGTCCATCCTTACCCACTCGCAAGCTCAGCGATCAGCTGGCACGCCATCTCAAGGAAGTGGAATGGCCCGCTAACGCCATGTCCAAACTCCTTGGGCTTGCCATGCGGAGTGGGGCTCGACAGACCTTGCTTGGGTACTGAGCCCGCGGGCATTGACCCTGCGCTGAGAAGCGAGCCGGGTACCGATCCCGGCGGGGCATCCTCGGTAATGGCGCCGTTGGCCGCCTCAGAGTCGCCCACGGGGTAGTAGCCAAAGTTTCGGAAGTCGACAAGGTAGTTTTGGTCATCCACGCGGTAGAGCTGCAAGTCCATTCGCACCTGGACGTTAGTGTTGCACAGGACAAGCTGAGTACTCACCATAACGTCCCCGTACCGCGCCCGCGTCTCGACAAAGAACAAGCCCTGCGCGGCCTTCTCGTTCGCGGCCGCCTCCTTCTTGCCTGGCGGCTTGCGGCCCATTGCAGGTGGTTCCTTGTCTGGGTTCTCCTCGCGCCACTTCCACAGCGCCTCCTCCACTTCCTCGGTGTATCCGCCGGGCGGGACCGGCCCAATCTCCGGCAGCGGAATGTTTTCCTTCCGGCGCCACTCCATTCCGAGCAGCTGCAGAGTCTTGTAAATCTCGAGCATGACCTCCATTGGCGGCGAGCGCGAGCGAATGCCAAAGTGCCACCGAGGCTTTTGGAGAGGCTTGGCCTCGTAAGCCGGGGCAGCTGGGGGCTGAGATGAAAGGAGCGCCCGCGCAGCACGCTCCGCCGCCTCCTGTTCTTGTGCGCTGTCGCCACTGGCGGGAGTGGACTTGCCGGGGAGTGAAGTGTCCAGCACTTCGAAATGTGAGTTCGGAATGTCCTGGATCTCCGGGTCGACCTCGTCCAGATCGTTCTCCTCGGCGCCGACGTCGCCGACATCAGGCGCGCTCCCACCCGGTGGCGGCACTTCAGCGTTCCATGCCGGCGGGGAAGACGCCATGAAGTCTTCGAGTGCGTTGTGGTCTTCATCCTCGAACGAGTACATCGAGTCGCGAAGCATGCGCTTGTGGTCTCTCACAAGCTGGTATGCCACCTTCACCTGATTATCGCCTTCCTTCTGCAGTGCCTCCCACACCATCGGTTCAGTGTACGTTGAGATCTTCTGGAGGAGCTCAGCGACAATGTCAGCGTCGATGATGCCGAGGTCGTTTGTGAACACGAGCCCTTTCTCCTCAGCGACCTTCTTGGGGTCGGCCTGCCCCTCGTTGAGCAAAAGTAGCGTGCTCAAGTCATCCATCGGCAAGGATGGGTACCTCTCTGTCATAGGTGTTGGTGGAAGGGGCTGGAGGTAGTGAGGAAGGTGCTCGGTGAAGAAGGGCATCTGGCGGATCTCGGCGATAGTGGCGCGCTTGACTGGGTCGACGACCAGCATGCGTTGCAGCACATGCTGAGCCTCTTTGGAGACATGCGTCGGCATCGTGTACCGCCCGCTTTCGATCTTCTTGAACAACGAGGGGATGTGATCGTCGTCGAATGGCAGTTTGCCGCACAATAGCACGTACATGATGACACCGGCAGACCACACATCAATCTCGGGACCAGAGTAGAGCTTGCCCGAGATAACTTCGGGCGCGGCGTAGTTGGGGCTACCACACGACGTCTTGAGAAAGTCGCCGTCAGTCATGAGATTAGACAGACCAAAGTCACCGATCTTGATGTTGTTGTGTGAGTCAAGGAACAGATTCTCTGGCTTGAGGTCGCGGTGTACAATGTGGTGTCGATGGCAGTACTCGATAGCGCTGATCATCTGCTGGAAGAACCTCCTCGCCTCGTTCTCGTCCATCTGAGTGTCAGAAGACTCGGCAGACGTCAGCTTACCCCGCCCTTGCCCTTGGCTACGATGTAGTTGAACAGTTCCTCGCCCGCATACTCCATCACCATGATTACGTCCGTTGGCGTTGTTATCACCTCGTATCTGCGGTCAGCTGCGCCCCCCTGGCGCAACACTAGACGCACAATTTGATAATGTGCGGGTGCCGCAACACTTTGAGATACTGAATCTCGCGCTTAACACGGGCGTTCATGTCCGGCGTGGTGATCTTGCTGCGGTTGATCAACTTGAGCGCTACCTGATGGCCAGTGATAGCATGCGTGGCGACTGGGGGTGAGATTGACCGTGTGGGGTATACTCACGCTTGACCTTGCCAAAGGAGCCGGTGCCCAGAGTGCGCTCGATGATGTACTGGCCGATTCTTGGCTTGGGACGAGATCGCGGTTCGGTTGCGCCTGGGGGAAGGTCGCGCCGTGAGCGGGAGGGGATGGGGGGCGCCGGGCGGGACGCCATGGCGGAGAGGGAGTCTGGAGCAGTGGGTGGGGTGGAAGGGAGGGAGGGAGGGGAGATGAGCAATGGAGGAGAGTCAGAAGTACGAGAGTGGATGGGATGAGAGAGTCGAGGAGATCAAGGAGATCGAGAGGGGTAGAGTTGTGATGATGAGGATGATGATGATGAGGAGGAGGAGGAGGAGGAGGTGATGATTGATGGAAGACGTCGAGAGAGAGACTGAGTGACAGCTCGTTGGTGGGAGGGAAGGTGCGCTGTGGGTGGTGGCCAACACACCCACAGGGCGGAAGGCGGAAGGGCGACAATCATTCACTCCTCTTGTTCCTGAGGTAATACACATTCTGCACGTGTAATTACATAATATTCAGCCGACCACCCTGGAATGACAAGGCCCCAGGGAGCCAAGGGACGACAAGACGCGCTGACATGCAGACGCGCATATGCCGCAGCTCTTGAGGTCGGAGGGGCGTGGGTCGAGGTGGGTTGAGATGACGAGGGCATGCATTAGAGTGGCAATGGCAAGAGTGGCATAGGTTGTGGACTCTGTGACACTTTTCTTGTGCAACTCGCGGAATACCACGATATTCTACCCCGCTTCCGGAGGCGTCTCCTTATCCCCTTATCGTGATCGTCACCCCGCCCTGGGCCGATGTGGCTGTTGACTGCAAGCTTCCCAGCAAGCCAGTAATTCATCCAGCACGTTTGTGGCGTTGCCTTGGACTCGACGTCGCCCCATCCTCTATTTTGTCCAGCTATTCCACGATCCACGAGCGTCTTTATCAACCGAATAACGCGGTGGAGTGGACTTTGGACATGGGCAAAGGTCAGTGACAACCCGGTCCAGATCTCGAGCCCCAGCTGCCGAAATACCAATCTTGTTGTCAGGCCGGCGCGTCTACGATCGCTGGACCTAGCTAGCGGACCTCAATTACTTTACCCTAGTGACGGTTGACTGCCATCTGTCATACATACGCCAGTCTGCCATCTAGACATGACTCTCAGTACTCGGTGCTCCGACGGCATACATACTGCCTGCCGTGTCCAGGGCCATGTCTGAGCACAGCGTCCGGATCGCAGTTGTAACAGAAACGCTGGCTTACGAGGGCCAATCGAGTCGCGTCGGGAAGGAGAGAGTATGGAATCCTCCGGCACAAGTACCTGTTGTAGGTCAAGCCACCATGACGTGCGTGTTCATTGGGGAGGAGGAGAGAGGAGGAGGAGTACGTGTGCAGTACAGTATTACTCTGTGGGTACTGGAAGAGGTAGGAGGAGGTACCTAATGGAAGCGAGAATCGGGTCGACGAGCGCGACGAGAACGAGAGCGCGAGAGGGAGGTGGAGCGAGCGAGATAGGGGAGGCCAAGGGGGCCAAGGGGGAAGAGTGAGGAAAGGGACCTGCAAGCTGCCACTCCAACTCACGCGCTTGATATGGACAGCATTTGATTCCGCACTGATGGCCACGCCACGATTGCCACCCAATTGGGCGAGGCGATTCATCACCCCATGCACCCCCCCATCGGCCATCCTCATCCACCTTCCTCCCATCATCCACCTCGTCCTCGTCGTCGTCCTCGTCGTCGTCCTCGTCGTCGTCCTCATCGTCACCCTCACACTCGCCTCCCTCCTCCCCTTGGTGGCAACCTACAATTCTCTTGACTCTTGCGTCTTCATCTTCTTCCCCTCCCCCCTCTCACCTCCCTCCCTCCCTCCCTCCCTCCCTCTCCTTCCGCCCTCTACCCACCTCCTCCCCGTCACTCCATCATGGGCAACACTCCTTCACAACATCACCCTCACGGCTCTCATTCTTCACCAGGAGCAAAGGGAGCTCAGCCGTCAACCTCCCCTCCCACTGACCTCGGTCGTGCTTCATCACAGCGCAGGCACCCGAACCTCCGCTTGCCCATGCCACAGCGTGGACTGTCACAACAACAGGGTCAACAAGGTACTCAACCCACAACGCACGGCGTCTCTACTCCACTCTCCGAAAACCCCACCTCTCCCTCTGCCGCAAAACCCGGCTCTTCCAGCCCACGTAGGCGCAAGAGTCTTGAGCTTCCAGACCTCAACAAGCTCAGCTTCACTCCTGCCTCACCACAACCAACCACCGCCACTCAGACCGCAAACGCCAGCGCATCACCAGCAGCTGCCACCTCTGCTCTTCCTTCAAGCAACGCACCCGGTGGCTCGACCTCGGCAATCGGCGCTGCCGCATCGTCTCATCAGCGTACCAACAGTGCAGCCGGCCGTGCCGTCGGGAGCGGCAGTCCCATGTCGCCCTCCAAGGCGGCTTCCACCGGCTCCGTCATCCCAGGCGTGACGGTCGTTCCAGTCAACGACTCGAGCACGCACGTCCCATCCCGCCCCATCCCTATCCGCTCGCCCCGCGCTGTTGCGGCAGAGCTCCCACTCGACCGCGCGCACCGACCACGACCACAGGTAAAGCCAGTAGACTCGCCGCTGCGCACAGGCCTCACCCCTCCTCCTCCTACTGCCTCTGCCACACCGGCTCCTCCCGCGGCCGGGACTGGGGCAGACGACGGAACAGCAAAGAACGATGGGCTCGTCGATGTGCCGATTCAGTGGAACGGTGGCGGCAAGGCGGTATACGTTACCGGCAACTTTGCCGACAACTGGCGGGGGCGCGTCAAGTTGAAGAAGAGCACGCACGACTTTAACACCGTCCTTCGCCTTGCACCAGGCCAATACCGCCTCAAGTTTATCGTTGACGACTCGTGGCGATGCTCCAAGGCCATCCCAACTGCCACCGACGACGACGGCACACTTGTCAACTGGATTGAGGTTGATGCTCCCAAGACGGAGGAAGAATTGGCCGCCGAGTGGGCCATGGACGCAAAGCCTGCCACAAAGGCCGAAGACGTGGATCCGCAGCAGTGGACGAGCGAGCTCCCAACCGCCCTCGTACTATACCAGTACCTCGAGGAGCTACCGCAGATGTACTCGAACGATGTGCTGCGCCAGTTTGTCAGCACTGCGCCATACTTTGCGCCCGTGCCCAAGCCCCCTCAACTTCCGCGTATTCTGGAGAAGGTATGCTATTTGTGTTGGTTGTGGCTGACGTCCAGGTTATCTTGAACTCGGACCCACGGCGCCCACCCGAGCCCAACCCGCCTACAGCCAGCGGCACACAGGCCGAAGCCGTTGATGACAATGCCATCCTCCCCACCCCTTCGCATGTCGTGCTCAACCACCTCATGGCGTCTGCCCAGAAGAACGGAACGCTCGGCGTTGCCACGACATCGCGCTACCACAAGAAGTATGTGTCGACCTTGCTCTTCAAGTCGAGCTCGCCGCCGTCAGACGACAAGCAGCCCGTTCCATCGCCCCAGGAGCGCGCCGCTGCCCTTGCAGCGGCTGCCGCGAATGCACCGTCCTCATGATAGAATCCTTATCTTGTGATAGGTTTGTGCCGCGCTGGGCGCGGGTGTAAATGGTGGGAAGAAGGGGCCTCCCCAGCTCCAATAGAACACGTTGATATTAGACTTTGTAGCGCCTGGACATGATCCATGCTTCAATGCCATGTCTGTAGCTTGTGAACGGTGATGTTCAGACTCCTGCGTCAATCGACGAGCAGGCAACGTGTTGCGACCCTCAGGGAACAGCTTGCTTTGGCGTGGTGGAGGCCACGCCCACGCGGCTGAGCTTTCGCTGACGTCTGACTACCCAACATCTCAGCATCGCACTTCAACCCTCTCACACAAACAATATGGCGAGCATGCTGCCATTACTGCTCGCCCTATTCTCCCTGCTGTCGGCTGCGCTGGCTCTCCAGTCAGATTTGGCCGGAGTAGCGGACTGGCACAAGGCCCTCATCGGCGTCCCTCACCTCACTCCTTCCCCGCCCACCTTCGTTCCTCTCGACGGCGCACATGCGACGATTATGATCACCGAGGAGGACATGCTGGCGGTGCTGAACGGAAATGGGAGTCTGCGCTGGCGCCAGGAGGTGCCCGATGTGTTGTCGTACAAGGTACACAACGATGGTGAGTCACTAACTTGACGACATCGCAACGCCGCAGCTAACACCAGCTGTGGTCGTCCTCAGCGGGACGCTTGGAACGAACACGCGCCTGTATGACCTCGAGAGCGGGCGGCTGCGCTGGGAGGTGACTACGGGCGATGCCTCGGCCAAGCTCGACTGGCGGCTGCCGGAAGGCACGCGCGGCATGGGCTCGGACATTGCCTTCCATGACGAGCACGTGTTCATTCTCTCGGAGGCGCGCCGCATCACCAAGATCAAGCTGAGCGACGGCACGAGTCCGTGGGGCTGGGAGTTTCCCGGCGACGGCTCGACGAACCTGTTCAAGCAGATCGTGGTGAACGGCGACGAGCTCAATGTTCTCGGCGTGCTCTCCTCGCTCTCGGTCCCGACCTTGACGCACCTCACCTTCAACGCCGAGAGGATCATGCCCATCTCCGAGATGTCGCACGTCCCCGCCGGCCTCGGCGACCCGACCAACGGATACCTCCTCGCCCCGCGCGGCGAGTACAGACAGCCAGGTCTGCGCGGCTGCTGGGCCGAGGAGAGCAGGTACCGCTGCACCGACCTGTACAGCGACGGCACTGTGAACGAGCGCATCAAGGACCACATTGCCGGTACGGGGCGGCGGTACGAGCGCATGATCGACGTCGGGCTGCGCGAGCATGGCTTCATGCTCGGCCTTCTCAAGAGTGGCGCTGTGCTCGTCGTCGAGGTAGGTGATGGCGGCCACGTCGTCGCCGAGTTCGACCGCTCGCGCCAGCACCGCAACGGCATGCCTGTGCACTCGGGAGCGTACCATGACGGCGTGTTCACTTTCACCCGCGTCTACTATAACCACGACGACAAGGCGTGGAAGATGCAGATGATCAGTGTGCGTGACGGCAACGTTGAGCAAACCGAGGAGGCTGTGCCGTTGGACGCGAGGCACGGGATCCCGCGCTCGTGCGCTTCCGCGCCCGACGGCAGCTTGTTCCTCGCCACAAGCACGCGCGCGCTCCAGCTCTCGCGCGCCGGCGAGGTGCTCTTCACGCGCGAAGAGGCGCTCGCGGACATTGCCGGCGTGCACTTTGTGGAGCTTGGCGAGCCGGAGACGGAGGAAGCTCTCGGGCTTATGGCGCACGAGAGCTTCGTCGCCCGCCTCACCCGCCACATCGGCATGCTCGGCCGCCTCCCCGCGTACGTCCAGCACTTTGTGCAGCGCCTCAGCTCGACGGCGGACATTGCGGGCCAGACGCCCCCGCTGTCCAAGGACCGCTTGCACCGCGACCAGTTCGGGCTGCAGAAGCTCATTGTGGCGGTCACTAACGGCGGCAAAGTGTATGGTTTGGACAGCGCGAACGGCGGCGTCTTGTGGTCGCGCAACCTCGGATTCTTCGACCAGAAGGGGCCCGAGCTCGCCGTGTACGGCACCTGGGCGACGCGCGCACTCGGCGACCGTGGCAACCCCCAGATTGCGGTGCTTGCCGTGCGCACTCGTGGCGGCAAGCAGGTGACGATGGGATACACTGTCGACGCGTTCACCGGTGATGTGGCTGGTGAGAAGGAGGGCGGACACGATGTGCCCGTCGGCAAGGGACTGTTTGCTGGCGCGCCTCGTGCTGCCTTCCTCACCAAGTACATCCACTGCTGCACAGGCAACACGATTGTCGGCGTCGTCGACGACAAGGACACGCTCCACCTCTTCCCGAAGTGCAAGAAGGTGCAGCGCGAGATCGAGGTTGCGCCATTCTTCTACACCGTCCTCGACCGCGAGCTGGAGGGTACGTCTCTGCGCGGTTACACCCCCGGCGAGGCCGAGGAGGGCATCACGTTCCCGGGTGTGCAGCTGTGGTCGCGCCCCTTCCCTGTGCAGGAGGTGCTTGACGTTTCGCCTCTTCACCCGTCGCCGGTGGCGAGCTTCGGGCGTGCACTCGGCGACAAGGCCGTGCTGTACAAGTACTTGAACCCGCACCTGCTCGTCGTGACTTCCGTCTCGCCGTTCAGCGCCACGGGCCACGTCTACGTTGTGGACAGCACGACGGGTGCGAGCGTGCACGAGGTGGACATCCCGCATGTCGTCGGCAAGCACGTGCGCGCGGCCATGGTGGAGAACTGGCTCGTGTACGCGTGGCTAGAGAGCCCCACGTCCGCCGGCGCGGGCGGATGGCGCATCGCGTCCGTCGAGCTGTACGAGCGCGGCGCACAGAGTGCGGGCCGCTCGTCCCTCGCGCCCCCGCCTACCATCGAAGCCGTGACCCAGTCTTTCGTGCTCGGCACCGACGTCGCCGCCCTCACCTTCACGACGTCCAAGTACGGCGTCGCAACCAAAGACGTGCTGTACATCACCGACGCAGGACAGGTCGCGCACCTCCCCCGCCGCCTCCTCGACCCGCGCCGGCCGACCTCGAAGCCCACTAAGGCTGAGCAGGAGGAGATGCTCGTGCCGTACGACCCCGTGCTCCCCCTCTCGGCGCAGCACATCATCTCACACATCTACCCCGCCAAGGGGCTGCGCGCTATCGCCGCCTCCCCCGCCCTGCTCGAGAGCACCACGCTCGTGCTCGCGTACGGCCTCGACCTGTTCGGCTCGCGCGCCCTCCAGCCCTCAGGCAACTTTGACATCCTCGGCACAGGGTTCGCAAAGACATCCCTCCTCCTCACGCTGGCCGCGCTCGGCGCGGGCGTGGCTGTCGCGGCGCCCGCTGTGCGCCGCAAGCAGCTTTCGGCCAAGTGGTTTTAGGTAGTGCGCGGCATGCATGCAGATGGCATTTGTTAATTCTTATGCTTGCGGAGAAGGTGAAGGTGGCCGCGGCCGGCTCCCACAACATTGACATCCCCTCTGTCTCTGATGCTCAGGAACTGTTTGCCAGCCTCCATCTGCTGACGGCGCGTTGCCCCAGCTTATCGCCCGTCGTCGACCTCGTCCTCCCACCACTACTGCGGATCGGCATTCTTCACGAGAATGCGCACCGTGTCGAGGATGCTCTGGAGCATCTCCTCGAAGCGGTTCGGTTGCCCTGCCGCGTCCTTCTCGCCCTCGGCGATCAGTGCGGGCGCATCGCGCACTTCAACCTCGAGCTCGAACGACATTGGTCCAGGTTGCGCCGCGCGGTCCTGCCGTCAGCTCCCTCTTTCTTCAAGCAGTCAAGCCACCTCCGGCCGCAGACACACTCACCCGCGGAGTCACCGCCGTGAGATCCACCTGACACAGCTGGTGCTCGTAGCACAGCCTGTCCTTCTGGCGCGAGCTCTCTGCCTCGCCGAGCTGGTCGACATCAATGTCGACGGGCTCTTCAACATTGCACGAGATGCGCCAGTCAAACGCCTGGTTGGGCGACACCACATTGAGGTCGCCTAACCTGTTCTTGCGCACGACCGCGACAACCTTGCCCGCCTTCCCTCCGGGCTCCATCTCGCGCGACACGCGCACCTTGCCCGCGCGCGTGCGGTGAAACTCGTCGACCTGGCGCACGCGCTTATATCGCAGCGGATACTCGCCGCCCACGCTCGCCTGCACTTGCTGGTTGAGCACCTCGTTGAGCCACTTGTGGTTGTGCTGGTGTCAGCTCGGCAGCGCGGCGCGCACCTTGGTCAACGTCGACGCGAACTGGCCCCGCGGGTAGTCGGCAGGCAAGATCAGTTCCGTGAGGCTGGGGAGGCGCACGCGATGCGGCCCGTTCGCCGCATGCAGCGTGCCCAGCTTGATCTCGATCTCGACGTCCCGCCGCCCCCGGCAGTTGGCCATGATGAAGTTGCCCACGTGCTCCGTGAACTCGTTGCGCGCCGTCACGCCGAAGATGCTCGGCACGATCGGCGTGTCCATCGTCACTGCGCCGGGGTGCGCGCCGTTGCGCGGGGCGCTCGCACGCGCGCCGGCGCCCGAGCCCGGGCCCGGGCCGTCGTGCTCCCTCCGCCGCTTCGCGGGCCGCGGCGAGCCGCCCTCGCTCATGGGTCGTGTCGGGTCGAGGTCGGGAGGCGCGTACGCTGGCCCGGGAGGGAGGTGCGTGTGCCGTTTGTGCGTAGGGACGTAGGCCATACGCCTTGTGTTGTGGTGGTAAAGACGTCTTCAATCGCTAGTGCGTCGAGGTTGGGTGGCGGAACCAATCATCACGTGACGATCGACCGCCGTCATGATTCTGAATGCTGAATGTCTGGCCAAAGTTCGCGAGCACAACAAACACCCTCTATATCACTTTACCAGCCACGAACCATGTTCACCAGCAACGCCTTCGGCGCGCTGGCTATGGACGATGGTCCGCCGCCTCCGGCCCCTGCCGCGCCTGCCAGCGGAGGTGTACGCACCCGCCTCGTCGAGGGCGAGGACGTCGACGCAGAGGTGCGCGACCGTGAAACAGCGCTGACGGCAGTGGCTCAGACTCGTGCGCACCAACCACGACGTGAATGTCCGTGTGCAGGACAAGGTCGCGCTCGACGGCCTTCCCTCCGAGTGCGGCTTGCTCGCGCTCAGCAATACCCACAACCTCTTGTTTGCTGGTGGCAACACGGATGTCCGCGTCCACCGCCTGGACCAGATCCACGAGCTGCTGGAGAAGTCTGCCAAAGACGCACAGCCGGCGTCATCGCCAATTGCGACTATTGCACTGCCCGCGCGTCCCGTATGGGTGCGGTGAGTGTGGCCTCCACGATCGAGCTAATGCTAGCCTCGCATATGGCGACGAGCGCTTGGTCGTCGCGACGGCTGGCGCAGGCATTCTTTTATACAAGACCTCTGACCTCGTAGCAGGAAACGTGAGCGGGATCAATCGCGCGCTAGCTGCTGACAGTAGACTACTCCCTACGCCACTATCACCAGCGGCGTCCCCGACATGATGCTCGATGTCGTGCCGAACCCCGCCGCACCCTCCGAGCCGCAGGCCAAGTATGTGACGCTCCTGGCGTCACAGGGCTTTGTGCTTCTCGATACTGAGGCTGGTGTGCCCTCCGCTCCGCTTGCAGGCGCGTTCACCGCAGCCTCGTGGTCTGCTAAGGGCAAGCAGATGGTCGTCGGTACGCGCGACGGCAAACTTGTGCAGTACACCCCCGAGGGTGTGGCCAAGAGCGAGGTGCCGCCCCCGCCGGAGCTTGAAGCAGGGTACTACCCCACCTTCGTGCAGTGGCTCGAGAACCACCTCTTCCTCGCGGGCTATGGCGACGGCGAAGAGTTCGCAATCTACGCCATCCACCGCACCCCCGCCGAAATTACCTACACCAAGTTCTACGACATCAACGACCAGATGGGCTTCTCCGGCCGCTCCGCGCAGCACAGGCACTACGTTGGTCTTAAGGACTGGGGAAACTCGAAGCATCTCGCGTTCCTCCTCTCTGCTATTGCCTCCGAAATCGGCGTCCTCCGCGGCCTCCCTGCGCCGGATAAGACCAACCCGACCTGGGAAGCTGTGATGCTCGACGAGACAGCGCGCGCAATCATGCCCGCCGGCAAAGTCGGCGTGTCGGACGACACGAGCCCCATCGGTCTCGCCTTGGATTTGACCAGCACTAAGCACATTGTGCGCGGCATTGTCGGCGGCGAAGAGCTCCCCGACCTCGCGCCGGTGCCGCGTCTCATTACGTACTCGCAGGAAGGTTTCATCATGTCGTTTGATGTGCAGAACCCCGATGCTGGCGCGTACCCCAGCATGATGGCGCCCGCCGCCGCGACTACGCAGCCCACATCCGCCGCGGCGGCTCCCGCCCAGAGTAAGCCTTCGCTAGGCTTCGGCGGAGGCTCTGGCTCCGCATTTGGCCAGACCAACAAGCCTGCGACTGGGTTCGGCGTATCAGCCTTCGGACAGCCCTCGACCACCACCCAGCCTGCCTTCGGCCAGGCGTCGACTCCATCCAACACTGCCTCCGCCTTCGGTCAGTCAGCCTTTGGCAGCACACCGACCAAGCCCTCGGCGTTTGGACAGTCCGCATTTACGTCCACCACGCCGACGACGACACCCGCCAAGTCTGCATTTGGACAGGGCGGCTTTGGTGCGTTCTCCAGCTCCTCGTCCGGGCAGAGTGCTTTCGGCAAGGCATCCAACGGCGGAGGGTTCGGCGCCTTCGCCTCGAAGCCGGAGGAGAAGAAGACGGAGGTGGAGCAGAAGCCCGCGTTTGGCAGCAGCGGCTCCGCTGGTGTCTCTGCGTTTGGCCAGACCGCGTTTGGGCAGAAGAAGGAGGGCAGCGCCTTCGGGCAGAGCGCGTTTGGCCAGAGCGCTTTCGGCCAGCCGGCCACGCCTAAGGATGAGAAGAAGGACGGTGACAGTAAGCCAGCCTTCGGTGGGTTTGGCAACTCGGGCACTTCGGCCTTCGGGCAGAGCGCGTTTGGCCAGAAGAAGGACGAGAGCAAGCCCGCCTTCGGCTCGACCACGCCGGCCTCGACCCCCAAGTCGGCATTTGGCCAGAGCGTCGCAGGTGGCGCGCCTGCATTCGGCCAGTCGTCCGTGCCGGCCAAGCCCGCGTTCACCGGCTTCGGCCAGCCCAAGCAGGAGAAGAAGGAGGACACGGTGTCCACTGAGCCAGAGAAGAAGTCGGCCTTTGGCGCGTTCAGTTCTCCCAGCTCGGGCTCGGCGTTTGGCACCAGCGCGTTCGGCACCAGCGCCTTTGGCGGCAGCTCCGGCAGCGCGTTTGGCAAGAAAGACGATAGACCCGCTTTCACAGGCTTTGGCCAGAAGCCTGCTGCCTCCCCCTCCGCTTTCGGCACTGGCTCCGCCTTCGGCTCTGGCTCCGCCTTTGGCTCTGGCTCTGCCTTCGGAGCCGCCTCCGCGTTCGGAAAGAAGGACGACAAACCCGCATTCACCGGTTTCGGCAAGCCCTCTACGTCTGCGGCGCCTGCTCCCGCCGAGGAGAAGAAGGACGACGGCGCCTTTGGCCTCGGCGGCTTGGATTCCACGCTGTCCTCAAGCGTTCCCGGACTCAACGACTCGCCCTCGCCGGAGCACAAGCCCGGCGTCGTGCCCGGTCTAGAGTCAGACGAGGATGAGCCCTCGTCTCCTCCACCCAAGCCCGCCGCCCCTGCCAAGTCGAGCACCAGCTCCTTCATCAAGCCCGCGACAGCCTTTGCGTCCGCGACATCGGGTGGCTTCGGCGCTTTCGGGGGCAAGAACACATTCGGGTCCAGCCCCGCCGCGCTGTCGAGTGGCACGCCCAAGGCGCTGAGCAAGGCGCCCACGACCCCGGCTTCCGCAGTCGGGCAGAGCTCGTTCGGAAAGCCCGCGTTTGGGCAGAGCTCAGGCTTTGGCCAGGTGGCCGCGCCCGCCAAGTCGAGCAGCGCGTCCGCACCCGCCAGCGGCTTCGGCTCGTTCTCTGGCGGCGGCGGCTTTGGCGCGTTCGCAACGAAGGAGAGCGCGTTCAGCGAGCCGAAGGGCAAGAGCGTGTTTGCCGACAGCAAGCCCAAGGAGTTTGAGAAGTTTGACAAGCCATTTGGTGTGCACTCGGACGACGAGGACGACTTCACGGACGAGGAGAGCGAGGAGGAAGCCAAGGAGGATGCGAAGGACAGCAAGGACGTCAAGCCGGATAACAACGACATTAAGGAGGGCAAAACGGACGAAAAGCCCACGGCCCCCTCCGACTCCAAGACTGACGACAAGGTCGCCAGTGCTTCCAAGAAGATCTCGTTCTCCATCGGTGGCGATGAACAGAAGTCGCCCGATGAGGAGGTTAAGGGCTTTGATGTGCCCGCGCCCGCGCCCAAGGCTGAGGCTGAGGACCAGAGCAAAGCTCCAGAGGCCGACGACAAGGCTGAGGCCCAGACAGGGGCGGATGACACGTCCAAATCCGACGCCGACACCAAGCCCGGAACCTCGACGAAGGCAGAGGGCAAGAAGCATGCCGTGGACGCCGACAAGCCTGCGAATGCGACTGGCGAAGCCTCAACCGAAGTGGCCTCGCCTGAGGACCCCGAGTTGAAGAAGTTCCTTGAGGACGACTACGAAGATGATGACGACGACTACTATGACGAAGACGAGGAGGAGTACTCTGATGGCTCGCCTGGCGACGACGAGCATGACGACGATGAGCCGCTCCGCTCTAGACGCTCGTTCTCCTCCCTCCCGCCCGAGATGGACCCGATACCCGAGGATGACGAGACAGAGGACGAGGATGATGAAACGACATCTCCAAAGCGCCCCAAGTCGCCTACGTGGTTCGCAGGCTCCGCCTCGACGTCGGGAACCCCCTCTCTGCTGAGCAGGATGGGTCCCCCACCCTCGCAGGCAACGCCGCCGAGAGTTCCCGCCTTTGCGCTCAAGCACGCGCCGAAGACGAGCTCGCCGTTGGCCGCCCAGACGGTGGGGGATGACGACAGCTCGGGTGGTGCGCTGAGCGAGCGGAGCGAGAAGACAGACGACGAGGAGTCCAAGGACGCCGCGGCATCGCCGCAAGCGCGGAAGTCCAGCTTCGGCAGCATCGGTCTCGGTTTGGCTGGCGCACAGCCGTTCTCCTTTCACCAGAGCGACAAGAAGAAGACAGACGATAAGAAGGACAGCGACGATAAGAAGGAGACCGAGAACAAGAAGGACAACGACGACAAGAAAGAGGCCAAGTTGGAGAAGCCTGCCGTCTCGTTCGCCAAGCCTGCCGCGGTGCCTGGAGAGTGGACGTGCGACACTTGTATGCTCAAGAACCCGGCGACGGCGAAGGACAAGTGCTCGGTCTGTGAGGCGCCCAAGCCCGGCGCTAAGGCGGCGGATGCCCCTCCCCCGGCCGCTGCGCCTCCGAAGCCCACGTTTTCGTTCAAGCAGGCCGGCCCCGCTGCCGGCGAATGGACGTGCGACACATGCATGCTTAAGAACCCGGCAAGCGCTACAGAGAAGTGTACCGTCTGCGAGACCCCGAAGCCTGGTGCAGCCCCCAAGGCTAATGTCGCTTCACCGGCCGCATTGCCTGCTCCTCCGGCAGGCGGCTTCGGATTCGGTGGAAAGCCTCCCGCCGCTCCGTCAACCGGTTTCAGCTTTGGCGGTAAGACGCTGGCATCGACAGCTTCGCCATCTCCACCCTCGACCGCGGGCGCCGGTCCCACTCCGCCCGCTGGCGGATTTAGCTTCGGCGGCAAGCCCGCTGGCCCCGCTCCGCCCGCTGGTGGCTTCAGCTTCGGCGGCAAGCCCGCCGGCCCGGCACTCCCTGCCCCGCCCGCTGGCGGCGGCTTCAGCTTTGGCAAGCCCGCCTCGCCCCCCGCCAGCACATCGCCTACCGCTCCAGCTGGCATGCCAACTGCTCCCAGCGGTTCATTTTTCGGCTCGTTTGGCAAGACTCCAGCTGCCCCGACGACCGTCAAGTCGTCGACGGGTGGCGCCGTGTCGGGCCAGTGGACGTGCGACACATGCATGCTCCAGAACCCAGACTCGGCACAGCAGTGTACGGTCTGCGAGGCACCGCGGCCTGGGGCCAAGAAAGAGGAGGCTAAGCCGGCCGCTGGTCTGTTCGGAAAGCCTGCCGATAAGCCGCCGACCCCGTCAGCAGGATTCAACTTCGGCAAACCGGCGGCGTCGACCACTAAGGAGGAGAAGCCCACCGCCCCTGCTTCCGCCTCGCCCTTCAGCTTCGGTCTGCCGACAACCCCGGCGGCCGCGAATCCCAAGCCCGCCGCACCTGGCTCACTCTTCAGCGGCTTCGGCAAGGCAGCGACACCCGCACCCCCAGTTGCAGCGCAGAAGCCATCGCTCTTCGGCACGGTCGCCTCAGCATCGACCCCGGCCACTCCCGCACCGTTCGGCACGATGGGCCCGTCGTACACCGGACCGCCCACGCCTGCCCAAGGCCCCGTCGCGCCCAGCGCGACTCCCTCGCCTTTCCAACTGGGCACGAAGGCGCCCACGCCTGCGCCTGGCGTGTTTGGCAGCCTTCAGAACCTTCCTGCGCCGACAGCGCAGCCCGCGAGTGTCTTTGGCGGCAAGCCGCTCTTTGCGCAGCCCGCTCGGACCGCACCTGCTCTCGCCCAGCAGGCGGCACCCACTGACGCTCCCCACCCAACCCCGCCCGTGCAGAAGTTCACCACGCCTGCGCGCCGCCCTGTGCCGACGGGTACTGTCGCACCTTCCCAGACACCCAAGAGCATGGGCGACGCGCTCGAGCTTCTCATTGCGGATGTCGGCGAGGACCTCGGCCGACTCGGCAAGACTCTGCAGGCGAACAAGCTGCACCACGCTGCCGTTGAGGCCGAGACGTTCCCGCCGCCCAGCATCGATAACTTTGCGCAGCACGATGCGCTGCCCCTCTCCGCCCTGGACACTGTGCACGCGCTGACCGTCGAACTTGGCGCGCAGCTTGCGGCCGTGAGGGCCGAGGTGCGCCAGTCTGACATTACTCTCGCGCAACTGCAGAGCCGGATGCTGAAGAGTGAGTGCCATCCATGTTCTCGTTGTTGGTGCTGACAGTAAAGCGGATATGAAGACCGGGCAGGCCGATAAGCTCTTCAAGGCGCGCAAGGACCCGTCATTTGGCCAGGCCATGCAGATCAAAGAGCTGTCGCCAGCCCAGGCAGCTGGCCAGACACGCCTGCGCAAGGTCGTCAACATGACGGCTTCGCGCCTCGACGAGCTTGACGCCGGGATTGCGAGTCTGAAACGGCGCGGCAACCCACGCACCTCGCACTCGTCCCAGCCGGCCCTGGAGCGCATCCAGCGCTCTGTGCGCAACGTCGATGTCGCTATCCGGGACCGGCAGCGAACGGTCGACGACCTCTCGCGTCGCGTCAGCGCCCTCCGCGTGCGCGACGGGTCCGAGCCTCGATCGCGTGAAGGATCCCCCTTCCCCTCGAGTCCGAAGTCACCGCCTGTGCGCGCCGCTTGGGCCGCCCCGACGCCAGCCCAGCGTCCGGCCCACGCGAATGCCAAACCGATCGCGCACGGATCTCCGCGCAAACCGGCAACACCCGAACTGGAGCCTGTTGCATCCACCCGCTCACCCTCGCTCCAGCCGACTGATGGGATGCGCGCCGCTGCCAAGGACGACAGGGAGCGCCGGCGCAGCATTGCGCGCACGCTCATGCAGGCCACCAACGGTGAGAAGGGATCGGGGGGCAAGGTCGCTCCTGTGACTCTCATCTCGCGCGACACGCCGGCGTCTACCTCCACCTCGGCCATGACGTCGAAGGTGGGACCGTCGCTCGTCGCACATGCATCTGTCGCCCGGGGACCTGTCATGCTCGACGCCGTCCCTATCCCGGGCTCGGTGCAGCTGAGTGCGCCTCCGAGGGCTTTCAGCCAGTCGAAGAGCGGTCTGGGGGACGCAACGCGCTCTACGGGTGCCCCTGCGTCTACAGCGCCCAGGACGGCTCCGACTTCATCCAGTGCTCCGACATCCGGCCCCGCTCCGGCAGCCATGTCAACGTCCCCGGCCGCAGCACCGGCTGCTACCCCGGCTGCACCGTCCACGCCAGCCGCGACGCCCCCGGCTTCGGGCTTCGGAGGGTTTGCAGGCATAAAACTGGAACTGTCGCCCTCGACCTTCTCGACATTGCCGTCAGAGCGCGCGCCTCGGAGCTCGCTACGGACGTCGAACAGCAAGACGTCGCATGGGAAGGCGGCCAAGCTCAGCACGACGCCCGTGGTTCCCGCCACGGGCAGCTCGGGCACGCTGTTTGGCGGCATCGTTCCGGCCAAAGCCAAGGATGAGGAGCACAAGGCGCCGACTGGATTCGTCAGGTGAGTTGAGATGGTTCAGGCATGGTTTTGTGCGTGCCATGGAGAGAGAGATCCGGAAGGGGCCGGAACAGGCTGGAGGATGGAGGAATGGGCCGGTGAATGGCCTCGGGACGTGGCGGTGGCGTCGGCCTGGCCTGGCCGGTGATGGGCGTGAATTGCATCGTGTTGCACCCTGCAATAGTGAGGAGGTGAAGCAGGTCCTGGCTGTCCTTTCTCCTTGAGAATCACGGCTCGTGCCGAGCTGAGACATGTTGAGAAGGGAGGGCGTGCGTGCCATATGGTGCGACATCATGTGGCCACCTGGCACTGCCACTCCTTCCAGCCGCCGTCGTCGTCCCACCTGCCATTCATCCCCTGTGTTATGGTGGAAGCTGGGTGGAGTTGTCGGTTCCGTAATATACCCCCCTTGTCGCCAGCGGTTGCTGCCGGGTCCCACAGACACTTTGAAACGGACACTGGAGAGAATACTGACGTTGCAGCTTCAGCAGCTTTGGCAAGTCGGGGTAGATAGGCTACATGAAGATGTAAGGATTGCGAGATGATTATACTGTAAAGCGAGGGGGAGATGTTACACAGCGAGGGCATCAGACTGGAGAGGGGTGACCGTTGAAGCTGTTCGTTCTGCAGAATACATGTAGTCATTATGAGCGGTAGCCCCCTTGTTCTCCTTGACCCTCTGTATCGCTGGGTCGGATTCCCCTCTTGATTACGATATGGGGAGGGGGGAAAGGTGACGAAGAATGCCCAGAATGCCCAGAATGCCTACTCATGGATGATACGCTTGCCCCTGGTACCATGTTTACGGCTGGCGTTGTTGGTTTGTTGCTTGTTGCTTGTTGCTTGCTGATGGCCACCTGCCTGGCGTCTCTTGTTTCTCCTCACATGAATTTCTTGGTGATATTTCCGCTTCCCCTTTTTCCTTTGACAGATTCCCCCCCTCACCCTGCACCCCGATGGTTCCAGGTATGGTATTCCGGAGGATCGCCGAGGGCCGCCACGCAGCGCCGCATGCCTCGTGAAGAGCAGCAAGAGCAGCGAGAGCAGCAAGAACAAGAACAGCAAGAAGGGAGACTATTCCGAGGTGAGTATTTACAGTCCTTCAGGCTGATCAGGGAGTATGCCTTGGCGCCACACAGTTTCAGGGTGGGTGATTCGCGAGGGCGCAAGGGGGATGCAAGGGGCAACACCTGGATGAGGTAAGAAGGAGGATGAAACGCGCCCCCTTGCCCCCCCCCCCCCCCCCTGCGCCCTTCTCCCCGACGCATGCCATTCCCCGCTGGCCGGGAGATGGAGAAAGATCTCATGAGCTCATGGACGTGGCAGGCAGCGCATCGAGTACCGAGAGAGTGACGTGGCCCTCTACATAACGATGGAAGACGCAGGATGCAGAGATTGAATGCAGAATGCAGCATGCAGAATGCAGAATGCACAGCCTACGGAGCTGCGACGGAACCCTAGAGTCTGCGACATGCCCTGCGCGCCTGAGCCTGCCTCCCTGAGGACGCCTCCTTTCTGTAAGGAGATAATAGCCTTCGGCCCTAATACTTGTTATTTCAATAATAATAAAGTGTGGAGGGGGAGAGCTGTGCATCCCTTTGATCCTTTGAACCCCCCAACTGGGCACTGCCTTGCTCGTCTCGTCTCGTCTCGTCTCCATCCTCTTCTTGTTCATCATCATCATCATCTCTTCATCCATCTCTTCATCGCCACGCAGCACAAGTTACACAGCTCTCTCGCACACAGCCCACTCCCCACTTGCCCCACGCACAACAACGGGCGCAGCCTCCTGTTTGACAGTCGACGATCCACGGAAACCACCAACGTGCACAGCCCACCCGCCTACCATGGTGAGTCGCCATGATGTGACCCAGTTTGCATGTCGCATCCGTGCTTGCCCTGCGTCTTGCGCAGCACTCGACGACGACAACTGTACAGTACGCATGAGCAACTGCGAGGTCGAGGCTTGTCGTCGCCCCTCTTTCCCCTGCGCATATGCCTCTCTCTCTTGTCCCACATTGTCCATTCCTCCCCCCTCCCCCTGCCCCCCCCCCCCCCCCCTGCTCGCTCCGACATTGTCGACATGGACAGGTTGGGCACTGGCGTCTGCGCAGCTCGCATCTCGCAGCTCTCAGCTCTCAGCTCTCAGCTCGCATCGCACGTTGAGACGCTTTCTCCTGTGCACCGATGGCTCCATCTGCTCCGCATCCACAACCACGGAGTCTGCGTCTTTGTCTCCACCACCATCTACATCCCACTGGCCCACTGGCTCGTCATCTTGTGCGATTGCTGACATTTGTTCCCCTCGCTGCGCCCCCCCCTCGGCCACGTCTCTTGCTCTTTGTCTCCTCCTATATCTCCATGACTCGTCGCCGCCGCCGTCGTCTCTCGCCATCATCACCAACATCACATACCCCTCCTCCTGGTGCCCACTCGACCCGCGCCGCCAACACACACCCACATCACACAGATCTAATGCTCTGCGTGCAGTCACCCATCTCCCCCATCACCACACTCTCACCCCTCTCGCCGCACTTTAGCGCGCGCTTCCGCCCCTCCACTCCCCGCTCCCCCCGCCCCTCACTCGCCACACTACCCATTCTCTCCACAACCGCCGCCGCCGCCGCCGCCGCCGCCCCCTCCTCACCGTCTTCGGTGCTCGGCAAGCGCCCACGGTCAAGACCGACCACACCACACCATCCCCCACGTCTTACCATCAATGGGCCCTCGCCCATCAAGCGTTCTCGATCTACTCAAGCCGAGCCAATCGACGTCGACCTCCCGACTGTCGGCGTCGACTCCAGCCGCGCCATTGCGTCCGAGTCGCTTGCTGCCCCCTCAACAACCCCTGCTCTCCACCTATCCAAAGCTAGACTCCGTGGGCGCGGTCTCCTCCGTCTCAACATACCTCTCACTGCCACCATGACCCACGCCTCTTCATCACCTTCCCCAGGAGGCAGCCACATGTTGTCCATCTCAACAACACCCAACGAGTCAACATTGACCCCCGGACTTGTTCAGTCAATGCAGGGCGTCCATCTCTCGCCGCGCAAGGAGTCGGCGTTCGCGACGACGACGACGACGACGACAACGACGACTCCCTTTCCGCCCGTGCTGAGCTTGAAACGCTCAAATCCAAAGGGGTTGTCTCTCTCCCTCGCCGCCTCATTCCACAACACGGCCAGCAGTGACTCGACCCCAACTCCCTCGGTTACATGCTCGACCGCCGTGTCGCCAAACCCTATGGGGGGAGGAGAAACACCAATGACGCCCGGCCCACCCCGCACCCCCGCGCTCAAGACGTCCTCGCTTGGTCGCGCAACCATGAAGACGGGCAGGAGGCCGAGCCTGCTCAGTCTCATCACCACCAATGCTCCGCCCCTCGCACTCAATGACCCAGCCGCCCTCGTACCCCCGACTCCCAGTATCGCATCCTACCCGTACGGCTCCTTGCGCAGCCGCGGGCACACTCGCATGCGGAGCGCTGGCGCTCAGCTCGCTGCGTACGCCCACCAGACGGAGATTGACCCTCGTGTCTCCCAGTCGGCTTACCCTGGGCCAAGGGGGTCCTTTGCCGTCATCGACGAAAGGAGTTGCTCGACAACCGCACATGCTGCGACTGCGGCCGCTGCTGCCGCTGCCGCTGCCGCTGCTGTCAGCACCAGTCCCAGCTCAAGCATGCCAGGCATGTCGCCTTCCACATCCAACTCGTCCAACTCGGCGACTGACTCGGCATCAAGTACGCCCTCAACATCGCCGCCTCTTCAGATCTCGAGCGAGGAGCGTGAGCTCACCTACCCCTCCCTGCTTGCTCTCGAGCCCTACTCGGACGGTCCCATCGAGATTATCCCTGGCGTGTGGCTGGGCGCCGAGGACTCGGTGTGGCACTGGGACTCTTGGGCCCGCGGCAAGTCTTCTGTGGCTATCGCCAATGTTGCCCAGGAGATTGAGAATCCCTTTGACCCAAACACATCGGTCGACACATGGGACTGGCCATCAAACGCCAGAGGCAAGCCCAAGATTGCTCTGTCTGCGCACGAGAACGAGGGACAGCCCCGTGTCGAGTACGCCCACCTGCGCTGGTCGCACGGCGAGGGCGGCCTCGCAGACCTGCCCGACTCTGCCACGCTCGACGAGCTCGTCAACTCGCCGACGTACACGGGCGCTGACCGCGACCAGAACTGGCGCTTCTGGGAGGCCATTCGCTGGCTTGAAATCCGCCGCCGTGCAGGCATGCCGGTGCTTATTCACTGCCAGTGCGGCGTCTCGCGCTCTGCGACCCTCATTGTGGCATACGTCATGACGCTCGCTGCGGCGGGCGTTGCGCCCCAGCGCATCGGGCATCTCAAGACCATGCAGGACGCATACGACTATGTCAAGGGCAAGTCGCCATGGATTGGGCCAAACGTTTCGTGAGTTTACCTCGAGGGTGGTGGGAATTCTTAAGCATTCACGCTGACGCCAGGCTCGTCTTCCAGCTCGTCGAGTACGCACGCAACCTCTCCACTCTCCTCTCCGCCCACGTGAACGGAGGCGGCAAGAAGTGGGCTACGCAGTGGCCCACGCTTGTCGACATTGAGAGCGAGGATGCTTGGGCGGCGCGCCGCCGCGAGTTCGGCGACGATAGCGAGGGCACCGATGCCGAGGCACGGGCACTCGATGAGGCCATGGTGGCCCGTCTGCACGCCAGGGAGTAAGACGGCAGACGATTCCATCCCCTCCAGCTGCACTCAAACGTGTTGCAGCTCCAGCGGTTGGGCACGACACGTGTTCTCGAGAGAGTACCTTGAGTGTCGACTGTCGTGGATTGCGGACTATGAGTGACAAGCCCATCGGCATGCCACTACTTCGCCGCTTTGCAAGGTCCACCTGCACCCCCACCTCAGCCCAGCTGCGCTCGCAAAAGTGGCGCCACACGCCGGCCGGTGACACCGCGTCGCCACCCCTCTCCACACTGCATACCACGACGCACGCCATGATAGCACACGACCCCACGCTCCGATCAGAAACGAGCCGGCAAACGGATTGTCTGTGTTGATCTAGATTGTTGTAGGACTAACATTGCACTACTGCGCATGACCATGACCACAGCGATGCTGGTGGCGGGGAGGATCGACAATGGCGGGCGGGGCGAGCTCGAGTTTACTAATGGATCATCAGATCAACGCTCATGTACAGCGATCGCACAAACATTGGAACGCAATCAACAAGACGACTGGGGGCTGCATTCAAAATGACTGCCATCGCAGCAGCTCTCCCTCGACCTGACATCCTCTTGATCCAACTACCACTCACATTCGCGCCACCACCACTATCCTCCTCGACTAGACTGACTCCCTCTCGTCACATATCATAGTACACCTCTCCCCGCAACTCCTTGGGGCCCATCAAACTCACGAAGATGCAGCCCCTCATATTCCTCCTCCTCGTGCCCGCCGTCCTCCTGCTGGGCACGGCAGCGCACCACCTCTTCCCGCCCTACAAGATCTCCCGCGAAGACCTCCAACGCGCCCTCCGTAAACTCCTGCGCCGCGACCTCCCCCGCACAGCCTTCGGCCTACCTCCCGCACCACCGCGCCTCTCCGTGCGCGCCACGACCTTTCTCGCCCTCTGCGCGGCCGCCGCCACCTCCCTCTCCTGCGGCGCAATCTTCCTCGCGCTCTTCCTCCCCTCTGCGCCCACCTCGCCCACCTTGCCCACGTCGCCCCGCCTCGCCCCACTCACCCCCACTCTCCCACAAGCCACGCTCCTCGCCGGCACGAGCACGCTCCTGCTCGTCGCGACCGCCCTCGCCGCCGCCGGCGTCTACCTCCGCCTCCGCGCGGGGCGGACGGCCGTCCGCGCCCTCCTGGGCGCCCATGGCCGCCACCTGACACACACCGCCGTGGTCCGCACCACCCTCGCCGCCGCGCTCCTCTCGTCCGCGCTGGTGGGCGCGTGCGCCGGCGTGCCGCAGCACGCAGCCTACATCCTCCTCGGAGCCGGTGGCGTTGTGTGCGTCGTCGCCATCGGCGTCGGCATCGCGGCGTGGCGCGGCCGCCGCCCAGATCTCGGCGCCAAGTTCGAAGCCGCCGCGTCGTATGGTGAGCCCCCTCCCCTCCCATCCCACTAACCCCAGCCGCGGCGGTCAGCTACGCGCGCAAGTCCCGCGACCTCTTGCGCTCAGATACGTCGCATCCGTCCAACACGTGGGCGAACTCGTCCCACCTCCCGTCGAGCGACTCGCACGAGTCCGACCTCTTGGAGAGCTACTCGCGCATCCTCCCGCCGCGCGAGCTCCGCGCCGCGTCTGCCCCCCGCGCGGCGCCTAGCACGCCCGCGCGCGCATGGAAGCCGCCCGTCGGCTCGCCGAGCTCGTGGGTCACCGAGCGCGAGATGGCGACGCTGCCCGAATGGGACTTCCGCAACTCTCTCGGCCACTGCCGCTCCAGCAGCTCGTTTACGACACGCACGCTCGCGGCACTGGGCCTCGACAAACGTAGCGGGAGCGGCGAGACGAACACGTTCCACACGGCGGCCACACACGCGTCAGGCCCATCGGCCACACACCCGAGTCCGAGCCCGGCCCGCCGATCCTCCGCGCCGGCGGAGTGCAGCGAGCGCAGCCAGCGCCCGGACGGCTGGGTCGTCGGCATCCTCAAGCCGGACCCGAACGAGCCCCTGCCCCCGCGCAACTTCCCGAGCATTACGCGCTTGTCCGTCCCCCGCTCGGCGGGCGCCAGCGACGGCGTCGCGAGCGGTGTAGCCGCCCTCGGGGGCGCGCACACTCTCACGCTCGTCGACAATGGCATCCACGTCGCCGTCCATGATATGACGAGCACGACCGCCCCGTCCAACAACGCCGAGCGCTCGCAGCACTCATTCCACACTCCTACAACCCCGGCGACGGTAGTCCCACCCTCCCCTGGCTCGCCGTGGTGGCCGATCGAGCTCAGCGACACCGAGTCCGAGTGGGTGACGATTGACGCCCCGCCTGTGTCGGAGAGCTGGCGCCGCGTCGACAGCGTGTGCGGAGTCCTCGGCGTCCTCGGGCTCGTGCTTTGCTTCGTAAGCCTCACACACAACCATACTGACACCAGGGACTCACGGCCCCGCTCCTCGCGCTCGGCATGCACACCGCCACGCTCACGGCCTTCGCCGTCGCCCTCGCGCTCCCGGCGCCCGCGCTCGCCGCCGCCTCCTTCTTCACCCGCCACACCCCGGCAGCCACGCCCGTGCGCCTCCCCTCCGCCGCCGGCGTCGCGTCAACTGCCGTCCCCATGGACTTTGACCGCGACAGCGCATACCGTACAGTCGACTTCACACGGATTGACTTTGGCATGCCGCGCTGGAGTGTCCCCCACTCTGGGGTGTATGGCTCGTCGCGCCCTGTGCGCAGCGAGACGCGCGACATGCACCCGGTACCGACGCCTGCTTCTGCGCCGACTGTGCTTGCCGACCCCGTCGCCGCTCCCCCTCCCGCGGCGACCCCAACCGCGCGGACGCACAACGTCCGCCGCCGCGAACTGCTCAAGCCGCAGCCGCAGCTCGCGGCCGCGCTCCCAAAAATACGCAGCAAACTGGCCCGCCTGCGCGGCGGCATCATAAGCATATGCGTGGACGCGCACACGCGCGACGACAGCATGAGCGGCGACGAAGCCGCGTTCGTGAGCATGGAGAAGGCGGAGATCCGCTCCGCCGTGCGCCTCACCGCGCGCTGCCCGAGCTTCGTGGACCTCTCGGGCCCCGAGCGCTTCATCTTTAGAGACAGCTTGCAGGCGGCCGTGGTTGAGCGGCTTACGCGGCGCCGCACGCTCGACGCGGACGCCGACGCCGACGTGGACGCAAGCTACCGCGTCGACTCGTACTGCGACTCGAGCGCGTCGCCTGCGCGCCGCGAGCGGCGGGGCGAGATCATCCGCGTCCTCCGCCCCGAGCTCGGCATCGTACCTGACACCGAAGGCGTCCCCCGCGTGTCCTCGTCCTCGTTCAACCCCGCCCGCGCGTCCACGCCGCTCGGCTATCGGCCGAAGGGGAGCACGGCGAGCCACATCGAGCTCGACCTCAGCGTTGACTGGGCTGAGATGGGGCTCCCGCCCCACCCGCCGCTGCCGGACCGCTACTGCGGGCCCGCATACGCCGCGCACTCCATCAGCCATGCGCCGAGCACGCGGCTCGACGGGGAGGCGATGGCGCGCGCGTCGCACGAAGCCGACACCTCGATCGCGCGCAGCGCCGGATGGATCCACGCCCTCGTGGACGGCTGGACGCCGCGCCAGTCCACCAAGTCGGTCGTGTCCCGCAAATCCACCTTGCCCTCTATTGACGAACTCCCCCGGCCCAAGTCATGGAGCCACTCGTCCGCCAGCGTGTCGTGGGCCGCCGTGCCCCCCCGGCCGCTCAGCTACCTCCTCGCGCTGCCGTACGGCGCGCTCCCGCCCCCGCCCCCGCCACTCCCCGCGGCGCTTATGCGCCCCGTCTCCTCTACGGGCTTTCCGTGCGCGCACGGCTACAACCTGCACAAACCCGCACCGCAGCGCGCCGAGATCTCGCGCCCAGAACACAGCACACACACGTTCGCGGTCCGCTCGACGCCGCAGCGCGCCGAAGTCGCCAAGGCCATCGGGGCCGTCGCGAGCGTCGGCCGCGCCGAGTCGTGCACGCCCGACACGAGCGCGCAGTCGCATGCGAGCGGCCTCCGCGCCCTCGCACTCGTCGAAAAGGCCAAGCACCGCCGCTACTTGCGGGACGCGGGCGAATCGAGCGGCGACAGCCGCGACAGTCGAGCCCGCCTCTCCGTGCGCTCGGACAGCAGCTGCGAGACGGTCACGATGGGCTCGGGGCTGGACGCGGGGCTGGACTCCGGCTTGGACTCCGGCTTGGACTCGGGGATGGCGGAGGCCACAGACCCCACTGGAAGCAGCCGCTTCGCCGACGCGTCCGGCTGGACCGAGGGCAGCTCGCGCTTCGCGGACGCCGACGAGAGACTGTACGAGAGCCCCGCGAAGCCCGCGATGCCCGCGACAGCCACATTCGGGCGGCACCTTATCCCCAAGCCCGCTCGGCGCACAGTGGACCACCCCACCGCGCCCAACACGCTCTTCGTCCCCGAGCCCACGGCGCACCCGCCCCTCCCTTCGGGCGCGACGTACTCGCCCCTCCGCGCCGGCGCAGCGTACGAAGCAACGCTCGCCAGCTTGCGCGAGTACTCGTTCCCAACATCGCAAGACGCGTCGCACGAGGCCGACAAGCCGGTGGGCCGCGCGCTGCGGCGCGCGCGCGGCAGCGCGACCGTCGTGTTCGAGACGAGCATGTCCTCGCGCAGCAAGCTTTCCGCGTCGTCGGGATGCTCCGCGCTCGCCCAGGGCAAGGCCGACGCCGTGCTGGGCGACCGCACGAACTCGGAGACGAGCAGGTGCGATACAAGCAAAACGAGCACGACCTCGGCCAGGTCTCGCCCGCTCGATAAGGAGAACGGTCCGCCCGCGCACTGGGGTGTTCGCGTGGGGCGCGGGCGGCGCGCCCGCGCGAGCCAGGGAACGCAGGGGCAGGTGCGCTCCGCGCTGGCGATGGTGCCTCGGGTGTAGGGTGTAGGACGCTGTAGATCTATAACGACATGTCAACGGTGTGAATGCTGCAGCGCGGGGCTTGGCACTGCGTGGCGACGTCACATGCTCCACGCGCCGTCTGTAGATCTCTGCCGCTTGTGAATGTAGATGCTGCGGGGTGATCATCATGAATCGACGATCCCCCGCCAAATAAGCATACCAACGCCCCGTGCCTGGGCGGAACCAAATGCCAAGCAATCTCGTCAGCCAATTTTCCGGGTCTCCCTCTCGTTGAGGCCACTTCCAAGTGCTTGAGCAAAGCGATAAAAGATTGGCTGGAGCAACTGAATGCCCTGTTGACGAGAGTGGGATTCGAACCCACGTCCGAAGACTGCGGATGCTCGTAGAGAACACCTTAACACAGCGCCTTAGACCGCTCGGCCATCTCGCCGATGATGATGATGGCGAGGAGGGGGTGCGCCGTTGTTGTCCTTAGCTTGTTCAGCGGCTCTGCGCATGCTCATCGGCGCTCTCCCGGAAAACTGGAGGCTGGCGCGGCTCGTCGTCTAACGCAGTTAGTTCAATCAGCTCCGCAGGTGCCGCGACATACGTGGCCCCGACCCCCGGCCGGCCCCACATCCCGCTGCACGCTTTCATTCTGCTATCACAACCTTACTCCGGGCGCTTGGGCAGCCCAGCATTCTCGCGGACCTGCGCGGCAATGTGGTCATAGTGCGGGAACTTGAGCTCGAGGTAGTTGAGCTTGGTGCTGATCTCGTCCGTGCCGGCACCCTGCTTCTTCTTGTTCTCGATGTACGAGTTGTAGATTGCCTTGACGTAGCTGATGTCAGCGATGCGGAACAATGCGCCGAATGACGAACGGCGCTGCGGAGAAGATCGACAGCGGTCGTGGGCGGCTCACTTCGGGTCCTCGACCGCGGTGGGAGAGTTGAGTGCCTCTTCGGCCGCGCGCTCGTTCGGGATCTCGACGTGGCCGGGAACAGCGCGCCCGTCAGTGCCGTCGTGGTGGTCGCCGTGGTGGGTCATAGTGGATTAGGACAGTGAGGAGGGGGCGAGGAGATGTGAGGTGAGCATGTTCTTTATACCGGCGGGAGGCCATGACGCATGCATCACGGCACTTGCAGCAAGCGAGTCACTGGAGGCACTGGGACGTTGCGCGGTACATGATGTTCTCACGCTCGTATGTCCGCGACTGACGTCAGGTCCCGGTCCCGCCTCGCTCGAATGTTCATAATGACTTTCCGCACCGGAGAGAGTCCGCGTGTCGGATATCCAGCGACGAGAAGTTGCAGCAGAGGCGGTATCCGTCCTAGATCGATATCGTAACGAGTCGAGGGAGACGCAAAAGGCGGCGCGACTGCGTGACTGATCCGAGTCGGAGCGCTGGATATGCGGAGACGGCTTATCAGTGTCGCCCTCAGGTTGCACACCTTCGGGACGACCTTTCAGTGTGAGCTCGCCTCGCGTAAACCTCCAGACGTAGTATCACGCGGCTCACGCGGCATTGGTGTATAGCCCCAGCTCACCCATGCCCTGCGATCCGGCGAAGGGGATTAGTCTGCAATGGAGAGGGGGGAATGCAAGACACAGCTGTGAGGCCGCTGCCTCGTCACGTGACTGGGCCCCACAGCGGCAAACTCGGCATCACAGTGCGTCAGCGTCGTCCTCTATCGACGTGGAACCTGCATTCTTCATAATTCTGCCACCTCATCAACTCAGGAAGCGAGAGGAAGCGAAGACGCCGCGCAATCGTGGCGAGTTAGATATTAGCGCCGTACACAGTTCAAGCGCAGGCTTCGCACCTCCGACCCCCCATCAACCTTCCATCGCACTTCAGGCTGCCCGTCAATTCGGCCGCCCTTGAACCAAACAATCCAAGCCGCCGACATGCCGAAACACAGCAAAGTGCCACTCAGCGCAGTGCGCACCCTAACACTCCGGCAGGGTGCCAAAACCACGGCGCGGCGCACCAAGGCTGTCCGTACGTATATCCTCCGGTCACACTAACACCCAGCTCAGCTGACCTGCAATGGCAAGTACTGCCAATACGCCCCACGCGTGGTCCAGTGCCGGCAGGAGGGGCATGACGGTGTGTCGCCGCAGTGGGCTTGCACCGCAGACCTCCCGTCCTCTCTTTCTTTCGGACAGCTCGAGGTCGTCTGCGAGGGATGGGCCAAGCCCGGCGATTCCGATATCCTCGCTGGGTCTTGTGCGCTCGAGTACGAACTCGTGCCTTCCATTGAGGCGCGCGGTGTGCCAGCTGCAGGTAGGCTGGATCGACGCCAACGGTGTCTAACGGCAGGATCAAAGGACATATGGGACAATCTGATCTGGTGGGCTTTCGTCGCCAGCGCGGTCTATGTCCTGTACAAGATCTTTTGGCCCCGCCGCGCGTTTGGAGGAGACGGACGGCGGCTCGGTGGCCATGGAGGAGCAGGGGGTGGTGGTGGAGGAGGAGGAGGAGGAGGCCCGGGCGGAGGAGGGGGGCCTGGCGGCGGAGGAGACGGGAGGTGGTGGTGGACGAATCCAGGCGGCGACGCACCTCCTCCGTACAAGCGCTTCCCCGACTCTACCGCCTCCTCCTCCGGCACGGGGTCTGGTCCTGGCTTCTGGACTGGCCTCGCCGCCGGCGCGGCCGCGACCGCGGCGTACAATCGCGCAACGCGTCCAGCACCGCAGGTGCCCCTGAACGCCCAAGCTGGACCGTCGCAGCCAGGCCGCCGCGGGTGGCTCGGCGGCATGGGAGGTGGCGGGGCACAAGACGCCTTCGACATCTCTCGCGCCCCGCGTGGACTGCGTGACGATGAGCCGGGTGGTGGAGAGATGCGGAGCGCCTCCGGATTCGGAGGCACGAGGACGCGCTAGCTCGATATGATGCCTGTGTATACTACAGTAAAGATGTAGGCGTGGTGCCTCCTGTCCTACATGCGCCTGTCCCATGATGGTGGCCATAGTGGTCCGCCGCGCATCTAGGGTGGCCCAGTGGCGGGTGGCGCCGTTTCCTGATCCTCCAGTATTCCGGTTGACGTTGTGGCGGCGGCGGCCGCCGCCGCCGGCGGACGGTTGGCATCCGAGCTGTGCGCCACATGTCCAACGCTGTGTGCGCGACTGAGAATGATGGGAGATGGTGGGCCAGGCCGCTTGGGAATGCTCGGAGGGATACGAAAGCTGGGTCCCGCCGAGGCTGGTGGCCTGGGAGGGAGAGTAGGAGGAGGGCTGGCCTTCAGAGGGATCGTGGGGAGGGGGGAGGGGCAGTCGTCTGGCGGTGGCGTGGCTGCTCGCCCGGAGGGCATGTATTCCTCCTCGAGATCAGTGGGATATGGCGGTGGATCGAGTGTGTCAGTGGGCGCCGGCATGAAGGTGGGGGAGACGGGCGAGATGAGCCAAGGAGGTGGATTGCTCGGAGGTGGCTCGCTCAACGACGGGCAGCGAACGGATTTAATAATGGGAGTTGGGGAGGCGGGAGGCGTGGCTGGTGTCATTGATGGAGGGGCGTTGGCGGGTAAGACTCGTCCGTCAGTGCATCAGTGGAGCTGTTAAGAGATCCCGGCGACCGCGTACACCGGAGGCGAGCTGTCACGCGATGCTGTCTGTAATGGCCGGGGCTCGTTCCAGATGTGGGAACGGCGGCGTGGGAGTTGCAGAGTGAATTGGCTGTTAAACTGGAGTATCGAAGGCATTCCTCCTTGCAACGCATGTCTCTGACGCCGCCCTAACACGCGACTGCGTTCCCTGCTCTCTTCTGTGATGATTGGCTCAGGACCCAGAAGGCGCTCAGCTTCCGAGCGCGCTCGCCCTGTGGCTTACGGCCCCATGTTTACCGACCTGTCCATGTGGACACTGCTGACTGTGGTGGCTGTAATGTTCTGAAGGTAGGCGCAGATCCGCCCGCACGTCATTTAAGAGACGAGGCGCGTAGCTTACTCCCCCACTTTCGAATCATCGTGCCAACGCAATAGATTTGGATGAAAGCGCTGCCAAGAAATGAGGACGCTGCGCGCGAACGCGGTTGGAAATGCCTTCGCGAAATGCGTGCTTGATTGAGCACACCAACAGAGCACTCTGGCGTTCCGCACGAATCCGCATAGCGTACATCCGACGCACGTTTTTCCAACAAGCGTACATTGTTCTGTGAGAATACGCTACTGCAGCCCACTCTCCCTGAGGGAGGTCGCAGCGCGGGCCGTGGCGGCCCGTTGCACCCTGTACATCGCCCGGGTGTTCTTTGCGAGAACTTGGGAAATCGATTCGTCCACAGATACGCCGGTCGCACGCGACGCGAGCTTTAGCGTTCCTAGTGGCGGAGTTCGTGAGGGGGCATAGGCCGGGGTGGGAGGGCTTGGCGGCTGGGCAGGCTGCCCCAGCTCTGGCGTGAGCTGGGCATGTGGCGCTCTCGGTGTTCGGGGGACGGAGGCGGGGGAGCGGGGCGGGCTAGACTGCGACGTACCCGCGGGCAGAGGTGAGAGACTTCGGTGTTCCTGGGAGCGGAGGGCATCGAAAAGAGAAGGTGGGAACATTGACGCGAATTGGACGGAGGCGGAAGGCATGCCATTCAGGCCTTGATGTGGGCAGGAGGGGCGCACCGGTGGTGTGAGGCAATCGCTTCTTGGCAGCGCACGGGCAAAAGAGGGCGAGATAGGTTGGCCAAGGTAGCTGGGGAAAGAGTACGAGGTACCCGCTGCACCGTACTTGGGCGTTGAAGCTGCAGGGGTGGGCGGCGGCGTTGCCGTGGCCATTGTGAGCATGAGAGGATCAGTGGCGATGAGTGTACGATATGAGTTTACACGGTGGCAAGGTGAGGTACAAGTACTCGCCGGCAGCTGATCCAGTCCAGTAGTCACGCGCCGCAAGTTTTTCGGATGGTATGTGGAAACACGGAAGGCGACGTGATCGATGGAAATGGAAGCCCAGAGATGAGGGATGGTCAGAGTTCCGCGAAATATACTCCGCATGCCGTGACGTCAGATCCTGTGTCGCATGTCGCATGACCACACAAACATTGTGATATGTGGCTCAATGATGGCGTACGGAAGAGCTTTCCGTGTTATGCATCGAGCGCGCGAAGGGCGTGCGGCGCGCGTTCCTCCAGGACGAGGCGGCACCACGTCGGGACTGCATGCGGAAGTGGTGGGGAGGGACGGAAGCGATCGGTGTTGTAGCCCTCGTTCGTCTTGTCCGCCATAATGTTGCGCACCGCCAGCAGTGTGTAGGATATGGCGGGGGGTGAATTAGCGTCAAGGAGCGCATTTAGGACGGGGACTCCGTATGCCTCCAGCGCGACCAAGGTGCGTGCCGTCTCCGCGTCCACATATACATGCGTGGGAGACAGTGTGAGGATAGTTATGGCGAGTTTGAGGGCGTGCGCTGGGAAGGGGAGGAAGACGCCGCAGGCTGTGCGAGAGCCGGCCGGAAGATCCCAAGTCGCCACTAAGGCGCCTGGAGCCCAGAGCGTCTGGCCGTCTGCTGAGAGGAGAGCCGCGCTGGGATCGGGGAGCTCGATAGCCATGTGGTCGTGAGCAGCGCGATTGAGTGACGATGGAGAAGGGAGCTAGGGAATAGGTGGTGAGTGAGACAACATGGCTTTAAGGCGATACGTCCTCACACTCTCGCAAGGTAACGAGAGACGAACCTTACGTGGAGAAGCGGGGGTAGAGAAGCACGGCGAAACCCTCTACACAGCCATCGCCGATGTCCGTGCGTCGGGTCGTGCCACTCCCCGGAGCCTCAGTACTAGTACATACACGATGGCACAAGTCTCCCAGGTCGCGTCGGACAATGCTACAAGCTCTAGTCGTCGAACAGCGTCTCGAACTGGGCGTCAGCGCCTCTTGACCATCATTCCTCACCACTCGACCGCTCGGCACCTGTGTAGGACCCAACTCGTCGTCACTCAACACAGTCTCATCGCCAAAGAATGTGGGGTCAGGTTGGAAGTTGGAGTTGGAGTCGCGGCCGCCACTCGAGTTGCGCCTGTTAGACGGGCGATTGTTCTCATGGGGGGTGAGCTCGCGAGAGCCCGGGCGGCTACCGCCGTAGTCGATGACGCTGCGCTTCTCCGGGAGCGCCATACCGACATTGATTTCACGACTTGGATCGTGCTGAAGCCCCTGGGCATTATCGGGGCCGCTTGGCTTGAGTGGCGGCTTGAGCCCCCTCCCCACGCCGCTCGGCTCGGTGCGGCTCAGTTCGCGAGAAAGCTTAGACCCCGCGCTAAGTTCGTGCGAAGCCGTCCGCGTAATCGACTCAGTGTCCAGCGAAGTTCCGCCTCGGCTCGGCTCGACTGGGCGTATGCTCTCTGAGCCTGACCCGCCGTGCAATAAGCTAAACTGGCGTTGTGATATGCTCGAAGAGTTGCCCGAGGCCTGCTGTTGCGCCGCCGCAATGTCGTCTTTCTGAGTCGACATTCGCTGTGTCGGGATGTTGTTGAAGTCGGCCTCGATGTCTTCCCAGCCGCTCGGAATGTCCCCGCCCCGGGGCACCTCGGGATGCTCACCCATGTCGCCCATGTCGTCCATGTCGTCATTATCATCGTCCAGCATCGCTTCAAGGTCAAGGTCACCCAGGCCCGCCAAGTCAAGTACCTCTTGCTGCGTCAAGCGCTGGGACATGGACGGCAAGCTGGCCTGCGATGGGCCGGGCTGAAACAGTGGCTCTGGTCGATCCGGGCCACCACTCTGCGATGCCGAGAACATGCCACCTCCGACGACGGTGACCATCGGGGGCGGCCGTTCCGGTTCCAATGTCATGGTCAGGCTCGCGCGTGGTCGAGCCGAGGTGCGGCGTGAAGCCGTGTTGGGCTTAGGCCCTCGATCACTGGCTACCGACTCGCTCCGCTCACTCTTCACTGCAGTGCTCTGGCTCCGCCTAGAGGCCAGGTCGTTGGCCGGTGCACGCTCGCGCAGGGTGCCATTGGCGGGCACTGGTGCGCCACTGAATGCGTCAGTCTGAGTGGTGGCGAGAGCGCAGAAGATCTTGAACAGCGTCGTCTCATTGCCGAAGCGATCATTGCCGAGGAAAGTCGAGGTCATGGCCATAGGCTGAGATGCCTCGGAAAACCAGAAGTCAAGATCCATGCCGAGCGATTCCGCGAGCTGCAGGGTACCCTGAGGTCAACGAGTGCACTGTATTGCAACGAAGCGACTCACCTTGAACTCGCGCATGGGCAGCGACAACTCCACGACGTCTTGTTCAAGCATGTACTGACCGAAGTCGCGGACATCAAGCGTGACTTCCGTTGCGAGCATACTTGTAGTGGCTGTTTCATAGTTTTTGATCTTAACGTGGCCCTGGGTGAACTGCCATGCCAGATGCGAGTCACCGCGCACCAGGCCGTTGCTGGATGTGCTCGACGTGAATGCGATTGAGAAATGGTCGAGCCAGTCGCGCAAGGTACGCGCTGACACGAGAAAGCCGGAAGGCTGTGACTCAGTGTCAACAACAACACGCAGACCTTCACTGGGATGAAGGTGAAGGATGTGCTTCTTTGTAATACCTGATGTCAGCTGCAACTTCTTCCGGGAGGGCTTGCCATGGTGGTATACAAGCTTGAGCTCGAGATGTGCGGTTCGCGACGCGACACGAATGTCGTCGTCTGAGTCCTCATCGCTGTGATCTGTCCGCGCTCGCAGCCCGCCCTCGGGGTCAAATATTTTGAGGTCGACGCGCTCCACAGTGTTCACGGACGATGCCTTGCCCAGGACGTTGAGAACAGACAGTGGTCAGAAAATGAGGACGTGTTATGGACATATGACCTACCTTGGCGTACAGCTGGCACTTGACGCCGCGCCGCTGCTCGGCCGCGCTGCCTGAACCCTTGTACCGCGAGAAGAAGGCCGGTTCAAGCGCAAAGCACACGTAAGCAGACTTGGTCGAGTTGGTTACGATGAGGTCGCACTTGCATTAGATGAGCACATGAAGCACGAAACTCACAGACTCGCTTGTTGCGCTCATACACAAGTCATCGCCGTACTTGGCTGCACACTGAACCAAACGGGTGAAGTCTGGCGTCAGCTGTCGCATGTTGACAAGTAAACGAGAAGCGGAGAGGGACGCACACTTGATATTAGGCTCGCGAATGGAGGCCTCCATGGTGGCCTGTCCTGCAAGCTCAAGACGAAGACCGGGGAGTGTGGTGGTCGACGATGATGCTAGATGTGCTGAAGATTCCAGACTGCCGACGTTTATGGAGGTGACGTGTTGACAGCTGGACCAACCTCCACCTCCACCTGTCCACCTCCACCGGGTGCGACCTGCCCCACTTTGTTATTGTGATTCCTGAGGTCGCCAAGAGCAACATGTGGCGTCGGGCGCGATCCGCAGTGGCTTTCACGGGACCCTATCGGGACCCCAGTACATGTTCTGCAGTCAGATAATAAGACCAGAGTTCAATTCTCCATCCTCGGCACACGGGCCCCTGCAGTAACTGACACTGTCAAACAGTGGTCAATAAATGGGGCCTTGACGTTGCGTTGACACACGTCGAAGGGAACCTTTTACACGAGGAGAAGGGGTCAAGGGAGTATCTCGACGCTTGTTTGACTTCGGAAAGGGGTCATGCGGGACCCATGTGTAGACACAGTAGGTAGGTTTGTGCTCTACCTCTTCGCGGAAGAGGAAGCATCCCCTAGTTTCCCCAGCTTTTTCCTCTGCTTCGCTCTGCAGGCATTGCCACGAGCACGCGCATTTATCACGAGTTGGGACGTGATTACACAGAAAATTATAGGAAGATACAGCGCCCAGCGCCGCATGGTCTATACCTCGGCCATCACCGTCGCGAAAATAACAAGCGCTGCCGTGCACAGCGACACCTATGCCCGATTATTCGGGCGGAGACATCGAGGAGCAATGAGCGAAGGCTGAATGGTTGTGGGACTTTGGGACTGATTACTCAACATATACAGGCCGTATCTTTGGTGAGAGCTGCCACCTTCAAACAAGGTACGTTGTTACCACCTTTCTGTCTTGATGCTTGAGGGAAATATGAGCTGTCGTGCTACTTAATCTGCGACAGGCTGTGCTACCATCTCCAAATACTGCAGTATTATTATTGGATAACAAGCGGCGAGAGGAGAGAATACTGACATCCTATTTGCGCGGCCATTGACCCCGACCTATAGAGCTGAAGTAGTGTAGCATCTCACTACTGATGCATATATCGCTGGGGCTCGAGCGGCGTCGAGCCCGGAAAGTGGGAAAATATCCAGAGGGAGGCGCTTCCAGCCTGACCTTTAGACTAGCCTCGCCTTTCTGTATACGCTTGCTTGGAACTAGGCCTACAAGAACCGCGAACCTGCTGGACAGTACTGTTGAAGGTCCCACAGTGACTCGGCCGCTGAGGCCGCCATGCATGGGGATTCTGCGGCCGCTTTTCACGCATGCGTCAACCAGGCGTCGTTTTGCAGTTCGCTGGGCAAAGTAAATGAGTTATGCATCCCCGACAACGGCCCAACTACTAACACCGTTGCTGATGCATCTGCGCCCTCGCCTGCGCGGCCATACTCGACGCCCTCCGCCCTTCTACATAGCGGGGCCAGACATCATCATGCCACCGCGCGTGGCTTCTTGCTCTTCTTCTTCCGCTTAATCACCTTCACCTCGACCTCGTCGGCGGGCACATCCGCCCCCGGGGCCGCGCCCTGTGGCGGAGACGGGGCTGGCTCTCGCGGCGGCAGGCCATCGCCCTCTGTGTACTCCTCGTACCGCCCGTGCGGCGTCACGGGCGCGGAGAGGTCGATGGCCGCGAGGCCCGACTTGGCAGCAGTCGCTTGTGCGGTGGGGACGGGCGCTGCGCCCTCAGGCATCTCGCCGGCTCGGTCAAAGTCTATTGGTGGCGCGGCAGTCTTGGGCGTGCGCTTGAGCCTAGTCTTCTTTGGTGCTGCTGTCAGGTTGGTCGAGCGTATACGCACGACTTGATGGCCCAGCCGCTTTCAAGTCATCGTCAAGGCGCACGATGGGGATGTCGTCCACATCGTCATCTGCGTCTGCGTCCTTCTCGTCATACAAGTAATAGGGGTCGTTCTTAGCGCGCTCCCGCCGTGCCGCCTTGCGCTGGTCTTCAGCTAAATAGCGTTACTTGTTACTCACCTTCCGTCGTTCCGCCCGCTCCTCGGGCGTCATATCGCTCTTCTTCTTCTTGCCGCGCCGAGCGCGCTCCTGATCACGCAGTACGCGACGAAGCTCGTCCATGCCGGCGCCACCACCCGTGCCGAGGTCAACCTCACGCTCTGCCTCCTCTTCCTCGGAAGCAGCGTCTTCTTCAATTTCGAGGAAACCACCCCGTGGCACAATTTCAGCTTCGAGGTCGAGGCCCTCGGGGATGCGCACGGCCTCCTGCGCGCGATAGCCGACCGAGTTCAGCTCGTGCCCTGTAAAAAGAGGCTGGAAGAGGAAGAGCGATTTGGGATATGGCGGTTCCCCTTCCTTCGACTCGTTCTCGAAGCCACCGTCCACGCCAGGGATGCCGGACGACGCCCGCGACGGTGGCACGTGCTTAGCCAAATCCGCATCAACAAACGCTAAAAGTTGAGTAAGCTCGAATGCGCGTTCCTGGATATCGATATCGGAAGAGGAGAGGAATGGGGCAAGCCCCTTGCGAACACTCGCAACCACATTCTTGGCCTCGGCGTGCTTCTCCTTAGACCATTCCTCAGATGCTCGCGCGGCGTAGTGCGCGAACACTTTGGCTTCGGCATGGACGGAGAGCACAGCTAGGGAGGGAGCGCTCCGGGGTAGTGATGGTGGAAGAATGTTGGACATGGCGCTTAGCGAGGATCCAAGCTCGCTGGCGTACTCGCCACAGATCCAGACAGCCGCTTCCAGCAGGCCGGCTTCGCAGCCAGATGGGCTCTCATTGGCGCGGTCACGGAGGTCATCGTCGCCCACTGCCTTCTCCAGCACTCGTACCGCGTACCCACGCACGCTCTTGACGCGGCCCACGACATCGAGAAGCATGTCTCGAATTCGTGACCCGAGGTCGACGCGCGAAACGTACGCAACGTCGACAAGTACCGAGACGACCCACTCAAAGTCGGTAACGTTTGCGTACGTGTCACGCGAGATAATGTCGAGCAGTCGCTGTGTTAACAGCAGTCGGTAGCTGTGCGAGAAGGAGATATTCTGCGCAGTCACCGCGGGGTCACTTTTGGCACCGTTCGCCTTCGCCGCCACGGCAGCGAGAGCGCTGACGGCCGACTGCTGTACTGGCTCTTCTGGTGGTGCGAGGTGCGTGAGGAGCTGGTCGACAATAGGTTGGATGTTCTCGCGATCCACCTGGGGTCAGCTATGATCTACGGAGCGAAAAGCTCACCATTGCGGTGATCAGCTCGAGCGCTCGCATGCGAATTGACAAGTCGGCGTCGTCGAGACTTTGCATGATCTCGTCTTGGTACTCGGCGACCATGTTAGGATGTGTGGGTGTAATGTTGACCATTGCCAGAAGCGCAATGTAGCGGACTGTGAAGGTGAGCTGCGACCTTTCCAGCGGGCTTCACAAGACTCACGATTTTGGTCGCCGCCCTCATCGCGTAGATAGCCGCCCAGCTTGTCGACGCAAACGCGGGCAAGCGCGTCGCCTTCTGGTCTATCGGGATCGAGCATGCCACCCACAATACATGTGCGCACGCACTCGTAAAGCAGCGAAATGGCGGAGGTGGAGGAGATGAGGCTGGTGAGTGGTGGAAGAAGCTTGCGCACAAGGCGGGGCTCGAGGGGTGTGAGAATAGCAAACTGGCATCAGCATGCTCACGCACCCTGCGAGCAAACTCACAAGCTTGACGACCTTGATGAGCATCCAGTTGTTGCTCGAGCTGGTGAGGATCGAGAATAACTCGGGCGCGAGGGGGACGTAGTTCTTCCCGCCCTGCCGTCGCGCGAGCTCCATGACGACGTTTACGGTGGCGCCAACGACGCCCTGATCTTCGTCGAGAAGGCGCTCGCGGACACGGGGAAAGCCCTCGCGCAGCCCGTCGGGGTATGCCTCCCAACAAGGAAGGAGGCAGAGGACGGCGCGCTTGCGGATACGCGCGCTCGAGTGTGTGAGTAGCTGCAGCAGGTCGGGGTGGAGTGTGTGTGCGAGCGAGGGAGAGAGGCCGAGGAGGTGCGCGAGTGAGCTGAGCGGAAGCGGCGGGATGGGAAGGTGCGGGCTCATCAGGTCCTTCTTGATCCCATTCACGGTGAGGACGACTTCCTCGGTCTCGCCCGTGAATGCCATCGGCGCAGCCATGTAGCCGAGTTCTGGTGTCAACGCCGGGGACGCGGCCCAATCGACATCGGAAGAAGCGGGACGTACGCTTTTGATGATACCGCGGCGAGCTCATGACCTCGACGACATGGAATGCGAATCCGGTTGGCGGCGGTGTGGGGTAGAGCATCATGAGCTGCCGTTAGCGGGCTTTGTCTTCTCCAGCTGCTGTCTGAGTACCAGAGGGCTTGAATCTGGGGACCCTCTCGCTGGGACTCACATAGCACATCTTCAAAACGGCCTCGGCCTTGAGACTCATGTCCTTGCCGCGAAGCTCGGTGCGGATCTCAGCCATGGCCTCGGCGAGAAAGGCCTCCTCCTGCGCGCGCGACGACGCCTTGTGCGCGCGCAGGCCACGAATAAGGTCCTGCAGCGTGCGCTCAAACATGGCGAGCGTACGACGTGGGTGGGAGTTGAGACCGGGAGATGAGAGTAAATGTTGTGAAATCAGGCAGGCGTGACGCCAGAACGTCAGGTGGAGACCAACCGGGCCGTGGGCGCCGCCGGATGCGACACGTCATTCTCCTCCAGGAGCGCGCGTTCGATTCTTCTTCGAAGCATGCATTCTCCAATACGTCGCATGATCTGCGATGCGCGGCAACCAACATAACACACGCAATGCAATCACAACAAGATACCTAGAGAAAGACAGGACTATAACAGTCTCGAAGTGCAGCTAGCGCTGTATTTGACTCCTCATATCTGCCCTCCCTTCCTTCAGTTGCCCCTTTCGGATCATCAGTACATGCACACTCGATCTCAACTACTTGTTCTCAAACTGCGCCGCAAGCGCGTTAACAGAGCCACGGCTAGCGTGGCCGCCAGGCGGGCGCGGGCCGCGCGCACCCCGAGGTCCACGGAGGCGGCTGGTCTCGCTCGACGTGTTGCGCTTCAGGCTGCCGCTGCTCCCCAGGGCGACAGGTTCGTCTTCAGCTTTACTGGGCGACGACGTGCGGCCCTGCGGCGTCCCCGCGCGCACAGGAGTTGCTGGGCGCTCAGTGGCGGGTGTTGGGGGTACGACGCTGGTCACGGGGAGCTGCGCGGCCCCGCCAATGGGAGAATCAGGGGGCGAGATCATGTGCGGAGGACGCCCGCTCTCGTCGTCGCTTCCCGGCGGCGAAGCCATCGGGGGAGGGCCGTAGCCCAGATTCGCGGGTGCAGCTGTCGGTGCGACGGAAGGTGCCGCTGCTGGTGCCGAGGAAGAAACAGGTGCGGGGACAGGTACAGGCCGAATGGGAGGACCGGAAGAAGGGGGAATCTGCTGACCAACATCTGAGGCGGAGGGACCGGCGGGAGCGCCAGGCTGCTGTGGTGCCTCGCCGTGCGCGGCACGCTGCTGCTGCAGAAGGACAGCCTGTGGGTCTGTGTTGCCTCCCAGGCTGGAGCGCGAGATACGCTGGTCGACGAGCGCGGTGCGCTTACGCACGGGCATGACGCGCTCCTGCTGGTTACGCTTCTCCTCAAGCAGCTTGGGGAACACGTTGGAGTAGTGCTCGAGCAGGTCTTCGAGGAACAGACCCGGCGTGCGGTCCTGGATAGTAAGCTCGGTCTCGTACTGCGGGCGCAGAACGCAGCGGCCGATCGAAAGCGAGAGCTTCTTGATGTAGAGTTCAGCGGGCTCCTCGGTCTTCGTGCCGTCCACGAGATCCTTCCAGTGCTTGATGATGGCATTAAGGGTGAACAGCTGGGAGGCCGGGAGGCGCGAGACGACCGACGTCACTGCGGAGGTCATATCGCGTTCCAAGTCGGCACCGACTGCGGGTCAGCTGTGATCTGATCCGAACCGAGTTCAGTTAACTCACCGGAAGGGTAGATGGCCTTGGCATCCTCCCAACCTTCCCACCCGAGAACCGGAGGGTTGAGTTCCAGGAGCCAAAGTTTCACGACGCCACACACAGTGGGGAGGTTGAACTTCTGCGCGATCGTAGACACCTCGTCAACACGCAGCTGCGAGTGGTTGATAGCGTTGCGCAGCATGTGGGTCTCCTCGAGGGGCACTTCGTAGATCCACGCTTTGCGGCGCTCGTCATCCGGCAAGCTGGCGCCCATGACGCCGATGGCAGTGAGGAGGCCCTCCAGAACGTCCGGGATGGCGTCCTTGGCGCGCTGAGGCGCATTGATAAGCGACTTCCACCCAGTTTCGCCGGACCACCGCCGGAGGTCGATGCCAAAGTTGACATCGGGCACTTCGGACTCGACCGACTCATAGATATGCGGGCGAGGACGGAAGGGACCGGTGCGGCTGCCCTCAATGAGCGCCTTGAGGCTGTTGTTAGCTAGTGCCTCTAGATCAACAGGCGAGAGGACAGATTCCAGTACTCACTCAGCCTCGGGGTTGTATGTCTCAACGGCGAGCGCGGTCGCCTCGTCGCCCTGCGCGAGGCGCTTGGGGAGCTTGGCAAGAGCAACCTCGTAGTGCTTGAGGATGGAGCGGATGACGCCGAGACGCTCACGCTCCCAGCGCTCCCAATTGCGCAGACCGCGCTCGATGCGCTCCTCCATCTCCAGGCGCCGAGCCTCAGCCTCAGAGACGCCAGCATGGTATGCCTCGTTGGCGCGGTTGGCCTCATGGCGGAGACGGATGTGGGCAGGCTCGTTGGACGAGATCGCGGCGGGAAGGTAGCTCTTGGCCCACGAAGGGAGAGCGGCAGACGAGGGCGAGGGAACGGCGGGAAGCGAGAAGCTGCTGATCGATGTCTGAAGGTTGGAGAAGTTGTTGTTGGCGTACTGGCGCGCAGCAGGGGCATTGGAAGCCGCGTAGTTGTAGCCCGAGCTGGCGTACGTGCTGAGGTTCTTGCGCAGACCGGCAACGCTGACGCCCGTGCTCTCAGAAGGGTCGAGCTTGAGCACGAAGAAGACATCGTCCTCCGGCTCAAAGCCATTGCCGACCACGCCCACTCGGGAAAGATGCCCCATGCGGAGCAGCTCATCACCGGCGTCAACACAGCGGTCCCACTCGCCGCCAAGGCCCTCAAGATTATGGGAGAGCCACGAGACAAGCTCCTCGCCGGAGAACGTCTTCTCATAAGTGCCCAGAATCGAGCTCTTCTGGCGCGACGCCAGCGCCTGGCGTGTCGAGAGCTCGGACGATTGAGCCTGCTCACTGCCTGGGGCGGCGTGCGTCGACAGGTACTGGTCAAAGCGGCCGAGGAGCGCCTTGAACGCACGCGGAGCAAGGGCCATGCCGGAGAGGAGGATGAACTCGTTGTTACCCTTCTCGTCAACAGCGCTGGCTGGCTCCTCATTGCTCATCTTCGGGCGGCCATTGGGGTCGGTAGGAGGAATGAAGGCATCCTCGTGAGTGGGGCTTGAGGGCGAGCCAACATCTGCCGGCCGCTCGCCAATCTGCAACTTGGGGGGAGGCGTCTTGACCGAGCCTGAGGGCGATTTGGGACGCTCCACCTTTTTCTCCTCTTCCTCCTTCTGAGCAAGGGGAGGGGGAGGGGGAGGCAAATCCTTGTCGGAGGGGGAGATGGCAGACTGGGAGGCCACCGAGCTCGAGCGCGAGTGCGAGCCGGAGCTAGCGTTCCTCAGCTTCTCGCTGATGCGGTCCGCAACCGTCCCAGAGCGCTTCAGACCAGCGTGCTTGGGTGGTGGCGACTTGGTGTACGCGTCAGGTGACTTGAGCGAAGCTGTTGCAGGGGCGAACTGTGCGCTGCTCGTTAGGACGAGCCACAACACCAACAATTGCGCCCCAAATAACTCACTCGTCCTCGCTCTCGTCGGCCAGGCGCATTTTGTTGGTGTATGCCTGGCGCAGCTTTGGATCAGCGATGTACACAGCATCCCGTGTCGCATGCCAACTCACACTCATAAGCTTGTTCACCTCCTTCTCCCATGAAGCGACCAGGCCACCTTTGCCCAACATGTCGTCACGCGCAGTCTCAACGCGATCCTCGTGGCGCGCCTTCCAGCCGTTGAAGGGGACAAGAATGTGCTCCTGCAGCTCCATGGCCAGGGCGCGGTGCGCCTCGCCGCGGCCCATCGAGGCGCCGCGGAGCGAGAGGAGCGTGTGCTGCAGTGAAGATGTCGAGTTGGTGCTGGGGCTGACATGGGGCTCTAGCAGCGCAGCTGCAAGAGAGTGGTGCGCGCGGGCTTGCGCCTGGGGTCAGTGATTGTTGGGATGGCGGACGAAGCGTTGATCGCGGAAGAAAGTGGCGCGGACAGAAGGTGTAGCGAGCAAGCCCCGGTCACGCGGCACAAGGCGCCGCCCGCGGAGGTCCCTTCACCCAGCGGTGCAACTCACCTCGATGAAATCGGCGACCTCATTGTTCTCAATGGTACCAGCCTCGAGCTGGCGAAAGAGGGTGTCGAGACCAGTGCGGTAGTCTGGGGACCAGAATGAGTTGAAGAAAGTCGAGGGGAGGGTGATGGGAGCGGCGGGTGCCATGGCGCCGAAGTTGCGCGTAGGCTTTCGAGGAGGAACAGAGGATGGGAAGCGAGTTCAAGAAAACGGTGTGGAGAGAGGAGAACTGGGGGATGAGTCGAGAGAGAAAGGGGGGAGGAGGTGGAAGAGCAAGAGGAGATGAGTTGGTGGATGGAGGATGGAGGACGACGAGTGAACGACGCGCTCCCACACGTCCTACCCGGGCCTCTTCAGGGTCCCAGATGGGCCAGATCCCCCTTGAACCAACCGTCATAATGCGGGGTATCGCCCCCTATTAGCGGAATCACTTCCCCTGGCTCAGACATCCTTGCTGCCAGTGCTCCTTGCTTGCACAGCATCCACGACACCGCTATCTCCACAGTCTCAACCAATCCCGCACGCAATCTCATCTAAGGCGTTCTGAACAAGCCGGACTCTGTAGAGGACAGACCACTTCTGGCTCCCGCAACAGATCTCCTTGCCCGTCTGCGCCGTCTACTTGCCATACTGATACCACTTGTCTCGTGTGTCCACAGCCTCTCGACGAACCGCACGAAGCGGGTCGTCCAACGCAACTGCGAGGTCCTTGATCACTCGAGACTTGGAGCCGTGCAGCGTCTCGTACCTGATTGAACTTGGGAATACGCCGAGGGTTGTCAGCGCAGAGATGCGAAGTTTCTGACATGTCAGCGGGCATCGTCCCCAGGCGAGTGGCATAACCTACCCCTGACGATTCCTCGCCCTCCCGGCGAGCAATGGAATGTAGCACACCCTCTAGAATCGACTCCGCCTGCGCATGCAAAAGCTGATCTGTGGCGGTGGAGGAGTTTGCCGTTTCGAGAATGGAGCCAAGCGTAGTGATCACATTTGTGCGCTGCGCTGGACTTGGCAGCGAGAGGGCACGGAGGAGAAGAGGAAGGATCTGGCATCAGTCGACTGGAGCGGTGTTGAGCTCACCGTCGGGAGATCCGTTAGGAGTAGCGACGACGGCACCAGAGGTAGGAGGGACGCGAAAGCGGTGAGGTACGAGCGGCGCGTATTAGCTTCCGCGCCCTGCTCGCCAGCCACAAGCTTGGGGAGTAGGAAGTTCCACAGCCGTTGAGCCCACAGCAGCTGGTAGTTAGCTTGAGATTGCGACGGTTGGAGCTCACCTTGGCCGTCAAATGCGCGCCGCGGCCCTTCTTTCCTTCGGCGAGAATACCAAACGCGGGCGCTACGAGGCCCACGACCTCTGACTCATCAGTAAGCGCGAGTGCGGCGAGCGGATCTTCCATCATCGTGTACGCCAGCTCATCGCGCAGGAGCGACAGTGCCTTGACAGCCTGATGTCAGCACGTCGGATTTTTGGCTAGCTCACAGTGAAATACGACAAAATCGCTGCTGCACGCTTGCCATGCTTGTCACCCAGGACTTCCTCGCGCCAGACGTTCGACAACTCCTGAGTAAGCCACAAGGTGTCAACCTCTGAGCGACGCTTGTTGATGAATGCCGCAACCAAGCTAGCCATCATACCACGCTGCCAGTCGTCGACAGCCGTTGTGTAGATCCACGCAAGCTTGCGCGACCAGAAGTGGGTTGCCGACGTTGGTTCGGGCCATGCCACAGGCGTCTCGGATTTGAGGCCACGGACAAGAGCCGAGTAGATAGCAACGAGGTTTTGCTGCTCCACTCGCGGGGCGTCTGCACCGCTGGCGATAATCGAGCCTTTCGAGACCGGCGCCTCCTTAGGGTTCAGCATGACAGCGCCGAGGTCACCGCCCTCGAAGGCAGCATAAGCTGCCTGGAATGCTGGGCTCTGCTTCCTGCGGTGTCAGTTCGTCTGCCACAGTTAGACTCACTCAGGACTCAGCTCCCAGAACAGCGTCTCCGTGATGGATCCAACGACAACCAAAAGTCTCCTGTCGCGGAACAGAGTCTCTTGGTCCCCGTCAGCATACGCGGCCTTAATGGCGAGCGAGCACAGACGAGGCACAACCTGATTGTAGTGCCGCGCAATGTCCGCGTGCTTTTCTTCGATCTTCTTGTTGATCACCGTCTCAAGCGTGTGCAAAAGGTCCCAGGCGTAGGCAACATCACACTCGCGCTTACTTGGTCCGAATGTGGTCGAGGAGGGCTCAGAGGACGACAAGAGATCCAGTTTGGTTGTGATGCGGATGGTGAGAGTCTCGAAAAGAGCTGGCATTGTGCACAGCTCGGTCAAAGAGCGGAGGACGCTGCGGTACGTCTCACGGAGATCAGAGTCGTCAGGCGCTGGTCCCGCGTCTGGCAGAGCGTGGAATAGGATGGGAAGCGTCAGAGACTGGACCACTTCCGCGTGCACGCCGACAATTGTGCGCAAGCCACTTAGAACAGCAGAACTGATGTGAGCAACCTTGCCTCCCTCAGTTGACGCACCGGACCTCTTCGTCCTTATCATTGATGAGAAGCTCATCCATGCCTCGCACGACTTTTTCGACCTCCAGGCGACTCCAGAAGCCGGGGATCTCCGCAAGGGCGACGCTGCCCTTTATCGCTGGGATCTTGAGATCGATGGTCTGCAATCCCTCGCGGAGCACGTCGAGCAGTGCTTCGCGATACGGCTCAAGGCTGCGCTCGTCGGTCTCTCGGCGAATGGCACCTGAGACCGCGTAAACGGAACGAGCGGCCAGGAGGACGGACGAAATGGCGTGAAGGATAGGAGCGCGGTGACCCGCAACCTTGGGCTGGTCGAAAAGCTTGAACAAGGGAGGGAAAGTCTGCGAGATAGCAAACGCGCCTGCAGATGCTTTAATTAGTTGAATCTCTCGGTGAGTGCTCACGGGAGCCGCGCAGCATGGCAGCGATACACTTTGCCCAGCCCGGGAAGGAGTTCTTGCCTGGGTCCTGCAGACCTTCGACGCACTGGGTGACGATAGTCTGTCCGAGGCCAACCGGCTTGTCATCCATTGTGGGGTAGAGGGTACGCATAAGCGATTCAAGCGCGCCGAGCGCCGCGATCTCAACCGACTTGTCTGAAGAGTAAAGAATCTGCGTAAGCTTACGATCAACAGCCAAGCCTACCTCCGTCTTGATCAGGTCCCAGAACTCCTCGCCACGCTCTCCGACAGCCTCCGCCCCGTACACCGGGAAGCACGCCGCAATTGTCTGCAAAAGGTCTTTCTGCGCATTAGTCGAACTCACCACGACGACAACCCACCATGGTCTGCCCCGACGAGGTCTGGAACTTCTCAAGAAAGAGGGGGAGAGCAACGGGCGCGAACGCCGGCGTGGCCGCCAGCACGCCGCGCAGCGCGACCTTGAGGTCGTCGGCCGAGATGCGATATGGGTCGTTCGGCGGTGGCCGGAACGTGATGGGGAAGTAGCAGAAGGTGACGTCGAACATTTCCTGCTGTTAGCTACCATTGCTTTACAGCCTCACCTCAATCTGCGGGGCGACGTTGAAGTCGCGCAAGATGACCGCATCGAGCTGGAAAAGAAGCATGAGATTACGCGGGTCCTTCTCGCCGTCCACCATCTTGCAGTAGCTCGAGATGAACTCCGGTCCCATGCTCTTGAAAGCTGGTGTGAGTACAGTCCTCATCTTGCCTGCGCGTACGCACCATGCTTATGCCCCGCGAGCAACGCATCGAAGAGGAGGTACACCTGGTACCGGACGGTCTGGGGATATGCGCGCATGTTGACGTTCTCCACGAGGCTGGGTTCAGTCTCGCCTGAAAGGTGTGTGGAACTTACGCGCGATACACTTCCTCAGCTTCGTCGTCGCCGAAGCTCGTGAGCTTCACAAGCACGCCCAGCGCCTTGAGCGCGTGCGGGAGCGCGCCGCCGTCGTCGAGCTTGGAGAGGAAGAAGGCGCGCAGCGTCGCGGCCGCAGGGCGGTTAAACTGCGCGCGGTCCACGCTCGCCACAACGTTCGAGAGGTACTCGAGGCCGCGGGCGCGCACCGCGTCCGTTTCCGACACGAGGAAGGTGCCGAGTGCGCGCACGACGTCGAGCAGCTTCGTGTTGCCCGCATTGATGCCTGCGTCAGCGCCTGTGGGAGGGGCACGTACTTTGCACGAGCTCAGGCGACGGGTCGGGCTCGGCGCTGGCCAGTTGCGTGTCCACGATACGTTGGACGTCGAGGGCCATGGTGGATGAGCCGAAGAGGAAGATGACAAAATGGGACGTAATCGAGATTCGACGGAATCCACTTCGGACAGGTGACCGTGCCTGGATAAGAGACCGGTTCGGGGTCATGCTTCCGAGACGGGCCTCTCGAACTGATGCCAGCGATTCAAGCACAGTGACATACAATACACACAGACTACAGTACAGATCTCCAACATCTCTCTGCTAGCTGCTCAGCAGCGACCTCTACCATACCTTGGAGAACATGCCCTTGCCCGCCGCCTTTGCGCTCTCCTTCGCGACAGCCGTCCGCGCAGCCTGGAAGTACTGCCCTGCTGCTTTGCCAGCATGGTCGAGATGCTCGCCTAGCGTGTCGAGCGCATCGCCGCGACGGTCCAGTCCCTCCCGCATCTGGGAGTATGCGTCGCGGCGCTCCCGTGCATCCGCATCAGGCGCGCGCACCTTGCGCACCGCCGTGTTCTTCACTTTGACGTCCTTGGGCTTCGCCTGCTCTGGCTCGGGCTTGGGGGGTTCGCCCCACGTGATGGCGTCGCCCCAAGTCAAGAGAGGCTTGCGTGGCGGAGGAGGAGGCTTGGGAGGTGCAGCGCGCACTGGGGAGATGAGCGAGTCGAGAGACGCGCCGGTGATGGGGCCGGCGCCCCACATCCACCCGAAGTAAGAGGCGGAGAGAGGGGTGGGCTGCACTGGCGTGGGGGTCTTGAGGTAGCATGGGTCGATGCGCGGTGGGAACGGCTTGCGGAAGTGGAAGAGTGTGCGGAGCGTGATGTCCAGCGGGCCTGCGTACTCAACGAAATCGCCTGAGCGGTCGTCAAAGCTGAGGTGGCCGATGGGGCGATTCGTGCCAAAGAAAAGGTCGCGGCGGGTGATGAACTCAAGCTGAGGCGCGCTGTAGACGAGAGCACTCCCCGCCGTCGTCAGGGCGACGAGAATGCGCTTGCCGTGCCGCGTGATGTAGTGCACAGACGCAAGGTCCTCCTCGAGCTCGACCTTTGCGAACCGCTCGCCGTTGAAATTAACAGCAACACGGATGGTGCGCTTGCACGCCGCGATCCAGAGGCAATGCGGAGGTGCCTCCTTCGTCCACTTGCCCTCTGCGGCAGGGTCACTGACCACCTGCGACAGCGCCTCGGGAGAGGCCAGCAGCTCGTTGCCCGTGACCGGGTCGAGCAGGTACGACGCCAGCGGTGAAGCGAGACTGTCATTCTGGAACGTGGGCGGCTTGGGGTCGACGAGCCACTCGCCCAGCACATTGTTAAGGCCGTATATCTTCGTTTTGCTGCTGTTAGCTGCCACACGAAAACCGAAAGCTCACCCGCTCTGGTACGATACGATCAGGCGCGGCCGCAGCGCCTGGTCACCGCCGATGCCCGAGATGGTCCAGCGCATGGCGCCGATCTGCGACCCCTCAGCGGCCACATTTTGCGGGTGGGCCTTGCGCTTCCGCCGCTTCATCGTGCGCCCCTCGCCGTCAAATCCTTCGCGGAGGATCACGTCCGGACCACGCATGTCCAGAATCGCGAGCGAGTTCTGCTCGTATGCAACGGCAATAAAGCCTAGAGTCAGCATACCGACGCACGCACGACAGCTTACCTATGTCGGAAACGGCACAAGAAACTACGGCGCCACGGCGCACCGTACAGATCGCGACGGGCTTGAAGCCGTCAGTCGTCCAGTTGGCCATGTGCCCAATCTCGGTCAGCTCCTCGACCCACTCCTGCTGGGGAAAGTAGCTGCCGTTGGTAGGCGCGTCGTCTTCGTCCTCCTCCCGCATACCAGGAGAGAGCGGGGACGAGGGCATGGAGTGTGAAGTGTGCTTCGCTTCGCCGAACTTGGCGACCAGCACCTCGCCCGTCGCAAAGGTCAGGACGCACTCGAGTGTCTCTCGCGCGAGGTGGACGCCCGTGATCTGGACTTTGGCGCGGTCCGTCGCCCAGAGCTTCGCGAGGGGGAGGTGGGCGACGTCACGGTGCCGCAGAATGCGTCCGACGTGAATCGTGAGATGCGGGAGCGGATTGGGATACTCAAACACGAGCGGCGTGGGGAGGAGAAGGATGTGAGGGCTGATGTCCCAGAACCGGACGGTGCAGTCAGAGTGCCACGTCGCCAGGACGCGGTAGTTCTCCATTTTTGCGACCTTGAGATCGGGCGCGCCTGCCGAGTGGAGATCTGGGACGGCGAGACCACCACGGAGGGGTACGCGGGGCACGCTCTCAGCCCCCTCGTTCGCGATCGCGTGCTCGAGGAGACGCATGAACGTCTCGGTGGGCAGGGAGATGAGCCTAGTACCAAGCACAGTCAAGCCGCCCGACCACAGCTGCGACGGCACACGGAGACGGCGGCGTACTGACCGCTGACCTGTTGTCGTACTGAGCGCCAGGCTCGAGACCGACGCCGCCGGCGAGCGGCCGGGCGTCGATGCCGTCCACGGGAAGCGCCAAGATGACGCACTCTGCCCGCTCTGAACGCGCTGTGCCGCCGGGCCTCTCGGCACCGGAGTCATAGCCACGAGATCCTCGTTGCCTGGCGTGACGTACGTCTTCCTGCCGAGCACCGGCGGCGGATTATCGGACCGGGGCGGTGGGAAGACGTACGCCTCGAGCTGGCGTTTTGCGGACGGGTCGGAGGGCTCAGGAAGGTTCGCGTCGGGTGTGAGGAGGACGAAGAGCGTGATGGCGTCATGTGCCATATTGAAGTATGGGCTGTTGCGGGGCAGGAGGACAAAGTCCTCAGGTGGCGTCTTGGTGGGGTAGCTAGACGTGCCCGTCGGGGCCAAGCTGTCGCGGAATGCCTGCCGCTCCGCCGAGGTCAGGCCTTCAGACAAGATGGCGGCCTTCTTCGTCGCAGCGCTGGGAGGCGGTGGCGTGTACGCCGGGAACTGGAGGAGGTTGATGCCGGGCTTCTCGCCGGGGCTTTGGCCGCCGAGGACGACGAGCAGCGTCTCGCCGCGCTCGGCGTACTCGGCCGTCGCGTTGGTGAGGGGCAGCTCGGAAGACACGGCGAGAAGCTTGAGCGTGGCCTGGTCTGGAAATCCGGCCCATGCGAGCTTGAAGATAGGTTCGCGATTCGCCCCGGCGGCGGGGGGAATGCGCGCGGAGAGGACGGGCATGCCCTCAATCTCGTGCGTCGCCTCGAGTGCGGGCGGTGCGCCGGGGATCGCGCCGGCCTCCATGAGCGCCTCGGCGTCGGGGACATGCACGTCCTCGTGGGTGAGCGTGCGCACCATGAACGGCTTGTCGGCGTCGGCGTACGCCCAGAACGCGATGCAGCCGTCGGCGTGTCCCACGGCGAAGACCAGTCCGTCAGGGCGCCAGGTGATGCTGGTCACGGCGGGCTGGCGCTCGCTCCACAACGCGTCGTCATGGTAGCTCCCGCCGCCGGGCGCACCAGGAGGCAGCGTGAGTTCGAACGTCCTCGCTGTTTCGCGCTTCTGGAAGTCGTAGGCCACCACGCCGCCCTCGTACCCAATCAGCAGGATGTTGAGGTCGCGCGGGTTCATCGCCATGCATGTTGCTTGTGGGCTGAAGTCAGCGACGCCAGAAGAATACCCACCCTCCAACAGTCCGTTGTCGCCCGGGCACACCAGAGCGCACCAGACGCTCCTCGTACAGCGCCCACAGATTTGGGATCTTGAACTTGCTCATCGTCGCCTGCCGCTGATCCCACGCGAGCGTGACGCCGTCACGCATGGCCAGCAACATGTGGGTGTAGCTCGGGAGAGGCTGCTCGATAGCGGTGATTTCGCCAAAGACGGGGTAGCTTGCCTCCTTGGTCGGGAGCGGCGGCGTGACATTGGGATTTGAGTTCTCGGAGATGTTGTTGAGGGCGAACGAGTGGAGCGTGTTGGTCTCGTCAATGACGACTAGGCGCGAGTGTCCCGGGTGGAACGCGAGGAACTTGACGCCCGCAGTCCCGACGGGAAGCGTGAACTGGAACGCGGGGCTGCCATAAACATGCACAGCACCGCCGCTGCCGACGGCCATGAGTGAGAGGAGGGGATCGACGGCGATGGCGGTGACTTCGCCGCCGAGGCCGAGACGGCGGAGCTGGCCATGGCGGTAGAACGAGGTCTCGCGGAGGGTGCCAGTGTAGTCAGTTGTCGGGGAGAGGGCAGGCCCCTTTTGTGACCTAAACATGGCGCGCGATGGAGATGATGGAGACGATGCGGAGGGGTTTGAGGAGATATCAGAAGACTTGCCAGGCTTGGAGGAGAGAAACGCGCTGAGCGCGTGCGGACGGGGCATGGTGGCGCATCGGAGGGAGTGGGGGGTGAGAGGGAGGAACAACAAGGGATGACGAGGGCAGAGCACGACGCCGGGGCTCGCGTCGCTCTTGCGCCAGTGAAAGCCTGGGTGCGGGAGAGATCTTCCAGGCTCCCTAAAGCGCCATTGTTGGCGTCCAGGTCGTTGCGAGACAGCGGCTGAGCGGGTCGAGCGGCGCGAGCGGAAAGCGCAGAGGAGCGAGGAGCGAGACGGAAAGATGCCAAGATCCCATCCCTGGATATCAATAGATGGCGCCGGCGTGTGCCTGAACGTAAATACTCGCGTTCTGCGCATGGCCGCGCATGACTTGCTCAGCCGCAGGCGGCGGACCGTCTCACGTGGGGCAGCACGGCCGACAGGGTCTACGATGACAGCGATGCGGCAAAAGGTTATCGGGCAGGTGTGCGCACTACAGTACTCTGAGAAGACTATAATCCTTCTCGTTGCCGTCGAGCTTGAGAGGATCAAAGCACTTCGGACACCACCGGAACTGAGGAATAATGCTGCGACCCGACGCTCCGGATTACTCGGCTCAGCGCGTCCTACAGGGACGCGACGCTCGCAGGGCAAAGATCGTGACCTCTCGCGACCTCTTTGGGTCCTCTTGTGTACTGAGCCTGACCTCTGACCTCTTCAACGTCCGCTTGCTTTCCCCCCGCTCACGACTCGCCCCTCGCTCCTTCTCACGTATCCTCTGCATGCAGTCTATATACACGCCGCGCCTAGGCCGCGACACGCCGTTGAGAGCCCAGGCCCGAGTTGAAGCCTCGCCCACGCCCAGCGAACCCACGCCCACGGCCGCCGCCGCGCGCACCCCCGCCCCTCCGCTCCTGGCGGGGGCGGCCGTCAGCCGTCCCGTCGCGAGGGCCAGAGCGTTCAGCACCCGGTGCCGAGCCGAGCTTGACGTCAAGCGCCTTCTCGTTCTGCTCGACGAGGCCGACGCAGCGCTCAGCCAGCTGCTGTGCCAGGCGCTGCACCTCGGTCTGCTCGACGCGGTGGAAGACGACAACTTGGTCAATCTGGTCCAGCGACGCCGCAATCTCGTCCGTGTAGATCATGCGCGAGATGATCGATGTCACGCTCTGCTGGGGCAGCGAGAACATGTCGGCGAGGTGGGCAAGGGAGAGGGACGCGTAGTAGGGCGCGTAGGTGAAGAGGTAGGTGCGGAGACCCTCCTCCTGGATCTTGCGAGCAAGCATCTCAGTGACTTGGTCCACGTCGTCGAGGAGAGTCCAAATCTTGGCGCTCAAGATCAGGTCACGGGCACGCTCCCACTCGCCAGCCTCAAGCGCCTTGGACGCCTTGATGATGTAATCCCTGGTAATGTCCGGGGGACCCATGAAGGCGACCTTCTCGGCATTGTCAAGGTAGCGCTTGAACGTCTTGGAGGCGATGCGGCGCTTCTGGTCCTCGGTGTCGGCGGCGGCGAGAAGGGGGATCTCAACAAGCATGCACGAGGTGAGGTAAGCAGCCTCGAGCAGCTCGATGTTGAGGTGCATGTGGAAGGGAAGGAGGCGGCGCTTCTCGATAAGCTCCTGCTCGGGCGAGAGCGTGTTCGAGTAGCGCTGGATGGCCTGCGCCAAGAGCTCCTTGGTGCGGGTGCTCTGGAACATGTCTGCAAGGATGGTCTGGCAGTCGTGAATGTAGCCGTTGCGGAAGGCGGCGAGGCCGAGCTGCATGAGCGCACGGTTGTACATGATCTGGGTCGCGACGTCGGCATGCTGGATCGTGTCGTGCAGGTGCGACATGAGCAAAAGGTCGCGCGCCTGGTGGTACCGTGCGTGCATGGCGTGGTTGAAGATGTGGGCCAAGATGGCGCGGGCACGGAGCAAGGGCGCGTCCGACTGGTAAATGAACACGCAAAGAGCGTGCACCAACTCGCTAGGGGTGCGCTTGGCGCCGAAGGGGGTAATGGCCGTCTCAAGTTTGCTGGCAGCAGCGGCCTTGTTGACGGCAGCCTCGAAGTGGTCGATAATAGCATCGGGCTTGCCGTAAACATGCTCGAGGCGGCGCATAACCGCACGGGCAGTCTGGTCGGCCCAGGCCTCACGCTCAAACAGCACCTGCGACTTGACAATGGCGACGTACAGAGGCGCCTCCTCGCGGAGACGAGCAATGTACTCGGTACCGTGCTCGAGGGCGTCGGTGTGCTGGAGAGTCTTGGTAAACTCATTGTCTAGGTTCTCAAGCAGGCTGACGACGTTCCCGCGGATGCCGACACGGCCCTTCTCTGTCTCCGGGGTGCGCTCGTCCAGCTCCTCGTACTCCTCGACATCGCCCTTCACCACGTAGTCCTTGTTTTCAAGGAGGATGGTGATGAGCTGGTCGTACTCGCGAAGGCACGAGACCCACGAGTCGTGGGGGATAGAGGCGAGGTTGGTCGAGTAATCAAGGCGGGCGGGGATGAGGGCAAGCAGAACACGGAGACGCTGGTAAGTCGTCTCTGAAACCTCCAGGAGCTTCGTGAGGATGCGGATGGTCTCGGCACGGTCCGTGTTCTTGCGGCCGCGCTGCTCGAAGATCTCCTTAAGAGTCTTGAACACACCGTCGGCCGTCAGGTTGAGCTGGCGGCCACCACGGCCGACAGTCGCAAACCCTGCCTCGTCCTCGCCGTCCTGTGCCTCGGTACGCTGCGCCTTCTTCTCAGCCTTGGGGGGGACATTGGCTTTGGCGTAGGCCTCGGCGTACGCCTCAGTGTCCTCCTTGTACTGGGCAATCTGGGTCTCGAACGTCTTGAGCTGCTTCTTGAGCGTCTGACGAATCGAGTTGACGGCCTTGCCCTTGTTGGCGGGCATCTTCTTCTTGGCCGACTTCTCAGACTTGATCGTCTCGTTGACGACGTCGTCAAGCTCAGTCAGGGCACCGAGGAAGGCAGGAGGGATATGGCCAGCGGGAGGGGTCGAGGAGGCAATCATGGAGGCGTGGTGGCGCGTGATGAAGCGGAGCAGCTTGTCAAGCTCGTTGTTGGCCGCCACCCAGTCGCACGCGGCGCCGCCGGCCTTGGTCGCGTTCTGGAGGCTGTTGATCGCGGCCTCCATCTCGGCGAAGCTGATCGTCAGTTCTTGTCTCCTGTCCTCGTTTTCGCCACCTGCGCCGACCTACCGCTTGTCCTTTGCAGACATGACGCGGATCTTCTCCTCGTCGTCCGAGTCCTCGTCCGAGTCCGAGTCGCCGCCATCGCGCAGGAACATGTTCGCGCGCTGCTGTTAGCTGATGTGCTGGGTCCTTTGTCCCACCTTGTTGCGGGGGGCGTCTTCGTCTTCGTCGCTGCTCATCTCCTCCTCCTCGTCCGAGCTCTCCTCATCGCTGTCGCTGTCGCTGCCAGCGAGGAACTTGGACGCCAGAGTCTTCTTCTTTGGCTTCTCGTCCTCCGAGCCGGACTGGGAGAGGATGGACTCCTCGTCCGACTCAGAGTCGCTGCTGTCGGAACCGCCAAGACGGGCAAAGAACGACATTTTGGTAGTAGTGGGATGTGTGGTGGTGGGGGGAAGGGGGGATTCGCGCTCGCGGGTACGCTAAAAAGGTCTTTCTAGCGTGCTGTTCGTGTTCTGTCGGCGTGGGACGGGACACTCGGCGCGTTTTGTGGGTTGCTCGAGAGCGGGGTTGGGTGGCTCGACACGCCGATGGACAAAGGTCCAGGTCGTCAAAAGCTCGCAGAGAAGTCGATGCCACAGTGTGAAAATGCCGGAAATGCCGGGGGTTAGCTACAGGTCTCTAATCCACAGTTTGAAGTGTGGTCATTAGCGGGACCAAAGCGTGGAGCCACATGGCACTTCAAGCCACGTGTGGACATCACAGAGATGCATGAGATACGAGGGTCTGTCGAAGCTCGACGCCACTAGCGCATTACCATCTGCGATATGCGACTGGCAGCTGGCTGACTAGTCGCGAATTCCTGAGGCCATATACAGGCCTACAGGTGAAGGCTATAGCTGACGAGCACGATTGGCCACAACACCTACTCGCCATAGCGCTCTTCCCTCACTAACACGACAATGCAATGACATAATCTAGTTCTAGGCAGTGGCAGACACGTCCGAGCCAACCCTGTATCCAGCTGTAGCGGCTTCCCACAGCCCCTTACAGTCGACATTCGCGCCGAGCTTGGCACACATAAGGAACGCGCCGCTGAGCTTGCGGTTGAGGGAGTACGTGGGCGCGGGCGGCGGCGTGAGACGGTGCTGGAGCATGACGGGGATGAGGGCGCGCACCTTATCCGTGATGGTCTGGTTGGCGAACGCATACTTCCCGTCGTGCTGGAAGGGCGAGGCGAGCGCGGCCATGCTGTCGAGGTGCGCGTTGACCATGAGCTCGTTCTCCTCGCCCGTGAGGTATCCGAGGCTCTCGCTTTCCGCCTTCATCGCGCCGCGGTCCCCGTCCAACGCGGCTTGGAGCAGGCGGTACCACCCGTCCATGAACTCTTTGGTGTATGCGCGCGAGGCGCCAAAGTCGATGAGCTGGATGCGGCCCGAGGGCGCGTCGAAGAGGAAGTTGGCCCAGTTCGGGTCTGTCTGCATGAAGCGGAAGACGAAGAGCTCTTGCAGGCACAAACGGAGGATGTTGGAGCCAATCAGGTCGCGCTGCGCCTGGCTCATGCCCTTCATCTTCGAGAGCGGGCGGCCGGACATCCACTCGGTCGTGAGGACCTTGGAGGTCGTCGCGTGCTCGAAGACACGCGGGACGTCGAACACCGCATCGCCGGAGAGGAGGGTGTGGAAGCGCGTGCCGGCCGCGCCCTCGCGCACGTAGTCGCACTCGTCCTCCAACTCGCGCTTGGCAACCGCCATTGTGTTTTGGAGATACAGGCCTTTGGGGAGAACAGCGGAGCCGCGGAGCAGCAGGGAGACGTTGGCGAGGTCGCTCTCGATCGAGCCTGCGACGCCGGGGAATTGGACCTTGACGGCGACGGGCGTGCCGTCGGCCAGCACAGCGCGGTGGACCTGACCGATACTCGCGGCAGCGACGGGGACGCGGTCAAACGCCTTGAACAGACTCTCCCACTCGGCGCCGAGCTCGGTCCGCATCACCTTCTCCATCTGCCACTCGGGCATGTAGTTCGCGTGGTCCTGCACCTGCTGCAGCACACGCTCAATCTCGGGCGGCAGCATCGTGTTGTCCTGAATTGACATAAACTGGCCGAGCTTGAGCGCAGCGCCACGCATACGACCGAGGGTCGCAACGAGTCGACGCACGTTGGCGTCGCTCATGAATACACTACCGGTTCCGCTGCCGCCGGCAGTGCGTCGGATCGTCTCAGTCGCGGCGCCAAGACCGAGGGAGAGGCCAAGGGAGCCGTAGTGAAACAACCGGCCGAGACGGGAGGCTGGAACAGTCGAGGAGCGCAGGGCAACGCGCTCCTCGTCGGGGTCGCGGTTGATCTGGGGAAGTAGGGACGAGGGGTCGGCCTCGGTGGCCTCGAGGTCGATGCCGAGGCCGGAGGAAGCAGGCGAGAGAGGCGGCGTGGCAACGTCTACCGGCTTCGGTTCCGCGGCCTTGGCCACAGCGACAGCCTCAGCGGCCTGGTCAACGGCGTCGACGGGCGAGGTCGGGCGCGTCGCGGCGGGCGTGGACAACCCACCGATCGACTCGGTCTTGCGTACCTTCTCAACGTCGAGGGGGTCGCCCATACTGAATCGCGTTGCGGCGGTGAGGTCATGTGGGCTACGCCCGGCATCCTGCTCACTGCCGACAAAGACGGGCTTGAACTCGGGCGGGGAGTACTTGACACGCTTGCGTGCCAGCATTTCGTGGTCCGTCGGATCGCCAAACGACCACTTGGTGCCGGCCATAAGGTCGTGCGGGTCATTGTCCTCCTTCTGGACGGTCTTGACGCTGCGCGGAGTGTCGAGTGGATCGGAGAGGCTGAACTTGGTGGCAGCAGTGAGATCATGCGGGTCGCGGCCGGGGGCCTCGCCGCCGACGAATACTGGCTTGAACTCTGGCGGACAATACTTCTTCTTGCGCGCAAGCATCTCATGGTCCGTCGGATCGCCGAAGGACCAGCGCGTCGCGGCCATGAGGTCGTGCGGGTCATTATCCTCCCGCATAAGGGTCTGAACGTTGCGCGCGCCGTCCAATGGGTCGCTCAAGCTGAACTTGGTCGCGGCCGTCAGGTCATGGGGACCGCGCTTAGCCTCGGCGCCCACGAAGACTGGCTTGAACTCTGGTGGGGAATACTTCTTGCGAGCCAGCATCTCGTGGTCGGTCGGGTCGCCGAATGACCAGCGCGTCGCGGCCATAAGGTCATGTGGGTCGTTGTCCTCAGCTGCGGCACGCTCGACCTGCGCCTGCGTCTTGGCAGGGGACTTGGGCTTGTACGACGGACCCGGGCGGTCGAGGGGATCGCTCATGCTCCATGCATGCAGGTCGGAGGTGGGAGTGTTGGCGCCCACGTACACAGGCTTGAACTCGGGAGGTGTGTACTTGGCGCGCTTGCGGGCGAGCATCTCGTGGTCGGTCGGGTCGCCAAAGCTCCACTTAGTACCGGCCATGAGGTCGTGCGGGTCGTCGTCCTCAGCCTTGCCAAGACGGCTCTGGAGGTACTTGAAACGTTTTGGGTCGGCGTCGAGGGGATCACTGAGCGACCATGGCGTGGCAGCGCTCATGTCGTGGGGGTCGTTGTCCTCGTCGTTGAGGTGGCGGAAGCGGGGAACAGCCGACTGGAGGTCAAGAGGGTCGCTAAGGCTCCAGGGAGTCGCGGCACTTAGATCATGCGGGTCGTTGTCCTCGCCTTTCATGAACACAGGCTTAAACGGAGGTGGAGTGTACTTCTTGCGCGCGAGCATCTCGTGGTCCGTCGGGTCGCCAAAGGACCAGCGCGTCGCAGCCATCAGATCGTGCGGGTCGTTGTCCTCAACGGGGACTCGGCGCTGGGCGAAATCAAGGGGATCGGAGAGGGAGAACGCGGCGAGGTCGTGCGGGTCGTTGTCCTCGGTCTCGGCGACGAAACGACCCTCGCTACCACCATACAGCGTCGCGCCAGGAAGCGGAACGGAGTGCGATGCGATGGGGAGCACAGGCGCGTCAGCGGGCAGCGGCTGGCGGCGCGCATAGTCAGGCTCGCGGACGGGGCGGCGGCGCCAGCTCGGGGCGGGGTACATTTCCGGAGTGACCTGCACGCCGGAGTTGGCAGCGGGAGATGCAGCGAGGTTCTGGGCGTTGGCCGAGGTGGAGAAGGATGCGGCGGAGGGGGAAGGGGACTGGGTATCATCGATCGAGGCACGGCGCGCGACAGCTGCTGGGCCAGCGGCTGCGGCGGCGTCTTCTGCCTGGATGACGGCTGCACGAGCAAATACGCGCGCGGCGGCGGTCATGAGCACCGGACGTCTGGGACGGGGGGGCATAGGTGGGGAGGGAGTGTAGCGGAAAAGCTTCTGCGTGCGACGCATGGTGGCTGTATATCTGTGAGAGAGGGTGAGCGGGGGTGAGCGGGGTGAACAGTGCGTCGACGGAGTTGTCGGTGAATCGGATGCCGAGGAGAGATTGTTGGACGCTGTGGGGTCTCCAAGCCAGCTCTTGGGCCGGCTCGGAGCTCGGCGTGGTGCAGCATTGGCTGGCCAATCTGCCGGAATTGTCCGGACACGTGACATCCACGCGAGCAGCGAGATGGGTGACGGGAGCGGGCGGAGTCGGCTGCTGGCTGCTGGCTGCTGGATGAGGCGTGGCGTGGGGTGAGCCGTGGGTCAGCGGAGGGCGCCGAGGGGCCAAGGGATCTCGAGCAGCGCGCTTGAAAGAACAATAAGAGAGGAACGGGACCGCACGTGAGCCGCACGCACAAACAACAATAACCAGCCCATGCACAACCTCTTTGTTCGTACGAGACACGGCGAGCACGCCCTCCTGGATGACCAAATGGGCATCGAGATGATGGACATTGAGGCCGCGTGGACGCCGGGGTTGTGCGGGGTGGAAATTGGATTTGGGTGACGATTACGATGACGGACAAAGAAAGGGTCACCTGCTCAACTCGGTTCAAGCCACCTTCCTTGCTCCTCGTTCTACTACTTAAGCCATATAGTAGCTCCCCTCATCCACCGTGCCTCTCTTCCTCTCGCTCTCTCTCTCTCTCTTTCTCTGTCTTCTTCTACCCACTCTCCCTCTCATTCATTTTCATTCACCATGTCACTGAGGACAGCTGCTCTCCGCGCAACACGCCCAGCGACACATGCCATCCGTCGCCGGGCACCCTTCGGTGAGCTTGCTTGACGCGTGCCAGCCAGCTTCATCAACGCACGCACTGACGTCACAGCCGCGCGCGCGTACTCTACCGCTCCCCAGCAGAGCAGCGCTTCGCTGGCCAGGATGGCCGCCGGAGGTGTCGCAGCTGGCTTTACCGCTGCCCTCCTGTACAACTACTTCAACGCCGGTGTGAGCACTGCTCACGCCGATGGCGCTGCAATTCCCGAGAACCCCGACACATCGGGCAACGGCTGGCAGCCAATTCACGCGCTCGAGGTGGACGACCCCAAGGTGTGTGCGGGCTACCGCCAAGTCGGCGTGCTGCGGCACGTGTATGGCGCGCCTGCCGAGCAACACGAAGAGGAAGACGGCGAAGCATACCGCGACCTGGGCGTGGGCCTTTTGCTCGGCTTTGGCCTGCTGCTCCGTGTGTTCAGCGCTGCTTTTTAGGGGCGAGCTAACTCCAGAACCCCATGCGCATTCGCATGGCCACCTGGGTCACGAATCTGCAGGATCACATCGTCAAGACGCTCGAGTCTATCGAGGCCCAGGCGCCCCCGGACGGCGAGCATGCGCCTGCCACATTCCTGCGCGATCACTGGATTCGGCCCACCGGCGGTGAGGGTAGCTCATGCGTCATGGCCGGCGGCCGCGTGTTCGAGAAGGCGGGCGTGAACGTTTCCGTTGTCGAGGGGCGCATGCCCCGCGGCGGCCAGGAGCAGATGCGCGCCGACCACTCGAGCATCACACCTTCCGACACCCCCCTGCCCTACTTTGCCACGGGCCTGTCTATTGTCATTCACCCGCGTTCGCCCCATGTGCCTACTGTCCATCTCAACTACCGCTACTTCGAGCTGTGTGACGACAAGACCGGCGAGCCCGTCGCGTGGTGGTTCGGCGGCGGCTCCGACCTGACCCCCAACTACCTGTATCCCGAGGACGCCGAGCTGTTCCACGACACGCTCAAGGCCGCCTGCGACAAGCACAACCCCAAGTACTACCCGACCTACAAGGAGTGGTGCGACAAGTACTTTTATCTCCCGCACCGCGGCGAGACGCGTGGCGTCGGCGGCGTCTTCTTTGACGACCTCACCACCAGCAGCGACATTCACGGCTCCAAGAACCCCTCGCGCGAGGAGATCTTTGAGTTTGTCAAGTCGTGCTCATCCGCGTTCCTCCCCGCCTACGTCCCTATCGTCCAGCGCCGCATGGGCAAGGCCTGGACTGAGCACGAGCGTCGCTGGCAGCTCCTCCGCCGCGGACGCTACGTTGAGTTCAACCTGCTTTACGACCGCGGCACCAAGTTCGGCCTCAACATTCCTGGTGCCCGCGTTGAGTCTATCCTCATGTCTCTTCCCGAGTACGCCCGCTGGGAGTACTGCACACCAGTCGGCACTGAGGAGGGCTCGCGCGAGAAGGCACTCCAGGACGTCCTCAAGAAGCCCCGGGAGTGGGCCACCAAGTAGAACGACGGCGGACGAGGGGGGCATGTTGTCACAGCATCAGCAGCAAAACAATCAAAATCTGTCGGTAGCAGAGATCGTTAGATCGTCGTCTTGTGAATACTCGCATCATAATGCATCACACCACTGCATGAAACTCATACAACATACAAGGCAGGCAAGAAGGAACGAACAATGTCATGTTAAGAACCGAAGAGAAACTCAGACCTGGGCCGGCGGTGTAGGTAGTCTAACCGACCGCCGGGAGGGTGTCGGTGCCAAGGCCAGAGCAGGTGTTGGAGGCGCCTTGGACGGTGTGGCGGCGGTAAACCTATGTGGTCCTGGCGTCTTGGATGGCGTCGCTCTCACTGTTCCCAGCTGTGTAGATGGGTTCAATGGGCGCTTGGCCACTGCCTGCGTCCGCAAGTCCTTGTTGTCGATGGCGATACTCTTTGTGCACTGCCGTCAGCTCCAGTCGTCCTAAGAACTCACGTTGTTCGTCTTGTAGATGCCCACAAGGCGGTGCGCGAGCTCGAACATGTCATTACGCAGCGAGATGACGATGAACTGCGCAGCCTGCGTCTTCGACTGGATGTAGTTGGCCACAATAGACACGTTCTTGAAGTCGAGTGCGGCGTCAATCTCGTCCATAAAGTACAGCGGGGTCGGCTTGAAGACGTGCAGCGCAAAGACGAGTGCGAGTGAGGCGAGCGTCTTCTCGCCGCCGGAGAGGTTGGCGATAGGTCGCCAGCTCTTCTTCGGAGGCATGATGGACAGCACGACACCTTCAGAGAACGGGTCCATCGTGTCGACCAACTCGATCTCGGCGTTGCCGCCCATCGTGATCATCTATTGTTAGACAAGACTCTACGTGGGATATCTCACCTGGTACATCTCCTTCAGCTTGGCGCTGATGGCCGAGAAGCCGGCCATGAACTCCTCGAGGCGCACCTTGCGCAAATCGTCATAGCGCTGCTTGGCGGCGTCCCGCTGCGAAGTGACCGTCTCCATGTCACGCGCACGGTCGAGGAACTCAGCCTCGCGCCGGCGGTATTCGTGCAGGACGTTGAGGTTAGGTTTAGCCTTGGCAATCTCCTCTGCGGGAGTCAGCTCGGGACGCGAACAAACTCACCCTCGAGAACGGAAATCTCGCCGTTGAGAACATCCTTATTCACAGCACGCAGCTCATCGGGGCTGTACTCGACGAGGTCCAAGGTTTCGTTGCGTCGCTTAGACTTCTTGGAACGGGGCGCGTCACCCTCGCCTTCGCCATCCTCAGCCTCCTCCTGCTCGTCTTCCTGAGCCTTCTCCTTGCCCTCATTGTCGCCCTCCCTATCTTCATCCTCGTCTTCCTCGTCCTCCTCGCTGTGTTGTCAGTTATATCCACATCGTAACCCACTCGATGTACGCCAGCTCGAGCTCTTCGTGCCGCTTGTGCCAGTGCTTGTATTTGTCCTTCGAGTCCTTCTGCGCCCGCATATTGTCGTCAATCTTCTGCTTCAGGTCCATCTCGATCTTCCTGAATGCATTGATCTCGGTGGAGGCCTCGTCGAGCTTGGCCTTGGACTCGGCCAGCTGCTCCTTAACGTCGACACTGCTGTCCTGTGCCGCTTCCACGGACTGGTGGAGGGTCGCGAGATCGTCAGTGATGGCTTTGAGGTCGTCCTCGACGCTCGTAAGCTCAGCATCAACTTCCTCGATCTTGGTGGTATTTGCCGCGATCGCACGCTGAAGCTTCTCAACGTCGTGCTGTGCCTTGGCCTGTCCGACCTCAGCCTTAGTGATTGCGTCGTTTGCCAGGTCCAGCAAGCCTTTAGTGGTCATGAACTTGGACTGGATAGCGCGAAGCTTGACACCGCCCACCTCGAGAATCTTGTTCTGCAGCTCTTTGATCTCGTTGTTGATCCCTGACGACTTCTCGCGCAGCTTATCGGCGTCCTTGGTAAGCGCGGCGATCTCGGCATCGAGCTGCTTGATTCGCTTCTCGTCGGCAGCGTCCGGCTTGTTTTGCGACGCGACTTCCGAGAGGCGCTTCTCAGCCTCGGCGAGGCGCTTTGAGCAAGTATGAATGTCGAGCTCGACCTTCTCCATTTCCATCTCGATGTCAGGAATGCGCTTGCGCAGCTGCTGAACCTCCTGCTCTACGGCTCGTCGATCGTTCTGGAACGCGTTAAGCTCCTGCTGCAAGGTAGCTCGCTCGCTCTCGTATTGCGCGACAACCTCGGGCGCCACCTTGTCAGCCTTGAACTTGGAGCTCATGCCACCGCGCGCGACGCGGTTGCCACCGCCTGACATTGTTCCGGAAGGGTCGATAAGCTGGCCTGCAAGTGTGACAACGCGCCAACGCTTGGCACCATAGCCGATGCGCTGGGCTTGTGCAAGGTCCTGCGCAACGAGGGTATTCGTGAGACCCTTGTAGAAGGCAGGCGCGAAGCGCGGGTCCTTTGGCTTGATGAGGTCGAAAAGGCGAGGTACGTTCTCGGGAGTCTGAATCGGAGTGAGATCGCGAGGAGGGAGCTTCTCGAGGATGAGGATCGAAGCGCGTCCAATATTGTTCTTGCGCAGGTGCTCAATGCATGCCTGGCCTTGCTCGACTGTGTCAACCACGAGGTTATTGAGGGCGCCGCAGGCTGTGGTCACCGCAACGTCGTACTTGTCGTCAATGACGCCGAGATCGCCTAGGCGGCCATGGAAGCCTTTGATGCGTCCCTGCGCCTTGAGCTTGTTGAGACTTGACAGAACGGCATTTTCCGATTTATCCGCAGCAAGCGAGGCGCGAGCCTCGTCGGCCTTGTGTGTGGCTGCCGAGAGTTTGCTGCGCAAATCGTCAAGCTGCGCGCCCATGCCCTGCAACTTGGCCTCAGCGTCGGCGAGCTCTTGCTTGGCTGCGACAGCCTCCTTCTTGAGACGCTTGTATTCGCCGCGTTTAGCCTGGTCGCCCTCCTTGATAGCCTGAATGTTCTGCTCCGCCTCTTCTAGGGCGGTCTGGGCGGAGGTGGCCTTCTGTGCGAGCAAGTCTCGCTCAGATTGCGCGACGTCGATGGCTGACTGCTTCTCACTGATCTTGGCAGTCCACGGCTCGAGCTCGCGCTGCTTGGCTTCGATTTTAGTGGTGAACTGGTCGGTCTTGTCCTTCAGACTGTCGCGGACCTCTTCCAGCTCCTTCTCCTCGGCCTCAAGCTTGCGCTCCAACTCAATAACCTTGGTGCGGTTGGTCTCAATAGCGCCGCTGCAGTTCTGGATTGTCGCCATCGCCTCAGACTTGGCATGCCCGTCATCGGAGATCGACTTCTTTAGCTTCTTCTGCTTGGAGACGAGATGCTTGCGCTTTTCCTGGAAGCCCACCTCCTCCTTTTCGAGCTTCTTGGCGTCTTTAATAAGTGCGTCGCACGCCTTCTTCACTGTCTCCCAGCTGGCCGCCTTGTCGTTGTACTCCTGCTGGAGGTGCTCGATCTGAGCGAGAAGATCACCATTCCGCTCCTGTTCTCCTGTGAGCTGGGCGTTGAGGCCGTCGATCGCCTTGGTTGTGATCTCAATGTTGTTCTGCAGCGTGTACATGTGGTACTGCCACAGAAGAGACTTCTTGCGCGTAAGCTCGTTGGTGTCGCGGAGGTAGTCTTCGGCCTCGCGCTTCTTGTCCTGCCGTCAGTCAACCCCAGCCCTCCGACTCACCTCAAGGGATGCCTTCTCTCGCTCGACAACGCGAAGACGGTTCATCTTCTCGCTCCGCTCCTCATTGAGACCTTCAACCTGCTCGGACGCGTCCTCGATCGGCTGCTTGTACTTTGTCGTGCCGATGATGTCCTCAAGGTACTCGAGCAAACCGTCCTCGTGCTCGTTCTGGGCCTTGGGCTTCATGAGAGCGATTGACTCAACCTCACCCTGCAAGATGAGGAAGCGGTTGTGGTCGAGGTCGATGCCCTTGCTCTTGAGGAGTGTGACTACCTCTTCGCGGCGCTTGTTGACGCCGTTGATCGTATATTTGGAGCTGTTATCCTTGAAGGCAGTGCGAGTGACAATAATGTCTGTCTTGGGCACGAGGAGGAAGTCGTCGACGCCAGGCTGATGTCAGCTGCATCTCCCAGTTGTAGCTCACCAGATCCACAATCTCGCGGAAGTGTACCTCGACGGAGCAAGCCGTGATGTTCTCGTGCCCCGCTGAGTTGTGGATGAGCTCACTCAGCTTGCCCTGACGCATCTTGGTTGCACGGAAACCAAAGACAAACAACAGCGCGTCGATGGTGTTGCTCTTCCCCGAACCGTTGGGTCCAACGATAGCTGAGAAGGATTTGTGGAAGGGGCCAATCTCTTGGCGACCGCCGTAAGACTTGAAGTTGTTGAGCACGAGCTTGTGGATAGTCAAGCGCGGCTTGGGACCGGCCGGCGGAGCAGCTGCTGGAGTAGGCATCACGCTCACGCGCGGAGGAACAGTGCGGCCGGGCGTCTTGGGCGGGAGCACGCTGGCGGGGATGTCTGGCGACGACTCTGGCGACGCTGCATTGAGCGTGCGTACCTGTGCCTTCGGGGTTGACGGCTCGTCTTTGGCAGGCGAATGGCGCGATCCAACAGCAGTGGCAAAGTCTTCTTCGTCCGACATGGTGCTGGACTTGGTGGGCAGGCGGGGCTTAACATCGGTCTCAGTCTCGACGGGCGCAGTCGGGCGTGGCGTCTCTCCATCCGACTCATCAGAGTCAGACACGACACGCCTTCCCTTCCGCGTCGGAGGTTTGGCATTGGGCCGAGCCGTCGGCGCGGACTCCTCGAGACGCGCGGGTGCAAGCGGAACTGAGGGCTTGCGTACGCCGCGCTTGGACGCCTCCTTGGGCGTGGGCTCCGCATCAGACTCGTCGTGGAGCTTGGGAGCAGGCGTAGCCGTGCTCCGCGTGCTGCTCCGAGGCGTAGGCGCAATCACGCGCTTAGCTTGCTTGAGCTTTACCGATCCTTCCTCGCCGTCATCTTCATCACTCTCCTCATCATCTTCGCCGGCGTCATCATCCTCGTCTTCATCGTCGTCCTCCTCGCTCTCCTCACTCTCGTCGCTCTCGCTCTCGGGTGGCGTCGTAGGCTCCTTCCGCGTAGTCCTTCGCGAAGCAGGAGCGCGGGAAGCCTGGGGCGCCGGCTTAGGCGCTGCAGCTCTCCTTGGCGCCGGCTTACGCTCCTCTTCGGATTCAGGTGCGATGCTGGAACGCGTAGTTCGGGCAGTGCGGCGGTTAGATGTCGATGATGATGTAGAAGTGGTGGAGGGAGGAGGAGGAGGGGCAGCACTGGCGCTGGAGCGCGTCGAGCGCCGTGGTGGCATGGTGGGTGGGTGTTGGAAGGGAGATCAAAACAGGGGACAATCTCGACTGATCTTGAAGTGGCCCTGGCTGATTGTTGTTGTTTTGTTTTGGAGCAGCGCTGCCCCCAGGCCTGAAGGAAGGCGCGTCCACCCGGAAGTAACGGAGTTAGATCATGTGGCACCTGCCCCACTCTTTATAAATCCACGTTTCATTCTGCACTCCAGACATGCTGGCATGCTGGCAGCCGGTAGGCGCAAACATCTGATGCATCGCGAGCATCGCGTCGCGAGTACCTACGATGAGTTTGTGAACAGGCGTTTGTCCGTTGTACTCAGTACGATCAATGCAGCTGCGAAGCGGCGCTATTCAAACGGTCCAAGGGCGTCACCGATCGCCATGACGCGCTCCAAACGCAGGCGACGACTGTGGACTGCTCTGCAGCACGAGGGATGACGGCTAGCGTCACAAGGGCAAACAGAGTTAGCTCGTAATGCGTTAATGCAGAACATGCAGAGGACAGAGTTTAGTGACACCTACCTGTGCACGTACAGTACGTACCTCGGCGCCTCCACTGCAGCAAGTGCCACGCCACGGAGGGCTTACTGCACGGAATGAGTGAGAAGGGCGGGGGTATATTGAAAGCGGGATCAAAATATATTGAGGAACTGCAGGCCCCCCTGTCTGTTCACCCATCACCACCCAGCACCCAGGTACCCCCTTCCCTCCCAGCACCCAGGTACCCCCTTCCCTCCCACCCCCTGCTCACTATCTCGTCGCCGCCGGCACCCCCCTCTTAGCCACCGTCCTCCCTCCCCCCTTCATCCATCTCACCCTCATCACTGCCAACGACAACAGCTTCTCTGTCACGGCTAGTCGACCTCACATTCTCCTCCCTTCTCTCCTATCCCCTCGCCCTTCTCTCGTTCCACGCCACAATCTATCACGGGCCATTTGGACATTCAAGCTCGACCCACGCAGTTTGGCCCACACAAGTTCCAGATCTATCTTTCAGCTCCAAATCTCGCCACGCCCCCTTGACTTTCCCTCCAAACAGCCATGTCGTCTTGGACTCCCGCCCAGGATGGGCTTCAAGAGGTCCTCGGCATGCTCCGCGACTCTGCTAGTTCAGACCCCAACGTTCAGAAACATGTCGCCACGGTGCGTAATCTCCCCCAGTCGCACCTGTACCCATGCTGATATTGTCCTTCGATGCCTACCGCGACCGTCGCCACTCCTGTTTACTTGCCACCAACAGCGCCTCAAAGAGTTGAGATTCATCCCAAATTTCCTCGCCTACCTCGCGCACATCCTCGTCTTCGCCACCGGCGAGGCCGGCACGCACCGCGCAGTTGCGGGTCTAGTGCTCAAGAACGCTCTTATTGAGCGGAGTGGCCAGCCCGTCACGGATGGTGATGCGCAAGCGATGGAGTATGTCAAGCAGGCGTCCCTTGCTGGTCTGCAGGAGGCGGACAAGATGATACGCCACACCTCTGGAAGTGTCGTCATGGCCATTCTCTACACCGAGAACACTGGCGCTTGGCCACAAGCGCTCGATGTCCTCACAAAGGGCCTGAGCTCGCAGGACGAAAACCTCGTCGAGGTAAGCCGCACACCGTGTGGAGATGCAACGGCGCTGATATTGTAGGGTGTCCTCAACACGTTCCAGAAGGTTGCCGAGGACTGCCCTCAGCGTCTCGACATTACTATCCAGGGGACCAACTTGTTTGAACACCTCGTCCCCCAGTTCATCCAGTTTACTGGCCACTCGGACCCCCGTAACCGTCTTTATGCGCTCGAGACGCTCCAGTGCCTCATCGCGTTGCGCACGCCCGCCCTCATGGCCCAGCTCGAGAGCTACCTCCAGGCCCTTTTTGCTCGCGCCTCTGATGAGTCTGCCGACGTTCGCCGCACCGTTTGTGCTGCCCTTGGCCTCATTCTTGCCAGCCGCCCGGACAAGCTTGTGCCACAGATGAAGAACGTTGTCGACTACATCGCCTACTGCACCAAGGACGACAACGAGGCGGTCGCGCTCGAGGCGTGCGAATTCTGGCTCACGTTCGCCGAGGACCCCTCCCTCAAGTCACAGATGCAGCCGTACCTCGACAAGATCGTTCCTCTTCTCTTGGAGGGCATGGTCTACTCCGAGGTTGACCTCCTCTACCTTGACAATGATGAGGATGACGAGGCCGTCCCGGACAAGGAGACCGACATTAAGCCTCACCTCTACAGCGGCAAAGCTCACGGCGTTGGCGAGTCCAATGACACGTCGTCGGCGCAGAAGGGTGGCCAGTCGCGCGAGGCTGCTGAGCAGGCCTTTGACGATGATGATGATGATGACGATGACTATTATGACGATGATGACGACGACGCCTCTGCGGAGTGGAACATCCGCAAGTGCTCGGCCGCCGCGCTCGATGTCATGGCCGTCTCGTTCCGTGGCGAGTTGCTCAACATCCTTCTCCCCTACCTCAAGGAGCGGCTATTCAACGAGGACTGGACCTACCGCGAGAGTGGTATCCTTGCTCTGGGTGCTATTGCCGAGGGCTGCATCGAGGGTCTTGAGCCTCACCTCCCCCAGCTCGTCCCTTGGCTCATCGAGGCGCTCAAGGACCGCAAGGCGCTGGTCCGCTCCATTACTTGCTGGACTCTTGGCCGCTACTCCAGCTGGGTCGTTGCCGTCTCAACCGAAAACAAGCAGACCTTTTTCCTTCCGACCATGGAGGGTCTCCTCCAGATGGTCCTTGACGGCAACAAGCGCGTCCAGGAGGCTGGCTGCAGTGCGTTTGCCACTCTCGAAGAAGAGGCTGGTGGTGAACTCGTGCCTTTCCTCGAACCCATCCTTCGGAACCTCACTTATGCGTTCACCAAGTACCAACAGAAGAACTTGCTCATCCTCTACGACGCCATCGGCACCCTGGCCGACTCGGTCATGAACGCTCTCGGCACTGAGCAGTACATGGAGATTATCATGCCTCCCCTTATCGACAAGTGGATGAAGCTTAGCGACAGCGACCCAGATCTCGTCCCTCTCCTTGAGTGTCTCTCGTCCGTCACCCTCGCTGCTGGCAAGGCGTTTGGCCCGTATGCTGCGCCAGTCTACCAGCGCTGCGTCACCATCATCAGTACCTCGCTCAACCAGTGGAACGCGTACCTCGGCAACCCCAACGACGTGCTTGAGCCGGATCGCACTTTCATTGTCGTTGCGCTTGACCTTCTGTCCGGTCTGGCGCAGGGCCTTTCGGACCAGATGCCTGCCCTTATAGAATCGGCGCAGCCTCCACTACTCTCTCTCATCGCGGCGTGCCTGACTGTGAGTTTACCTGCGCGAAAGTTATTGACAAAAGCACTTCGAGCCTCCAGTTCGCCAGTCGGCACACGCCCTCCTCGGCGACATGGCTATGACTTGCTTCCCCCTCCTCCGCCCCTACGTTCCGGACCTTATGCCGGCGATCATGGATCAGATTATCCCGGAGCCCCAGCAGGACAGCATCAGCGTTTGCAACAACGCCGCCTGGGCAGCCGGTGAGATCGCCATACAGTACCAGGGCGACGCCGCCCCCATTGAACCTTTTGTGGACGACCTCATCAAGCGCCTTATTCCCATCCTTCTCAACCAGAAGTCACCCAAGTCTCTGTCTGAGAATGCTGCAGTCACCATTGGCCGTCTTGGTCTCGTAGCGCCCGACCGTGTCGCCCCGCACCTTGGCACTTTCGCCCAAGCCTGGTGCACAGCGCTTTGGGAGATCAAGGACAACGATGAGAAGGACTCGGCGTTCCGCGGCTTCTGTATGCTTATTGTTAAGAACCCCGCTGGTCTCGAGAACGTGAGTGGCCCTACCTCGTCGCGACTCTCAACTAACGATTCAGAGCTTCATTTGGTTCTGCAACGCTGTGTGCAAGTGGCAGCACCCCTCGCGTGAACTCGACGACATGTTCCGCCAGATTCTGCAAGCCTTCAAGAACCAGCTTGGTGCGCAGTGGGAGCAGCAAACCGCGTCGTTCCCAACCGTGATCCGCGAGCGCCTCCGCGACCGCTACCAGGTATAATGTGCATTGCTCGTGATAGCAACGTTGTCGCCGACGAGGTGATGCTCCGCGGCTCTGCCGTGCGCTTCCCCTTGCTGGCTCTGGTACCCACGCCGAAATACCACCACCTTAGATAGGCATCACGCATCAGATACCCTCCATACATCTTTGTTGGCAACTACGTAGAATCATTACATAGTCGGGCCCCACATCCGACACCCTTTTCTCTCTCAACACTGCATCTCCTCGACCGGCGCGAGGCATTCACAAAAGGGGCCCATCATTCCATAGCATTTCATAGGAAGACATGAGTTATGAGGTTGCGGAACACGAAGTATACAGTTGGTGACGGCGGGCCTCCACTTACCTCCACCATGAAGTCAGTTTGTCCACTCTGTGTTTTCGCAAACTACCCCATCCACCATCCACCATCCACACCTCGATCATTATGGAAGGATTCGACCTGCCCATGAGTTTCGGTAAGAAGCCCAAGCGAGGGGGTGGTGCGCCGACTGTCAGCAAGCAGCGCATGGCTGAGACGAAGAGAGTGAGAACGATGGCACCAGCGGAAGCTGACAGCAGGCTCCTGTGCCTCCGCCGCGCGAAGCTCCTCCATCACAGCCTCTCCCAAGTTCCTCGGGTCCAAAATCAACCGAAAAAGACGAAGAAGAAGCCGGGCCGCAGCCGCCGAAGCGTAAGGCTGAGTCGGACGACAGCGACGACGAGTTTGAGCCCGAGGAAGACCGGACACCTGTGACACACGAGATCGTGCTCAAGGACCACACTAAGCTGGTCTCGGCGCTGGCGGTTGACCCGCCTGGCGCGCGCGTAGCGACGGGCAGTCACGACTATGACTGCAAGCTGTGGGACTTTGGGGGGATGGACTCGCGCCTGCGCCCGTTCAAGAGCTTCGAGCCGAACGGGACGTACTTTGTGCACGACCTCTCGTACAGCCCCGACGGCAAGCACCTGCTGGCGGTGAGCGGGACGTTCTACCCCAAGGTGTTTGGGCGCGACGGCAACGAGCCGAAGGAGTTCATGAAGGGCGACGTGTACATCCGCGACATGAAGGTGACGAAGGGGCACATCGCCGAGATCAACGCGGGCAAGTGGCATCCTACGGACAACGCCGTGTTCCTGACGTGCGCGAACGACAGCACGCTGCGCGTGTGGGACGTACGCGATACAAGCAAGCAGAAACACGTCGTCGTCGTCCGCTCCAAGGCGCGCGGGAACAAGACACGCGTCACCAGCTGCTGCTGGAGCCCAGATGGCAAGATGATCGCCGCAGGGTGTACGGACGGCGCGGTGCATGTGTGGAGCACGAGCTCGAACTATGCGCGGCCGGACAAGAGTAACGAGAAGGCGCATGAGAAGGATGCGGAGATTACGTGCGTCGCGTTCTCTCCCGACAGCAGGCGCCTCGTCAGCCGGTGCCAGGACGGGACGATCAAGCGTAAGCCTGGCTGTGCGCCTTCGCTGACTCCAGTGTGGGATCCGAAGAACTTGCGGCAGCCGCTCGCGACAGCGAGCGGTATCGACAACAGGTACTCTGAGACCGAAGTGGCGTGGTCTCCCGACGGCCGGTTCGTGCTTGCGGGTACGGCCGTGAACCCGAAGGACGACGCTGCGGTGGGCGAGGTTCTCTTCCTCTCGTCCGACGACCTGTCGGTCCAGCGTCGCGTGCCGATTGCCAAGGCTTCAGTCGTGCGCGTACAATGGCACAGTCGAATCAATCAGCTCTTCGCGTCGTGCTCCAATGGCGAAGTGTACGTCCTCTACTCGCCGCACGCCAGTATCCACGGTGCGCTGCTCCCGCTCGCAAAGATGCCGCGTGCCAAGCCGCGGGACGTGAGCTACACGACAGCGGACCTCGCACCGGTTGTCTTCGCGCCAGATGAGCACGGCCAGATCAGCGCCGATCAGCGACACGGTCTCAGCCTGCATCAAATGGAGAAGCGCGCGAAACGGTTCAAACCCACCGAGCCGCTGACGGGTGCGGGCCGGGGCGGGCGCATCGGCGCGAGCGCTACTGCGGGCTTCGTGCAGGAGATCTTTGGGAATCGCGTCGGCCTTGAGGACCCGCGCGAGGCGCTGCTCAAGTACGCGACGAAGGAGGAGCAGGAACGCGTCAGGTTCCTCGCCAAGTCGCCGCCGCCAGGGCGCGACGACTAGTCGGTGCGCAGGACGCGGCGCGTTCTTGCGGCCCCGCGGCCTCAGGCGCGGCTGATCGTTCCGTCGCGTCACATCGTATATGCATGGATATGTGCGCGATGAAGTAGTATGCTGCCCTCGCAATTGATGACATCACGTTGATAAATTGTGGCCCACTGGCAACTATTTGCCTACAATGGCTAGCACTATGCATGCGATGGTGCGCTAACGTTTGCTGCAATAGAACTAGTGCTCTTCGCCTCCTCGCCACTGCTTTTTCCAAGCTACCCGCATGTGATTCTGTGTTTTGCTTGATGTGACGCCGATCGCAGTGTCGTATAAAGACCTCACTCATCGTGGCCACCTAGACACACCATCTTCCCTCGCCATCTACGCATCTATCCGCTGCACTATCATACCATCACGAAGCCATGTTGTTCCTACCCAATTGCCCAGGAGATGCCAGTGGTAAAAACAAGGGCAGTAAGTGTTTGCACGCCAAACACGCTGACGCAGACTGGTGCGTAGTTGTCTCGTCGACGGACAACCGCACGTACTACTGCATTTACTGCGGCAGCGAGCTGCTCTAGCTAGATTGGAACCCGATCTGAACTGGCAGAGTAGTGTTAGAGAATGTTCATAATGAATTGCGCTACGCAGGGAAACTCGGATTCAGTCACACCGCTGGAGGCGGTTGCATTTCGACGAGACTATGCTCCGTCACTCCGTTTCACAAGCACGCAAGCACAACATGGGGCTGATGTTACTCCGCTAACACCATCCCGAGTGCGGCGCACAGTGCGGTGCATCGCAGTGCGGTGCTTCGTGTTCGCCACGTTCGCGGACGGCCGTGCGTCACTCTGCATCACTTCGTGTCGAGAATTGATTGCGGCCCGTACCGTATACGCTGCGACCCGCCACCCACCCCAACAGCCCGCTGAATTCGTGTTGTTCCTCGCCATCAATTCATGTCTCAGCTCCACCGTTCGTCAGCCGTATTCACCAGTCGTATGGCCCATATGCGCCCCAGATGGCTGTCTCGGACCAGAGCATAAACTTTCGCACTCCTATCTTTCAGCCGCTACTTAAATCGCTCTTCCTCGCTTCCTTCCTCGCCACTTCCTCCAACCGTCTCCGCTCCACCTAGGACACCTCACCACCGCTCCTCCTCGCACCGCACAATCTTCATCACGATGCTTTCCATCGTCAAGAGCAAGCTCATCTTCAGCAAGGTCAAGGGTGGCAAAGGCAAGAACACCAACCGCGACATGCCGCCACCTTGCATGGGTAACTCGCTGAAGGAGAACGCTGGCCGTAAGTGATTCGCCTGAGTCGGCCGTCGCCGTCCATTTGGAGCAATGCAGCACTGATACCAGAGCCGTGCGTGCTCGTCGATCGTCCCGACTTCCCTCCGAGCTTTCAGCTCTGCACTTATTGCCTGCGACTCTATGTCCCGATCCCTTCCCAGACTTTCTAGAGTCATCAATGGTGGAGAGATTGGTTTCTTGAGTGGTCGCCCGGTGACGTGCGCACGTGGACTGATGTAATTGCATTGCAGAAGTACGGTTGCCGTCGCCTCGTAAACTCTCGCAGCTATCTAGATCTCGCTCCGTATCTCGCTACATCTCGCGAGATTGAGATTGGCTCTGCCTGATCTTGGGCGCTCTTCCGGGCGCCAAATCCTCCGCCCGACGCCCGACGGCACAACCCGACGCCACGGCCTGACCCCACTGCTCGCTGCCGACTGGGACCCGACGCACGGCTGCAGGGCATGGCGCCGTCCGCGCCGTCCACACTGTGCGCCCCGGAGTCATCAGCCGCCCAAGCAGCCGGAACGTGAGGAAACAAAGTTCGGGCCGTGCCCCCGCAGTTGGACAGCGGCAGCAGACTGACGGCATCTGCTGCGGCGTTGGACGCGACTTCTTTCAGCCCTGTCCACATCCTTCGGCTTGCACTTGGGTCGGGCAAAGTCCTCGGCGGGTGTTCTGCTCGGACATGAAATCGGAGGCTGGAGAACTAACCGTGACTCACATGACCCTGACATGACGAAGCAGCGCCCCGTTCCGCAGCATGGAATGATCAGGAATCATCCCATCTTTGTTGTTCTGTTCGAGTCGATTAGCGAGTGCCGCTGTTAGTTGCTGAATCACTGTTTATCGCCGAGACATGTGACATGCCTCAGTCTTTACAAGTTCAGGCGTCGCGGCAACCGCGGCCGCCAAACTTGTGCCCCGCCGCTAAGTCGCCTGGCCGCGGGCCAGTCTTCGATGTGCTCCCGAGCGCTGCGGAGGCGCTATGGCGGGATCCTTTCGAAGAGCATGCGAAGAGCACAGTGCGAAGTGGGAACCGAGGCGCAGGCACATGCCACCGCACAGACGCGACGCGGCGTGCTTCTTTGCCTTTTCCTGCCACGCCTGCCGGCCACCCGGTCACAGCCGAGCGCAAGCCGGAGTCTGAGCGCAAGCACCACATCTGGGTGTCTGGCTGGCGGCTGGCGCAGCAGCTGGCGGCCTTGCGGCATCGCGGCGGGCTATATCTCTGGCTCGCTCGCCCCGAGTCTCGAACATCCACACCAAGAATGACGACCTGGATCCAGTGTCCCGGCGACGCGTGGGGGAGCAACCGCGGGCGTGCGTATCCTCGTTCTCGGCGCATGATGCTCACCTCCGCCAGACAAATGCTGCCCCTTCAAACTACCAGACGGGCGCGTCATCTGCCAGTTCTGTCGCCTCCAAGTGTAACCCGCCATACCGCCTCCGACCCGACCTCGTAATCTCGCGCCTAGACGCACGCGCATACAATGTAGCCCTTCTGTACGCTTATATTTAGTGGTTTGAACTCTTTGACTGGATGCTCACTGCTCATCTCATCTGATAACTCGATCACGCGGCGCGTCTCGCTCCTCGCTTCGGAACTGATGGCTTCCTCGACCGGTACTTACAGGCTGATGCGATCACGGCGGGCGCCGCTCGGACGCTGCCCACATCACTTGCTGTCCGCTCTCGTCGGACAGCGGGGGATGGTGGCCCATGCCTAATGTCTCGCAAGTCATATCCTCCCTGCTCCTCTCATGCTGAACTTCTTCTCTCGCCGCTTCTTTTACTCACAACTTGACGCCTTGAGTCCGTTCTTGACGCCTACACTGTCGCTTCCGGTCTCAAACCCCAGATGTTCTCCACTACCCCGTCTCCACTGCCATCGGCATTAGACATCGTCTGCTATGGCGACAGCGACGGTGAAAACCGTGGATGTGAGGCGTCCCTTCGCTTCCCAGCGCTTGCTCTGCTGACTCTAGCGTACTGCATCCCCGTTGCCTACACCGACGGCTACTCATGGCGCATCGTCTGCCGGTTCTGCGGGCTACAGTGCTAGCAACCACGGGTACGCATTTGCTTTGCGTACGCAAGTCCAGTTATATCCCGAGACGGAGTGTCTCCGCCACAACAAATATTGGATGATTTACTTATACCCATACCAAGCACCACGTATACGCCTTTCCGTTTCTTTGTCGTCGCCGCTTCTGAAGTTTGCTCTCCACCAAATTTCTGTCAGAAATTTTGTGCTCGTTCTGCTCGAGCTCGATCTTGTCTTCTGCAATACTTGGCTCGCCCCGGGGTCGAACCCAGACCCAGCTCGGGCCATCTGCCACCACATTCCGCGTCGTTCACGCAAACACGAAACGGCGCGCCACGGTGCGAGAGGCCGCCACCCACAGGGTGTTGCATCGTCGTCACGGATTAAGCTCAGAAGCAAGCTGTCACGGGGACCACCTGCACTGTTTCAGGTAAACTGGACGCCCGCAAAGAAGTCTGTAAGACGCAGGTGGGACTCGATCACTTCCGCCACACTCCGCGCAATGCACAATCGCGCTGAGCCGCCTCCCCGCACCACTGCGTCTGTACTTACATCTCGCACTCGGAGTTGTCGTTGGAATAGGTAATATTCCAGTTGTTTGTTTGACTTCGAGTTGCGGAACTCATCTTCATGATCGCAAGATCGCCAGTCTCACTTCTCGACCCTCTCCAACGGAAGCTCTTTCCGCGCTTGGTCCCTCGTCCAATCCCGAAACATGCTTATGCCGCACATGTGATTGCTCCACACCATGTGCAGCTACGTTACTCGTCAACACCTCGACACACCTCGCCACGCAATTTCTCGCCGCGCCCCTGCGAGTCTCTGTGATGTTTGTCATTTGCCCACGCTATCAGCGGGCACTTGGCTCCGCACCTCGAGTGCAACACGCTCACCGCTTCGGCGCCGCTCGCCCTGCGGCGCCACATCGCTCGCACCACCATGCCCCCGCGGCTCCCACAACATGCGTCCTCGTCGCCGACCGCGCTACCGCGCCACCGTGGCCTCGGCCCAGCTCGCCACCATCGCTCCGCGCACGCCGGGGCAAGCCACTTGTTACTCGCCCCGCTCTGGGATTATAATTGGAAGCCCGCCCCGCTTCTCGTCGACATCCACCTTTTAAAGCCCAGCGCCGCCTCCCACCAAGGCCAGCTCTACAAGGTAGCTCCGACCCAGGCATGCACCCGCAGCCGCAGTACCCCACATACCCGCACCTTCACCAAGCCCCACCCATGCCCAGTCCGTCATATTCGTCGGCTTGCACGCCAGCGCCCGTCGCACCGCCGCAGCACTCTGCGAAACGTTGCGAGTGGATCGAATGTCCGGGCGCCGGAGACGGGAGTAACAAGGGCCGTGCGTACCGCTTCGTCCAGGCTGACCCAGACGCATGTGAAGAGACGTGGAAGTGGGTCTTGAAGAAGAAGGTCGCTGTGTGCCTGCATTGCGGGTTGCAAGTGTAGTCCGAGTGAGAGGGAGTTAAGTGAGGTCACCTCTTGCGCGACTTTGCGGCTGACGGAAGTCGGCTAATCATAAACATGGAGAAGTAGAGGTGGGGATCCGGGTGTGAGAGGGTTGTAAACAAAATAGGTGGATGTAAACGCGTCTGTATTGGCAGGTTGGTTGGCCCTCGGCCCCACTAATGAGCACAGCCCGCTCATCAAACCGACTTCGCCTGTCTATCACTGCTGACTTCGGCATGATCGTCACTGCTCGCTACGACAGTAACATGTTACATTATCTTGATTGCGCCAGTGCACAACCATACATCGTATCTATACATACATGTACACCCAATGGTTATGGGTTCATTAACAGGAGTGCTGTATCGCAAGTAGACTGCGCCGTCGAGGCCAATGATGATGCCGGATGCTTATGTGCTCCCCCCTCTGCACGGCAAAACAACAAACACTACTCCGTCCAGGAACCTGAGCTGCTCATGGTGTCGTCCATATGCTCATGCTCATGCGTGTCTGCAGGTCTAGGGAAAACAATCACACGGGCAGTCGGCCTATGCAAGCGATGCGAACTCGGGGGACATCTCGCTTCGACAATAGTCGCAGACCACAATCCCATCGCCGCAGTCGACTGGTTCACATGGCACTATATCAGCTCTTGGGCGCCGTGGACGTACATCCTCGGTTGGTCTTCCACCAGTCCCCTGGGCAGATGAGGACAGCATCGCTGTTCGTCTTGGTTTCGCGTGTTTCGCTGGTGGTCGTGTCGGTCATAGTGGGTCGTCGTGGGTGGCGGGATGGCATCACTTCACTGAGCAGGAGGCTACATATGGTGGCGGCTGTGATGGCTGTCACGGCGCGAAGCGCACAGAGGTGCAGAGGTCACGAGAGCAGCGCGCGTGATGCTAATTTGCGACCACGCTTCCAAAGCAGTGTTCTGGCTGGCATGCGATCTGGGAGCTGCAGGAGGCAGAGTTTGAGTGAGCCTAGTTTGCCACCCATTCCGTCATCGCTCATAAGAGGAGAGGATTGTTATGATCTCAGCCTGATCACTAGATCACTGGGCAAGCCAGATGCCTCAGCGTCTTTGCTTCAGTCTTTACAGACTCCGACGACCATCGGTGTAGACTCGGCAGTGCAGAACGACGGAAAGAGCAACGAAATGGCTTGGCTCGGTGGTGGCCAGACCATTTGGCTGACGCCGTGTGCCTGGGCCGGATCCCAACCGGCGCGACGCCTCCTGACGTCCTGACGCCCTCAGTTTATCGCATCTTGTAATCTCCCACTCTCTCTCTCTCTCGCCATGTCCTCCCCCCAGCCCGCCATGCCCGCCACGCCCACTCCCATCTCCCTCGTCGGCATCACCGGCCTCACGGGCAGCGCTGCGCTGGCGTGCCTCCTCTCCGCACCTGTCCCCTTCGCAATCACGGCATTCTCGCGCCGCCCCGCCCCCGCCACTGCCGACACGCCCGGCACGACGTACAACAACGTCGTGGGCGAGCTCGCGCCCACGCCCGCCAAGGTCGGGTCGCCGGGCGGCATCTTCGTCTCCTGTCTCGGCACGACGCGCGCCGACGTCGGCGGGATCGACAAGCAGCGCGTGATTGACCTGGACATGAATCGCGACCTCGCGCAGCAGGCGCGCAAGGACGGCGCCGAGACTGTGCGTGTCACCTTCCTTCTTCTCCTCCCGCTTCATGTGCCCGCGCTCACACCAGGTCATGCTTGTGTCCACGTCGATGGCTAACTCGGCTGCGTGGTTTGCCTACCCCAAGATGAAGGGCGAGCTTGAGGACGCAGTCAAGGGCATGGGCTTCCGCCGCACCATCCTGCTCCGTCCCGGCGCGCTCCTGTACGACGGTGACCGGTGAGTCTGTCCATGGGGCGTGGGAATCGAGATGCGGCCGTCCTTCGGTGGTTGCGGACGCATGACTTTCTCCCACTCACATCCGCTTGCTTCCTTGCGCCCTCGCGCCTTTGCTTGCGCTCATCTCAGTAACATCAAGCGCACAGCCGAGAGCCTGTACGTCTCGACGCTCAAGGGACTGCGCGCGATCGGCGTGCCGACAACCTCGCTGGCCGTAGACGCTGAAGACGTGGGTGCGGCGATCGCGCAGCTCGCGATCCACCCGCCACCTGAGGGCGTGACGGAGCTGTACAACGACGACATGATCAAGCTCGCCAACGAGTTCCGTGCTGCGCAGAACAAGGCGCGCCAGGCGTAGTTGCTGCCCGAGAGCTTCGATTCCCCCGCCCCAGGATACCCCGCCGTCTTATACATGTACCACGGACAGTCGCACATAGATGACACGATAATGACATGCATGATGATCTATGTTTTAGTTGGACCGAGCACGACTCCCCCGTGAACTGCCGCGCGCTCGGGGCACTCGAAGACATGAGAGGCTAGTCGACACGCACAGCACTGTACAGCCTGCGCGTGGCCCACCACGACGCGGTCGCACCTATGCTCCCGAGCAAGAGGAAGGTGAGGAGAGAGGCAAGGAAACTAATGTCAGCGAGACCGTGAACGGGGAAACTCACAGGTAACCCAGATACAGGATGACAGAGGTGAAGCTGCCAAGGGAGAGACGGCTCGCCCAGTACCAGAGGCCGTAGACAAACACCCAGAAGGCTGCGCCGCCGCCGACGAGGAAAGAGCGCCAGTGCCACCGGTACTCCTCGGCACAGAGGATGAAGTACGTGAAGAGGATGGTGACGGTGGCGGTAGTGAGCGCGACGACAGCAAACGTGAGGAAGAGGAAGCCAAAGGCATAGTATGCGCGGTTGCCGAACAAGCTCGAGAGCATGAAGTACAGCTCGACGAACGCGGCGCCGAACGGTAGGATGCCGCCGATGATGGCGGCGGGCATCGGCTTGAGGTACCACGGGCAGGGGGGGATCTGGCGCGGAATCGAGTTTGTGCGCACGGGGTTGGCCCAGCCGCCGTGCTTCATGCCGAAGAAGTAGCCGGCGACGGTGAGGGGCACCGAGATGACGAACCACATCAGCAGGATGGCGAGAATGGTGCCGAAGGGGATCGCGCCGGACGCGCCAGTGAACACGAGGAGGAGGTTGAGCATGCCGATGATCGTGAAGACTATGGTCGGGAAGAGAACGGCGGTGAGGACGAGGTTCGGCTTCCACTGGTCGCCGCCGAGAGAGGCGTACACGCGCGCCGAGACGTACCCGGACACGCAACCGAAGAGGGTCCAGCAGATGAGGAGGACCGTCTCGAGCGACCCGCGGTTCGATGGCGAGAGGAAGCCGAAGAGCGCAAACACCAGCGTGACTAGCGTCATGCCGGCGAGGTGGAAACCGTTGCCGACAAGCACCGAGAGGAGCATCGGGCGCTGCGGCTGGCGGAATACCTCGCCGTGCACGAGCTTCCATCCATAGTCCTCTTGAACGTCGTCCGCGAGGTCAATCGCGTTGTAGCGCGAGATGTCCTTAGTGATTGTGCGATACAGGATGGTGGAGACAATGAAGCAGAGGAAGCCGACAATGACGAGCGAGTTGATGAGCGAGAACCAATGGATCTTGGGGTCGAAGACGTGCAGGTAACTGTCCCAACGGAGCGACCATGGCACGTCGGACTCGCGGAATTGCACCGAGTACGTGTAGTAGAACTCATTGTCGGCAGTCTCAGAGAGGTAGAGCGGCTTGTCGAGGATGTTGCAGTTGGGCGTTTCCTCTCCTGCGACAATGCTGTCAACACTGCGAGGGTAGACCATCACGCCGACAACACGAATCTTGTCCTCGGCGCGCTTGTGGTAGTCGATGTAGATGTCGTAATGGTTGTTGAGAGCGGGCTTCTCGTCCGAGCCTACATTGTTATACCCGTGCGAGCCAAGCTGGAAGCCCTGCCCGTCGAGGAACTGTTCACCGGTCCGCGCGTCCTTCTTGAGCTCGGCGCCCGGCAGCCCGTCGATGATGAAGTTGAGCCCGTAGTCCTGGCGGATAAGGTCGTGGACGAACTTTGCATCGTTGCCCGGCAACTTGCTCCGGCACAGCCTGATACACCTGTTGTCGTTGAGCATTTTGATGTCGAAAGGCGAGGAGAGGATACGATCACCGAATAGGATCGAGCCGAGCGACTCGGGCTGCTTAACGGGCCCGCCTTCAGGCTGGCAGAAGTGGAAGCGCGGGTCGTAATAGTCGTAGGAGATGAGGGAGCGGAGAGTGGCGTTCAGCATCGGCGTGACCGTGTTGACGAAGACGTCGACCTTATCGCCTGCCTTGTAGTCTCGTGGCGCGGAGCCGGGGAGATAGAAAGCCGACACAGGGGCAGCTGCCGCGGCCGCGAGCGCGGCGAGCGCGGCGAAGTGCATGGTGGGAGAGAGGGGTGGAGGAGCCGCCGAGACGGAGAAGGGATGCGAGACGCGTTGGTGGGAGAGTGAGCCGTGTGGACGGTGTTTTGGTGGTGTGAGAGAGATCTGAGGATGTCAAGAGGAATGAGGCAATGTCGAGGTGGAAGCCGAGACGCGTCTTGGTCGTCTGCCGCGAGCAGGCGGGATGTGACTCTGCGACACCAGGCACCGACTTTTGCGAATGCTGTGAATGCAATCAAGAAGATTCGAACGAGCGACCTTGGGCCGGCCAAGTTCCGGATTGCCGCGGCTCAATCTGGACACGTGGACAGTACAGTCACGTGACTGAGGGGCGCTGGGTCATCCATGTGCCCGCTGAGTCAATCAATCGGCTGCGCCGGAAGGGCCGGAGATGACCCACCCAACTCCAACACTGCGCTTATGTCCGGCTACGAAAAGGAAAGTTCACCAATCCACCGACGAGACGACGCCATCACTGTCCACCGATCCACCGGCATCTCTCCTCTTCCAACAACACCATCATCTATCCTTCATCCCAGTTGTATTCTAATTTCCGACATGTCGGCGCCCACACACCACTCCGTGCCAGCCGAGGTGCCGTCACCGTTCGTCTTTGACCCCGTCGAGGACGCTGTGGCCGCCATCAAGGCCGGCGAGTTCGTGGTCGTCATGGACGACGAGGACCGCGAGAACGAGGGCGATGTCATCTGCGCCGCGTCCAAGATCACCGAGGAGGGCATGGCGTGGTTCATCAAGTGGACGAGGTGAGCATCGCGTGTTGGTTCTGCTGGCGAGGCGACACGAGGCGACTCGCACTCGTTCGGCGCTCGGCATCCGGACGCGCCGGTACCGGTATCGTCAAGGACGGCACTGGGCTGTCTGTGACACAACGATACTAGCTCCCTTTCTTTGCCCCTTAGTCCCAATCTGGGCCGCAGCTGACGCCCAGCGGGTTCATTTGCCTGTCGATGCCGCCGTCCCGCCTCCAGGAGCTGCGGCTCCCGCCCCTCCTCGCCGCCAGCGGCTCCAGCGAAGACCCCAAGGGGACGGCGTACCACCTGACGATTGATGCCAACAGCGGCAAGCACCCCACGACGACGGGCATCAGCGCGCACGACCGCGCTCTCGCGTCCCGCCTCGTTGCGAGCGGCGCTAGCGCCGACGAGTTCACGCGCCCCGGGCATCTCGTGCCCCTCCGCTACACCCCGGGCGGGACGCGCGTGCGGTTCGGGCACACCGAGGCGGCCGTCGGTGAGTGCGACTGCGCTGGGCTTGGCGGGCTAGGGCATGCTGGGCAGTGCCGAAAAGTGGAGGCGGGAATGTTCGGCGCGGATCTGCCGCGATTCGGCGATCTATCTGCAGTGATCCTCTGATCTGCGTTGTGTGTGGGCTCAACGTGCACGTCTCTCGTGATCTCGTGGACGTTGCACGCGGCGTAGAGGTTACACATCCGCACGGAGCCGGGGTAGTCACGGCTGAGCGTGTTCTCCCACCTTCCGCGGTGACAACTGTGGCAGCCAATTGGGCCCAAGCCAAAGCGCGTCAACGCGACTTGGAGGTAAACTGCTAAGCTCGACCTCTGGCGTTGGCATGTTGTCGCAGGGCGAGCTTGCTCTTCTCCTATTGCCTCCCCTCCGCATCGCCGTCATCGCTTGCAATCCCCTCGCCCGCCCCTGAGTCCTCGCCCCTCACCCCGCAGCCCGCAGCAGACGCCGCCACAGTAACGCTGACTCGCAGACCTGTGCTACCTCGCTGGCGAGCCGCCAGCTGGTCTCCTTTGCGAGCTCGTCCATCCCACCGACCCCAAGGGCAGCATGGCGCGCCGCGACGACTGCTGGCGCTTTGCGCGCGAGTGGGGCCTCAAGTGCATCAGCATCGAGGACATGCGCAAGTACCTCGCCACCGACAAGGGCGCTGCCGTGCCCAAGGCGTGAGCGCCAGCATCCGCGTTGTAGCTGGCTGGAGGATTGGTCGGAGGTGTGGCGAGAGGCGAGAAAAGCGAAGCAACCCATCGAGTCACCGAGGGGCGCCCCGAGTTTATTAGCGGATGGCGGAGACGGATACCCAGTCGCTGCGAGCGACATGCGAGCACGGCTGCGAGGAGCGGAATGGGAGGCGTGGTCGTGCTCATCTGCATACGGCATGGATTACAACTCTTGGATCGGTGGGGCGAAATATCAGACGAGGCGCAGCGGCACGCTGATAATCATGCTCCGCTGATCTCCTGATTAACCACAAAGTAACCCTGGCATAGCCATCCATGCCCTCTACAACAGTCTAATGCTATTTCACAAACATGAGCACTATCAAGCTAGCAATGCCGATGATTCCGCTGGTACAACGCCGAGGCCCACTGATATGAAGTAAGGCATCCGCTCAAAGCTTGAACAGGAATCCGAGATCGTCAACAGTTAGCTTGCCAAGAGCGGCGTCAGGGTCGCGGCTCAGCGCCGCGTCCGTCATCGCAAGCTTTTTGGCCTGCAACTGGACGATCTGGTCCTCGATCGAGTCCTCCACGACCAGCTTGATGACCTTGACCGGGCGCTTCTGCCCGAGACGGTGGATACGGTCCATGGCCTGATACTCAACCGATGGGTTCCACCACGAGTCCATCATAAAGACCATGCTCGCCTCCGTGAGGTTCTGTTGTTAGCTCCTCCTTATATCTCAACCCACGAGAGCGACACCTCCAGCTTTGAGCGAGATGAGGAAGACGGTGACGTTTGTGTTCTTCACTGGATGGTCAGCTAGATGTGTGCCTGAGTACTCACTGAAGTGCTGAATAGTCGCGTCGCGCTGCTGGGGTGTCATACCACCTTCGAGACGACAGATCTTGACGTCAGCTGTGACGTTAAAAAAAAGCCTACGTTGAATCCCGCACGCTGGAGACGGAAGGCGATGAGGTCCAGGAAGGAGACGAACTGGGAACTTGATGTCAGTCTACTCCCTGTATCGGCAACTCACAAGACCAGCGACTTGACAGTACAATCCTTGTCGCGCAGTTTCTCGAGCTCCTCTACGAGTGCCTCCAGCTTGGACGACGAGCGCCAATTGGCAATGTCAAGACGCGAAAGGATACCCTGCCTGGCCTTCTTTGACGAATCGTCAATCTCGATCGCCTCTTGCTCAAGATCGATGGAGATCTCGATATGGCACACGGGGCACTCGGGCTGATGTCAGATGCAGTGGCAAAGTAAAACGCACGCTGTGCCCTCGCAGCTGTTGCACCTCTAGATACTGGCGGATGCACTCGCGGTCGAACACGTGGTGACAGGCGGAGACGATCGCGTCCTCGGCCGTGTCGTTGCAAAGACGACACACCGTCCCCTCCTCCGAAGATTGCGCAAGCGAGCTGGTCTTGGAGCGGAGGACGAGATCGGGGTGGCAAGCCATCTGGCGCACTTAATGTCAGCGGACGCCAATGAGGCTGAATGGCAGCCGAACGTACTTCGAGTAATGAGAGAGAAAATATTGGAATAGTCTGAAAGGGTCAGCGAGCCCAGTCACAGGCACTCACTGTTCAACACGGTACCGGCCGTTACATAGGTGTTGAACTGACGCTTGGCGTTGGTGAAGAGGCTCATGTACAATTCCTTCTCCTGAGGAGAGAAGTAGTCGCGGCGGACGACGATTGTACGAGGCGGGAGGCCCAGATCATCAGCACGCTCCAACTTGGTGCGACTGTGGTCAGTAGGCGGATCACAGATAACGAGCTCACCGGAGCATCATACGGTCAAGCAAGACCTTGAGCTTCTTGAAAGCCGTCATGCCCGGCCCGCCAACTTCAATTCCATAGCGAGCGATAGGAGTAAGAATCTCCGAGTTCCACAGGGAGACGTGATCCATAGGTTTATGACCGCAGTCATCGCAATGGCGGCGATCCTTGAACGCCCAATGCAGCGACTTGCAGTCGCACTTCTTGCAGAAGTAGAAACTGGAGTCAGCAGATGGGAAAAAGTAGGATGCTCACCTGAATGGATCGGCGCCCAGGAAGCGGACGAGGGAATACAACTCGCCCACACGGTTTTGAAGGGGTGTACCAGACAGGCACCAACGATACTTGGCCTGGAGGGCAAAAGCAGCTTTGGCAGCGTTCGTGGTGCGTTCCTTGATGTTGTGGGCCTCGTCAAGCACAACGCTATAGGTGTCAGCAGGAAAACGTTGAGAGTGCGCTGCAGTCAGGAATGGATCAGCTACTCACCGGAACCACTCGAACGAGTGCATTGGTGACTGCTCCTTGAGAATCAAGTTACCGCGCTTGAATCCGCGCTGCTGACGGCGAAAAGATGCCTCAAGCGTACCGTACGACACAAGTACGACGTCAAACTTCTTGAGGTCCTCAGCCTTCATGCGACCTGCACCGTGCCAAAGGCAGACCTTGAACCCCTCGGCGTGCGTCTCGATCTCGTTCTTCCACTGCATAAGGGCAACAACGGGCGCGACAACAAGGGAGGGCTTGCGACGCGGCTCGGAGAGCAGAAGGGCGATAGTTTGAATACTGTCGTCGTCAGCGTTGGAGATTGCGACCAGCTCACGTCTTTCCCATGCCCATCTCGTCTGCAAGCATGCCTCCGCGCCACACTCCTTCCTCCTGCTTCTTCATCCAGTACAGGCTCTCCTTCTGGAACGGGAGGAGCGTGAGCTTGAGTGAAGGATGGGCCTCCATTGGGACGGGCTTCACTGGCTCGATGTTGGTCTCAAGGTCGCCCCAGCAGTCAACTAGTTCGGGGTGGTGCTGACATCAGCTACACGCCGCTTTTGAGCTCACCAAGCCCAGACGAATTTGGTTGCGCTCGCCCTGGGTGAGTTTGCGTCCCATCTTCTTCTTCAGTTTGGCCTCCAGCCGCCTGATAGTGAGTTTCTCCTCCTTGATGCGCTCCAGCTCCGCGTCCCGGTCAGCCTGCGATCTATGCTTCCAGGTAGGAGGCAGTTGATCGGCCGCACTGCCATTGAGGCGACGGCCCTTGGCTGCCTTCAACTTCTTCTTCGCGGGCTTCTTGGTATCCTCATCAGACACCTCATCAGACTCCTCAGCCTCGTCAGACTCTTCGTCGGAGAATGTTGAAAGAGGGGAGTCTGAGAAGGCGGAGTCCTCGACGTCTTCGGGGACAAGGTCTGGTGACGCGGAACTGTCAAGAGGCGTGGGAAGGGTGGACCCGGAGGTTGACGACTGCCCACGCGTCGCCCGCATCCGAACTGGAATCAGCTACAGCGGGCACCGACACTCACGTTGCGCGGCACGGGCAATAGCCGTGCGGTGAGGAGTTAAGCTCTTCCCTGCGCTCCTGGGCGTGGTTTTGGCTGTTGAGGTTGAGCTACTGCGAGAACGCGACCGGGATGCTCTCGTCGAAGGGGCACCATTCGATGCAGCGATAGCGCGCTGGAGTTGCTCGGCCTCCTCGTCCGAGTTGAAAGCGAAATCGTCATCATCATCGTCGTCATCATCGTCAGAGCCAGAAGTGACGGAAATGGCTGTGCGTGTGGGACGCCCTTTCCTCGCCCTAGACCTGCGGCCGGCGGCAAGGGGCTTCTCCTCCTCACTCGAGTCGTTCTGTGTTGGGCGGTCAGGCTCCGATTCGGTTGTGTCGCCATCAACCTCTTCCTTGACCTGTTCATCGATCTCGTCTTTCACTTCCTTATTGGCCTTGATCCGGGCCGAGCGCGAAAGCGTGAGATTATCGGAACTGGTCGTCTGCTCCATGCTGAGCTTAGAGCGGCGTGAGGGGACCACTACGGCCTCGAGAGCCTGGCGCTTGGCGGGGCGCTCAGACGAGGCTGCCGTCAGCGGAGGCGGGGGGTAAGAAATCAGAACGGAGGGACAAGGAACGGAGACTCACTGGCGCGCCGGCGGGTACGACTCGGCGAGTCGTCCATGTCCATGCTTTCGGGAGTGGCAAGTCCGGGTTCCTCCTTGACCTCTGGTGAGGCAGGTGAGTAGTTGGTCGCGGGTGTTGGGAGACCGCGGGAGCGAGTTGAGCGGCGCGGAGTCGTCATTGAGGATGAGGGAGTCGTTGTCGACAAAGGAAGGGGATGGAGGAGGAGGAGGTGAGGTGAGACTGAGCAGATGCACCAAAGTTGACGCGACCGGTTGACTAACCCCACCTACTGCGGAACTTTGTGTGATGACCGGTCCCCACGCGTCTCACCCCTGAAATTCTGATCACCATGTGCCTGAACTCGCTCCACTGTGTCAGTTACATCTCCACGGACACTGCAACCGACAGCACAAGACAGCTGTCTCGCACCCAATCATCAAACGGGTATCCCGATGCATACAGTACATGACTCTACAGACAAGTGACAAAAGCCCCGACGCCAGGCTCTCTGCGGTCTACCTGGAAGGCTGCGATGCAATGTGGCGATGTGGATGTGGCAGTGTGGATGTGGCGGTGGAGTGCCAATCCGTGCGGAGCGCGTCTCCCCTCTTCTAGCTCTAGTCGAACGTGATCTTCGTCGCGGCGGGCGCGTCAGTCGTGTCTTTGAACCATGCACCATAGGCTCCGTGCTCCTGATTCTCTGTCAGCGTTCGCTCGTCATTGCGCGCGGCTGTAACTCACCTTCTTCTTGATGGTGGATGGGAAGCGGTCCATCTCCTTGGGGATCTCGGCACCGGCGTCACGGAGGACGCGCATAAACTCGCCAGCAAGCGACTTCTCGTGGTTCTCGCCCGTGAAGAACGTTACTGCCCGTCCGGTCTTGCCCGCACGGCCTGTCCGGCCGCAGCGGTGGACAAAGTCCTCAGTAGTAAGCGGGAACGTGACGTTGATGACGAGGGCGACGTCGGGAATGTCGAGGCCACGCGCGGCAACATCAGTCGCAACGAGGACGTTGACCGAGCCATCCTTGAACGCGTCGAGGGCCTTGAAGCGAGCGTCCTGACCCATGTCGCCGTGCAGCGCGCCGACCTTGAAGTTGGCGCGACGGATTGTGTACTCAAGACGCTGCGCCTCCTTCTTGTACAGCCCGAACACGAGGACACGCGCACCGGGGTTGCTCTTCTGGTGCTGGCGGAGGTGGTAAAGAAGGCGCTGGTCCTTGTCACGCGGGTTGTCGAAGACCTCGACGACCTGCGTGATGCGCTTGTTGGCCGAAAGCTCGTCAGACCCCACCGTAACCTTGACAGGGCTGGTGAGGAACGAGGACGCCAGGCGGCGCACAGACTCGGGCCATGTCGCAGAGAACATGACGGTCTGACGCTTGGGGTGGTTGGGGGTGTGGGCGATGATGCGGCGAATGTCCTGCTCGAAACCCTGGTCGAGCATACGGTCCGCCTCGTCAAGGACGAGGTACGAGATCGATGAGAGATCGAGATCTCCCGAGTCCGCGAGGTCCAGGGTGCGGCCCGGGGTACCAACAACGATGCGCGTACCCTCCGCGCGGATGTCGCGGATCTGGTCGTGCTTGCCCACACCACCGAAAAGCGCGACAGCCTTGATGCCAGCCTCCTTGCCAAGCTTGACGAGAGTGTCGAAGCTCTGCTGTGCGAGCTCACGGGTAGGTGCAAGCACGAGCATGGCGAGCTTGCCCTTGCCGTTCTTGCCCGGCTTGGGGAGCGACGAGAGATGTTGAATGCCCGGCACACCAAACGCCAGCGTCTTGCCCGAGCCGGTCTCGGCGATACCGACAACATCACGCTTCGCAAGAAGCGCGGGCCACGAGACGGCCTGGATTGGCGTCGGCTTGGGGAACGCCTTCAAGAACGCGACAATGGCGGGGGTGACAGGGAGGGTGGACATGTCGAGGTGGGGTGGGAAGAGGGCAGGCTCGAGGGTGATGTTCTGCTCCGCCAGGTACGCCTTGTCGGCCGCCGTGAAGTCCGTGGGGACGGGCGCGGACGCCTCAGTAGTCTCGGCGGCGGCGGCGGCGGCGGCGGCGGCGGCGGCTGCCTTGAGCTTCTTGAGCTGCTTCTTCGACAGCGGAGCGGCCTCGCCCTCGGCGGGGGTCTGGAGAGCCGTCTCGGCGGGGGTAGATGCGCCAGTGGCGAGCGCTGGGGTCGACTCGCCCGACTTGTCCTTCTTCTGCTTCTTCTCCTTCTTCTCCTTCTTCTTGCTCTCCTCTCCGTCGTCCTCACGCGACCGCTTCTTGTCCTTCTTGGGGATCTCCTCGCCAGCCTCGGTGGCAGCGGCAGCCTTAGCGGCCTTGCGGGCACGCTTGGCCTCCTTCTGAGCGCGGCGCTCTTCCTTGCTGAGCTTGACTTCTGTTTCGACAGACATTTTGAGTGATGGATAGATGGAGAATGGGTGGCAGATTGTGACTGTTGTTATGGGGCATGCATATGGAGGCAAAGATTTTCCCGTGCCTGACCTTCAATATTACGACCGGTGGAAGCCGCTCCTACCCCGCTCCTCCGAAGCCGCTCCTACGCACGATCAGAACACCGCGAAGGTCGTCTGGCCTTCTTGCAGCCGCGTCATGGCACAGATAGATGCCAACGGCACTCGCGACCTCTGATTATGATCACTGGGCGCTCCCCAAGGTTCCCCAACATATCACCAGCTGCCACCGATTTCGTGAGCTTCAATTCCTTCTCAATATCTCTCAATACCTCTCCGCCTCTACGTTGCAACGCGCGCCACCGGGAGCGCCAAAAGATCAGTCGTACACGGCTGAAGAATGTCATGACGCCGGGCTACAGCCTACACCCCCGTCATCTACCCATCCCGAGTCCCAGGACAAGATTACTCGTCGCCCTCGACAATGACGGTCTCGAGGCCCTTGAACGAAGTGACACCCTCAACGACCGACGCGACAACGTAGAGCTTCTCCTTGGCGCCCTCGTCGTCGTTACGCTTGCGCTCGAGGCGCACGCGAACACGGCGGGGGGGCGAGCGGACACCGCGGGCCCAGAGAGCCTGGTTGAGAGCGGGGGAGATGCGGACGTCCTTGACACCCATGGCCTTCTGGGCGAACTCGGTGACCGACTTGACGGCCTTGGGGGCCTTCTTCTTGAAGCCGAGGTCGTGCACACGCTTGTGCAGGTTGATGGTGTACTCGCGGGTGACGACGTCCTGGAGCGCCGAGCGCTGCTTGCGGGTCTGGGGTTAGCACCTGTTACATGGGCAGTATGTCGATGTCGGACGGGGAGGTGCAAGGGACGTCGCATGGGATGTCGAAGGGGAGAGGATCGCGGCTCGAGTTGGCAGGCATTGCGGATTGCGCGTGGGCGCAGCGAGCTGGAAACGGGAAGCATGAGCGTAGGAGTAAGGCGGCGCGATGACAGTCATGAGAAGAGTGTGCGAGCCGTCGTCAACAGATCGGACACGGTTACACAGCTCTCCGCAGACCTTCAACTCGCCGCCCAGTCCCGTTCTGTGGTCTCCACGCTCGCGCACCACACGTCTCTCTGCGCCGATGCGCATGCTGTCGTCTGCGCACGCTCGCGCACACTCGCGCACACTCGCACACACCCGCGCGCGCTTCTCCCCGCGGTCCCCGACCTCCAACTCCAGCCAGACTTCGTCCCTCAGACGTCTCTCCGCGACTTCGACGCGCGCGAACGAACCTTCTGGGTGGGCGCCTGTCGTCAGCACGTCTCCTACATCATCTGCGCGCGAGCACATCGCTTCCTCCGCCGATGGCACTGCGCGCACCAGCGCACTCACCATTTTTGAGACTGGTTCGACTTGACGGATGGTGTGCACGCCGCCCGATCAACGCCAACCTCAGCGGGGAAGGGTGCACGGGAGCAAAGCACAGGCACGAAGGGGGTGTTGCCTGTCGGCGTTAAGACTTGCACGATTTGTCGGGAGCAAAATGAGACCGGTCTAATAGCCGAATTATCCGGTCTAAGCTGCCGAGACCGCCTGATGTCTCCGCTCCGTGGCTGCCTTCTGTGCCGAACCTCCCAAATGAGACATGTAGCACCGAGAATACCCCACACACACATCATGCAGCGCAGTGCTGCACCATGAAGTCTGCTTCTCCAGTATCAGTAGGTCCATGTGCATCGGCGTGCAGCACACTACCACCGGGGTCGCGCATATGTCCGCTCTCCCGGCTGGGTAGAATGGCGCAGTCTCCCGCATCGTGCCTCTCGGCGCAGTCGCAACGGAACAGATAGGCGGCATTCCGCACAGTAGTGCATAGTTACAACGAGCACGAAACAGGCACAACCGAGACTAATCCCCTGAGCGCTCATCGCGAGTAGTGTGACTCGCGCCCATTATCGACTGCGGAATTGATCGCGGAGCTGCGGAGTGGCTTGGCGGCATCGGCGTGCATTCCCAAGCATCGATGTGGGCGCCCGTCTTTATCTAATGCTTCGAAGAGTCTCTTCTCTACATCATCTGATGTGGAGTGCCGAGCGCAACTCCTCTTCCGCAACCCCACACCCCGCCGCCTCCACATGGCAATGTGGCGTTTACCACTGCCACCACGCGTGCGGCCTTTGCGCATTTCGCAACGCGTCCGTGTTGTCGGGCTCGCAGCCGTGCTTGCGGTCACACTCGTTGCTTCCGTCCATGTTCTGTCTGCTGCGGGAACCACGACGACCGCATCTTCTGCGCGTGTTGCAAGTCAGCCAGCATTTCTGGCAGGCTTCGGCGAAGAGTGCCGTGGCTGGATTCCCACGGATCCTACTACCGATCACTTGTGCCCCGGCGCGTCGGAACGCCTCCGGGAGGTGCAGACGTTCTTGCAGGAACCTGTGCTCGATTACGGCGAAGAAGTGTACACCGCTGCGCGACGACTGGAAGCGTGTGCACTCGGTCTCGTGGAGTGCCCGGAACGGCCGCTCGTTGTTAGCCTGTGGCCTGCATCAGAGCAGCAGCCAACGTTCTTCGCCGAGGTGGAACGACGAGCTGAGCTTGCCTGGCACGACGACATCGTGAGACCTCCGGTGTTCGCGCTGACTTCAGCACGAGGGAGTTGAACTGTTCAACTATGTCTTTGTTCCAACAGCGGACCGAGCGAAGACACTGCATCTCGTGAAGGCTCTGCGTGCCAGCATTCACCAAGTTTGGATGGGCGAGATCGCCGCTATCGAGTGCATGCAGAATCCCCGCTGCATCGCTGACGACTACGTCGCGGCCTCAGTCCCCGCCATGGTCCCGAATATCACAGAGGTTCCCGACACCGAGAAAGGGCCGGTTGATCTGTGGCGCCTCATGGTGACAAGTTGGGTGAGTTCCTGATACTACAATCGCTGGCAGATGCACATTTGCCCATTTCCTTCCGCTTTTGAGAATGGAACTCACGTCAGCACGGCGTACGGCCAAGTCGGGCCCAGTCGCCGGGGCACGATCTCACACGCGACTGGGGTGTGGCAACCCAAGGTGGCGAGGAGCACTGGAGCATTCATCCCATCGGGCGGTGGCACACCATCTCGTGAGCCTCCCGAAGAATATACTGATGAAGACCGTACCCGTTTCCCGACCACGCCTGGGTGCCCTTTACGCACGCGCGGGCATGCGATCCTTCGACGTTCACGATCACGCGGAAGCCGAAGCGTCTGGGAACTCAAATTGCGGAGCGCACGGTATTGATACTCGGCGACGCGACGGACCTGGAGAACGCAGAAGTTGACTGGGCAGGGGTGTGGCGCTTTCTGCACGACCGCGGGTTAAACGCCACCTTCACCATCCCCTCGTCCACGCCACTCTCACACAAATGGCTAACCGCCTTTCCCGCCGATCCAGAAGCGTATCCCGAGCTGCTGGGCGAAGCCGATGCTCTCCTCGGCATCGGCACCCCACATCTTGCGACGACACCCTACATAGCTATGTGCCGTGGCACGCCGGCGGTGTTTCCTACTTTTCGAAATATTGGGAGTCTGGGATTTCCCATGGGCTGGGAACGCTACGACCCGAGCTGGATGCAACACGGGCAGTACTACGTAGACGAGCCTGAACCGCAAGGGTTCAAGTATCCAGCGGGCGACATGGAGCTGCTCGCGTATGAGCTGTGGAAGGCGCTGAGTAGCGAAAGGAGTCCACAGTGCGCATATTCCGTAATCTCTGTTGACGGCAGTACACCGCGCCAGTTCGGGCCCCTTGGGTTGTATGAGAGCCTCGAGGCAATGTTGCACTTCGACTACGAGGGCGAGTACAACCAACAGCGAAGCGTCCGTGGCGGGCCCATTGGGCTCGCGGAAGATCTCCGCGTCAACTGCTGGAAGCAGGGATGGTGTCGCAAGGACGGGCAGTTGGGAGGGACGCGATGACAGAGCACGCAGCGATATGGGAGTGACTCAGAGACCTACAGATCCAAGACTTATGAAACGATGACACAGATTCTCCGGATTTATCGTGCACCCACACAAATGACATGGACCGCCAGAATATTGCACATACAGGAAAAATGTCTAATCAACGTCTACAGGGTCATGAGGGACATAAGGCGGAACTCGTGGCCGCCACTGGGGTCGTCGGTGGACTGGATGATCTCGCAGTTGAGAGTATGCTTGCCCTCTGTCAAGCCATGCCAGGTTGTCGACTGGCCGATGTTCATTTTATTGGTCCACCGACCATTGGAGATCTTCGCGGTTCCCTTGTCGTCGTCGATCCAGCAGTTAAGCTGGCCGAGGGGGAACTCCCAACTGCGCAGGTAGTATAGATTGGCGGTACCGAGCACAGTGGTGAACTCGAAGGTAAGGCTGGCGCCCACCTCTTCGGCAATGAGGTACTTTTTGTCCTTCCACGCCCAGGCCCTCCAGCCGTTCTGCTTGATGGGCGCCAGCGGATACTCGTCTGAGTTGGTGGCAATGCAAAATGGCTGTAGCTTGGGGAAGTCGCGGTCGATAGCGTACTTGTCCTGCAGTCGGACGCGTGGCACAGGTTCGACGGGGTAGAGATCCTCAGGGGTGGCGCGGGGACGGCGATGCTCGATGCGGTCCATCTCGCACAGCTGGCTCTCAATGTAAGCGGTCATAAGCTCGCCAGTGACAGTGTGCAGAGGCTTGGCGAAGTGGCGCAGGTCGGCGTTGGAGAGATCATCCTCGATCGGCTTGAAGTTCATGCTGGCGAACCACTCGGTAAGTAGGGTATGGTTCTGGAGCGCAAGCGGAAGCAGAGCGTTCCGCGCGCTCACAACAGGCAGGTCGTAAAACTGCGCATTGCCGAAGTTCAAGTCGCCGCCCATGCTTATCCGCTCGAAGCTGAGGGCGAAAGAGTTCACCACGAGCACGGCAGGCTGAGAAGGCAGCTCGAGCAGCGAGCGGACGAGATTCTCAAAGTGCTGAACGTAGTTGAGGCCGAAGGGGTCATTGATCGCGAGTTCGACAATGACCAAGTCTACGTCGCGATTCAGATGCAATGCCGAACAATAGGAGAAGTAGTCGGACCCACGCGCTGGCTGCGCCCCATTCCAATAGACGTTGCGCTTGCCGCCCTTCTCCACTCGGCCCTCCGCGGCGGGTTCGGCGGCGGGGAATTGCGAGTCGAGGTGGTCGAAGAGCACCCGGTGCATGATGTGTGCCTCATCCTCTTTGGATCGGTGCATGCCGTGCCCTGCTGAGACTGATCCGCCGAGCACACCCATGGAGAACGGCTCGCCGGCGCGCATCTTCGCCAGCACCCGTCGCAAGCGGTGGTTCGAGCCTGCGGTCAGCTGCTGCCCTTCAGTAGCGGTACGCACCGGAATAAGCTACGCTGCGGCGCAGCGCTGCATCACCGAATGTCGCAGCTAACCGACGTCCAGTGGGGCCCGCGTCGCTTATCCCACACTCGAACACCGGCTCGGGAGGCGTGCTGGGCACCTGTACCAGCTCGTTTCCTACGACTGGCTCGTTCCACTCAAGCCGCGTCTCGGAACGGTGGAAGGCAGGGGCCACGAAGAAGAGAGTGTATATCGGGGCGGCGAGGAGGAGGACGTTGAGGAGCAGCGAAAGCCGCAGGGCAACGCGGCGGTCCATCGTGGGCTGGAGTCCGGAGGGGTGACGATAAGGTATCGGGAATCGATAGAGGGGGAGCCAGATGAATGTCGAGACAGCCCCAACCTCGACGTTTAAAGAGATGAAACAACGACAAGACTAGATGAGATACACGTCGCGTCAGAGCTGATTAGCATCTCTCGCTGGCCGCAGGGAACCTCGCCGCATCTCGAGGCTCATCAAACACTGCTGCTCAACTACCCGTCTTCGCCGGCATCCTTCATGGGGCGTCCCTCACCAGCCTCATAGCCCGACCCCGTGCCGTCGCGGGGTATCGTCACATTGCCCGCCACCCGTCTTGCTGTCCCCTGAGGCCGCACTTCATGCGATTGAGGGAGTGGGAGAGTGTGCCAGCACATATCGAGGTGGAGAGCCTTGGTGTACCGGTGAAAGAATTGTCCAGGGATAAGAAGGGTAAGAGCAATTGAGTGGTAAGTGAGACCGATTAACCCGTCAGCCATTGGACTGGGCCTGGATCTTGTACGCGGTGCTTGAGGGGGAGACCAGGAGGCACGGCAGTGCCGTAAAGTCCACAATTCAGCAAGGAACAGCGTTGATTTCAGGCCGGGGGCATGACTTGCTTGTCTGCGCGTTAGAAGGACTGATGTACTCGATGCACCTTCGGCAAGTATTCTGTCGCGATTTTCTGGATACATACCACGTATACTGATGCCTCGCCAACGAGAGCTAGCCACTAATTCTCAATAGCGTCGCTGCCAAAGGTGTTAGAACAAGGTTTTCAAGGTTTCGGGTGGAAGGAGAAGGGCAGGACCGCGCAGCCCGCCACCCTGAGATGACAAGAGGTTCCCGTCCCCTGATCGAGAGAAGTCGTACTGAGTACCACCCCTTCAGCTAACGAAAGGCAAGCAGATCTGGAACGTTGACTTGTGCGTCTCTGAAACGGAGGGCCAGTATAACAACAGCCAGGACGCTTGCAAACCGTATTTGAGGTGGAAGCCGGAGTGTCGAGCAGACGAGTATTGTATATTGTGGAAAAGCTTTGACGTTGGTGACATTGTGCCTTGTCGGGACTGGGAACGTCGGGTCCAGACAAGCTCACCCTCTACCGCTTCCAGGCTCTCGGGTCACGTCTGCTTCCGCTATCAGTAAGACAAGCCCATACATACACTCTAAGATTTACACGCTCAGTACAGAGATGAGGCGGAACTCTTTCCCTCCTCCTGGGTGCGCCGTCTGGTCCAGCAGGACGCACGTGAGCTCGTGCTCGCCGGGGGCGAGCCCCTCGGCGAGCACCTTGGCTCTCCCGACATTGACACCAGGACGCAAGTTCTCGTGTCCGTCAAAGCGCCTCTTCTGCCCGCCGTCCACGCTGCAGTCTACGCTGCCGAGCCCGAACGTGCCCGAGGTGAGGTAGTGTAGCTCGACGCGGCCAAGCGAAGTGCGGAACTTGACGCTGATGGACGCACCAGGCTTATCAGCAATCATGTATTTCTGGAGTTAGCGGGAACGGATGGCCGGAGGGATCTCGGAATCGCAGGTATGGCTCCACTCGGGATGCGCGGGGAGATCACTACAAACATCATTGAAGTAGCCGCGGCTGTCAGGCTCGCTTGTGCTGGTGAGGTCGTGACGTTTAAGGAGGAGCCTTCTCTGTGGCCGATCCGACGCAGCAGCAAACTCCAGCGCACTTTCAAGTCATTGGATCACTCACCTTGCTAGGAACATCGGGGTGGAACCACTCGCGCCAACCATCGCTTTTGGAGGGCACAAGCTTGTTCTTCTCCGCGTTCATCGTGAAGCAGTTCGGCTTGAGCTTCGGCATCGTCTTGCCTGCCTCGAATCGTTGGTTAAACCCTTGCCTCGGCAACCGGGGAAGCGGGTAAAGCTCGTCCACGCGCGAGTGACCGGCAGCGCGCTCGATGCGGTCCATCTCACACAACTGCATGTCGATATACGCCGAGGTGAGGTTGCCCGCGATCCGGTGGCCGCGCTCGCAGACATGGCGCAGGTCATACACCTCGAGCTCGTCGCGGACCTCCTTGCGGTCCTTGCAGAAGAGGTCTTTGATCGCTTCTGGGTCCTCCAGGATCTGCGGCAGGAAAATGTTGCGCAGGTTGATCGTCGGAATGTCGTAGTACTCGGCCGTGCCGAGGTGCATGTCGCCGCCAGTCGCGATGTTCTCGAAAATCAACCCGAAAGCGCTGAGGTGAGCGTGGCCATATCGCAACGTACTGGATGTTGATGATCGCCGGCTGTCCGGGGAGGTCGAGAAGCGAGCGCACAAGCTGCTCGTAGTGCTCGGCAAACTCCAGTTTCCGGTGGTCGTTGATAGCTGTCGTTGGCGGGAACTCACGGCCCGCGTCATCGCCAACTCACCTTGCTCAATGAGCACCAAGTCGACATCGTCCGGGATGCTCTCGCCGAAGCAGTATCTAGAGTAAGCTCGTTCCTGACAAACTCTCCAACGCCGACGTACTGGAAGTAATCGGTACCTGTGGCACCGAGCGCGCCGTTGGTGATCCCGTTCCGCCCCTCCGCCTTTGCCGACTCGCCCTCGATCTTAGGCTCTCCTTTGCCAGGAAACTTTGCGTTAAGGTGGTCGAATACGATCCGGTGCATGTTTCTGGGGTCGACGTTCGGGTGGTGCGAGAAGATAGAGTACCCCTTGGACACTGGGTAAGCACGACCTAACGGTAGATGAGGAACTCACCAGACCCGCCGACGACAGCGACGTTGAATGGCTTGCCGGAGCGAAGACGGGCGAGCATGCGTCGCAGCCGCGCGTTCTCACCGCGATACCCGAGGCCGCGGATGGCGTTGTTTGGCCTAGGGGTCAGCAATCGAATGAAGCTGTGTGCGTCGGGGTACTCACCCGAGCTCTTCACATAGTGCCGGATTGACAGCGCAGAGCGAGCACTCGCCCCCCTCCATGCCGGGGATGTAGGGTGGCAGGACGGCAGCTGGCGTTTGAGATTCCGAAGCGCCCACCTCGGTCACGGTGAACGACATGTCCGCGACGTAGTCGATCGCTGGTGGTGAGAGGTACTGGTGCACGAAGAGCACGGCGGCGCCGATGTTGAGAAGCACGCTGAGCCGCAGCCACCAGCGCAGACGGAAGCGGCTGCCGCTTAGCGCCCCGAGCTTGGGACTGCCAGGCGAGCGGCCATCATAGAGGGTGATGTCGGAGCTGGGACTCGCTGAGCGCGGAGACGTGCCCATGGTGATGTGATGAATGCCAAAAGATACATCCAGCCAAGATATGCAGCCTGATCCGCCGGACAGAGGCAGACGCGAGGGCCCAATGCTCAACCGTCCGGAACCTCCAAGGTGTGGCCGAGGCAAGAGTGCGGAGAACAGGGCGGCCATGAGACTGGCTTGGCTCTGGCCATTGTCCAGGCGGAAGGTCACGAGAGGCGCTGGCCTGTGCTTTGCCTAACGGCAGGGACTTTACGCAAGACAAGGCATTCCGCCCGAGGCCTCGATTACGCATAGAGCTGTACGTATACCTTATACCGGGGTTGGCTGCAGAATGTCCGGCCATGGTTCGTAGTCTGCAAATCAGACGGTAAGCACCACGGGCATTCCAAGCACGTCTTGGTTCTGTGAAGCTAACGTTTCATTGCAGGGCGGCGCCGCAATTGAGTCTGCGACTTTAAACCCCGCCACTGCAACCTTATTGAGATCAGGAGGGCACAGGAAGAATATCCTGGCGCTTCCAGATGCCAGTGAGGAGTTTAGGAGTTTAGCCTCGAGACGCCACCGGACACATGTCCAGCAAACGTCACGCTCAAGTTTGTTTTGTCGGCAACTAATAACTCGCCCCGCCTCCGGATCGCCATGTTGTCGAGTTGTTTCATGCTTCCCGCCCCCTGCGTGCGGTCTTGAACGTCGACGCAGGTTGCGGGACAGCGGGTCATATGGGCCTAACTAGCAAGCCCGTCTCGTTATGGGACGACGACGGGCGGTGCCTTGCAAAAGTGCGTGCCTAGCCAAGAACATGAACAGTAGGAGCAGCGCCGTCCAAGCTCCGCATGCATCCCGCACCGTCCCAATGCCGATGAGTCGATGGCACTGACAGCCGCTCACCCGTCATGCGGGCTGCACACCCATCGTTCGGCACCCTCACATTATCACTCAGGAGCAAGATGCGGAACGCATGCAACGCAAGGGGGCCCGGGTAGGGTGCAGCTGGAACAAGGGGAAAACAGCCATGATGTCAACAAATGCAGATTGTCAGGTGTTATCACTCTACGCTGTTAGAATTACACATTCTTGCCACGCAGGTGGAGAGGCTCGGCAGGCTCGTCCATGGCAAGATACTGCCACTCGGTGGCATTCTTGTAGTGGTCGGCGACGTAGGCACGGGCCTCAGCGTGCCAGTCGGTCTCGACGAACTTGCGGACGCGCTCGACAACGGCCTCGAAGCGCATGTGAGGCGCTGTCGTCAGCTCATGTGTCACGCCTTCAAACCGCCCTGCCACTTCCAGCTCCTCTCCCGCAACGCCCCTCGACCTGATTAACAGTTGCGTCTCCACGTACACTGTCCTCCTTCGGAGGCCCAGGTCCTCCCTGGTGCTCCCCTGGTCCCGGTAACCTTCATCATTGACTCACGTATGTATCGGGGAATCGGTGTGTCGGCGGCGCGCTGTAGCGCGTCCCGGAGCCCGTCCTGATCGTGCCCGCGTACGTGGTATACATACGGCTCTTCCGTGAACCGCAGTGCGTCCTGCTGCGTTGCCCACTTGCTCCGGTCGTCCGGGTGCTCGGTGTCCCACGAGTAGATGGGGTTAATGAAGGGCACGCCCATGCACAGCGCATAGTATGGCGACGGCGAGAGCATCGGATGCCCGATGCCGAGCAGGGCCTTTGAGCGCGCCAGAATCTCGGTCCACTCGCGCTGTGCCTTCATGCCCACGGTTTCCACGCCGGCCGCGTCAATCTTGTCGCCCGCGTTGTCGGCTGTCGAGATGAACACGAACGGCACCTCCTCGCCCTTGTCGTTGCGCGTGGGCCTGACGGCGTCCCGCGCCGGGCCGAGGAGGCCGTGGAAGTAGTTATGCTTCTCCTCAAAGTATTCCGCGTGCTTTGCAAGGATAAGGGCGCGGTGCTCCCGGTCAGTAAACGTCGGGTACATGTCACAGCGTTTTTCGATCGAGTATCCTGCGTGGGTCAGCGCTCAGTCACTTCCATTATAGCTCGGCAGAAGTCAGGTGCAGACGCCAAGGCGAGCGGACGAGTTTGGTGCCACTTTGTTGGCAGCTGGTCGCGGGAGCGCCGGCACCCTGATTCATTCTTCTTGACCGGGAATCGACAGTGTCCTTCCACGACACCACAGATCCTCAGCGGGACAAAGCCACCGCGTGAGTGCCACTGCGCCCTGCTTATCTCGGCCGGCCGCCTCAAACTCACCGAGATATGTGTGCCCAGGCTTGTCGCCACGGAAAGCATCATAGTCCTCCGGTGACAACATCCACTTTCCGCCGAGAGGCACTGTGGTGTCGGCCCAGAAGAAGAACTGGAAACTTTTCCAGTGCGGGATGCCGTGCGGAAAGTTTTCGCTCTGAATGCACGCATGCGTCCCAGTCTGCCAAGGGCTCGGCTGCTTCTCCTCCTTGTCCATTTCGAGGTAGTTGCTCTCGTTGCGCCGAATGCAACGCCCCCACTCGGCCTGCTCCCACAACACAGCGGTGACCATCTCGGGGATGGACTGGTAGATGAACAGCGTGTCCATACTGCCCCAGGCGTAGAGGATCGTGTAGTTGAGGTGATGGAAAGCCGAGATCATGCTGCGCGCCCACACCTCCTCGCCTCCGTTCGCGCCGGCTTCGGAGCGCCCGAAGTGGTAGCTCGAAAGGAGGAGAACCTTGCGCTCGCTCCCCGTGCACGTATTCGTTTCGAGACAGGAAGCTAGGCGGTCCAGCGCATCCCAGTTATCGTGCCGCGAAATGCGTTCGCCCGAGCTGCAGTCAGGATCGCGAAGGTGCGAGGGAGGGGCTCACGCTTCAGGATAGCGCTCCTGCAGAAGGCCGTTGAGGACGCGCACGCGCACAGCAACGTCGAGGTGTGGGTTCTTAGTATACGAGAGTTTGCCAGCGATCGTCTCGCGCGCCGCAGGGTGGACCGCGAGGCCAGCGAGGAAGCATGCCGCCGCGATGGCCAGCATGAGCGGCCACCGGCCCAGGTGACTGGCGTCAGCTTGCACTGAGAGCCTGCTGTGCGCCCACCACCGGAAATGTGGCTTGCGCCTCTCGAAGCGCCCGCGCTCAATGTCGGCGCCCAGCAGCGGCGCGGAAGCCTCGCCGTCGTTACTGCTTCTGCTGACGGTCATTGTCCAGTTGCCAGCACCGGGAGTGACGATGCCGAGTGAGCATCAAAAGCGACGGCGACCACGGTTGATACGGAGGGCGTCGCCAGGGCGGGCGAATCCAAACATCGTCGCCCCGTCGACAGCGGAGAGCGAGCGTGGGAGCATGAGAGAGGACTGGGAGCTGTGTTGGAGCGTTCATAGACTGGGCACCGGTGCCTATGAGACTTCACATGCCCCTGCCCCATACATGAGTTCTGGCCCCCGCCTTTGGCTCGACGCGTTGGAGTCACTCAGAATCTCATACCTCGCAACCGCCTCCCACCTCGCAACGGGTGGGCCTGGGACCTGCGACTCTTGTTGTCACACTCCTCCCGTGGCCCCGTGCTAGGTCGCATTACAGTAACTGCTGATAGAAGACATGATGGAGCGTGCGGCACGAAAACGCGTCCCCCTTGCGTATCGCACAGATCAATGGCCCAGGCCTGGCTGCTGATATCAAACATGGATCTGCAGAGAAGCATATCAACCCTGTCTACCATCACTACCCCGCGATTCTCCTTCAATGTCAACAATCTTTTGCATCCCTCGTGCAGTACACCGCCGGCCTCGCAATGGCATGCAGTGAAACCGCCAATCGTTGCCCCATGTCTAGTCATTGCAGTGCGACGCCTGAGCTGAACGTACATCTTACCCGGGAGTGCCTGCAGATGCCACTCCGAATTGACCGGAGCGTGCTGCTCCAGTAGTTTAACGGGATGGGAGTGGCAGGTGATCACCAGAGGCTGGCGGAGAGGCTACCTGGCCTGCAGCCAGCAGAGTCCCCGAGACCAGCTTCTGTACACAAGCTCAGCTCTTCTAGCCTTGACGTATCGCTGACCGCGAATGGAGGTCTGAGCTCAGAGACTCTTGGGCACGTGGAACAAACTGTCCACCTAAGTGTCGACATTCACCTCAGTTGTAGCCGCTGCCATATCCCTGCGGGCTCTCAAGCATGCGTTGACCCCATGATCGCCGCGAAACGCGATATCCGCTGACGAGGTAGTCATCCGTGCATCACAGGACCATTGCACGGGAACGACTTGAGCCTGGTTAGACCAGGCCGAGCTCAGCTAAAAGTGAGAACGGTACGCAGTGGTGATGGAGATCAGGTGGTCAGGCGCACAATCATGCTCGCCTGCCTGCTATATTCTAGAACAAGAGCCATGACAACAATCTAGAAATGTGCGACAGCGCCCTTTACGCCCATGACCCCCCAGTGTGCTATTACCCCGCACCCATCCTCCTCTGAATTACGATTACGACGGACATAGATTGTGTGATTACCCTGCTTTCCGAGAGACATCCATCAATTAATGCCACGTCATGATTGATATTCACCGTCGCTTATCCGCCAATCAAGTGACGGCATGCTGTGGATTTTGGAGTCCGCGGTCCCCCGACATTCTCCCCCGCCATCCACCCGGCCTGACTTTCTGCCAACTTGCTGCGACTTGTGCTTCATTCGTTGTAAAACATTCAAAATGGCTGCTCCTATCGGTGAGTGCGACGAGTGCAATCTGGGTGCGATCGCTTGGACGCCCGCACAGCAGGCAAGTGGACCCCGCACGTCCGCGTTGAGAGCCGCTCGCACCGTATGTTTGTGTGTGGAGTACATTACTACCTGCCTCTTGTCAGGCAGGCGGCCCCGCGCGTCTCCAACCTCCTTGCTTTTGCCATTCGCATCTGCAATACCGATGAAGCCGTCCGAGGACCCTCCATGGATCCCCTACCCCTGCATCGAAAGCTGACCCCAGCCCTCCTCTCCGTCTACGACAAGGACGGCCTGCTGCCCTTCGCCAAGTCGCTCAAGGAGCTCGGCTTCCGCCTGCTCGGCTCGGGCGGCACCGCGCGCCTGATCCGCGAGAACGGTCTCGAGATCGAGGACGTGAGCTCGATCACTAACGCGCCCGAGATGCTCGGCGGCCGCGTCAAGACCCTCCACCCTGCGGTGCACGGCGGCATCCTCGCTCGGTCGATCGAGAGCGACGAGAAGGACCTCGCTGAGAACGGCATCAGCAAGATCACCATGGTTGTCTGCAACCTTTACCCCTTCGTGCTGCAGACGGCCAAGCCCGACTGCACGCTTGCGGGCGCCATCGAGGAGATCGACATCGGCGGCGTGACCCTTCTCCGCGCCGCGGCCAAGAACCACGAGCGCACCGCCATCGTCTGCAGCCCCTCGGACTACGACGCCGTTATTGCCGAGTGGAAGGCCAAGGGCGAGGTCTCGGCTGAGACCCGCCGCGGCCTTGCCCTCAAGGCGTTCGAGGCCACCAAGAGCTACGACGAGGCCATTGCCGACTACTTCCGCAAGATGTACGCGTCGACCGACTCGGACCCCGCCCTCAAGGCCGCCGCTGGCGTCGAGTACCAGCGCATCCCCCTGCGTTATGGTGCCAACCCGCACCAGAAGCCCGCCCAGGCTTTCGTCGAGACCGGCGAGATGCCCGTCAAGGGTAAGTTGGGCTCACCAAGGCCTCACGTCACGGCATACAGTTGCTCACCTCAGCTCTCTGCGGCTCGCCCGGCTACATCAACCTCCTTGACGCGCTCAACTCGTGGGCGCTCGTCAAGGAGCTCTCGGAGGGTCTCGGTCTCCCTGCCGCTGCCTCGTTCAAGCACGTCTCGCCTGCCGGTGCCGCCGTCGGTGTCCCCCTCTCGGAGGTTGAGGCCAAGGTCTTCGGCGTCGACGACCTCAAGGACCTCTCGCCCCTTGCCACCGCCTACGCCCGTGCCCGTGGTGCGGACCGCATGTCGTCGTTTGGCGACTTCCTCGCCCTCTCGCACCCTTGCGACGTCCCCACGGCCAAGATCATCAGCCGCGAGGTGTCGGACGGTGTCATCGCCCCTGGCTACGAGCCTGAGGCCCTCGAGATCCTCAAGAAGAAGAAGGGCGGCAAGTACTGCGTGCTCCAGATGGACCCCAACTATGTGCCTGGGGACGTTGAGACGCGTCACGTCTACGGCGTGTCGGTGCAGCAGAAGCGCAACGACGCCAAGATCGATGCATCGCTCTTCACCAACCTCGTGTCGCAGAACAAGGACCTGCCCAAGAACGCCGTGACCGACCTCATCGTCGCCACCCTCGCCCTCAAGTACACCCAGTCCAACTCGGTGTGCTACGCCCTCAACGGCGCCGTCATCGGCCTCGGTGCCGGCCAGCAGTCGCGCATCCACTGCACCCGCCTTGCTGGCGACAAGGCCGACAACTGGTGGCTGCGCCACCACCCGCGCGTCCTCGCTCTTCCCTTCAAGAAGGGCACGAAGCGCGCGGACAAGTCGAACGCCATCGACCTCTTCGTCACGGGCGAGGCGTTCGTCGCGTCGCCTTCGGAGCGCGCACAGTGGGAGTCGCTCTTCGACGAGGTGCCGAAGCCTCTCACCGACGACGAGAAGAAGGAGCACTTCGCCCAGTTCAAGGACGTCGCGATCGCCTCGGACGCCTTCTTCCCCTTCCCGGACAACGTGCACCGCGCCCGCCGCTCCGGCGCCCAGTACATTGGCGCGCCCTCGGGCTCGATTATGGACGCCGAGTGCGTCAAGACTGCCGACGAGTACGGCATGGTGTACGCCCACACCAACCTGCGTCTTGTAAGTAGCCCCATGTTCCGCGAGCGAGCAGGCCCGGAGAGACACGCTGACACCAGTTCCACCACTAAACGCAAATGTAATGATGTAGGAGCTAGCATATGGCATTGATATGGACTGTGAAGCGGGGTGGGCAAAGACCTGTAGCGGACACCCCGCCAGGGGTTGCCGATGAACGCAGCCGAGCTACGCGAGCCCTCAGACCAAACGCGAGCTGACCGGCCGCCCGCCACGTCGGGCGAAGCGCGAAGCACCCGACCCGCTCCGCTCCACATGGGCGCCTCGCACGTGCCACCCGACGCCTTGTGACGGCCTCCTCCAGGGACCTCGCTCCCGATCAACACACCCACAATCCCCACATTTCCGCCTCGAGGAACAGTGGCGCGCCAGTGTGGCGTTCCTGTGTCTGCCCTCCGCTTCCATCTCCTCTGGTTCCAACGTTCCAACGTGCATACTCCAACGTGCCAAACCAACGCCGCAATTCCACATGACACATCGCCGTCTCATCTCATTCCGTTCATGCGGCGGCGTATGCAAGCCGCATTCCTCGTCTGCCTCGGCTATTGCAGGGCCGGTTCCGCTCGCCCAACTTCCTCGCCCCATCGTGACAAAAGCGGAAAAGGAGGGGTGCAGGAGGAAGAGCGGAAAAGGAGAGGCGTAATGTCTCGCCTGTTATTAAGGCGGTGGCATGCACTGCCCTGGTATTTACTGCAGCTGCGGGAAGGGGGTTAGATGAGGGGAAAAGACGAGAGGATATGCGGGGGGGGGACTGTAGGAAGGGGTAGGGGGCTGCGGAATGCCATATGAATTGCTCAACCCCGGAATCCCCCTCCCGCCCCCACTCATTCATCTAATTAGGACATCTATGAGCATGCATATTTGGACATTGGACCATAGAGATACGAGGCTACGCCGGTTGATGATACGAGGCTCGACGACGTTTCCTGCCGCGGCAGCACACTGTTCCACATAGTTCATTTCAGTCATTAGCTCTCGGCGCGGGCCAGATTAGCACTAAGCTCCACTCTTGGCATTGTGGAGCAGAAGACGCGCATAGTTTCGAGGAGCTCACCTCCCATGAATTTTGTAGTGGGATACATGCGTCAAGGCATTTATTTCGCACCAGCCGCCGTACTACGTGTGTCACCAAAGAACTATCTTTGTACAAATTGTGGGGGACCAGAAAAAAGCATTACTGAGGTCCAGACAAGTTGGTTATGCCTTGCAAGGGAGCCGTAGAGCCTACTGCGGCATCATCCCCGCTTCCCACGAGGGGATGGTGAGCACATTGGACCAAGTCCACTGCGAGGTAGCGCCAGCAGCACTTGTAGAAGGAAGAGGAACCATGGGGTTCACAAACACAGACAGCTCAGGCCAACTGCCATCCGGAAAAGCCTGCAAGGACTGGCATAAGCGTAAAGAGCAATCAGCAGGGCTTCGCCTCACGTACCGTATTCGGTGAGAGCTCGTCATCGCGGCGATCAAACTTCTCCGCCAGCCGAACATAGAATCGTCCAATAAGCGGCATGGTCCGCTGCCCTCCGGGCAGCGCCCCGTACCTTTGCGCAACCTCTGCTATCTGGAGCATGATCGCCGAGCAGCGCCCACGTTCATCTTGCGTGAAGTTCTTACGCGCCTGCTGTTAGAGAGCAAAGTGTCATGTGCGATCCACTCACAAGGTTAAGCATGATGCCGGGTACACACACTTGGCTGATAATGAGGTCAGAGCAAAAGATAATGTCCGTCGTCCGTTTGAACACCTCCAGGAAGCCATTGCACTTCTCAATAATCCAGGTTGATGTTGAGGTCGGTGCGAATTTCTGGAGCCACCCCACTGTGCGAACCTTGAGGAGTGCCACGTCGGTCATCAGCTGGCAAAGCCCCACGTAAGGGTTCTCCCTCAGTGCCGGGTGGTTGCGGAAAAGGTTTAAGTGCTCCTCCAAGCGCTGGTTTACTTGATTAAAGGACTCCATCGTATACTTCACTGGTGTTCCCTCGATCAAAAAGCGGGGGTGACCGCCGCACGAGGAGTGGGCCTCCCACAAGCTTGGGTGAGCGGGGGTTGAAACAAGCGGCATACCCAGCATTGAACGCCAAGAAAAAATCGCCATGCACATTTAAATGGCGATGGGACTCCGCCCAGCGATTAACTTGATCAGCTGTGGGCATGGGCGAAAATTGAGCTGGTGGGAGCTGTAAGGCGTATGAGAGCGCAATGTCATGACCTGTGGTAAGACTGGTCCCAACCAACCACACACCGAAACACCCTATTATCATCAGCGCAGCCCCTAGCGGAAGTGACTCACATTGAACCGTACGCTCGATGTCCACCTTGCGGCGCTGCTCATTTGAGTTTTTTGGGCTCTCACTCGCGTTGGGCGAAGTGGCAATACGGGCCAGTCTGAGTTCCTGGACAAGACGCACGGCCATGCCCATCTTCTGGTACGCCGTACGATCATTGGGATGCTTCCAATTTACAAGCACCAATATCGCCTGGATAAGGCTCAGGTCGTAATAACCGCTAGAGATCATGCGATTGATGTGCTCGTCAGCAAGCTTGCGCAGTGAGTCGGCCAGCTCTGGGCGCATGAACAGAGCAGCAGCTGACAGAACTGCGGTGAACAGTACTGGAGACTGGCGCACCCGTTCGAGGGTGTGATAATACGGGTCGAACAAGGACGAGCTGGGAGCGACTCGTGTAATGAAGCTGAGCACGAGTGAGCTCTACCCCAAGCCAAGGAGACATTGTCAGACTCACAGCGCAAACAAATTCCGAGCGTACGTCTCAGTCATGTATCCCATCTCGATCGGATTGGAGTATGTCTCCGACAAAGCTTCGGCGCTAACCGGGGGTGCGTCTTCGTCGGCGTTTCGGCCATGGAAAGCGGCCTGTGGCCCATCTATTATTTGAAGTGGGGGACTCAAGTAGTCTTCGAATGTGGCGGAATTCTTGCCGGGGAGAAGACCGTACTGCGCCAAGGGGGAAGGTCGAGTATCAGAACCACTGGACAGGGAGTACAGGTCCGGAGAGTGTTTGCTGATAGGCATCGGTGCATGTCGAGGTTGACCCCAATCCCCCGCCTTGTTGTCGAGCATGTCGGGAATGAACATACCACCCTCGCTAACAGCATTGCCGTTGGTATTGTTGCCGTTGTTGATGGTGTTGGTGTTGTATGCCGCGGCGGCCTCCCACTTAACGCGGGATAGGGGAATGCCGTTGTGAGGGTGGAATCTGTCATGCTGGTTAGACGACCCATTCGTCCGACGGGCCGAGGGCGGCGAGTTGTTTTCATCACTGTTTCTTCTGGAGCACGTTAGCCGCATGATACGATAGCGCTAGTCAGACGCAAAGACGTACCTTGCTCGCCGGGCCCGCGAGTACTCGCACACCAGGTTGAGCCTTGCACAGCGCGAGCAACGCGACTGGGGGTCGGTATTATCGCCATCGGGCAAGCACCTTGTCTAGATGTCAGACGGAAGGCGGAGGGAGGGTGGGTGCATTAGGTGATGTCAGGCCCAGCTTACCTTGAGGCCACGACAAATAGTACAACTTTGGGAAGCATCAGCATACCGCCACCCAGAAGCGCCATCATGAACGAACTCACGCTTTGCGCGGGCGACGGATGGGCACCTTTTTGAAGCCAAAGGCGACGCCCAGACCGTTGTGGTGTGGCTCCATGTTGAGTACGCTTGAGAGTGAATATGCAACCCAGGAGATGAGAGGAGGAGGTTGAGGTGGCCAAACGAATGGTAGTGTGTGGGGAGTGGGCTGAGCGTGAAGAGTGAGAGAAGGGGAAGTGTTAAAATGACGGATGTGCCAGTTCACTTATTTGTGCCGGCCGACGGTCTCTCATAGCTTTCCTTCCTCATCTGTCATCTTTCGGAGGCCTTGGCAGACCCACACAGAATGAGAGGGAAGGATAACCACGGGACAGCGCACCAGCTGCGGAACCAAGGTGAGACAAGTGCTCAGCGAGATGAAATTCAGGTGGGGAGGATCCTGGGGTTCAGTCGGGCAGTGAAGTTCCCCGCCAAATGAACGGAATGTCCGGGGACGACGCGAGGAGGGCGAGGAGGGCGAGGGCGGCGGGCTGAGAGGTTGGAAGGCTGAAGCGCTGAACACACTCGACGCTGCGTCCTGGGCTGATGCTTTTGGTCGCGCCTGTAGTCGGTTGAATTGTTGATGGCGGGAGGTCTGGAGGCCGAAAGAGAGGTCAAGCGAGTTCAGGTGTGACGCATGCCTCGCGCTATTGGGCCTAAACACATTACACATTACGATCAACACACTCACGCTCAGCCTTGCCATTTCAACGGTCCCCACGCACTTGCCCCTGACAAACATCAGGCCCCGCAGGCCGCATGCCGTGTGGACCCGCAGTATGTATCATCTTTACTCTTACTCCCCCTCTCATGCATCATGTCAGCACAACTCGACTCGACAATTCGTACAGTGCAATTGTGCATTGTGCAATAATAACATTGATTTGCCCCGGGCCCCTGACGCGTATACGGTTGCTCCTACTGTACATATCCTCAGCTTGACTCACGTTAGCACTTCATCCTGGCTTCTGCTTCATTCCTCGTCCCCGTGAGCATGCGTGAACATCAAAACGCCACAGGCTGCCGCCGGCGCCGCCAAACGATTCACCCTATGCATCCGCAGCCACAACCAAGGAGTACAATATGAGCAATACTGCAATACGATGCGCCGCTCACCCTCAATGCAGTTACTCTGTCGGCCTCATCCGTTTTTCCGCTCATCTTCCTGAGCTGACTTAAGCAATCATGCCACCCTCCTGCCACCTCTCGTGTTCCTCTGCCCCGCCGCCGCGATCAAGGTACCCTATCATGTGACAAGGCATGCCTGTCCCCGTGCTGCTCGGTGTTCCGTATCCCGCACGGCATCCCCACGATTCTGGACTTTGAATAATATACTCTCGTTGTCGTATCGTACTAGGGCTTCGTTCACTCAAGGCCCGCATTCCTTCACAGCCCTTGATCGGCTCCCTGGCACAGGAATGGCAAGGGAGTCATTAGCACAATATGCTGGAATCGGCCTTTGCTTCTTGGCAGCTCTAAACCTCTGGCCTCTCAGCGTTGTATGTCTCGCCTGGTCTGCACGAGCGGTCCACTAGCCATGCTGATCACCGAAGGGGGTGTGACGTCGCCACAGAGACGGGGCGAGCGGAAGGGCGAGCAGAAAAGCGAGCGTGCCGAGCGGCTTTAAATCCAGGAATCGCAGACGATCTTTGCAGATGTACATGACGCACACAATGCGGATTGGGAATGGCTCAAGATCGACATGGTTTAGGGGTCTCTTACGGAGCACGCAAGGACTAGCGTGGGGTCATGTTTTGAGGGGTCGCCTACGTCAACAGGCGGTCGTAGTATAATGTCTCATCGCAGAACCTAATTTGAATTAAGTGAATGAGGTGAGCAGCTGTGCTACAGTACAATGGTACAGGATTCATATCAATTGCGTTGCGGGATCAACCTCCGCCACTCCTCATTGCGCCACCTGTATTGATCGGCGACGTCCGCGTCCGGCATGCTTGCACTGACGTAACCTGAACACGTGGACTGCCATGTCACTCCTCGCACCTGCGACTGACCGCCGACCTACCTACTGTTCACCATTCATCCTCCATCCATCCTTCAGCCATGGTCAACGTTCTCACTCAAATCCTTACCCTGGCTCTTGCGGGCTACGCCGCCGCCGCCGGACTCGACATCAAGGTCGTCGAGGTGCCTGACGACTGCCCCATCAAGACCCAGAAGGGCGACAAGCTCGCCATGCAGTGAGTCACTGAGTCACCTGAGCTATGCATCAGCGCCACGGCGGTTGGTCCCCTCCATGCCGCATCATGGTGTCGGCGGCGCCGGTGTCGGCCTGATGTGCGCGATCTGTGGTGGCGCTGCTGCGCTGCTGAGCGCCAGGTCGCCGGGGTTTGCGCGCCTGACCGAGATCCGCGTGCAAGGAATCTGACAACAGCTACACGGGAACTCTCGAAGACGGGTCCAAGTTTGACAGCTCGCGCGATCGCGGGTCGCCGCTCGACTTCACCCTTGGCACCGGGCAGGTCATCCGGGGCTGGGACGAGGGCCTCAAGGACATGTGTGTAGGCGAGAAGCGCATTCTCACCATTCCCTACGATATGGCATATGGTGAGTGACTGTGCGGAGCCCGTTTTGGCGGCTGGCGAGTCTAGAGTGTGGGGCGGGGAAGGTGGAAAAAGGCAGCGGGGGCCGGTGGCGGGGGACCGACGAGTCGATATACGTGTCCACTGTCTCCCGCGAAAGGTCTGACAATGTCATTTGGGCCGACAAGCTGTCTCCGGTGCTGCTGGGTGGCGCGTCGGCCATGCAGAGGAACATCAGGCGAGGCATTTCCGTTCCCAGGTACGACCTGCTCAGCTGTGATCTGTAGCGGCGTGTGTTCTCGTCGTGCCTCCCCACTACTGTTACCGGAGACGAGTGTGTAGGCGATTAGACCCTGGCTGCGTGCGGCGGCGCGTACTGGACAGCGACCGTCGCAAAGCACTCTAGGGCACGGCACAGATCCATTTCGCAATCGTCCGCTTTGACGGAGCAGCGACGCGGCTTGCGTGCCAGCTGTGGAGGTTCCGGTGAATGCCGTCGCTGACATCAGGTGAGGCCGGCTTCCCTCCTGTCATTCCGCCCAAGTCGAACCTCATCTTCGACGTCGAGCTTGTCGCCATCAAGAACCGCAAGCCCAAGGGCGAGCTCTAGGAGCGCAGCGCAGCCGGTGGGTGCGATTGCGACGTGTCTAACTCCAGGATAAGGCGAGAACAGTATGCATCACGGACAGATATCATGCAAGGACAAGTGTCACGCCTGCTGCGAGTGCACGATGGCTTTCGGATTCACTCATGCCGCTGCCTTCATGTCACCTCGCAGTTCCACATACGCGGTGATCAGACGGTTTCATCTCGCTGCCTGTTTAGGGCCGATGGAACTAAATTGAAGCCTCTCCCCAATTCCCCAACCGACTCCCACCATGCAAGCGCCCACACACAAGACGACGAATTCAGCATACTGACCGCAGCGCGCGCGATGTGTGTCGCGATCCAGCATAACATCGTCTCCTCCTTAGCTCAGTTGGTAGAGCGCGACACTAGTATTCATCGGCCGTTCATCCGTCCGGGCTATGTCGAGGTCAGTCGTTCGAGTCGGCTAGGAGGAATCAAGTGCCGAGTGGCATCATCACTGTTTTTGGCGCCTGGCATCATCATGGCTGTCGGAGACGTCGATAGCGTCTCGGCGCACCGGTACGGCCGTACGGCGGGGCGAGGCGACGGTGGCCGTCGATCTTCACAGCGTCGATGGGTGTGTCCAGGCACTGCCACGTGGTACGTCGGCGGTGATCAGCTTTGAGTGAGGACACGCTGCAAATAGAGGGCAAGGGGGGACCGTAAGACGGCGAGCTCGGCGCCGAGAGACCGGACAATAATCACTAGATGGCGGACAGGCTGACGGCCCGGTTGACCTGCTTCTCCCTCCTCTCAGATCTCGCCTACTGACTCCCATTTTTTGGTCCTCCACTCTGAGAGCAGCTCGTGACTCCCATTTGCACCACATGTGCGACCAACTCTGATTTTATGTCTCTGTCAGACGAAGGGGAACGTCGATACAGAGACGTATGATGCGCTAGGGGATCTCAAGTTTGCGGCCTGACCAGCGCATGCCAGCACGGAATGCCCTCCGCTCTCAATACCCGGCACGCCACGCATCTCACAGCAAGCAGCAGGCAGTGCTCAGCATTCATCGGGATGGTCCGTTCCATCCACACGTTATACAGTGTAGTGTCATCATCCAGTACTATACAATCGCGCGTGACCCGCAGTCGTCAGACATCGTTGCGACGGTCGTTCAGCTAGTACACGGCGACAAGTGAGCCGAGGAGGTCATCAATTTCACGATCGAACGCGTCCATCTTGGCCTGCAAGTGGACGAAGGGCGCGCGGAGGTCGGGCGGCATGTGCTCGACTTCGGGGCGGTCGCCGTACAGCATGCGCTGCACCGCGTCCGCTGGCTCGGTAGACCTGCGCGGCCGTGGCACGGGTGTGTTGCGCTTGATGTCGGTAGCGCGCGCACGCACGAGCGTCGAGAGACGCGAGATGTCGAACGCGTCAGAGTACCATAATGGTGCGACGGGGACGCGGGGCTTGGTGACAGGCGCTGGGGCGGGCTCCTGAGGCGCCTGCCTCTTCGCCGCGTCTGTTGAGCGCACGAACCCGACAGGCGGCCCGGCAGATGCAGGGGATGCCGGTGTTGTCCCCGTGGGTGACATGGGAGCAGGGGAAGTGGGGTTGGTGGAGATGTGAGCGGCAGCGCCAGCAGCCGCGACTCCAGCAGCGACTGCTCCGCCAGCGCCTGCAGCCAGAACGCCAGCACTCGGTGGGGTGGAGTAGGAAGAAGCCTCGGACTGCACCGAGGAGCGCAGTGGTGTGTGATTGGGCGTCTCGCCTGAGGTGGTCGAGAACGCGGACACGGCCGATGCAACCGACGCAGATGGCTGATGTCCTCTCCTGGCGTCCTCGCCATGCAGGTCTGAGGAAGCGGGAGTCGTCACAGTCGGTACTGTTGATGAAGACGGCGCTGGGGGGGTGACTGGCGTCATTTCGCGAGCAAAAGGCTCGGGGCTCGCATCGTGCGAAGGAGAGATGGGTGGCGCCCTGTGAGGCGGAGGCGTCGGGAGAGCGCGCGCTGCTAGTCCATGGACTGGACTGGAACTTGGGGAAGGCGATCCTGCTGGCGCTGGAGGGAATGCACCTGGAATAGACTCGGCCAGGTCGGGAGATGGTTCTGGGACTGCAGAAGCAGAGCTACCCGACGCATTGACAGCGAGCAAGCCTGCAGCGCCCGCGACAGCCGCCCCACCGGCGGCCGTGGCAAGTTGCCTGTTGCCAGACTGCTCCGTTTGGTGAGGGTGGGCGTCGGGGGCCATGTCCGAGTCACGCGGGTCGATTGTCCCAGAGCTGACGTTCGCGTCGCGCATGGCCTCGACGGCGTCCTGCGCCCACTCGATGCCATCGTCGGGCTCGGCGTCGTATCCGAGTTGTTCGTTGATGTGTTGGTCCATGTTGACATCATGGTCATCATCCTCAACACCGCCGTCATGCTCCTCGTCCTCGTCACTGTCATCCTCATCACTGGACCAGGTGACGCCAGGGTGATCAACGAACGTTGAAGGGCCAAAGATGACGCGTCGCCCCTCGCGCGTCTCTGGGTCATCGTCGTAGGGATCAGCAGCTGGGGGTTGGGTGGAGCCTCTTCGTGGCCAGCCGATAAGACTCTTGAGCTTCCCATCCGCCGCACGTCTCTTCTGCTCCTTGGCATCCGCGTCCGCCTTCTCCCGGTCTGTTGCCGCTGCGATATCGATATTGCGATGCTTGTTCAGGCGGGCTAAGCGCTCATACGGCGTCTCGACGTTCTCGGCTGGGATGTATCCAACGTCCTCGGTCTTGAGGACGCGAACGAGCCACCAGTACGAGTTGGCATCGTCAAGAAGGAGCAGCGAGTCGCCTTTGACTACCGATGCTTGTCCCTCCACGGTGGCGAGGAAGGTGTGTCTGCGCAGTCAGCAACGGCGAGCGCAGAGCGCAGTCAAAAGCGTGTAGCGTGGCGTCGATGCGCAGAACAGAGACGCGCAAAGAAATGCGAGCGACGCGACGCGACGCGACGCGCGCACACGACTCACCGCGCGTAGATAAGGCCAAAGTCAATGTTCTCGTCGGGGAGGACACTCTCGTCCGAGCTGTCCGAGTCGTACATGTCGCCGTCGTCCATCTCGGCATCTCCGTCATCGTGGTGGTACTGCATGCCGTTTTGCTGGGCGAGCATCTGCTGCTGGTGAACGTGCTGTTCGTACTCGTGTTGGCGATAGTAGGCTTCCATATCTTCGTCCATGATGTCTTGGGAGTGGCCGTCGTCCGAGTCCTCCATGACCGAGTAGGCATTCTGATATTCATATTGCTGTTGTTGGATTGCGTGAGGATGTTGGCCCATGACGCCCATCTGCGGGGCGTGAACTGCGGCCGCCATGTCGAAGAGGGGAGGAGGAGGAGGGCTCTACAGTAGATGGCGTTTGGGGAATCTACCGAAAGAGGAGGTGAGGTAGTGAGGGAAAGATGGAAGGATAGAATATAGAAGATGAGGATCCGAATGGGGTGGGCGCGACCTGGAGGCAGCTGGAGATCTGGAGAGGTTGAGAGAGACGAGAGAGAGAGACCGAGGGATGGGGGAAAGAGTGAGGATTCAAGGGAAGAGACGCGGGCGGGAGGGGAGGGGGAGACCTAATTCGGGCGGGATAATGTACTGTACTGTACTTGTCTAAGAGGTGTTTGACGAGACTGGGTCTCCTTTCAAGTGTGCAGATGCAGCTGGAGTGGACAGTGGGTGGGTCGTGAAGAGGGGCGTGATAGTGTGAGAGCGTGGGAGGATGTGAGGATGAGGGCGGTGTGAGTGTCGGGGACAAGGAGGAGGATGATGATGAGCGACGACACAATGTCGCGTTGCTCGAAGGGGTGTGTGTGGTGGAGGGGGGGTGGTGGAGGGGGGGGGGGCAAAGGAGGGGGAGGAGGAGGAGGAGGCACGAGGCAGGGTGGAAGGAAGGGCTGGGGGGTGCGGTGATGGGCAGGGTGGAGCGAGCGAGATTCAAAGTTCAGACTGACTCTGACCAACCCGCAGCGCCGCAGCCGGAGTTGTGCATCGTCTACTGATACGGGGCTGGCAAGGGCATGCACGGTCACGCTCAGAACGCGCGCAATGACCTCGGTGGCTCGGTCATAGTCTCGTCTACATGTACCTCAGTGACCTCTGTTGGCGTCTCGTTTCGTGATGGCATGCATTGATGGATGGTGGTTGTGTTTCATTATGAAGCGCTACTATGTTCTCCCAAGGAGGGAATAGATCAACGTCCCAGCTACGTCCCAGCAGCTGGGAGCCAACAGCCGCATTGATTCCCGCAATCTCTGCCATATCCCACCGAGTCAGTGAGGGCACAACAGCTGAGGACATGAAGACGCGTCCTGTGGCGCTTCCTCCTTGTGGACTCACGGATTTCGCGCCGCGGCGCGCCGCAGCTTGCCAGCCGTGCCTGTATCTCCCGTGACACAAAGGCTCTCTGCGCTGTATTGAGCTCTCCTCTCTCCCCACGCGCCTACTGTACGCATGCCACGCACTCCACGCACGAGCCCATGTTTGCCTTCTGCCCTGGCGACACGCATCCCTGGCCTCCCCAGACCCTGAGTGCCTGAGGTTGGAAAGAAACATCAAACGTCTGTAGCATGCCTATGATAGAGGCACCAGGCGCGCAACATTAACGTGTTTACCACGCGATCTTATGCCGCCCCCCCACTCGGGCACGTTTCAAGGTCTGAGTGAGATTTTGAAACCTCCTCCTAGGCCCTGCCCCCCTGGGACCTGGTGATCCTGATTTGGTCCTGAAGCAGCCCGAGTGATGGTAATGGAAGCCTCGAGCCGCAGGGCGCCTACCCGCGCCAACCCGTTTCCCCAGCAAGCCCAGCTTCGCACTTGTAATGCAACGCGTCTGGACGCGTAGCTGACGGGCTCACGGGACGGGAAGCGGCTGGGGGGGTGTGGGACCGGGTGGCGTCGATAGGACGCAGGATTATTGAATGGACAAGACGGCGATTGCGAGAGGATGCCAAGGATGTTAATAAGAGTGCACGCCGGGCGCGCCGGGTGCTTGGTGGCTGCGGCCCGTCATTCATGGCTGCCGGGAGACAGGGAGACGGCATGGGGATATGGGGATCAGCGATGGGATTTCTGAAATCTTGTTAGTAGTCCTGTAGATTGCGATATCGCGAGCCTCTACTGTACTGCAAGTACAGAGCCTACTTGGCCATACTTGGGGGCCAAGGCATGGCTGACTCAAGTTGATTGTGATGGATTGGAAGCCGCAAGCTGATGGCCTGATGACCTGATGGCAGATGCTGAGCTGGCAGGTTGCAGGAATTGCAGGCAGCTGCAGGCAGAAGCCGGGAGCATCAGCGATCACTCATGAAGGTGATCCGACGCAACCGTGAAACCTCAAGCCCGAAGTTTGTGACAGGGTTTGGTGATGCCGCAATGCTCGGCCCGGTCATCCTGTAATGCCTGCGCGCCTGCAGTTGCATGTTGATGCATAGCTTCAGCTACCTGCAGTACCCGCTGCCAGCGAGCTAATCCGAGCATGCATCAAAATGATCAGAGATACCAAAAGATGCCGCCGAGTACACAGAGCAGCGGATAACGTTTGAGACAGGCAACACTCCCCAACTAGCAATATCATCTCACCCTCGGACACATCCAGGCCGCCCAACCGTCAACTACGAGGAATTGTCACCCCCCCCCCCCAGTGTTTCTAGTGCTGGCCCTTAGCAAGGACACAACCCACATACAGGACAGTCCTCCACACACTGTACGCTCTCTTCCACCACCACTTCCTTCTCCTCCCCTCTCAATCCTCTCCCAACTTCATCTCGCATCTACCATTCTCACCCACCCGCTGTGAAGCGCATCACGCTTTGCCTATACCATTTCCTTCGACAGCCTCGACTCGCCACCACTTGCCCATCTAGCCACTCGACTTCCTCTCCAGCCCTCAACTCAAGGTAACGCCGGTCCAAGCGCCAGGTGCAGGTGCAGTGAACAAAGCCAAAGGCATCACTGGGCAGCTGGGCAGTCACAAGCATCGCGCGTCACCCCACGCCATCCGCGCGCTAGCACTGGCACGGGATACAGGACAAAGGTGCGCCGAGCAGTCTAGCAAGCTAGCAAGCCAACATTAAGGACATTCGGTATGTTGGTGTATTGGTGTATTGGTGTATTAGCGTGTGTGTCTTACTACTTTGGCTCCGCTGCCCCGATCCGATACATCCACCACCACCACAACGCCGTCATTGCCGCGCTGCACGCCTTCCCCTCTATCACTCCTCTCAATCCACTCCACTCTCGTTTTCCTCACCATCGTCTCTGGTCAATTGACCATCTCTCTCCCCCCCTCCCCCCCTCCCCCCCTGGGCAACCTAAACGTCTCCCACCTCTCTCATCTCTCTCTCGCCTCTCATACCCCCGGTCCCCGACCTCCTCCTCTCCTTCTCTCCCCCTCCTCTCTCTCCCGTCATACCCACAGCCTCTAACGCAACCAGCTCATCAACTCGTTGCCTCACGATATTGCCCATTCTCAGCTCGAGACCAGGCGACTACCTTCGAGATCGATCAGTCTCCGTCTCTCCTCTACATCAACCACCCTCCTTGGTCCCTCGTCTTCACTGTAATCACCTCGCACTTGACTGTTGACGGCACTTCAGCGCGTCGGCACACGTTACACAGCGCGCACAGCACACACAATACCGCACACAACCCCCATCCTCTCACGATCCCACGCACGCACACACGGCTGCAGTAATACCCCACAGGCCCCACACCACAATCAACAAGCGCACTTGGGTACTTGAGGGATAGTTGCTCCCGAACGCACCAAGCACACTCGCCAGCACGGGCCTCACTCCTCGTTTTACCCACCTACCTACTGCCAGCTGCCAGCTGCCAGTCAATTCAAGAGCGTGTTCAGTGCGCTGCTGTCCCACTCCCAATTCATCCGACCCACAGCACACATCTTAACATTGCTCCACTCCCTCTCACTCTCAAAGTTGTCTCATCTATCATCTACTAGCCAGTCACAACATTCTTATCCAACGCCAACTGCACCAAACACCACTTTCTACCCGCCTAATCTCTCACCCGCATCCTCCAGACGACTAGGGTTCATACCCGAAGCTCGTCGCAACTTGTGAGTGTGACATGGTCAACTGGGCGCGCAAGTGTGGGACCAACAGCTCATCCCTCCCTTGCGTCGTTATACGATTCTCTCCTCTTGCGAGCCTCTTCTCTCTCTTCCAGCTCTCGCTCACTTCAGAGCCCATTCCTCGTAAACATCGTCGTCCGTATGGTCTCAGTACCGTACAGAATCTCCCTCCCGTCATCCCCGCCCCCAAGCCCGCCTCGGTGCTCCGCACAGATGGCTGTCGGCACAACGAACACTTCCGGATCGTCCCCTGCAGGCAACAGCGCAGCTGCCGTTGCGCTCAAGAATGCCATCGCCGGATCGACAAACGTGCCAAACCCAGATACGGCGGACGCAGCGGAAGGGAACGGCAATGAAGCCTCATCAACTCAGCCAGTTGCTAGCACCACCGCCATGCCCAAGCTCAGCGACTTCCAACTCATTCGCGTGCTTGGGAAGGGTTGCGCGGGGCGAGTGAGTGATGCCCCTGGATGCCGAGTGTGACTGCGCTGACGCCTCCCAGGTCTTGCTCGTCAAGCACACCCCGAGCTCCCGCGTACACGCGATGAAGGCTATATCCAAGCGCGCGGTTTTGGCCAACGATGAGCTCGACCACACACTGGCAGAACAGGAGATTCTTCGTCACTTTTCGTGCCCAGAACGCAAGAACGCCTTCGTATCGCGTCTCTATTACTCGTTCTGCGACAAGGAGAACTTCTACCTCGTCATGGAGTTCTATCCGGGTGGCGACCTCGCTACGCAAATGGAGATCCATGGCATCCTGGGCCCCCTCCGCACACGATTCTACACATGCGATATTGTGGCTGGTCTCGAGGCATTGTACGTGCACGCCTCAAGCCTGGGTGTGGGTGGGCAACCAGACTGACGCGCACAGGCATCGAGAAGGTATTCTCGTCCGCGACCTCAAGCCAGAAAACATTCTGCTCAATTGGCACGGACACGCTGTTCTAGCCGACTTTGGGTTGTCCAAGAGCTTCGGGTATCGCGGAGAACCTATACCAGTCAAGCTTCCTCCAGATTACATCGAGGGCAAGGGTACCCCTCCCATCTACGCTGGCAAGGGCTTCGGCTCGTATCGCAACGGCGAGCTTACGTGGGACCGTGCATACTCGTTTGTCGGCACACAGGAGTACCTTGCTCCAGAAGTCATCAAGCGCAATCATTACACCTACGCCATCGACTGGTGGGCATTAGGCTGCATTGTCTGCGAATGTCTGACTGGCCGCGTCCCCTTCCGCGGGCACGAGGACGAGAGCAACGCGCAGTTGTACGATCGCGTTGTCAATGCACGCTGGGACGCCATTTACAGAGGAGACTCTCACCCGGTCAGCTATCTCAAGGACCGGTACAGAATTGACTCGATTACATACGACTTCATCGATGGCGTAAGTGCGATGTTCTCTGCGATATACTGACATTGCAGCTGCTGCAGAAGGAGCCCATGTTTCGTCTCACGGAGCCGAGCGTCAAAAGCCATCCGTACTTTACAAACGTTGACTGGGCAACCGTCGCCAAGGGAGATTACCAGGATCCTTTCCAGCTTGAGATTGATCCTGTGGCTGAGTACAACACTCAATTCTTCCCCCGCCTCTGCCTTGAGGAGACACCCACTGTCGACATGTCGGGCCACGACTATGGCAAGGACACGGAGCACGAGCAAAACGCTCTCACGAACGACGAGATATACGCAAAGTTGCAGGATCAGTTTGCCCGCGAACTCGAGACGTTCGAATGGTCGTGCCAAGGCTTTGACGATACCGACGCGCCCGCAGATGATGGCGGCTTCCAAACTGACGAGCCTATGGAGGGGATCGAGGACGACCTGGCGTCGCACGATGAGGCGCACGACGAGTCGGCGGACGAAGCCATGCATGAGCGTATGGTAGTGTCGCCATCAGCTGAGGATGACTCCGAGATGCGTGACATCTCGATGCCCGATATCTCGCATGACGGCAGTCGACAGGAAGCGTCCCAGGAGCTCGAGCGTTTGCAGACGCCGTCAGACAGCCACGCGGCTGATCTGAACGTTGACGGGGAGTCAACCATGGAGGGCAAGGAAGACGGCGCGGTTGACGGTACGCCACGTCTCGATACCACCGCGGAGGCAGTCACCCCCAAGGCGCCCGCCGCTGCATCCGCATCGCCCTCTGAGCGCGACACCCCGTCACCCGTGTCTTCAAAGGCCCCTACCGACGCCCAAGCTCCGTCAATCAGGAGCCAGGCTTCGTCTGTTGCGACATCTGCGCCCTCGCTTCCCTCCATCCCGACGCAGGTGCCCACCATTGCGACCAGACCTTCGTCCATTGCGACGAGGCAGTCGTCAAATGCAATGCGCCCCACCTCTATTGTGTCAAAGCCTCCCTCTATTACCGCGACCAAGGCGTCCTCTACCTCCAGCAAGGCGCTGTCTGTTGGCACCAAGGCGCCATCGATTGACACCAAGATTGTGTCTAGTCCTGTCTCTCCAAAGGCTCCATCAATCCGCCTTCCACCGCCCTCGGACTCCGTCGTCTCATCGTCGCACGCCATGAACAGCCACCCGGTACCGACTGTTGAGGTTGACGACGTCGAGGAGATTCGTGGAGACATTGCGATGCCTGCCGACGGCCAGATGCCCCGTCTACCATCCGGCCCGCCGCTCAGCGGCCTCTCGGTCTCGGATGTCATCTCAATCCCGTCTGCGCACCAGGGTAGCCCCAACCTCATTATCCGCCGCCACCGCCACCTCCCGAGCATCGACTCGTATCCGCACGCGCGTCTCTCTGTTGACCTCAACGGCACCTTTGGACAGCTGGGCGACGAAGACTGGGAACAGCTGGACGCCGATGCCATCCCGGAGCTGCCTAACGGTGCCAACGAGTCCGGGCGGGCATCGCTATTCTCGCGCGTGCTCAGCCGACGGCCGCAGGCGACTCGGAGCCGTCGAACCTCGACGTTCCGCACGCCGTCGTCACTGCGCAAGCCTGCCAGCACTGAGACATCGGACACATCGTCCGACAGGAGCCCATCCAAGACGCGTCCGCCTCTCTTTGCCTCGCGGGGTATTGAGAACACGAGGAGGGCATTCACGAAGATCAAGGCGTTCCCAGCTCCGGCGGGTCGTCCTGGGGACTCGCTCCGTCCTTCCGCACCCAATTCCGCTGCTGCCTCACCGGTAAACTCGATCCGCGGCATGCCTCCGCCGTCCGCGTCCGCAGGGACCACGTCGCGCGCGGCTTCGCGCGCAGTATCCATGCGTGACAACCAGACACTGAGCCCTGATGATGCGACGACCAGGCGAGCTTCGATGATCGCCGCTCTCACTCCCGGGAGCAAACGGTCAAGCAACCGCTCGGGCGATATCCCCTCGCTCTTTGGCCGCCAGAAGGCACGCCGCCAGCGTCCCACCGACCGCTCGGGCGCAACGTCACGCTCCTCGATCGAGAGCTCGACGACAGCCGATGAGAACACGTCGGGCACGACTTCGCCTGGCCCGGCGGGCTCATCCGCGCCGAGGGTCGAGCTCCAGCCAACTGCGCCCATCGCGTGGGGCCAGGTGCTTGGCAAGGCCGACTAGGCGCCACTCTCATCCCCATATCACCTGTCTCCCTGCCTCCTTCCCCCTCTCACACTATCTGCACTCCTTGCATACACTCACCGCAACTACAAGTTGAACGAGCACGCTTTCAGCCGTCACGACCTCAGACGTTCATTATTATTGGCATCCATTGTTACGAACGCACGACCTTCTGTCAACCTACGACCTACCTTATTTCATTTGTACATTTTTTATCATGCAGCATGTGAGGCAGCGCTCGCTGAGGGGTGTAAGCGGGCGCTCACGGCGTCTGCGATGCGGAGAAAGCAGTCGCCGGGCGCTGACCAATCACCGGCGCGTTCCGAATCAGCAAGCACGGACTTGCCGGCTGCATTGTCTTCGAGGACTTCTCGCTGCAGGCTTGCTCAGCCTCGGTGATGCACGCGTCCTCGAGCAGTCCGTTGCGTGTGTGCTGGCTCGACGGCTCGCAAAGAATGCTGCGTACTCCACGCCCAGTGCGGAGAGCTTATCGGCCTTTGACGTGTGCCCCGCGAATGGCGTCATCGGAGTGACTCCCTCCGCGTGGCTCTGCATGCTTGGTCATTTCGGCGACTGCTACCGGCTCCCCGCTGGCCGCTGGCTGGCTCACTGCTGATCTGAAAATGCCTGTGACCGCATCTCGATTTCCTACTTATACAGCCAGCTACCATCGCGCCCACATCCAAGCTGCAGTCTCTCGCCTCCATCCGTCCGCGCGCACGCGTCTTCTGCGCCTCCACTCTCCGAGCACTTTCATCCGTCTCCCCCCACTCCGCGCACACCCCCTCCGCCCGCTCCGCCCGCTACCTCGCCCCGTCCCCGCAGTTCCACTTCGCCCGCACACTCTCGTCCTCCGCGCCCCGCAATATGCCCCCCATTCCCGTACAGCAGGCCGAAGCCGTCGGCGAGTACGACATGTTCGTGATCGGCGGCGGGTCCGGCGGCCTCGGCACCGCCCGCCGCGCCGCGAGCTACGGCGCAAAGGTCGGCCTGGCGGAGGCTACGCACCGTCTCGGCGGGACGTGTGTCAACGTCGGCTGCGTGCCCAAGAGTGAGTAGCGTGGAGCACGAGGAGGGAGGCGAGGCGGGGGTGGTCGGTGGTCGGTGAGCCACGACCGACGAGAGTGTGCGATGGCGGGCAGCGCCCCGGCCCCCGGCCCTCCTCCATCTCTCCCCCTCTTCCCCGGCCTCCTCTCTCCGCTCACCAGTACCGATGACGCTCACCGCCAGAGGTTATGTGGTACACCTCCGAGGAGGCCAGCGCGCTCCGCCACGCCGCGGCGTACGGCTTCGGCAACGCCGAGGAGAACAACAAGATCGCGGCCAGCTTCAACTGGCCCATGCTCAAGAAGAAGCGTGACGCGTACATCGAGCGTCTGAACGGCATCTAGTGAGTGCTTCTGGGCGTGGGGGGAGGCTGGAGCCGATCTGCGTAATTCGTGGTCTGGCCTTGGCCCAAAGGCGGGCGGTCCGGCGATTATATGCTAGAAGTCGGACGTCGCGGAACTCCCACTAACATCCAGCGACCGCAACCTCGCCAAGGACAAGGTCGACTACCACGAGGGCTACGCTTCGTTCATCGACAAGAACACGCTCAACATCAAGTCGCTCAACGGCGAAAACTACACTGTCAAGGCCAAGAAGATTGTCATCGCCGTCGGCGGCAAGCCGCACATCCCGTCTGACGAGGAGGTTCCCGGCGCGTCGCTCGGCATCGACTCGGACGGCTTCTTCGAGCTGGAGGAGCAGCCGAAGCGTGTCGCCGTCGCCGGCGCCGGATACATCGCTGTCGAGCTTGCAGGCATCTTCAACGGCCTTGGCTCCGAGACGCACCTCCTGATCCGGAAGAACGCCGTGCTGCGCACGTTCGACCCCATGCTCTCCGACGTCCTTCTTCCCTGGATGGAGCACGGCGGGATGAAGATCCACAAGGACACGGGCATCACCAAGGTGGAGAAGATCGACGGCGGGCTGCGCGTGCACCAGAAGAACGGGCCGGCGCTCGAGGTCGACACGCTGCTGTGGGCGATTGGGCGTGTGCCCAACGCCGACGGCTTGGGCCTGGACAAGGTCGGCGTCGCGACGGACGCGGCGGGCAACGTCGTCGCGAACGAGTGGCAGGAGACCAACGTCGAGGGCATCTACGCGCTCGGCGACATTGGCGGCAAGGCGCTGCTGACGCCCGTGGCCATCGCCGCCGGCCGCCGCCTCAGCAACCGCCTCTTCGGCGGCCCGCAGTACAAGGACGACAAGCTCGACTACGAGAACATCCCGTCTGTCGTGTTCACGCACCCCACGATCGGCTCGGTCGGCCTCAGCGAGCCCGACGCCCGCAAGAAGTTTGGCGACAGCATCAAGGTCTACACCACCCGCTTCCGCGACATGAGCGGCGCCATGCTCGACGAGGACCAGAAGCAGCCCACCGCGTACAAGGTCATCTGCGCGGGGCCCGAGGAGCGCGTCGTCGGCCTCCACATGGTGAGTCCTGATAGCATCGCCGGCACCCCCGGCTTAGCTGACGTCAGATCGGTGTCGGCTCGGACGAGATCCTCCAGGGCTTCGCGGTCGCCATCAAGTGCGGCGCGACGCGCAAAGACTTCCAGGCTACCGTGGCCATCCACCCCACCAGCGCGGAGGAGGTCGTCACCATCTTCTAAGCTTCAAGCGGTAAAAGTTCAAGAGGGTGCGGTGTCGGCGGCTGTACTTGAGTGGATGTGCTTGTTGGCGCCGGCGGGTGTCCACCGGGCGCCTGTATAGACTTGCGGTATGCAGTTAGAATGCGGAAGCCGAAGGAGGGTGTGTGAGATGGTTGCAGTGAATGTTTCTCCGGGGAGTGGACGCCTGTCACCCGTTGAGCCCTCTGTTTATCGCGATGATCCGTATCGACGCTTGCTCAACAGGCTCAACTCGGCTGTCGTCGTCCAGCATACTCGTGGTTGCGGATGCTCGTTTCTGCTCATGTGCTAATAGCACGCGAGTGTCTAGGCTGACCCGTACACCAAGTGCGAAAGCAGAGCCCTGCTAGTTGTTGGATGCGCAGCAAGTGTGGCCGGCCCGGGTGCGCCATGTGCATGCGTTCTCAAAATAGTCTACTTCGTCAGTCGACCCCCGTCAGGCTTCTGGCCTACGCCTCCTGTGCGCGCGATAAGCCAGCTCCGGCACCCTGCACTCGCACCTGCCTCATACTTGCTGCCTACTCATGCATCTACGCTCGCAAAGCTACAGGCTTAGGCCTTGTTGACAAAGCTGACACCCTTCTCAATGTTCTTCTTGAGCTCGGGGAGGCAGGCCTTGAGGAGGGTCTCCTCCTCAGCCGAGAGCTTGCCGAGGGGGTGAATCTTCTTGACACCCTCGGGGCCGAGCTCGACGTTGGACGAGAAGTAGACAATGCCCTCGCCGCTGAAGAGGGGCGACTCGACGAAGGTGGGCTCGACGACGCCGGCCTCGCCGTCGAGGCCGCGGAGCAGGGCACCGGCGAAGCGGGCACCGGCGTACGCCATCGAGAGGGTGGCGGAGCCAGCACCGTCCTTGGCCTTGACGACCTCGTCACCACCGAACTGGATGCGGTGAACGAGCTTGTCGTAGGTCTCGCCCTTGATGTCGGCCGACGACTCGGTCTGCGAAAGGAGCGGGACGATGGTGGGGCCAGAGTGACCGCCGACGACGGTCACCTTGACGTCCTTGGGGTCGTTGCCCTTGATCTCCGAGACGAAGCGCGAGGCACGGACGACGTCGAGGGTGGTGACACCGAAGAGGCGCTTGGGGTCATAGACACCGGCCTTCTTGAGAACCTCGGCGAAAATGGGGACGGTCGAGTTGACGGGGTTCGAGATGATGCCCACGAGCGCCTTGGGGCAGTTGTCGGCGACGGCCTGGGCGAGGGTCGCGACAATGCCGGCGTTGGTGTTGAAGAGGTCGTCACGGGTCATGCCGGGCTTGCGGGGGACACCGGCGGGGATGATGACGACGTCGGCACCCTTGAGCGCACCAGCAATGCTGCCTGTTAGCGTGTGCTGCTCGGGAGGGGGCTGCGTCTGCTTCTGTGCTCCGTGCTCGAGTCCGAGGACCCGAGGTGCGGGTCGGAAGTATCGCCGATAACGCAATGACCTGGCTGGCAGGGTGCGAGATCGGCGTCTTCGGCCGGGGGTTTTCACTCTCTCCCGGGACCCTTCGGCCACTCCGGCACGCCATCGCTGGCGGAAAACTCACTCCTCAGCGGCGTGGCCAGTCACCTTGGACTTGGTGTTGATGTGCGACACGTCGGCGGCAACACCGGGGGCGCCACGGACATCGTAAAGGGCGAGCTCAGTCACCTTGGGGTTCTCCTTGAGGAGGAGCGAGAGCGGCTGGCCTGAGCGGTTAGCGATGTGCCCAGCGTAATCGAAGAGAAGGTGACGAAGCGACCAGCAAAGCTAGAGCGTGATGAAAGAGGTCCAGGACGGCTGTGGGAGGACGATTTAGGCGGGACACACCGAGAAGAACTCCGGCCCCGCTCGCCATCAATTCACCCGACCTCGACGTCCACCTCCGGCATAAAGCAGCATCTCTCGAGATCGCGCGTCTTCCGCTTCCTTCCTCCGGCGAAGTTACTCACCAATACCGCCACCGGCACCCAGAACGACGCAGCGGTAGTCGGCGCGAGCGGAGGTGGCGAAGCCGCGGGCGAGGGTAGACTTGGAGGCAGCACGGAGAGCGAACATTGTGGGTGGTTTTTCGGATGGGTGATGAGGTGGAGGAAGCGTTCTTTGTATAGTGGTGGATGAATCCGTGTCGTCGCTTGGCGGGGCCAATCAGAACGCGTGGGGCTGTGACGTCGGCCCTGCGAGACACCAGCCGGCGGTACTCACCCTGGTCCTCTGGCCCAGGCGAGCACCTGATGCAGCCCACCCATGCATGCCAGCCACGCATGCCTGCCTGCCAGTCACGCCACCGCAGCCTGCGGCTTGCAGCCTGCAGCCTGCGAGCACCCGATCGCCCGTCCGGAATGGGCCGGAGTGGCTTACGGTGACCAAGTTGCCGGAGGTCGGAGAATCCCTCGTGCCTCTGTCCGCGTCCAGCACGATGCCCATATGCCCGGTGTCACCGCACGGCCCCCAGGCCAACCTTCCGGTGCGGAACGTTCTCGGCCTTTTCCTCGTCCTAAACGGTTCCCCCACTTATGAAAGGCCTTCCAAGCCTACCAGAAACTGTAGGCGTCTCAAGAGCACGTGGTCATTTGGGGAGCCTACTTCCGGATGTCCATATACATACGCCCACCTATATCCGCATCCAGCCGCGGTATCAAGTGGCGTTGGCTATGCTGCTTTTCTAAGGCCAATTCGGATCCCCGCAATCGCGTCCATAGTCCGTGCCTACCCCGCCTCCACCATATCCACTTATCCACCTTCCACAATCGCCAATGCCCACCATAGCCACTACTCGTTTGCTCCGTTCTCATCGCACTTAACCTCCCGTGCCGCACACCCCGCTGGGGGCCGCCCCCACTTTTCTTTCTTGCCCCTCTTCTCCCTCTCATCACCTTCCACTCATCATGTCCGCGTCCAAGCCAACCACCACCGTCGTCGCAGAGCAGGCCGTCCTCCCCGGCCGCCTCGACTATGTCCCCGTGTCCATCGACATTGCCGATGGCAAGATTGCGGCTGTTCGAAGTGGTCTCGAGCCTGCGCCGGGCGCGCATGTTATCCGCGTACCGAAGGGCAAGGTGCTGCTCCCCGGTCTGATCGAGTGAGTCCAGGTCGTGAGCACTGGGCAGAGCTTTATCGCAATCGGCAAGCTGCTTAGCCTCATCTGTGTGCCAATGTTCCCCCCGCTGACATCAGCACACATGTCCACCTGAATCAGCCGGGGCGCACCCAGTGGGAGGGCTTCGCGACGGGCACGCAGGCCGCAGTCTCGGGCGGCGTCACCACCCTCGTAGACATGCCCCTCAACTCGATTCCGCCTACGACGACCGTGGCCAACTTGAGGGAGAAGCAAGCTGCGGCGAAGGACGCCGGGATTGCATGCGACACGGGCTTCTGGGGCGGCATTATCCCCGGCAACGCCGGCGACCTCGTGCCGCTCGTCAAGGCCGGCGTGAAGGGCTTCAAGTGTTTCCTCCTCCACTCTGGCGTGGACGAGTTCCCGCACGTCAGCGAGCAGGACATCCACGACGCTTGCTCCGCACTCAAGGGCACCGACGCACTGGTCATGTTCCACGCCGAGCTCGACCCGCACGGACACAACGACACGAGCGGCCTCGTGCCCGCAAGCTGGGGAAGTGTGTTGAGCATCGGCCTCGCCGTCGCCCTCGGCACGATCGTTCACGCGCGCAACACGGGCCAAGCAATGCTCGGCACTGTCGCGACCGGCATTGCCAGCTTCCTCGGCGTTACGCTCGCCACCTACCTTTCGCCATGGAAGCCGCAGCACCTCGCCGTCGACGGTGGCCCGGGCCCCAACCAAATCGCCATGGCCCTCACTGTCGGCCCCGCACTCGGCGTCACCGTCGGCGCCTACATCATGGGCATGGACCAGATCCGCAACTACGCGCCTCTTGCCATTCCCATCATGGGCGCCGTGTTTGCAGGCTCCTACCTCGCCTCGGGTGGCGAGTACGCCGCGTGGCTCGCGACCCGCCCGCCAAAGATGGAGGAGGACGCGCTCCAGCTCGTCCTCCGCATCTGCCGCGCGTTCCCCGACCTCCGCTTCCACATCGTCCACCTCTCAGCGGCAAGCGCGCTGCCTGCCCTCCGCGCCGCCCGGGCCGGCACCGACGGTGGCGCGCCCGTCAAGAACCTCACCGTCGAGACATGCTTCCACTACCTCTGCCTCGAGGCCGAGAATGTGCCTCGCGACGCGGCACAGTTCAAGTGCTGCCCGCCCATCCGTGACGCTAAGAACCGCCGCGCCCTCATCAAGGCCGTCAAAAACGGGGAGATCCAGTATGTCGTCTCGGACCACTCGCCGTGCACCCCCGAGCTCAAGAAGGGCGGGTTCATGTCTGCCTGGGGCGGTGTCTCGTCCCTCGGCCTCGGACTCCAGCTCCTCCACACCGAGCTCGATGTCGGAGTCCCCCGTCTCGTCGAGTGGCTTGGCATCAATCAGGCCCGCCAGGTCGGCCTCGAGGGCATCAAGGGCGAGCTCAAGGCCGGCTACGATGCCGATTTCGTTATTTTCGATCCCGAGGCATCAGAGGTCATCACCAAGGACCACCTCCTCTTCCGTAACAAGGTTTCGCCTTACCTCGGCAAGACTGTCCGCGGTCGCGTTGAGCAGACCTACCTCCGCGGCCGCAAGGTGTTTGATTACAGCGAAGGCGTCACCGACAAGACGTCCGGTCAGTTCCAGGTGTAGTGAGTTGCCCATGCCGCTATTCGCACCGCCTGATAGAGGCAGAGCCGGCAGACGACTCGTCTAAGAAATCAGTACTATCTAGACATTAGGAACCCGCGGCCATATTGATACACATCCTGCATGTTACAACCATCACAAATTACCTGGGGCAAGCTCAATTTAACGCGCTTTGCGTCGCGCCACAGCTGGCCCGCTGAGGACATGTCATGCTTGCCAAACCGGCCATGGCCGCAGATGCTACGCCTGGGCTTCCAGGCGCACCCCCGCCGTAACGACGCTGGCTCTCTGCCACCGCTTCAGCCCAGTCCTGCTCGCTCATCGCTCGTAGCTGGTCAAGCATTTTGCCGTTCATGGCGGCAATGTCCGCGCCGTCATGCTCATTGGCGAGGTCGACATCTCCCCATTTCTTGAGCGCAGTGATGGCTACACCAAGATCGGCATCGATGAGGGCAGCTTTCTCGTGGTCACCGACATACTGGAGGCGTTTTGCCTCACGCAGCAAGATCATGGCCACCTCGTTCCAGATGGTGATCATGAAGATGTCGTAGCCTGTGCTAAGAGGCTCCGTCTGGAAGAGGTACATGACGTTGACAAGGCGGCGCGCAATGAGAATGGCGACAGTGTTTTCGGCGTCCAGGGCACGCACGTTCCACAGCTGCATGTAGGCGTTGCCGATCAGGAAGTGGATAATGGAGGTGTCGCGGCCAATCTGAACGCGGGGGAGGCTGAGGTCGCGGTCGTCCTCTGAATCCCACTGCCAGGGTGGCTGCATGTATTCCGGAAGCGATGCCACGAATCTATCCAGGCCGGATTTGAGGCGCGCAAATCCTTGTGGATGTGTGATGTGTGCTGGGAATGGTGACCCGGGGTAGGAACAGCCGTGCGGCTCAGGCGTCGCTGGTGCCACCTGCGGCTGCTCGATTTCAGGTTTGTCCTGCCGTAACTTGAGCACTCTAGCGAGGAAGGTGACGGCCTTGATGCGCAGGACCATAAAGGACGTGTCCGAGTTGTAGGGAGGTGGTGTAGCGCCGAACACTGAGCCGATTGGGACGTCGTCCTTCTCAGAGACGATACCAAGCTCGTACTCGATCATGGGCCGCGGCAATGGGGTGCGGATCTCGTCAATTGGGAATCCCGAGTGCCAAAGGTAGGCAACGGCCGTGCACAAATCTGTTTCGTACACAGCCCAGCTGGATCGTCAGCGCCCTCCACATGTGATGGCTCACAAGGCATAGATGCGCTCTGCCAAGTCAATCGGATCCTCAGGCGGAGGAAGGGCGTATCCTCCCATGCGTAAGGTGCAGTGGATCGCAGCATTGAACGGAGGTGGTGGCGACCACACAGATGTTGGAATTCGATCAAGCCCGCACGAGATGGCCAGACGCACGGCCGTGCCCGTCATGTGGTAGCCGAGACTGTACTGCTCCTTTGCAAAGAGGTACGAGACCAGGAGCGCCATAGCACGCACTACGTCCAACAGGCGATCGTGATTCTTGATGGCCAAACGGATCTGCTTTTCGGCAATGCTGTAAAACTGCCCCTCAAGCTGCTTGATAGCTGGCTGAGACGAGAGGCGGGCTGCGCACGAGTACATCGCGTACATGAGGCACGGGTGTGGACGCTTGTTTGGCGGCATTGTTAAACGAGAGTAGAGTCGTGGCAGATGGAAGACCACATGGAAGAGGTTCCCGGCGTTGGTCTTGGAAAAGAATAGGTCCAGGCTAAGGTCAGGTTTGACCGCGAAGGCGCTACTCACAGATGATCACGGACAGCTGGCGGGATGTCATGAGGGTCGAACCAACCTCCGACGAGCTCACGCCCCTGCGGCAAAGAGGGTAGGATCTCGATATCGCCAAGCGAAGGAAGGAACTCCATTTCAGCATCCTCGTCTTCTTCAAAATACGAGACGCTTTGCTGCTGGTGTTGCTTGAGGAATTGTCCCATCATCTTATTGAGGAGGGCCGGGGCCTCCCCGGGTTGCGCCTGTCCCAGAGGACTATCCGCCGAGTCAGGCAATGGCGTCCCACGAGTGCCTGGTCTTGGCGATTTCATAGGCACACCGGTGACATCGGACCTTGCGCTGATGCCATGATACCGGCGATTCAGCGCGACCATATCGATCTGGTCGTTCTGAGCCATTGACGCACCCATCATGGCGGCGCTCAGCTCAGACACAGGCTGATCGAGGAAGGAGAGGTCAAAGTCGAAGTTTGGGTCGGGAGCGCCGAGGGGCCTCGGCCCTGTGCTTTGCGGATATGGTGTGCGCCCTGAGCGAGGGGTTGCACCTAGCACTGTGCCGAGCGTGTCCGAGTGCGTGTGACCAGAGGTCATCGGCGCCGGTGTCGAAGGGAAGGACGAGGCCGACGCCGGCCGTTGGGGGTTCTGGTGATGGTGATGATTGTTGCCGTTGTGGGTGATATGTTGCTGCTCATGTTGCTGTGGGTTGTTATGATGCTGGTCCTTCTGATGCTGGTGGGAGAAGTAATGCTGTTGCTGCTGCTGAGCCTGCGGGGTACGGACTGGGCTTCTCGGTGTTCGAGGACCGTGCGCGTAGCCGTCTGCAGGAACGGGCAGCAATCCATCTCTGCGTTGGGTGGCCAGCGCTGAGGGAGAGATTGTATGGCCAGCATGGCTTGAGGAGGACGCAGAAACCTGGAAGCGATTCTCCTGAGTCTGCTGCTGGTGGGCGAGCTGGTGGGTCGGAACATGTGGCGAGCCTGATCCGGTCTGGTGGCCCGCGCTTGACTGTGGAACAGACCCCTCGGCAGATGAACCACGACGCTGCAAGCTCTGCTCGCCTCCGCTGGATTGTTGCTCCGGCGAGCGACAGGCCAGCTGTGACTCCAGTTCGGCTGGACGTCAGCGCTGCTACGGTGGAGCTAGCAAGTGGGTGGCACGCGCTGTAGGAAGGAAGATATCAAGGCGGACGCGAACTTACCAATTCGCGCTTTCAGCTGCGCGATGCGCGATGTGCTTTTGCCCGTCTCATACACGCAGTCCTTCTTGAGGCGGACGCAAGTCGCGCAGGCCGGCTTGGCGGCGTTGCAGCGCTGTTGTTCGTTAATATCACTAAGGCCAGAGGTCAAGTGCCAGGATGTACTCACAATTCGGCGCCGACGACAGGCCAAGCACGCGTCACCGCTACATGTCAGTACGCATCCCGGTGGCGATGAATTTGGATGTGGGAGAGAACGCACCGCTTGAGTGTAGCTATGCTGTTAGCTCTACATACATCGGCGAAACAATTGGGCAGGTCAGCAGACTCACCTTTACCGGAGGAGGGAGTCTCGTTGGCCTCGGTGAAGGCGTGTCCGAGGTCGAACCCGTTGTCGTCCATTGCGTCGTCGCTGTCCATGATGACGAGGTGTGGGGGTTGCAGGAGCCACGGGTTTAGACAAGAGGATAGGGTGATTCAAGAGGCCAGAGGAGAGGAGATGAGTGAGGGGGGGGGGGATGATGAAAGGCGAGAGAGATAGAAAGAGAGAGAGAGAGACAGAGCTGGGAGCGAGCGAGAGAGAGAGAAGACACATGCCGAGAGGCAGATGTCGGCTGGGCTGGTTGTGGTTAATGGCGGTGGAGGTATTACTACTGTAGCTTTACAATACTCGGGTTTGAATTGGATTCACATCATCGGCCACCGTCCGGCCTCTTTCCCACCCGCCCCTGTCTCTCTGCTCAAATCAATACTCTCCGTACTCTCCGGTTTCCTGCCTCCGTTCCACCTCTTCTCGCGCCTCTCGCAATGCGCTCTCCCCTTGCCCTGCGCGCAGTAACCGTAACCGGTATAGACGCAATGGCGCCCCGGATAGTCCGAGGCCCAAACACCCCAGCTGCACGCGGTCCACGCCGCCACCCGGCCAACCCTGGCCCACCGCGATCTCCTCTCTCCTTATCCCTGGGTGAAAGCCAGCATGCCTCGACGCCGCATGCCGCCATAGCCGCCAACATGCCAACTCACCAACTAATTTGTCTGGCCAGCTGCCCATTGACTTCGACCACGCGACCCCCACCCCCGCTTTCTCACAACCTCCCCGTTCTGCGCTAACATCCTGCACGCTGATTGGTCTAACCGAGCGTCATGTACTGTACAGTACCTCTGTGAGCGGAACCAAATCGGGAATGGTGTCATTTCATCGGCCTGCGTGGCCCCAGGCCGTGCCCAGTCACCCCGGCCTGTCGCTTAAGGGTCTTTGGGAACAAGTAACCGATCCGACAAACCCAGAGATACCCTCGTTGCAGGCACCACCAACCGCCATGTCACTGTCCTAATCGATCCATCTTGCTCACAATTTCTTCTGGACATCGCCTTTTGATCCTGGCGCTGCATCATGGGATGGCACCCTATGACTCAGAACCTGTTCTGTGTCTTTCAGTGTTCTGGTGGAACAGAAACACTCTCAAACTTGGTCAGCGCTCATGCTCCTCATCACGCGCCTCGTTGCTGCGAAGGGGCCACAGCGGGTTTGGCACCCCCACTTGTCTCACTGCTTTCTGGGTATCAGTTTACCGGATAGACTGACTGACTCCCTCCGCATCTTGCTGCACTCGCTGACCTGCTGTGCGTGCAGGAAGACTGCGATGCCCAGGCATCCCTCCTCCTCCTCCTCATCGACGCGGTGTCAGCAAGGCGTGACATGCCACCGTGGCGTCGGTTGGCGCTTTCACTGTCCCACATTGCTGACCTCGCTCGGCGCTCGCTGTACACCGGTCCAGCCCGCAGACAGCAGGCCTCTGGTTGAGCGCTCGTCGCGAGCGCTAAGACCTGGGCGTCAGGAGTCAGGCAATAGCGGTGCAGGCCCTGTAATTTCTGCTGTAGACACATGGAACTAGCGCTCGCACCGCTCTATACATGTACAGCCAGTCTACATGTTTCTGCTGCAATCATGGGTCTAGACTAGACGGCTGAAGCACCAACAACGCCCGCAACAACAGCGCCGAGCCATCTGCGGGCCTTGCGACGAGTGCCGGAGCTCTCCTTGAAAGTGCTCGGCTGAGCAGACGGGGCAGCGGGAGGGTTGGCGGGGTCGCGAGCGATCTCCTGCTGCGTGGCGCAGTGGATGCCACCCCCGCCCGCCGCAATACCGTCAATGTTGAGCTGGACGACCTGGCGATCGGGGAACGCGGTCTGGAGGATCTTCAGGGCGGCTCCGTCCGCCTCGCTGTCTCCGAACTGCGGGGCGATGACGCCGCCGTTGCACAAGTAAAAGTTGATGTATCCGGCCGCGAAGTCCTCATCATTACGGTACGCGCGGCGCACGGTCGACGGCGCATTCAGCACCGTCACGTTCAACGGGTTGCCTTTCGCGTCCGTCGCAGCGCGCAGGATGCCGAGGTGCGTCGTCGTAACGCTGTGGTCGAAACTCGTCGTGTCGGGCTCGAAGCCCGCAACGACATGACCCTCGCCCACGAAGCGCGCATAGAAGTCCGTGTGTCCGTCCGTGATGTCCTTTCCTGCGATTCCGGGCAGCCAAATGACCTTGGTGATGCCAAGCAGGCGCTCGAGCTCGCCCTCGACCTGCGCCTTGCTCCACCCGGGATTGCGGTTGTCGTTGAGCACACAGCTCTCGGTTATGATCGCGGTGCCGAGGCCGTCGACCTCGAGCGCCCCGCCTTCGAGCACGAGCTCTGTACTGAGGAGCTCGACGCCGGTGCTGCGGGCCACCTGCGCCGCGACCTTGGCGTCCGCGGCGTGCCACTGTTTGTTTCCCCAGCCGTTAAAGTTGAAGTTTACGCCGGCCACACTGCTGTCGTTGCGCACGAAAACGGGTCCCGTATCGCGCACCCATAGGTCGTCGAGTTCGGCGTCGACGAGCGTAACGTTCGGCGCGTCCTTGAGAAGACCCTGCAGCGTCGTCTTGTCCTCCGGCCGGACGAGCATGCTCACGGGCTCAAAGCGGGAGATGGCCGCAGCGACGTCGGCCAGGTTCTTCTGCACCACGGGAAGGACATCCTCCCATAGCGTTTCGTTCCACGAAAAGGCCATCCACGTCCGCTGGTGTGGCTCGCCTTCATCGGGCATCCGCCACGCGGAGGCACTTGAGGCGGCAGTCGAAAGTGTCGCGAATGTCGTCATGAGGGTGCGTGGGTGCATGTTGGGTTGATACTGGCAAAGACTGCCAAACAGAGCTTTATATACATGCGCGGCCCGTCAACGCTGTTCAAGCGTTCGTAGCTGGTTACAGGTGTGGAAGCTTGATGATCACCTGTCTCGACCCCACCAAAGTCCGCATATCCAATAATGCACAACCCGCGGCATGTCGATCGGAGTTGCGTCGTTTCCAACAACAACAGAAGGCCCCATTGTTGCCGCCCCCCGTGCTACAAAGCGGTGCCTCTCTGGACCCAGAAATTGGAGTCATCCATGTCGGCAAGGTCCACGGAGCATGGTTCCTTGCTCTGTACCATGCGGCTGATGATGACTTGCCAGGCTCCGTACATCTTCCGTGCACTGCATTGTTCTTAATTAATGCGTTATCAGCGGATTGGAGGAGATATGATGGAAATCGCGGTGCGGATTCGTTCGGCGATCAAGACGACTTCCGTCTCGTTGCATCACCGCCACGGCTCAAAAACTTGCCATCTCGCTATTTCAAGATAAAGGCAGCTGGGGAAGAAATAGCACATGTCGCAGGGTATGCTCCGGTACTTGCCGGTGCGAAATCGCCAGAACTTCTTCGATGCTGTTGGCTACTGACGCCGATGCTATCTTGCTGGCTGCCAGCATCTACCGTTGATAGCCGTAACCTTGTCGGCCCCACCCGCCGCTGCGCTCTCTGCACTGTTCGCTGGATTCGGTTTATGGATGCCGTTCTCAGATCTCTGGCAATCCCTCAAGAGGCCCGAGACGTGACGGAAGCAGAAGACAGCAGCACCACCCCTCCCATAGAGAAGCAACCTCCGAGTGGCATCAGGCTCAGAGCGCCTCATCTCAGCACGGCCTTGGCATGGTGAAACTTCTTATGTGCACCCTGCTGAGTGCAATTGGTGCGAGATGCAATGTACTTCTTTTTTTTTCCTTCCCAAGTGTCCTATGGCAGGCGGGCACCCGCTGACAGAAGTGTCACTTCATCTTTCTCTCCCCCGTGCGTCAGACCCTTTCCGCATTCCGCATTCCGGTTTCCACCCAATCCACCACACTTGCTCGCACCTGCCACCATCCGTAGCCATCATCATCCATCATCACCCCACTAATTCCATCTCCATTATCCTCTTTACATCTCCATGTTGTTCATAGTCCGACTCATAACTCACTGCAGCTCCTTTCACGTGACATCCGTCTCCATTGATCCGTCATGGCCGCGTGCAACTTTACCCCCCTTCTTCTAATCACCATCTTCAGTTCCATTGTCGCGACAAACCACCCCACAGTGTCAGCGCATGGTGCTAGTCAAGTTCTAACAATCCACAAAAATGGCTTGATCCGCCAAGCCGCCGACGGTGCAAACCCACCGCGACCGGTTTGCGCATAAAGAGCCCCGCCCTTCCCCGATCTCAGCCTTCCTTCCCACTCACCTCACAGTCATGTTTGCCCTCTCACTGATCTTGGTGATTGCGCTCGTTGCAGCCTCTCCACAGCCCCGCATGACCCACGCACCCCCGCACTCGTGGGGCAATGGCCCCGTGCGCGGCGTCAACATCGGTGGATGGTATGTCCGAACAGGGTGACAGCTGATGGCAGGCTCGTGCTCGAGGTATGTCCTGGGGCGAAAGTTTGTCGCGCAGAGTGGCGCGTCTGTGCAGTGTTCTGCGCCTAGCACTCCTGATGGCGCTGACACCAGCCATGGATAACGCCATCCCTCTTCGACGGCAAGCCTGACTGGGTCCGCGACGAGACCACCTACGCGAAGTACCAGCTCGGTCAGCCTCAGCCGTACAGCGAGATTGGCCATCACTGGGATACCTGGATCACCTACGATGACTTCGCCAAGATTGCCGATTCGGGCCTCAATACAGTTCGCATTCCTGTTGGGTGTGAGTACCCCTCATGATCGTGCTGAAATTCTGTCTGGTCACTCATTCCGCTCGTCGACGGCGAGGTGTTCATGGTCGGCGCGTTCGAGCACCTCAAGAAGGCGGTGGGATGGGCCAAGGCCGTCGGCCTGCAGGTATGTCCAGTCACGCCGATGCTTCTCTGACCCTAGGTCATGCTCGACTTGCACGGTGCGCCCGGCGGTCAGAACACATGGGACAACTCGGGCATGGCGGGGGTCATTCACTGGTACGACGACACGCGCAACCTCGACAGGACGACTGCCGCCCTCAACGTCCTCATGCGCGAGTTCAATCGCAATGAGTGGGCCGGAACCGTAACGAGCATCTGCGTTCTCAATGAGCCCAATCCGCACTTATCCCCAGTCCCAGCTCCCCTCGACTTTCTGAAGACGTTCTACCATGCCGCATATGGTCTCATCCGTGACCAAAGCCCCGCTACACCCGCCGGCGGCGGCATAGTCGTCGTCCTCTCTGAAGCCTACCAGAGCCTAGAGCATTGGCGTGGCTTCATGCCTGCACCGCAGTACCAGCGCGTCGCACTTGACTGGGTGAATGAGCCCCCACGACTTGGCTGACATCAGCACTCTTACCACATGTTTGAGGACCGCACGCTTGCCCTATCGTTCGAGGACCACATCAAAGAGTACTGCGGACTTGTGCCTCAGCTCGTGAACAGCGACGACAACCTCTGGACGATAGTTGGCGAATTCACTGGTGCGTTTAGCCTCGCTTTGCGCTCAAGGCTGGGAGGGGCGTTGCTGACGGCAGCGGCGCCGACAGACTGCGCAGGATGGGCACACAACGGCGCCGCCGCCAAGTGGCACGCTGGTCTCGGCTCCGTCATGGCCACCCCCAACGATTGCGCGTCTATCTCGGGCAACCCGTCGTCCTGGACGCCCGCGTACCGCGACTACCTCACGCAGTCGTGGGAGACGCAGACGTGGGTGTACGAGAAGGCGCAGGGGTGGGTCGCGTGGTGTTGGAAGACCGAGGCGGCCGCGGACTGGAGCCTCGAGGCCGGCTTTGACGGCGGGTGGCTCACGCGCCCCCGCGACCTTGCGGACGGCAAGCGCAAGTTTGGGTAAGTTCGGCTCCTTGCAAGTCGGGCTCCTTTTCACACAAGGGCCACAGCTGACAGCAGTGTGCCGTGCCGCGGGCTCAGTTTCGAGAATACGTTCTCGGACAGAAGATCCTCCGCGCGCCGCCCCGCCACACACAGCATCGCCCTTGCGGCCGGTGGTGCCGCCCTCGTGGCCCTCTGGACCCCTCACGTCTAAAAGCCAACCTTGTCCGCTCTGGATGCATCTGACATTCCGTTAACGCCACACTGTATAATTAGAGCTCAGAGCAAGCAGCCCTCTGTATGCATGTATGCTCCGCTTCCGCATCCGCCGACGTCAATCACTCATCAGCCAATGGTACATGCTACAACTACGTCTATCACGTAAACACCATATGGCTCCAGCCTGCTACAATATAATCTCCTATAATCCTCTTCGCCGCACCCGCCTTCATATGCGCCAGGCATTACGGGAGATTAGGGAAACACTGCTGCCAAAGGTTGATGTCGTCGCCCGCCGTGGGCATGCTGGCCCAGAGCAGCATCCACGCGTTGAGGTCCAGCTGCGAGATGCCCGGGATGCCCGACTCGCCCTCTCCGCCCTGGAAATTTGCTACGTCGAGGTACCCCGGATCGGGGGTGGGCGATGGGGGACGCGTACGCGCGCCCGCGGCGCTGAGCTTGCGCAGAATTTCGACGTGGCGGCTCGCACTCGACCACTGCATCGCGATCGTGTCCAGCCAGCGGATACACTGCTCGAGGCGGCGGTAGCTCTCGGCTCTAGTTGGGGATAGGTGGTTCGCGCCGGGACCTGGGCCGTGCGCGGCCAGCCCGGCATGCACGGTAGCGGCCTGGAAGACGAGGTATACCCACGAACTGGCAAACTTGCGCACGCGGAAGGTACGCTCGTACTGCTCCATGATGTTACAGATGGCCGTGGCCGAGTGGCGGCTCGCGTCTGCACCGTTCGGCAGGCGGAAGTTGGTCGGCGTCTCGGTGACGCGCTCGTCGCGCTCGACGCGGTAGCCGTCGGGGCTGTCGGCCGTGTCGAGGAAGGGTACCTGAGGGCGGTGCAGGAGCAGCATGCAGATGTGGTACCACCCGCGCATGGTGAGGAGGTGCAGGCCCGTATCTCTATGCGCCGTCTCGCTGTCGTCCTCCCATTGCAAATGGGGCGGGAGCTCGGAGCGCCACTTGCGCAGCTGCTGGTCGATGTGGACGACCACTTCATCGTATCCGTCGACATGGTGACCGTGCATACGCGCGCGCCGCGTAGAGGGGCGATAGACCTGGTCGAGGATGATCTCGAGGGAGGCCATGACGTCAATCCAACTGTTGAACGAAGAAAGCGTGTGTGACTTGACTGTCTCCATCTTCTCCCGGACATTTGGCTGGAGGAGGACCTGCGCCCCCCCGCTGAGCCAAAGATCGAACTCGTCGCGCTCCATGATACTGGGCCGGGCGGCGTCGATGTCAGCCGCGCGGAGGTTGACCGGACGCTGCGAGCCTGCGGCGAGCATCTTGTCGAGGATAAACGTCGCCCAAAGCGTGCGACAACGCTCCTGGCTGTCCCTCGAGCGCATGTCCTCCGAGTGGGTGTGCAGTCCGAGATCCAGGGCCATGCGACATGCAAATCCGCCCATCTGGTATGCCAAGGAAGTGCGGCCGACGCCCTGGTCGACGAGCGACACCATCACGAGCGCCTGAACACTCTGGAGTGAAGGGGCGTGGTCGCGCCCGTTCATAGTGGAGAGGACGCGTGCGCGGACGCTCTCGGTAAGCAGATCGCAGGCGGCGGCGAAGCTGCGCCCAGCCTTATGACTGCCGTTGACGCCAAAGTTCTCGCACAGATCCGAGTTGGCGGCGCTGATGGCGAGCACTGCGTCGAATACGATGGGACTGTATGTCTCCAGCGAGCGAAGGCTGCGAAGCTGAGGAACGTAGATCATGGGCCAGTGCGGATGGATGAATGTCTCGTACACGAGCAACAGATCGTCGATGGCTTCACTGCTCAGGCCGGCGGCGTGACAGCTCGAGCCGCCTGAGGCCGGCGAGGCGCCCAGCACCTGCGGGGACGGAAGCGTACGGGGCGTCGGCATCGAGAGGAGTTCGGCATCGAAGGGGATCATCTCGTTCATCTTTGGTGGATCGGGCATCATGGCGGTGTTAAGGGGCTGGGGAGCCGCGGTAGATGGTGGAGCCACTCCCACGCTCCCAGGAGGAGGGTTGAGGACGTCTGGGCGACTGCTTCCTTGCTTGGCCGTCGCCTCAGCTGCTGCGGCCTCGGCTCGCTCACGCTCGCGCTCAAGGGCCTGGCGTTTACGGTGGCCACCGCGGGGCGGACATCCCTTTGGTGGCCCGCGCTTCTTGGGTGTGGTGTAGAAGCACTCGCCGTTGAAGAAACGAATGCAGTGCGCGCATGGATCGTTGCTGTCGCACTTGATTTTGCGGATGCTACACGCGACGCAAGCGCGCGTACTACGCGTGCGGGCCTCAGACATGCTGGTGCGGAGATGATGCCGGTGCTGGTCACTCCTTGGTTCTACCGCGGGGGGTTTGGGGGAGGGAGGGGATTTTGGTGCGGGGTGTGGGGATGACGGGTCGACACTGAGACGACACCCTTGCTGTCAGCATAGTGTTTGTCGATGTCGACGGTGTGGATGATGGCGGAGAAGAGGATGAGGGTAGTGAGCAGGTACTCACCGTTTGTGAAGGGGGGAATGGGGAGATGAGCAAAGCGAGAATCGATAATGGGTGGGTCTCATCTTGGTTTCTCCGTAGATATGTGGGGATGATAGGGCCCTTCATTTGGGCGGTATGTGTGCACCTTCCTTCTGGTCTCGAGTGGCAACTTTTTTTCATCCCCTCACATCAGCTGCATCTGTCAGCTCATGCTCTTGATCACTACTCCTGCTCTGCTCTGCTCTGCTGTGCTCTGCTCCCATGCCGTTGTTGACTTTGTCATGCTCGCAACCACCTCGGTCCCCGCGGCTGTCGACAGCCAGCATCAGCAATAATGGCGTTTCCCGCCTCGCTTGGTCTATTCACATGTCTCACTTCTCCCTCACCTCTTCCCCTTTTTCTCCGCACCGCTGTCCTCCCCAGCACTTCCAGCAAACACGACATTCTATTCATCTCTGCCCACGTCATCGCTCTCTTCGTTCTCTGCACCGTATTAGAGCTGTGATACTGACCTGCTGACGCATTCTCATTCAACTCTTGCGATCGTGCAGATTGAAATGCGGCCTCGGCGGTTACTAAACCCGTGCCTCCTCCAAGGCACATCCGGCCGCAACCGTCTACCGTCTACCGTCTACTTACCGTCCTTGCGGTGATCTCAACAGAACCCCAACCCCTGCACTGAAGCAATCGTATGCTCCAGGCGACCACAGCGTAACCGGTCCTTCATGCAGCCCATGGATATCCTGCAGTCAGCGGGGTGTCTTGCCCGCTCTGGCGCAAGCCGAGCCACGTCGATCCTACGCCCCTGGCCGTTGTCAGCTGGCAGCCCAACTCACCTCAAACAGAGTGACGTCAACACCATCTCGCCGCATCCCCTCGACCAAAGCATAATCCTCGTCGGCGAACACCTCGTACGTCCCCACGCTGACGAGCACGCGCGTGGCCCACAGGCAAGCCCAGTGGCCTTCCGGGGCGAGGGCAGGCGAGAAGAGGGGATCGGGGATCGCATCGGGCGCGTAGTGTCGGGCCGCGGCACAGATCGCCGCGAGCAGGAAACGACGCGAGAGGTGGTCGACACTCTCGTTCGCCCAGCTGGGGAAGCTGGCCGTGAAGTCGGCCCACGGGCTCACCATGGCGAGGGCGCCGGCCTGCGGTCGCCCCAGCGCTGCCAGCTGCTGCACGAGTGCAAGGCAGAGGTGCGCACCCGCGCTGTCGCCCAGAAGGACAATTTGGGCCGGCGCGAACCCAAGCGTCAGTGTTACGTACGCCCACGCTGCCAGCGCATCGAGCAGTGGAGCGGGGAATGCCGTGTCGTCCGACAGCGTCTTGCGGTAGCTACACACTTGGGTTAGCGAGGGCTGTGGCGGCCCGATCATGCCGGGTCCCTAGGCAACGGGGTGACAGCGAGTCTCACTCACGAAACGCGCGCACTGCATGGTCTTTGGCAAGCTTGAGTGGAAACGGTGTCCACAATGGATGGCCCTTGACGTAACCACTACCATCAGCTCCTCCCACCTTAAGCCTCACCCGCCATGGATGAAGAGGATGATCTTCTCGCCGGGCTGCGCCTTCGAGAAACCCGCCCCACGCGCCCCCGGGGGAGTAAGCATAAACCCGGGGCGTGTAGCGGGCTTGACACATGCCGGCCCGTCGACGAGGTGCCCCATCATGTCCTTCGGCGCGGGCGGGATGTCTGCGACCTCCCAGCGGGCGCCGTCCCAGATCCCCTCAGGGAAAGGGATATACTGCAGCGAATTGGGGAGGGGGCGCGCTGCCAGCTCCTTGCTCTCGGGCGGCGTGAGGAGTGGCACGAGGTAGCCGCGCCACACGTCCATCCGTGAGAGGAGGTACGTCCACAGGTTCTGGCCGCGCGGGTTGAAAAGCCATCGCAGTGCATACACAGGGAGGAGGGGGTAGATGACGATCTTGGCAAGGGACTGGAGGCGCACGACGGTGTCTGCGGGCCAGACTTCTGGCGCGCTCAGGTCTGGCCTGCGGCGGAGCGGGAGGCGGTGAGCTGACATGAACGGAGTGGTGTGGGAGGAGTTGGCGCTGCCCACATCCACAATCGGTTGCCGCCGGTATCGCCCGGGGACCCCACGCCTTATCAGTTCCACCCATTAGCACGTGCAGCGGCGACTGCATCGGCCGGTGCCGGCTCCATCGTGGGTGCAGAGAGGTACATGTACATGTACTTGGCTACTGCGCAAGCTACGCTTCATCTCTCTTTCTCTCTCTTTGCACCACCATGCACCCGCCCGCCCATCTGTTTGCGCTGTCGCGCCGCGCGCCCAGCTACTTTGCGTGGTATCGGCCGTCGCACCGCCGCGCGCACGCCGCCGCCTTCCCTACGGACGCCGAGGCCGGCCCAAGCCGCCCCCAGCGGCCCATGGACGACTACCGCTTCCCCGAGAAGGGGCGGCGCGGCGGCCCGCCCGACCCGTACGAGGTGCTTGGGCTTGAGCGCGGCGCGGGCGCACGTGAGATCAAGTCGCAGTGTAAGTGAGGGCGTGAAAGGGTGGTTGTGCTATTCCGAACGCATTTCGGAATGGTGGAGGCGGGGTCGTGCGAGCCCTTACGATATCCGCGTTCCTCCGTCGCCGACGACCGTAGACCAACGGGCGCCCGTACGCCTTACTTGTGGTGATATGGCCATGGGCTGACGCCAGACTACAAGCTCGCCCTTGTCCTGCACCCCGACAGCTCCCATCCCTCGGCGTCCGCCGAGCACTTCGCCACGCTCAGCCGCGCATACAAGCTCCTGTCCGTACAGCAGAGCCGCACGTCGTACCTGCAGACAGGGTACGGGTGGTCTGGCCCGGCGGACGCCGAGGACCCACACGCGTCTGCGGACGCGGCGATGCGCAGCTGGGCGCGCCATGCGCGCGCACACGGCGCCGCGAGCTGGGAGGCAGGCGCGCGGGCGCGCGGCTTCCGCGCCTCGGAGGGCGGCGCGGGATACTACCACACGCATCCCGGCGAAGACTTCCCTTTCCACGACGCTCCGCCCAAGGGGAACGGCGACGCGATCTTTATGAGCAATGGCGCGTTTGTGGCCTTCATCGCGGGACTCGCGGGCGTCGGCACGTTCGTCCAGTACTACCGGATGGGGGCGGCGGTGGACGACGCCAAAGCGTTGTTGGTCGACCGGCATCTCCAGTGAGTTTCAGACGTATATGGTGTCAGACTGGCTAACCCCAGCGCTTCCAAGGCCCTGGCGGAGGCGCGCCATGAGGCAGCACTGTTCGGCAAGGAGCGGCGCGACCAGATACGCCGGCGCGTGCGCGAGAACAAGGTGCTCAGCGAGATTGACAAGATGGAGCGCGGAGAGGTCAGTGCCGCGTCCCACTTGGGCGCCCAGCACAAGCAGATGGAGGACGTTCATCTACCGCAGAGGACCGAGCCGCCGAATTCGGGATACGCCGCAGCATAACGTTGCTTCATCTGCATCGCATAGTATGAAGACGGGTCCTGCTGTGTCGCGCCATATACATCAAAGGCGGTGGTGTCCATTTGCTTGGCTCTGACACGTCATCAATGGCTCACATGACCGCTTGCTGAACGGGTCAATGCCGCGCTCACAGCGTTTATGTGGGCCCACCCGAAGTTACCCACTCTGACCCTATTCTCTGGACCACCCCTTCCCTCATGGTTCAAGTCCATTAATCTCATGGCTAAAACTTTGTGCTGCAGTCGTAGATTTGCAATTGATGATCCATCATACTACATCTGCTGAGGGAACATGAAGCTCTCCAGCTGGGGCACACCGTCCGTGTCGCCCGCCGGCGAGAGCGCCGCCTCCTTGAGCTCCTCGACAGCCTTGGCCTGCGTCCGCGCCAAGTACATTGTCTCTCCGATACGCGCCATCTCCCCGATCACCGTCTCGGCTTCGGCAGCCACGCCGCGCGCGGCGTCCCCTTCCCCCATCTTCATGAGGCGGTGCGCCTCTTTAATCAACACCTTGGCGATCAAGCTCCAGATTAGCACGAGGAAAGCGTCCACGTCCGTGAACGGCTGCGGTCAGCTCTGGCCTTTTTATCCACTCACCAACTGCGGCATAGCGCGGAACAGCACCACGCTCTTCCGCGCGGCCTTCAGCGCCTCGTTGTTCTCGACGTCCAGCGAGTTGATGTCGTTCAGGAGCATGTACACCGCCGTGATCATGTGGTGCAGCATGAGGATGTTGGTCGTGATCTCGGGCTCGGGCGCGCCTTCCTGCTGCGCCTGCATTTTGCGCACCACCGGGAACACTCCGTCCGGGCCCAAACCCTGCACATGACTGTCGATGGCGTGCAAGCACTCGCGGTAATCCCGCGGATTACGGTACTGAGGCTGGTTGAGACACTCGGGCGGCGGCGCTTGCAACGGGTTACGGTGGACCAGAAGGTGATACTGGTTCCAGGCCTGGATGTAGGGCGAGTCTTCCGCCGGTTCCAGGAATGGCAGCTTACTCGCGCGCTCGAGGATGACCACACACTTGGCCCACTTGGTGTACGGGGTGTCGTTACTGAAATCGAGCGCGCGGCCACGATATATGTCTCGAATCGTATAGTCATCGCGCTCAGAGACGCTCCCGGAGGCGATGTCGGTGAGGTGGCGCGCAAACGGAGTCGAAATGTCATCGTCCTTTAGTCCAGACGAATAGCCCGTCGCCAACGAGCTGCAGCGGTCCGTCGCGAGGCACGCCCAGCTGCAGGTTAGTCTTATTCAAAGCTCCGACTCACAAAAGATGTAACCTCTCGCCCAGCTCGACCGCGTCCACGGGAGGCGGAAGAAGGAACACACGGTTGCGGAGGAAGGGATTTTTCTTGGGCTCTGGCCTGTGCACGTTGGACTGTATACGGTGCAGGCCACACGACAACACGAGGCGGTTCGCGAGTCCACCTAGACACCAGCCTTCGTGATGTCGTCCAGATGAGTGCGAGTAGACGGCTAACAACATGGCCGCGCGTACTGCGTCAATGAGGCGGTCCACAGTGGATGTCGACATCTCGAGGTACTTGCACGCCTCCTCGAAGAAGTGCTTTTCCATGTTCACCATTTGCGGCGAGTTAGACATACGCGTCGCCCACAGGTACATGACATTCAAAAGAGCGAGACTTGGTCTTCGCTTGTCCGTAAATGACATGCGGTAGCGGAACCGAGGGACGCTCATCTCGAAGAACAGCGGTGCGTGAGCCAGGAAGCAGTCAAGCAAGATCGTGCGCGCAGCCTCCGTCAAACCGTCATACTCCGTGCGCATGCGGTTGACAGATGAAGAGTTGTCTTGCGCCCGTGAGCCGCCTCCTCTTTGCGTCCCACTGCTCGTACGATGATGCCTCGCGCGCTTCGATCCGTCGTCATCCTTCACGGCACTCGAGTTCGGGCTGAACAGGAACTCGCCAAGTCGCTCCGTTAACCCGTCAACCGGTGTGAGATTAGCAACATAATGCAGGTTTGTCTGATGGTACATTCTTGACGCAAGGCGATTGCTGAGCTCTGGTGTTGCCTGGCCAGACGAACCGGTCCCCGACTTCTGCGGCTTGGGCCGAGGTCGCTCATCTGGAGTAGAGGGATCGGAAGCGATCTGCGTGATAGAAGCAGTAGCCTCTGGAATTGATGACACGGACGGGTCAAAGATGGGCTCGGTAGTCATGGATGTGTCCGTGAACATTGATGTCTGCGATTGGGCCTTGACGCTCGGGGTTGTCTCGTAACCCGTCGAGTTCTGTGGAGTCGGATAGGACGTCGATGCTGTCGTCGACCACGGGTTTTGAAGGGTGTTGGGGTTTGTGGACGTATCGGGAAACGAGAAAGTCTCTGGTCCACTCGGTGCAACGTAAGGAGGCATTCCGATGACGGGCTGAGCGAGATGCTGCTGTTGCGCTATAGACGGGGCTGATGCCTGTGAATGATGGTGACTAAGCCCTGCGGATGATGATGTCGGCATTGACGAATTCGCAAAAGGCGACGGCTGGCTAAAGTCGGCGGAGCCACTGTCGAACACGCTCAGGCCTTGGTACGATGCCATGCCCGCCGAGTAGCTGTCCTGTTCCAACAATCCAGGCTCCAAGAGCACGTCGTTCATGTAGTCGAGCGAGACAGAGGGTGCAACAGGTTCGCTGTTGTAAATGGCGCCAACTGGTAACTGATGCGTGGACGTGTATTCCGACACAGCAGCTGAGCCCATGGGCATCCCGTTCCCATATGGCGCGTTGCTGTACGCGGGCTGGTGGTGCTGCGGGAGTGGGTACATTGGCGCCTGAGTATGCTGTGGCTGTTGATGCTGATGTTGGTGCGAGTGATGTTGTTGCTGTTGGTGCTGCTGGTGCTGAAGTTGCTGTTGCTGTGCCTGCTGTGCCTGCTGTTGCTGCTTCTTCTTCTCCGACTTGACGGGTGGTCCATACTCGCACACCTTGGTATACTTTACGCAGTTTGTGCACTGAGGGCGATCGCCTGAGCATCGCTGTTGTTAGCTCCTCGGCCGCTGGTGCCGATGTCCTGACGACACATACCAGCTTTCGGCGCCGACAGAAAGTGCACGCCCTGAGGTCAGCCGTTGATCCTCCTGCTGATACGCGACGTACATGCCCCTCTTCAGGCCGTAGTGCGGAAAGTGCGATACGTCGACCTTCTTGGACACTGAGGTCAGCGGCCGACGGGCACTGCGATGGAGAGGGACTGACATTCTGACGGGGGTCGCGTTTCGGGCCTAATGTCAGTCTGCATGCGAGATGAGCATTCTCACTCCTGGGAGCTTTGTGATCCTGGTCTCGTCAGTGTGGTCCGACGCGCGGTCCTTACCATTCGCGGCCGAAGATGGGCCAGTTGCGCCTTGATCAGTGCCATTTGGCATGGCGGCGTGTGTGCCTGCCATGTTGAGTGCTCAATGTGGCCTGGTCGACGAGATGAAGGTGGTGATGGGCAGACGTTGATCCAGATAGCCCATCTGGTGGGCGGCGTACTGTGAGGGAGGAGCAAAGAGAAAGACGTGTTGTCGGAGCGCGGGGGAGGTGCCGATAAGGTAAACAGAGGCGATGCTCGAGGCCGGCGGCGATGTGGGTGGGGTGAGGGGCGCAGCTAGATGCCGATTGTGAGACAGTTGAGCAAAATGATTGAGCACGAGGGAGAGGAAAGAGGGTGAGTGTGGATCAGGAGCAAGAGGCGTGAAGTGACACGAAGATGGCGGTTGGAGCGTCAATGAAAGAGAGGAGGAGGAGGAGGAGGATGATGATGATGATGATGGATGGAGGATTGACGAGGTTGAGAGCCATTCCAAGGTGAGAGGAGCCAAAGCCAAGAGGTCCCATCGGGCTATTGAGCGGGAATCCCGGACCGGCCACCGCCCTCATGGATGCTCCTCTCCTCCCTCCAGCCATTTGCATCCCAGCATGGCCTTGCCTTGCACCGTATGCACACCAGTACCTGTCTCGTTGCCATGTTGCCACGTTGCCGTATCGCCATCACAGCATTGTCTCTCAGTCTTGCTGCAGAAACGCAGAAGCTAATCTAGTGCCATTCATACCGTCGGGTCCCGAACATGTCCACATTGGAGTCAGCGGCACGGGTGCACGTGAGCACTCTGTCCTCGGCATTCCCACTCTACCAGCCATGTCAGCTGCACGGCCTTGCTCACTGGCCCCACCATCCTCTCGGACCCCCACCCGGTCAGCTGCGGCCGAAAACGGGAATGCATACCGCTTGACATCGCTGTGATCGCTGGATCTTTGGATCGCTGTGATCGCTGTGATCGTCATGGCGTGTGCACTGCTTACCAGATCTCGTAACGGGTCGACGATCCGACGAATCGATCGCGGCATGCACCAATCTTCTGGGCGCCCTCCCTGTCAGCTGTCAGCTGCGCAGCTGCCTCGCTGCACCATGCGCAGCACGTGGCCGAAGGAGGCCACGTGCCCCATGCAGCATGCACATGCCAAGAGCGTTTGTGTTTGTGGCAGTCCCCGACTGTAAAGATCCACACAGAAAGAATAGATGCATGCAGGTATTGGCGTACACTCGACTATCACCGGGGCCTGCATCAAGAGTCTCCATTTTCCACTTGACGGGACACCCTCGTGAAGCTGTGTAAGAGATCCGCTTTGCTCAGCATTTTGATGGTGGTCCCCCCCTCGCCTGTGCCCAAAAGCGTACACTCCATGACATTGCCACACTCCACAGGTGTTAGTAATACACGCGACTACAGTGGGGTCGGATGCAAACGCCAGCCGCTCGCAACCTTATCGGCCGCTCTTCGGGAGCCGACCCAAGTGTGCCTCATCCTCATTGAGATCACGAGTCCTTTCAAAACGCAAACGCACTCGGCGCTATGTGGCAGGGTGACTGCAGGCAAGGGGGACTCAACAGTGAAGTGTTTTTGGCGGATGCAAGTGTATACGAACCCTCATGGACATCTGAAGGTGTGTTGCCAACAGCTCGCCTCGTTAAGAACCCCATCTCCTACTCGGAGGCGGGTGAGGTGGTAAGGGTCATAGCCCGAGAGCTGTTTACAGGTATCAGATGAGCCAAAGCACAGATGTATTCTGATAATAATGTCGAAACCGTCCCCAGTGGCAGTGTATCCAGGTCCGCCGCAAGTCGGTGCAGCCTGGAAGGCATAATGCTCGCAGAGGCGGGTTTGCTGCAGAACATTGTTTTTCACGGCAAGAAGGAGAGGTGAACAGAGACTGGCCGGAATCGCTGAGCGATCATGGGGCGGCTACCTTTTACCACTCAACTCATGGAACATGATACGGGTCTCAGGATAAAGATGTGGCAGTGACAGTCGATTCTATCTCTTCGTTGATTCTTTTGCCGTGAGCTCTCGCTGATTTGTATGATACTGCGGGGCCCTCTCGATGGCAGGGGAGTCAAGTGGCGAGCATCTGCCATCTGGTGGGGCTGGGCCGAAGGGGAGCGCACATTCCCTTCTGCGCACCAAAACCAAAACGCTTTTGAAGGCCACTTCAACGCTGATGCATCACATCTGCCCACAGTGGAAAGGTGACGCCGATCGCCCCAAAGTGGGGCTGAACTTGCAGGTACAAGCACAAAACGAAGCGGTTCAGAGTGGGGCGGGACGGAACCAAACGGATTCCCGCCTTCATCCCAACGTTGCCACCCTCGGACTGCTCCGACCGCCCACTCCACACTTATGCGCCAGTTCACCCTTCTTACCGCCCTCCTTGCGGCCATGGGCGTCGCCTACGCCTCGTCGCACCACGCTGCCGCCATCCCAGCCCCCGCAGCTCCTGCTGTCCCAGCTGCGCTCCCCGCCGACGGATTTGTAGACGTCATCGCGGACGCCGACGACCAAACTGTCCTCAACCCCGGTACCGGCAATGCGGGGTTGAGTCTCGCCGACGCCCTCACGCTCGAGCGCAAGGCGTCGCTGTGGTGGGAGTATGCGCGCGATGTGTCTTCTGTGGTGAGTCGGAGCTAGGGAGGTCGTGGGCGACAGCGGGAAGAGTTGCGAGAAGGAGGCCGAGGGGAGTGCGGTATGGGCTCCAGCGTTTGGACGCTCAGCATACATGCTTATTTTCCATAACTAGGCGCTGCTCAGCCGTCGCTGGTGGCTGTCCGACGTCTCGTCTTCTTCCTGCCGCAAAACCGCGCTCACACCAGACGGCCCGCCTCACTCGCGCGGGTCACACGACTCTTCTCGTGCCAACCGATGACGCTATCATGGCTCTCCCGCACAAGCCGCACAACAATCCCAGCGGCGGCACCTCGGACGAGGATGCGCAGCACAACGTCGAGGCGTTCCTCTCAGCGCACATTGTGGCCGCGGACATCGAAATTGGGAAAGAAGCCGAGACGCTCGGCGGCGCCAAGGTCACAGTGCAAAAGGATGGGGACGGCATGCGCGTCGTGCCCGGCGATGCCAAGGTCGTTGGCGTCAAGGCCGCCAGCAATGGCATGATCTACTACCTCGACGGCATCGTCAAGTACTAGCCCGCCCCTGTATACGTTAATTGTTGTCTTGTCTAGACTATGCACGCTCTACTTGTAGTACTGTGGCCACATGGAGTGGCGGTATTTATGCAGGGTATAATCTCGTTCTCGAGATGACGAGCGTGGGCGCGCTACGCGTTCGCGCTTGCGATGAGCGTCTGCAGACGGCTCTCGAACTGGCTCGAGTTGACAGGCATCTCAGGTGTGTGGAAGGGATTCTTCATGACCGCGTCCGAGTCTGCTGTCAGCTTCTCCGTACAGCGAAAATGTGACGCAAAAGCGAAGAAGGCGTCCGAGTCGACTCACAGATCTCGTACACGCGCTTGAGGACGTCGTCGACCGGGTGCCCGAGCGAGTGGAGGAGCACGAACTTGGTGCCTGTGATAAGCTGTCTCGGACACACGCTGGCACACTCACCCGTCGGCGTGAGATACACGGTCCCGCCCCACCCCTCCGCCTCGAAGCTCTGCAGCCCCGCTGAGGGCGCACCAGGCGGCGGAGCGGGGGCCAGGCGCGCCGTAATGGCGTGGATGCCGTGCAGCGTGCCCGCGAGAATGAGGAGGGCGTTCGGCTCGAGTTTTGGGAGAGTGTCTGCGCGAGAGAGCAAGAGAACGGGGCGCGGAGAATGGGGTGAAACACATGAGCGAGAGTTGAGGGACGAGGAAGGTTAGTGACGATGAGGTCGAGACGGCGATTGCCCGAAGAGGAGGACTCAGCACGCGCATTAGCATCGCATAAAGCACGCACCACTGTAGTAGCGGTTGAAGACGAGGCCTCCGGCCTTGTTGATGACCCAGAGGGCGTGGACGGTCATGACAGTGTTGTGAATGGTAGGAGCTGCAACGCCGAGAGGACGCGGACATCATGTCACGTCGGTGCTCATGGTATTTGGTTCCGTCGACCATCAAACGAGGCATGAGTTCGACGCCGTCGCGCAGCTGGGAGCTGAGCGCGGATGAGTAGATCGTCCGCTGCACACTGCAACAATGGCCGCAGAGGCTGGACAGTAACCCCTCTGGTCTCTGAAGAGAGAGTGCGTCAAGGTACTCGCAGAACGGTATCGCAACACGAGGGTAATCGCCCGCTCTGACGCTTCTCTCGTAACACAAGCACAGCAACGTTCAGACAATATAGACTACAGTACAACGGTGCGAAAGAATACTTTGTTTCCACTATCGTCAGCAACGTTCTCGAAAGATCGAGAAGAGAGATCAGACATCCAAGGAAGAAAAAAACTTCACAGCATCTCGCCGCCATCGCACGCTTTGCCGGCTGCCCTTTCGGGCCCGCAGGGAATGCGCCCAACTGCAGGAAGGTTCAATCCGCTGAAGGGGCACTCAACCCGCAGAGCGCGGCGCACGACGACGAACTACTCCTGGCAGGGAGGACGCTACAGTGGAAACTGCGTATGGTTTTGGTGTTGGTTCATCATTGAGCCTCAACGAGGCAGTAATCAGAAAACGACACTCACGATTCAATCAGACATTGCGCCCGCAAGGCTTCTTATGGAGGCCTAATTGTCAGCTCGGTCCGAACGACGGCGAGGAGGGTGAGGGATCAGACAAAGGCACTGGCAAGCGCCGAGAGCCCGCATGTAGCGGGGTTCCAGACTCCCCCGCGAAGGGGAGCCCTATCTCGTTCGACATGGTCGGTAAGACGGGGAGAGAATAGAAGGTCATCCGGGTGAAGCGCGGCGTGCAGCACAAGGCGAGCACGTCGCAGAAGGAGGAGGGGTACTAACCTTGCGGGACGCGTGGGTAGACGTGTTGCTGCTGACTGCTGGAAGGGCACAAGTCAAAAGCAGGATTTCCGCCTTGAAATATCTATCCTCCAGGTGGAGGAAGGAGGTGCGAGGATGGAGAATTCGGCGTTTCCGGGGCGTGGCGGACCTCCACTTTGGCCACCGCCGGAGACCATCGTCATGACCGGCCGCGCGGCGCGTCCCACCGATTAGATTACAGTACATCTCCTCGATTCGCACCCCGAGCGACACTCCACATTTTAGCAATGGCCGGACCTCCGTTTGGCACAGCAAGTGCGTACGCCGACGCATTTCCCGCCCCGCCGCCGAAGACTCTTACTCTTGGCGCCGAGACCTGCTTCAACCTGACAGTCTTTAGGGGTGAGTTCGAAGTTGTGTGGTGCTTACACTCGAGACCTCGTTCGGCAATATCGTAAGCTCGACGACCAGGTCGTTACCCGCTTGAATCGCGCGCAGGCCCAGCTCCGCGACGAGGCCCGCGTGGGCAAGGGGAGCGGGAATGAAGGCATGTGCGCCCAAATGTGGGGTGAGGTCATGGGTGAGTGCTTTGGGCCGGGAGAGGAGACAGTGGTGCACGGCGGCATGGGGTGGCAAGGAAGTAATGTTTGGGCCCATCCCATTACTTTTCTGATGGACATGAGGATCTGAGGATATGGCGAGGACAAAATGCGTGGCGAGTCGGTGGGCATTTGACATCTCGGTTCACACGGGCTGGAGTGGCGGAGACGTTAGATGAGGCGGGTACCATCTCATCCTGTCGAGATGCCCTTCAATTCCTCTAATTGCAGTGTTGCTAACACCAGCCGGATGGGCTCACCGCCAAACACTCATCACATACTGCCAGAACACGGTAGAGTCGTCTGCCGCTGCCAAGCACGCGGGAGAGTCCGCGCCTGCACCGCACCGCGGTGCCCTCGAAGAGCAGCGCATCGCGGAGCAGCTGGGCTCCGAGGCCATGATTGAGGCCATCATTCGTAAACGTACTCTCGACGTATTTAGGCAGCGCTGTCCGTTCTTCGCACCTACCACGGACGCTGGACGTGTGTGGTGGGAGTTAGCGGATGGCGGGCGACCAGGCGCGGGGCCAAGCGTTTAATGTCCACAAAGCATCGTCTGACACTGTTGTTCAACTATTCATGCATCCCACAACCTGCTCACATGCAATGCTACACGAACTAACGAGGTCTGAACCATGCAATCCTACCCGTCATCGTCGGTTAGATAGAAGGCGTCTTGTGCGGATGAGCCGAGCGCTTGATCCTCTGGCTTGCGAAATGCTAAACTGGCTTTCCTTTCGTCTGGGCCCTTCCCAAGGAAGCCAACAATCGTTTGCTGGCTTGATGCTTCCTTCTCCGTCTTCCTCCTCTTGTTCCTGCTTGTCCGAGCGTACGTCTTACTCGCAGGGCGTTTGGGCTTAGTCAACTCGAGAGAGGGCTCGCGCTCGTGGCGCTGCGGCCTCGACGAGCCGCCGTGCGGTTGTTCATCAGCATCATCGTCGTCGATGACAAGCGGCGAGGCTTCATCTCCAAGGAGCTCTGACTTTGGCTGTACTGCAAGGGCCCTACCATTGGTGTTGGCTGCGTGCTTCACGTTAATTCGAGTAGGACACATTTGGCTCGACGGCTCGCGTTTGGGTTTCTCAGCGACACCGTACCCTTCGCCGCGGCTGGGGCCTGTGTGCTGACCTGGCGACTTCGAGCGGCGCCGTACAGGGCGTCGATGATGTGTTGTTGGAGATGTTCTCTGGGCGTCGTCATCGGATGACAGCGGCAGTTGAGGGCGGCTCTTGCGGCGAGACAGTGGACGGCGAAGCCCTGGGCTGTGGTGGGAGAGCTCCGGCGACAGCCGCACTCGATTCGATTGCCGTTCCTGCGAAGAGCTGGGCTGCGGGCGAGGAGCGGTGGCGGGAAGCGTGTGTACTTCGTCGGGTGAATCTTCGTCGACAAAAATGGGCTGAGGCACAGTCTCCATGTGCCTCATTTGGTATGGAAGATAAACTGGCGAACCACTTGGCTGTCGGGGCGTCGTCTCGGCCAATGCGGCAGATGAAGACCTGCTTATAGAGCTTGATGCGGATACGAGCACTAGGGGCTCTGTGGAGTTGTGAGTGGTTGCGCGGCGCTCAACATGCGAGGTCGAGGAGCGCCACGGGTCAATACGATCGCCATCACCCGATTCGCGATGTATCGGCTGTGCGTTCCCTAGATCTGCGAACGGATCAACGAGGTCGGCGCGGCAGAGGTTTGAATGGGCATGAGAAGGCGATGCGTTTGAGTGGTCGATCTCTTCTGTATGCCTGACTTCCGCAGTGTCCATGAACGCGCCCGGATAGGAACCAAGTACCATGTACCTGTGTCCCAACGCAGATGACACTGCAGCGTGGGCATTATCTTGGGTGAGAGGCATACTCGGGTCGATTGTGGGCCGACAGGAAAGATCCACATCGCCATGGTCGTGATGCAGCCGAGCATGGCTGAGGGCATCGTATGGCTTGTCAAATGAGGAACCAACATCTCCCTGCGGAGAATGGTCGTCGACGCCGGGCACCTTCCCAGCATCTCCCTCCTCAATCTGCTCCTCCTCCTCCGACTCGCTCAAGGCGTCCGACACGCGAGGCCTCGGAGCGCCCAGCAGACGATTAGCGCCAGGACCCCGGGCATCCTTCCCGGTAGGGCTACTGAAGGACGCGGGCGGCGGTGGACTTCCCTCTCTATCTGGGGATAGAGACAGCGCCTCACGCCGGCTTAGGTCTGGCGACGAGGGGTGCTGGATGTCATCGACCACATCCATTTGGTTGGGGGAGCGAGCTTGCGCCGCGAAATAGGTTTCGACCCCAGCCTCTTGTGGCCCGGAGAGAGCTTGGACGGAAACCTGTGACTCGGGGGGGAGGGCCTCTCGCGCAACGTTTTCACTCGTGTTGGCCTCGTTCAGACTGCGGTACTTCTGGGTTTCCGTATCGATGATGTGCACCCATTCCTGTCGCAGCTGACTCGACTCGTGCGTAGCCCACACTTCCGCCTTCTTGCGCTTCCATTCTTCATGACCTTCGACACCCCGAGTCCGAGGCGCATACTGTTCCGTTAGCCCTCCTCCAAACATGGATATTTCGACGACTACGACTTACGCCGATGAATCGCAAAACTTCCTCGCTGTTCCGCAAGAGCTGCTTCGCGAAATGAATGAGATACAGTCCGCAATCGTAGAAGTTGGGCTGCTCCAGACACTTGCCCTCCAGGTACGGGACGGAAGCGAAGTCGGCATCTTCTCCGAGCTTGTCTTTGGCCTCACATTGCAGCCACCTCTGAAGGTTTGTTGCTACGGATGGGTGTCGGCTGCCCATGGAGTCAAACGTGATAATCCACGTCCTGATTGTCAGCACTCCCAAGTCCAACAAACTCGCTTGCAACTGCCTATAATGTCGAAATCCTCACGGCCGGGCTTCTTCCCTTTCTTGACAGGCGGCAACGTTGGAGAGGTCACTGCTGATTCTCCTGCATTGACTTCTGTGCTGAGGTCACCCAGCGACTGTGCAGTGAAAACGTCGTACGTGAGCGAATGTATCGGCTGCGGAACTCCGCCGTGGTCGGGGGTTTGGGCCTTCAACTGTAACTTGTCTACGCCAGCTCGAACAACTCCAATGACCCCTTCCTCTTTGTTATCTTGCTCATCATCCGCTTGGTCGATGATGTTTAGCGGGTCTGCGTCTCGGCTAATGCTATCGTGCGAGTTCGCTGAGTGTCGCGAAGAGGTTACGCCTCCTGTGTCACGATCCTCCGAGGATAGTCTCGGCAGTACGGACGATTCACGGCTCGCAAGGTCCTCTCTCAATGCCTCGGCATCCCTCAAGGCATTGGAAAGGGTAGGACGGGCCGCACGAGCTCGGTCGAGAGTTGCCCGAGGGTTGTAGATGACAGCGAGGTACCAGTGATACGACTCATTGACGGGGATGACAATGAACTTCTTATTAAAGATCTCCGCCTTCTTTGTCCAACGTTTAACGGCGTCGTAAGCAGGCCAGGACTCATCTGCTGCCGCGAATTTCCTGGTCATCAGATAAACCCCTCTTTCCATCGTTACCTGGCTGGCTTCTCCGACAACTTGGAGTAGAAAAACGAGTTGAAGCAGTGCACTTCATCTCGCGTCGCCTGCGGCAGGGAGTCAAGAACGTATCTGAGTTTAGTGTTATCTCCTGCTGCGCCTTACCGGAGCCCAAACTCCAGAAACGTGTCGTTAAGAAAGTCATTTGATTCCAACCGATACCGCTCTCCCGCCGTGATATCTAAGCCGTGCAAGTGAAAGAGACTGGCGTCAGATCACCACCTTTGCACTCAATAGCGTACAACTGCTTCTTGTCAACAGGCGGGCTGTCGGAGGCAAGAATTCTGTCTTGCTCCGGGTGAGGGGAGGTTTCATGATATCGTCGGTCACGTGTACCAGAGGCTGCGAGCCTCGAACTCTTGCGAGATGGTTGCAGCTTTAGGGTACTCTGCCGAGAGTCCTGCACAGTCTTCGTTACCGCCGCAGTAGCTCGTTTAGCATGAATAGCAATACCAGACTCAGCCAGTCGGCGTTCGGCAGCCTGTGCGGCTTTTACCCTTGCAGCAGGTCGCTCAGATAGCGCTTTCGATTTGCGGTTGTCTGAGCCCATGGGGCCATATCGCATACACTCAATCCCGGAGCACCTGACATGTTAGCGGGATATTCAAGGTCGCACTCACTTTGCAGCTTCAATCTTGTTCTTGAGGCTGTCAACTCGTGCTGCTTCCCGGACAAAGTTCCTGACCTGTGCCGCGTCTTCCACGATGCAGAGTGTGCGCAGATGGGTGTAGTCTGTAACACTGGCGTCCGATGGGTAATCTGGAGTACATATGAGTGACGAACGGACCTACGCCGACTCTTACCATAATTCAGGAATGGTCGCAAAGTGTCCACTTCTGCAACACTAAGGTGGAAGTCTACGACCAAATTGTCGTCCCGACAAATCTGTCCGTGAGCTTCTACCCAGTCGTCTGCACCTCACATATAGAGCTGCGATGGCATCCGTTTTAATGCGATGTGTTGTTTTCTGTTCGCTGACGAAGATCAGTTGGTTCGAGGATCGCTCGATTGCGAGTCGCGAAAGGGGCCGTGCTTCGTCGGAAGCGTCGATGTAAAACTCCTTGACATTAATTGTAACGCGCGAGAAGGAGGACGCGATATGCTGGGTCGCTGGCTTGAGCGGGTGTCGAACTCTGGGAGCCTTGTGGGTCAACAAGATCAAGGAAACAAGACTCACATCTCGGGCGATTACTTTGCCATCCTTGCCTTGCATGGGCCGCCGTGTTCGTGAAGCAGGCGGCCGTTCCGGCGGCGTGGGGGCTTTCTCCTTACCCTTTTGCGATGGGAGCTCCGGGCGGTTGTCATAGGACGAGAACATCTCGATTTCCTCTTCCTCTTCCTCCTTGGAGTAAGATGAGCGTCCTGCTTGATGTCCGTTTGCTTGTTGATCACTCGTGGCGTCCAAGTTGGACGCGTCAGCAGCGTACCTTCGCGCACGCGTAACGGGGGCTGTGGTGCGAGGGAAACCGGTCGATTCGAAACGCTTCGTCTGGTCGAGCGGCGGTTGCGGCGGCGGAAGGGCCTCGTCGTTGTCGACGATCTCGTCATTATCGGAGTCGTCCACGTGGATGAGCTCTCGGTCGGTGATAAAATTCGATCGATTTATGGTTGGAAGGCGCGAGCTTGAGGCCACGGCGTTATCGCAGGGAGAGGCGCGTTGGACAAGTAACTCATAGACAAACCCGTCTTGACGAGAGAGGCGTGAGGGTGTAGACATGGTTGGTGAGCTAGGCTGGCCATCATGGCGCTCGCCACCCGCACGCGCCCGTGGGCGTGGTTCGGACGTGGCAGGGGGATAGCGATGATGGGTAAGCGCGCTTGGGTTGGGATTGAGGGGAGAGGAATGACTCATGGCCTTGGAGTCGACGCGAGCATGCTGCGACAGGCCGGGGCGCACGTTGAACGGCGACTCGTTGCCCTTGGCCTTGAGGGGCCTCTCCTTCTTGATTCGGACTGTTTGAACCTCACGCTGAGAGTCGTTATCCCGTGCAGCGCTGCGCATGCTCCTGCGCCGCATTCTTCAAGTCAGGCTGCCACTGATGATGCTTACTCTCTAGCGTGCTCGGGGCTTGAGGGTCGTGTTCGGAATTGTTGTGACCCGCCGTGCTCATCGAGATGACCTGTGGCTCTCAGCCGGGCGGCTCGTCTGCCAACGTCAGACCAGATGGATACGCGCACTCACTGTTCCAACCCCACAGCAGGTGGCTCTTCGGGTCGCCGCCGCAGCCTACCTGAAGGGCCGCTACCCGTGACGTCGAGGATGTCATCGTCCGACTCGGGCCTCTCCACGAGATGCATTTCCATTCTGCAGATCGAGAGGATGGGAGAAGACGGTGAGGAGCCCGCTGCGCCGCTGCACGGTATGCAATGTGTGGAACTATGCCTGCGAGAACATGGCCGCTCCGTGGCCGCGCAGGGCGAGTCGTTCGAAGAAGGTAGGTTGGATGTCACCTGTGTTCCGCAGGTGGAGGCTCGTAATGAGGAGAGGAGAGTGCGTGATGACTCTGGGGACGGGAGTGACGGCGAGGCAGAGGCGAAGAATGGAGAATGAGCGGGAGCCGGGGCTGGAAGCTGGAAGAGGGATAGGGGAGAAGAGAGGAGGAGGATGTGATCAAGATGAGGAGGGGTTGATCGAGATGAAGTGATGCTGTCAGGTAATGTGAGTGCGACTTGTCCAACCTTCCTCTTTCGCCCCGTAACACACGCGTTTGACTGGACCCACTGTCAGATTCCTCGAATTTGCCACCGTCAACACCATCTTTCGCTTCTTCACCTCCACTTGACCTCTTCCTCTCCGCTTCTTGGGCCTCTAGCCGCGAGCCTCTAGCCTCTCTTTTCCACTTTTCTCAACTACAACATCCAGAGACAGAATCACCAGAGGCAAAACATGGATGCAGCTGATCCTGATCCACTGCCCGGTACGAGCTGGCCGTCTGCACCGGTGTATGATTTCACCGTCGCGCGGCTTGTAACCTCAACTCATGCCGGATCATCCTTTTTCCGCAGCGCGAGGTGGTGCGCGCCCAACATAGCGACGCTAACGGCAGGACATCGGATGGCACAGCGATTCTGACGACTGCGGAGGATCGCGCGTTGCGCGTGCATGACCTGTTCGCCCAGCACAACTTTCGAGCTGACCGTAGAGCACACGAGGAAGATGATGTCACATTGACAAACTCGCGCACCTTTCCTCAGCCCGACTCCGTCAATGCGGCGCTGTGGTATCCCTCCGCGTCGCGGCTCGCGCCAGAGACTTTCTGCTTTGTTGCGAGTGTGCGTGATGCACCGGTTCGCCTGATCGATGGCACAGACGGGAGGTTACGTGCTTCCTATCCAATCGTGGATCACCGGGAACGATTCATCGCGCCCCATAGCTTCGCTTTCAACCCTTCTGCTGATAAGTAGGCGCATAGGGGGGGAAGTAATTAACGGCAGACTGTACTGCGGGTTCGAGAACGCGATCGAGGTGTTCGATGTCGCGTCGCCCGGATATGACAATGGAGAGCGTCTGAAGCTCGGCTTGACGCGCAAGGAGAAGGGAGGACAGCGCGGTAGGTCTAGTGCATGCACCCAAAGCTTACAGAGCAGGCATCATCTCGGCGCTCGCATTCAGCCCCCACCAACTATCCACCTTTGCGGCAGGATCCTTTGCTGGCTCCGTGGTCTTGTATGACGAAGACACGGGGAGTCCGAGCATGCCAGTGGAAGGTGTAGAAGGTGGTGGAGTGACGCAGATCGCGTTCCACCCGCTCGATTCCAACCTTTTCTTTGTGGCGTCTAGGCGTTCACAGGCGATCCAGGTCTTCGACATGCGCGACGTGTCCGCTCCTGTCGGCAGGTTGGAACGCAGCGCGTCTACAAATCAGCGGATTGCCTTTGACCTTGATCCATGGGGGAGGTGGTTGGCGGCTGGCGATGAGGTGAGTCACTGCTGAAGGAGGCGCTGACTCCTACAGCACGGGATTGTGAGGGTATGGGATGTTGCGTCCTCGTCGTACGACATGCTCTTTGAGCGAGAACTTCATGCAGGTGAGATTTGTGCTGGCTGTACGCTCACGCAGACGCCGCCAATAGCGTCCAGTTCCACGCTTATCGGCCTCTCTTCCTCACGTGTGCTGGCTCACGAGCGCACCTACAGACGCCAGCTGAGCCAAGCGAGGATATGGCAGCCGACCCAATGAGCAACGAGAGCAACGAGAGCGACGTCAGCGATGATGATGGTGAGGAGGAGGGGGACAGCTTCGTTCACGAACGTGGCGCAAAGGACGCGCGCCTGGCTGTTTGGGAGTTTGGAAAACTCTAGATGTACTACTACTGCAGCATTTACTGTATCGATATATCTAAGAATCTATTGCCCTATCCAAAGGGTCATTACGAGCATAACTCCCGAGAGAGCGATCATGGTGACGCCAAAGCGGATGAACTTGTCACCCATTGTCGTCTGGGGATCGGGCTTGTTGGCAGCCTGGCGGCATGCGGCGTCAAGCTCGCGCCCCAGGGTGGACGAAGAGAACTGCTCGCGTACGCGCGTTTTGCCGTTCTTGGCGATGCGCGAGCGCTCTTCGGTCGACAAGTTGATCAGTGCCGCGAGTGCGGGTGCCCACTCCTCAGCCGAGGGAGGCCGGAGATATCCTGTCTCGCCTTCGACGACGGTCTCAGTCGGTCCTCCAGTATTGCAGGCCAGCACAGGAAGTCCACATGCCATTGCCTCGATCGGCACAATTCCGAAGTGCTCGTTGGTGGGAGTGTACAGCAACGCCAGGGTGTGCGAGGACAAGAGAAGGGCAGAACGCTGCTCAGTTGTGAAGTTCAGAATGAAGAGAACGTCTACCTCCTCCGATGGAGGTGGAGATGTCGTCGTCTTGATGGTGTAGTAGCTCAAACCGAGGCGCTCACAAAGCGCTTGATTTGCAGCAAGCGTATCCCGATTGTCCGCCTGCGCATCGTCGTAACCTCCTCCGACGACCAGGCGCAGTCGCTGCGCAACCGAGACAGGAACGAGGCCACCGCGCTTTATCTGAGCGAAGGACTCGATCGCCAATGCGACGTTCTTCTTCGCCTCAAAGCGATTGAGGGATATAAGCGTCGGGCGATCACTCATGTCAGCAACGACGATTTTCAAACTCACGAGGCGATGAGTGCGACCGCTGATATTTCTTTTCCTTTGCCCTTCTGAGCTTTGGTGTACTCGTTCACGTCGATGCAGGGATACACCACCTTGGGTGGATTCCTGGCGAGCGAAGGAAACGCAGCCGCGTACACGCGGGACGAAAACTTCGAATTGGCAAGGATCACGTCTGCCTGGCCTACAGTCAGTTCACCACGGCCAAGGCAGCGCACCCGTTGTGAACTCTTCCAACCGGTCAATAGGCCACCGATACGCGCGTTTGAGGAGACTCTGGCGCCCCGCGCCTCGCTGGGCAAGGTCAACCCCGGTATCGCCCGCACTAATCTCCCACCCGCCGCTGAGCAGCTTATCTGGGAAATGGCAGTAGAACACCACGGGCGTGCCCGTCAACATGCGTAGGAACGGCACGCACACCGACTGCTGGTCGACGAAGAAAACGTCAAACTTCCCCAGCGGCGCGAGAGGGTTGATATAGCCCGCGGGAGGCGGAATTACCTGAGAAAGGAATAGAAGGAGGGTGAGGAGAAGCGAGCGAAGAATAGAGAATACGATCGTCATGGGCAGCTTCGAGTGCAGGCTGCGTGGCAACGACCCGCCCAGAACGTGCACGGGCAGCGTGCCTGCGATCAGCTAGAACGCCAGTGAAGACTGACCATCACGTGTCTCCTCGAAGCAGCGCGCTGGGTCGTGTCGCGAGGTGAACATGACGACCTCGTGACCGAGGTTCTTGAGGGCGACCGCGGCATCGACGACAAGGCGCTCAGCCCCGCCTGCTGTTAGCTGACGCCGAGTGAAAGAAAGCCCACCAATGCCGAGATCTGGGTGAATGAATCCAATGCGAAGCTTTTTAGAGCTCGCTAGACTGCTCATGCTGCGAGATGGTGAGAGGGCCGGGCAAGTCAGAGTGGTTGCTAACACACGTCGATGCTTGATCGACAGAGTGGAGGTGGAGGTCCTTAAGTGGTGTGCCGGATAAACTCTCAGGTCCTGGCTTGGATCGAGATTTCCGTCAGGCTGCTTACTACATGATTGCCATCATCAATAATCCAGCTGCAACCATGGCGGCAACAGCGGTGCACAGCGCCGAGCGACCCAAAATCACGATCTTGAAGCGGCAGCGCGACGATTCCTCTGTATCGCAGAACAAGTTCCTGAAGAAGACCGCGCGGGGCAAGGTGCTCCAGTGTACGTCGACCGTGGAGGCATGACCGGTGTCTGACCTCAGTCCTGCGCGAGAAGTATGTGCGCGACGACATCCCGTGCGGTTTTGAGGCTTGCCACATTTGCTCCGAGTTCCCGGGGTTCCGTCCCGTTCTCCCGCAGCGCGGCTACACCAAGCACTCCAAGTTCACTTACCCGTCCGGCCACTGGCTGGTGGTCGACACGAACATCGTGCTTCACCAGGTGAGCTACGCGCGCAGTCCAAGATCTAACGGACAGATGGACCTTTTGACGGCTCTTCCAGCCCAGCTCCCCCTCATTGTCCCCTCTACCACTATTCGCGAGGTGCGCCACCGCTCGTTGCCGCTGCACAACCGGTTGCAGCAGCTCGTACAGGACGAGGAGCGCTGTGTGTGGGTCTGGTGGAACGAGGAGTGCCGCGAGACTGCGACCGCCGCCGCTGAGTATGAAGATGAGGTCGTTAACGACCGCAACGACCGCGGTAAGCTGATATATATTGCCAAGCTGACAGCAGCTATTCGCGAGACGTTGCGCTTTTACCCCGAGCACATCTCACAATCTGTTGCCGCTGCACCTCAGCTCATTCTTCTCACAGATGACAAGCGGAACCGTGAGCTTGCGGCCCAGGAGGGTCTCGTGGCTGTCAGCACGCGTGACTATGTCGATGGGCTGCAGGGTGACGTTCGCGACCGCCTCGTTGACCTCGTTGCGGGTGGTGTGGATGAACTCGAGCCTGGAGAACGCAGGAACAGGAGGATTTACGATGACGTGAGCTGTCGTGTTGACTTGAAGCTCACCCCAGTATCTCCCTCAGGACACATTGACCGCTGGCGTCAAGAGCGGGCGGTATGTCCAAGGCTACTTCAACGCAAACCAGTACAATTACCTCGAGGTGAGATTCATTGCTGACGCCAACTGACAGACAGGGCACTGTTCGCGTGATGGGCATGACCAAGCCAGTGCTGCTTGTGGGGCGGAAAGCTATGAATCGTTCTGTGGATGGCGATCAAGTCATTGTCGAGCTGCTGCCCAAGACCGAGTGGAAGGCACCCGGAGACGAGGTTTTGGATCAGGACGGTGAGCCCTATCGCCTGTACTGGCATAAGCTGACGCGTGTAGTTGCGCTCAAGGACGATGATGCCGAGGGAGACGAGGGCACCGGGGAGAAGGACGAGTTGAAGGAGGCGAAGGACACGGACGAGGTCGCCAAGAAGGCGCCTAAGGAGATCCTGCCCACCGGTCGGGTCGTGGGCATCGCGAAGCGCAACTGGCGCCCGTGAGTACAAGCTTGTTGAGGCCCACTGACAACAGATATGTCTGCCACATCGACCGCTCCTCGCTCTCCGAGGCGGCCCTCACGTCTCTTTCTCAGCAGACAATCTTCGCCACCCCTTTGTCTCGCGCTCTCCCGCGCATCCGCTTGCGCACTCGCCAGGCGCCCGCGCTGCTGGATCAGAAAATCCTTGTCAGTATCGATAACTGGACGGTGAACTCGCGTTACCCCGACGGCCACTTTGTTCGCGCACTCGGCAAGGTAGAGAGCAAGGAGGCTGAACAGGAATCGCTCTTACTCGAGTACGAGGTTCCCTACCGACCATTCGGTAAGGCGATTCTGAATTGTCTGCCCAAGGAGGGCGACAGCTGGAAGGTGCCACCCAAGTCGGTTGACTCCTTCGAGTGGCGTGACCGCGAGGATCTGCGCGACCTCATCGTGTGCAGCATCGACCCGCCAGGATGCCAGGACATCGACGACGCGCTGCACGCGCGCAAGTTGCCTAACGGCAACATCGAGGCGGGCGTCCACATTGCCGACGTCGGCCACTTTGTCCTCTCGGACAACCCGATGGACTCCGAGGCCGCATCCCGCGGCACCACTGTGTACCTTGTCGACAAGCGTATCGATATGCTGCCCGAGCTGCTGGGCACCAACCTGTGCTCCCTGCGGCCCTTTGTCGAGCGCCTCGCGTTCTCAGTCATCTGGGAGCTCACGCCGGGTGGAGACATCGTGGACGTGCGCTTCACCAAGTCGGTCATCGCGTCGAAGGAGGCGTTTACGTACGCTGCCGCGCAGCAGCGCAAGGATGACAAGTGAGCCTAGTATCGTGGGTTCGTAGCTAATCACAGGTCTCTGAAAGATCCTCTTACCGAGTCGATCCGGTTGCTTAACTCGCTTGCGATCAACCTCAAGGCCAAGCGTGTGGCCGCGGGTGCGCTGTCGCTTTCTTCTCCTGAGCTGAAGATCCATCTCAACTCGTCGGAAACTACCGGCCCAATTGACGTCGAGCAGAAGGAGCAGCTTGAGACTAACTCTCTCGTTGAGGAGTTCATGCTGCTCGCCAACATCAGTGTTGCGCGCAAGATCCAGGATGCATACCCTGCAACCGCAGTCCTCCGGTGAGCTCCCCTTGACATTCCCAGCTGATTTCAGTCGTCACCCTCCTCCGCCGAAGACCAACTTCGAGGCGCTCCAGGACATCCTGCAGAAGCGCAAGGGCATGACCCTGGATGTCTCCAGCTCTAAGGCGCTTGCTGACTCGCTTGATGCTTGTGTGGTGAGTGCAACTGCCAACTGCAGTCTCCTACTGGCCTCCTCTGACTCGCAGGATCCCAACCTTCCGGAGTTCAACACCCTTGTGCGCATCATGGCGACGAGGTGCATGCTTTCCGCCGAGTACTTTGGCTCGGGCAGCGTATCCAAGGAGTCGTACGGACACTACGGTCTTGCGAGCGACATTTACACGCATTTCACTTCGCCGATCCGTCGCTACGCCGACGTGTTGGTGCACCGCCAGCTCGCGGCCGCAATCAACTACACGCCCCTCCACCCCTCCCTGCAGTCGAAGCAGCACGTCGAGCGCCTGCTCAATGTTGTCAACAAGCGCCACCGCCTGGCGCAGATGGCCTCGCGCGCGTCCGTTGAATTCTACGTCGGGCTAGCGCTCAAGGGCCGCACAGAAGGCTCGGGCGTCACTGCCGTGCGTGAGGAGGCGTTTGTGATCCGCACATTCCGCAACGGCCTCGCCGTGTTCGTCTCCAAGCTTGGCCTTGAGGGCCTCATTACCTTCGCTAAGGACACGCACGAGTTTGACCCGGAGAACTACCTCATTCACGTGCCCAAGCCGCGCGGGGGCACGGCTACTATCGGCGTGTTTGACAGAGTCACCGTTGATATTTCGATCGAGAAGGACGCCAACACGCAGCGCGGCAAGGTCAAGATGACGCTCGTTAACCCAGTGAGCTCCGAGGGTCTGTAGCGTAGGCTTGTAGTACATCAGTGTATGCATATAGAGGTCACACATCGCACTGTAATGTCCGCCGTCTAGTCACTGTCGTCGTCGCTGCCGTACCCGCCCAGTAATGCCACTCCTGTCGGCTTCGTCGGCACCTTGCGAGTTCTCTCCTCTGCGGCGTTCTTGCGGGCCATCTCAGCATAGAACTTGATGTTCTCGAGTGCGTCCCCGCCCAAAATCCCACCTTGAGACTCATCTCCGCGTGCACGCTTCGCTGGCCGCCCTTCGACCTCTACCTCTTCGGGCGCCTCGATGGCGTAGAAGTCAGCCTCATTGCCCTCCTCGAGCGCGCGCAGGCTCTGGCTGGCCTCGACGAGTTGTGGGTCAAGCTTAGACGCGATCACCTTCTTGCCCTCGATCGCTATCCGCTTGTCCTCGAGTCTCTTCTCCCCAGGGTTGGGGTCCTCCGTTGCCCATCGCACGTTGAGGACCTCGTCCATATCCATGCTTTGGTGCTGCATTGCCTCCTTGGCGAATTGCGCGTTGGCCTCGTACTTGTAGGTCACGAACGCAATGCCGCGGTTATGCAGAATATTCCCTGCAGTCAGCCCCATTCCACATCCCTCGGAAGCCGGAGTACTTACACCGCTCAATCTTGCCCCATTCGCCGAAGTGTCGCAAAAGCGTCTCCTTGCCCTGGTCGCGGTCTGGGCTCTCGTGGATCTTGGCGACGTACAGCGTGCGGTTGGTACGATTGAAGCTGCCCACACCACCCATATCGTCGCGGTACTCGGCGTGCTTCTCGCGCCCAAAGCAGTCACGCGAGTGCTCGATGACCTGGTTAGGCGCAGGCAATCGGTGCAAGTAGGAGCATTCAGCCCCGTACGGGCAGCAGCCGCGCGCAAAGTACAGGCAGCAGAAGCGGTTGCCTGTGGTATCCGCCCGGGTGTACCCCGAGTCGCGCGCGATCACGCAGCGAGTCTGCGACAGTGTTTGGCTGTATTTAGCTGCATCCCACAAGTCCCAGCAGTAAACTTACCTGGCCAAGGCATCTTCCTTGTCACCGCCCGCCCATTTATTGTACCAGATGTCTGAAGTTAGCTTACCGCAATCGAAGCCGCATGGGCTGGACGTACTGTACTCCTTCCCTGGCTGAACCTTCTCGGAAAGGTCAACCTCGCCGACCTTTACTTGTTTGCGCGCTGGACGGAGCTTGCGTTTTTGCACTTCGGACATGATGATAAAGGTGATGGATGGTGACAACTCGGTCGTTGTTGCGAGTTGCTGATCCCTTTCAACATCGGTTGGTGGCAAGTGGGGTGTCGAATAAGGAAAATGTTGGTGTTATGTGGAGGTTGACCACTGCTATCATGCACTTGCACATCCTCTCATTATGTCCGCCGATCAGCAAGCCGAGCAGGAGCAACAAGACTGGCCGCTTAGCCTGGAAGAGTATGCACGCTACGGGCGGCAGATGATCATGCCTGAGTGGGGTCTCGGCGGTGAGCTGCAAGGTAGAGATGGCAAGCTCATGTCAGGCCAGCTAGCCGTACGGAACGCGCGAGTCGCAGTTGTCGGAGCCGGAGGACTTGGTTGCCCTGTACTCCAGTATATTGTGGGAGCCGGCGTTGGTAATACAGTGCTTGTTCTCCCAAGCTCACAGCAGGCGAAGTAACTGTCATCGACCACGACACTGTCTCGGCGTCCAATCTGCACCGGCAGGTGTTGCATACAACCGAGCGAGTGGGGATGAACAAGGCGCTCTCGGCGTGTATAGCACTCAAGGCGTGAGTCAAACTGCCACACTTGAGCTGCTTGCTCGGTGCGCAAACCGTTGTTTCTCTGACCGTAGAATCAATCCTCACCCCTCGCTTGATCCGGTCGCCGAGCCTATCACCCCGACTAACGCCATCACCCTCCTCCGCGACCATGATCTCGTTCTAGACTGCACCGACCGACCATACACACGATATTTGATTAACGATGCTTGCGTACGCCTATCTCTACCGCTGGTGAGCGGAGCAGCCTTGGGCGCCGCAGGGCAGTGGGCAGTCTACGGTGGCTCGCCGGAGGGCACTAAGCGGGCATGCTACCGGTGCTTGTGGCCAAAGCCAGGACCGAGCAGTCGGTGCGACGAGGCGGGAGTATGGGGCCCAGTCACCGGCATGGTTGGGAGTGGGATGGCCGCGGAGGCTCTTCGACTGCTGACAAGCAATGGCGGCGGGAAAGTAGCGCTGCATATCCTCCACATGGGTGGGAGCCCGATGGTGCGGACAGTCGGGATGCGCCCTGCCAGCGCGAAGTGTGTGGCATGCGGACCCAGCGCTACACTTACCGACAACCTCGAGAGCGAGGATTATGCTGCGCTCTGTGGCGAGACTGCACCATTGCCAGAAGTTGATCGTCTAACTGTCCAGGTAAGCATAATAAACCGACTAATAGCTCACAGCAGGATTTGCGTGCGGTCGCTAGTTTGCCAGAGGTGGTCGTGGTAGACACAAGACCACCACACGAGTACCGCATCTGCAGCCTCCCTAACACTGCGAGTAGGTGAAACGGAATGCTCAGTTAGCGCGTGCTGATGGCAGACATCCCACTCGCCTCCGTTCTTGCCTCGCCCGAATCTGTACCTTCAGGCCGTGCAATCTTCCTCTGTAGGCGCGGAAACGATTCTCAACTCGCTGCTGCAGCGCTCAGGCAATTGGGACGGGACGCAACCGACGTCCGCGGTGGACTTGTAGCCTGGAGTCGCGAGATTGACCCCCGATTCCCTTTGTACTAGTACTCTATACATATGGAATAACTGGGATCATATCGTGCGTGCGAAGCGGACGACGTCGTCGCAATCTCCACGGACGCAGATAAATGGCGGGCCTTCGCCCTCATCGCGTTCCCGGTTATCGGGGACGACGCACTTGGTGTCCTCGCTGCCGTTAGTACTCAGCGGGCGCGCAACGTTAGCTTACGGGTAGGGGCAAGGGCAGTCTGCTGGGGTAGGAACGCACACAAGACTGCCAGGACAGACGTAGCCTGCGCGGCAGTGCACTGATGTTAGCTGTGCAGGAAGGCAAGAGCCGAGAGTAGGGCAGCTCACCATCGTGCAGCAAATCCCAGCCAGGGTGTTCGCGGCGAGGACGCTGCTGCTGTTGTTGCTGCTGTTGCTGTTGGCCAAAGGGGAAGTTGAAGAAGTTTCCAAACGCCAATGCGAAAGGCAGGAGCGCGGCGAACAGCACTGCGCGGTACAGCATGGTGGTGGTGGCTTGGGTGGACGTGAGGAGTAGAGGAAAGGCAAATGTACGACGACGCGACGTGGCTTCCTCACCCTGGAGAGAACAACAAACAATTTCTAATGTCATTACCAAACACTATAAGGTATCCTAATTCCACGTGGACCCCCTTACGCTATGACGGCTCGCGTTCATCTCTCTCGCCGTCAGCCGTCCTCGATAGACTCATCTTCTCCGGTTCACTCGATTCTGTCCTATCAACTCCCCCCTCACCCTCTCTCCCGGTTTCGGCAGGGTGCTTTCACACTATGTCCTCTCCGACGTCAGGTGCGCCGCCGCGCCGCCCGCAGCGCAGCGTGCGCCTTCCTCCATCACGGCCCCAGGACGGAACAGCGGCGCAGCAGGGCGCACCACGCGATCCTGCCATCGCCAAAGCACTGCAGCTCTCGACCTTTGAACAGGATGCTTACTCGACCGAGGACTTTGTCTCGACGCTCAGCGAGAAGCTCATTGCCGAGAGCAAGGCTAGCACCGGACGTGGGTTGACCGCATTGGCGTGGGCTGACACTAGCATTTGACCCAGTCCCCTTCATGCAGGCGTTCTCACCGGCGCTTGACTCCCTTCTTGCTTTGCGATCACAAGTTACAGAACGGACGAAGAAAATGGAGAGCGAAGTACGACGTGCGAATCGCGAGTACGGGAAGCGGTTGCGTGAGCTGGACAGCGGGTTCGATCACGTTGGCAGCTCGTTCTCCCATCTTGAGAGCAAGATGAGTGACGTGGGGCGTACAGCCACGCGAGTTGGCGAGCAGCTCGAGAGCCTGCACCAAACACGCTCGACGGCACAAGCGGTTTCCCTCTTACTGTCCTACTACCTCTCACTCGTCCACCAGACCGGCAGATCGGACGCGACGGCGTCACCCCTGGAGCAGCTGTATGCCGAGAAGGGCTCGCGCGAGGGTCGTATACGGCTCGCTCTTGTGCTGCGACGGTTGACAGCCGTGGCAAAGGACGTTGCGGACAGCGCCGCGGCTGCGCTCTCTGACGCTGAGGCCGCCGCTGCCAAGGACGGGCAGACGACCAGTGGTGACGGCGCATCGCCGGCTCACCGTAACGTGCTTCATCGTCGCGCAGAAAAGGAGAAGGCGGATCGCGTGAGCTCCGAGGTCGAGAAATACTGCGAGAGGTTTGAACGCGAGATGCTCAAGCTCTTTGATCGCGCCTACCGCAAGGGAGACCCAAGAATGATGGCGCATTGCGCCCGCGTCCTGCAGGATTTCAACGGCGGCATGTCCTGCGTGCAGGTATATGTGAATCAGCACGACTTCTTCATCAAGAGGGAGTTGATGTTGGAAGAAGCAGGCGCAAACAGCGACACCGATTTCTGGCGCTGTATCGGTGACCCGGACACTTCGCCACCGACAACCGAGCTGGGACTCTCGACGTTGTTCAAAGCGATCCGCGACACCATGTCTCAAGAGGCGCAAATCGTCAAGGCCGTGTTCCCCAACCCGAGTGCTGTTTTGCAGGTGTTTTTGCAGCGCACGTTTGCTCAGGTCATCCAGCAGCACATCGAGACAATTGTCAATCGCGCCTCCGGCATCTCGACTCTCGCCTCACTTCGTGTTCTTCACTTAACCCACGCGATGTGCGTGTCACTAGTCGAGGACCTCAAGGGGTATGAGGGGACGTTGGGCATAGGGCCGGCCAAGTTGACGGATGCGGGCACCGGTCCGCTCGCGGCGATGCTCGACCAGGCGCTCGAGGAGATTTACGTTCCCTGGCTGGAAGGGACGCGCTACCTCGACAGCGAGAGCAAAAACCTCGTGGAGCTGTATGGCGGTCTCCTTTCTCGTTTCACGCGGTATCACGAGACTGTGCTTAAGGCGAAGCCGAACTCGCTTCTTGACCGCGTAGTTGGACAAGTACCCACAGTGCAGGCGACGGCTGCAATCTCCAAGTACGCCAACTTCTTCACCAATACAATCACTTCCAGCGCGACGTCGGCTTTCTCCTCGGACAAGACCAAGGGACAGGCGCCCGAGAAGCCCGCTCGCTCTGCCTCGCGTTTAAGTGTGCAGGGGTTGCAGGGACTGACACCGCGTCCCGCCTTGTCACGGCATGACAGCCTGCGCAGTGGCGCCGAAAGTCCCGTGGAGCGCGTGGACCCCGCGGACGGCATTCTCGCTATTCCCATGGCGGAGCGTATGCTGCGATGGCACGCAGAGGCGATCGGCCGCGTTGTCGAGCTTTCTCCATCCACAGATGTGCCGAAGAATGTCATGGCACTGAGCAAGGTTCTCTCTGAGGCATTTGGACGTAGCTTCACCGAGACCGCGCTCGAAAGCGGCGTCGCCAAACTCGAGCAGGGAGATCCACGTGCCGAGCCCGATCTGGGCGTGCTGAAGGTGTTGAAGAATGCCAACTTCGTGTGCCAGCTGTGGCAGCGGTACAGCTTGACAGCGCTGGTTCCGCTCACAAGCTCTGTACCTGTCGTGCGGCGCGAAATGACGACGTTCAATCAGCACAATGTCGTGCTGCTCGAGGGCAAGATCAACGCGCTGGTGCAGAAGGCTGTGGATGTGATCGTATCATGGCTGGCGCTGCTTCTCACCAAGCAGCGCAAGAACGACTATAAGCCTAAGAACGACGAGTTGAGCTTTGCACGGACCAACACCGAGCCATGTGAACTCATCTGCGAGTTCCTCGCCAATCTGCAGGAAGCGGCGACCGCGCTCTCGGGGAAGAACCGAGAGGCGTTCCTCCTTGAGGTCGGCGTCGCCTTCCACTCTCTCCTTCTCGACCACTACAAGAAGTTCCCCGTGAACCCGACTGGCGGCCTGATGCTCACGAAAGACCTCGCGAGCTACCAGGAGGCGGTTGTGGCGTATGGCATTCCGGCCCTGAACGACCGGTTCGACATGCTGCGCCAGCTGGGCAACTCGTTCATCGTGCAGCCGGACGTGCTGCGCTCGTACATGACCGAGTCGCACCTGGGCCGCATCGACGCCCGCCTCCTCCGCCCTTACCTGCAGCAGCGGAGCGACTGGTCCTCGTTCTCAGCGAGGCTGGTGTTCGACGATGCGCCCGACGACTCGCCCGCCCCCAGTGGCACCTCGACGCCACTGGCGGGCAGCGTGAGCGCGAACGCGCGCCGCGCAGGCCACAGACTGAGCGCGATGAGCGGCGTAGCCGGCGCAGGCATGGCGGCGGGGTACGCGCGCCTGCGCGAGGCGCTGCGCGAGTTTGAGAGTCTCACGGACGACAAGAAGGGCGCGGGGGCCACCGGCACCGCGGCGACCGCTGCGCCGCCCAGCGCCTTCAGCCGCGCTAACAGCGGCGCGAGCGTCGCGAACGCGCCCACGCGCCGCGCATACGTCCCCAACTTTCCGTATATGCCGCACCATTGAGACTAGGGCAGAGGCGCGAGGCTGGCCTCGCGGCACATGTATAACATTGTGCAACATGTGCACAGCTGGCGGCGCGTAGCCTGTCGGCGATTGACGAGGTCGTTGACCCTCTTCTCTTTTCGCACGTGGTCTCGGCAACTGACACAGATGGTGCTCTGGTCGTTCGTAGCGGGAACACTTATCGGCGCGAAGGCCGCTCACAAAGGCGCTCACAAAGGCCATGCAACGGCCAAGCGCGCATATGATGAGCGCGTGTGGTATCGGTCGTGTCACGTGTCAGGGCCGACCCCGTGCCTCGCCACGTCCTATCATTTCGGCCATTCCGCGAACAGAGCGCAAGTGATCAGTGATCGCGAGATCGCGAGTGATGGCTCGCACGGGCCGAGTGATGGAATGATCGGCGGTCCGATGGAACTGTCGGTCATGGACACCACACTGTGGTTCAAATCCGTCAAGGCTTGGCGTGCACAACTCCGATCGATCCGCACTACACATGCGCACATGCACCTGAGCGCACAGCACGGAAAGTTCGCACCAAATCCCTGGCTGCACACGAGATCGCTTCTGCCTGCCAGGGAACGGGTCCCCCAAACCTTCCACTACTGTCTTCACATTGCACAGCTTGTTTCAGGCTGAACATGACACGCGTGGACGCAAACCTGAGATCGAGTGCGCAGCCATACGTCACGCCCAAAGACTCGGTCAGGCCACAACGTTTGCGCGCTTTGTCGCACTACAGCTCTTGTGGAAAGCGATGCATTGCAGTGGGGCGTGTCCTCCACCGACCGCCCCCCTAGTGGCGCAGCCAATGTCGATAGGAGCGTATATCAATCTAAAAACGGAATGGGATGTGTGATGTGCGTGGCAACGAGAGGGGGCGTTGAGGGTGCGAGGGTGCGTGCGCGCGCGTGGGCGCACGCTGAAAAGGAAAAGGCGTAGTGTCCGTCGTTACAATCCGTGATGCGTAATGGGGCGCACAGCGCGAGGCGATCGCGGCGCACGCGGTATGAGATGAGATGGCGTCTAGCAGTTGGGGTCCATCATTCGGTTCTTGGGGAACACGCGTCCCTTATCTGCGGGCGTTAGACGAGGCGCTAAGAGGGCACTCACCAGCATCGGGGAAGATGGTAATGTTGGGGTTGTTATAGATATCGGCGTGCTTCGCAATGTACGAGGCGGTAGGGCGGTCTGCGATTAGCAAGGTGCAACGCAAAGAATCATAGAACTCACCGGGGGGGTCGCAACCAATGGTGCCCTCTCCGGGCTTTTGGTACACGCGAATGTAGTCGATGCGCATCTCGTTCGGTAGCATGAGGTTGGCAAAGTCAACGTATTCGAAGTTGTTCGACATTCCGAGGTTGAAGATCATGTACATGGGCTCCTGCGAGATGAGGCGCTGCCCGACACCTGTCCGGGGGTTGGGTCCGACAGCCTTCGCCCACATTGTCCAGGCGCGCTTGCCCATGTTGATCCAGGTGATATAGCCCTTGCTCACGTCGTCATAATCGGCCAAGTATTCGACGCCAAAAACGCCGAATTTGGAACTTTCATTGACGTGTAGGCTCGTTTCATTCGAGTAAATCCTTGTATCTGTGTAGGAGAGACCGGACACGGCCTGCTGGTACACCGATCCGAGGTATGTGTTGTAGCGCGTCACCTCCGAGTCGTAGATAATGGCGGCGTCCGACTCGTTGTTGAACTGATAATAGTCGTCGTACGGAGCGACCTGGGCAGACTGCGAGACCATACCACGCTGAACTTTCAGATCCATCTGGGCCTCGATCATGTCGATTTCGACGGCTCCGCGGCCGACGCCCTCAGGTCCTGGGTGATCGTAGCCGGGGCAGTTGCAAGAAGAGAGACGCTGGCCGGGAAGGTACGACAGAGTCATGTTGTAGTTCGGGTCACCGGTAGTGAAAGCGACTTCTGGTGTGACGCCGTCGGCCGACTGGTTGGGTAGGATGCCAATGTCGCAGGACGAGTACGAGTACGGCCACATGCCGTCGTTGGTGCCACCATAGCCGGCACGGCCGAGGTTACCCATGGTCCACACACCTGGCCAGAATCCACCAATCCTGGGGGTTCCGGGAAGCGAAGCAGACACTTCAAAGTAGGCGTTGCGGTTGAAGCAGAGCTTGTTCCATGACTGGATCATGCCGGACTTGAACATGAGACCGTTGATAGGCTCCTGCGTGATGGTAAGGACAAGGTGGCCATCGCGCGTGGTGGGAACCGAGGGGTCGTACCACTCAAAGTCACTGGAGTGTGAGTTATCAGAGCTTTTGTGTAGTGGTGACCTACTTTGTAGGCCAGTAGTGAATGTCCATGGCGGTGAAGAACGGGTCGTCGCCCTCGAAGAAGGTGCGTCCGTCCTTGTTGAACTCGTCCGAGAAGACGAGGTCCCAGGTATCACCCTCAAAGCTGATGTGCTTTTTGGCTGACTCTGGCGTATCGGGGTCGATCATTTGGGGGAAACCTGGGATTTCTGGGTACTGGCCCGTGGCGTTAACACCGCCGAGGTTGAACCCCGGCTGATTGGCGCCAAGAGCGTTCTTGTCCGAGTAGTACCAGCTGATGATGGGATACCCGGCGAAGAGGACGACAAAGCCAGAGAGCATGACGAGGAGAGTGAGGGCATTGGCCCATCCACGCCACGACCTGAGGGTGAAGGGTGCGGTAAGATCCTTCTTTTCGGCTGCGGTGAAGGTGTGCAGCTGGTCGTCGAGGTCAGCCTCGTCGAGCGCGGCGACGGGCCCTGTGCCGGCGCCAGCTCCAGCGGCCCTCAATGACATGGGCTCCACTTGCGCAGCATAGTGACCGTGGCTGGACGAGGAAGGCGAGTCGGCAGTAGGGCCGTAGCGTGTACCGGAGGAGAAGGACGAGACGGTTGCTTGGGGCCCATATCCACGAGCGCCTCCGCCTGCAGAGGGGCCGTACCTCATGCTTGAACTTGGACTGTCGTTGCCTGCGAGGGATGTTTCAGAGAGCCGAGCGTATTGACCAGCAGGTGTCTGTGCTGAAGCAAGGAGGGGAGATGTACCGGAACCGCCAGCGCCAGCACCACCGAACTGTGGAGAGTGGCGTCGTAACGACATGACAAGCGGTGCACGAGGGCGGAGATGAACGACGATACCGCCAAGTGAGAAGGGGAGGGGCGAGGGGGGCGGGGCGGGGTGCGTCCGAGATTGAAGACGAAGACGGGAACGAGGATGAGGACAAGGAATGAACGGTCCGAGGTTAGTTCCGTTGGAACAATCGAGCGAACAAGTTGAGCGAAGGAGGGGTGTGTAGAGGGCGTGGGGATATGTTGGCAGGTGGAGGACGGAGATGGGGGAGACGAGTGTCAGCAATTATGCCTCGATGTGCGGATGAAGTGAGATGGTGAAGAGTGAGAGATTGACAAGGAAATGGGGGTGGTGGTGATGGTGGTGCCGCCAGGAGATTGCAATGCAATGCAACGCAAAGAATTGCTGGGCAACTGCGGAGCAAGAGGCCGCAAGACCGCACTCTGTAGGCCGGTACGCCGGAGGGCGTGTAAGGGCGCAGCCCTTCTTTAGACACATTGATCCATGGCCCCCAAGGTAAGAAATGGACGCGTGCGCGCGCGCGCCATTCAATCGTCCCCTTTGCCTTTGAAGCGCGTTGAGAGAAGATAGACAAGGCATTAGTACTCACAATCTTTGGTGCAGAGAAGCTCTTCCTGTTCCTCTGCCCGAACATGATGAAGAAGGAGAGAGATGGGAGCTGGGTTCCCGGTGTGAACGACGACGAACGATGACACACAAAGTTGTGGCGACTTGGCAAATGGGAAGCGGGAGAGCTAGTGTGGGTACCGCGATGATGGCGGGGTGGTTGCGAGGGGGGGAGGAGATGGGGAGGAGTGAGTGGGGGGGAGTGAGGAGTGGGGAGGGAGAAGTGAGGAGGCGCAGCGCCAAGGGACAACCAGGGAGGCTAATCTGTCAGCCTCAGATTTAGGTGATGCTTTGCTTGTCGATTGTCGAATTGTCGACAGGCGCGACAAGGAGGGCGGGGGAGAAGGCTCGGAGCAAGAGGAGGGAGAGAGGAAGGAGGGAAATCTCAATTTGGCTCCGAGTGACGGATTGATTGACGGGATGCGGGGCGGGGAGAGATGCAGAGGGCGAGAGATCCAGAGAGGTGAGGCTGGTAGAGTTGGGAGATCGAGTGAGTGAGCGCAGCGGCGAGCGGAGGATCGGTGGACAAGGTTGGGTTTGAGAACGTGTCGTGTGGGGGGGCGGGTGTGATTGCGCGTGTGCGTGGTGTGTGTGGGTGCAAGAGGGGGGCTAGAGGAGAAAAGGGGATAGATCCGTCTTGGTTGGGCCGAGACCGAGCGATGGCAAGGGCTCTGGATAGGGCGAAAGGGCGATGAGGGCGAAGAGTACGAGTTGCTATCAAGCTACCAAAGATCAAGGATAGTGTGCAAATCAAAGGTTGTAATGCACCCAGGTTCAATCAGTTGACTGAAATGAATATCCAGGGGGGGATCCAACAAGGGTGGAGCCGTCAAAAGGTGATAAGGTGGAGGCGCAGAAGGGCGGAGGCGCAGAGTACGATGTAAATTATTGCAAGGGAGGAGCGGGATAGCGGGGGCGCTGCAATACTCTGGAGGCCTGGAGCTGGAGGCGAGGAGGCCGGAAGGGTTAAGGAATTCCTATCGAGTGCAAGGGGCAATTCTTGGCATATGTTTGCGTGCGTTGCATGCGCATATGCGTTGGGGGCGATTATGTTGGCACGCGGCTATTGCGTGTGATGCACTGGGTCTTGGGTCAGAGGATCAGAAGGGGCCGGAGGCCGGAGGGAAGCCCGAGTCGAGTGGCCAACGATGTCAAAAAAGACAAGGTAATGATAGTGCAGGATTAGGTTAGCACTACAAAGTGTAAGCACGTAAGCACAAGCACGAAGTTGTGAGCTTTGAGACACTCGCACAATTGCGCACACAGTATGCATCGTGAGGTACAGAGGGACGTGGGCGTTGCATGTGTTGCATGCGTTGCAAGGGCAAGGACGCGTGGATGGGTGAACGGATGCACCCCGGTCTCAGAGGTCAATGCATTAGGATATGTCGTGAAGGGGATTAGGATGTATCCAGCATACCAGGGCCCAAAGTCCTTGCCGGATCACCAGAGTGTCTCTGTGGTCTGTTTCCCCTGTGAATCAGGGTGGCCCAAAAGTAGCAACCTTCGGGCGGATGGGCGGATTGACGGTCAGCGCACTGTGCCCCATGGCCCCCCCATCCATCCAACCCAAAGATGCAAAGGACCCGAAGCCTTCCCATCAGCTAAGAACAGGCTTCGGGCACGAGGGAAGAGATGAGCAGCATGAGCAGGGCTATCAATTTCCCTTGATCACTCGGATCCCGAGCTGTTGGACTAGCTAGCCAGGGCCGAAACAAGGGGAGTGTCGGTGTGAATGCCAAGGCTCAGGCAGTCGCGACGTCATCGATCTGCGGACATGCTTGGGTAATAAGCTCAACTGGGTGCCGTACAACGCTCAATCTCATCACACGCAATCTCAAGGCAATCTCTGCTGGCCTCGTACTCCCTTTTGCGTACTCCCTTCTCGCCTACGCCATGCCGATACTCACCCAGCTTAATCCGACCTACCCAGATCCCTCCCTCCCCCTCCCGCGTGATTCGCATCACTCACGTCATTGGCACTTTGTCATGTCTCGGCTTTGAGTGCTTCTCTCTCTCTTCTGCCACTCCGGCGATCCGGCGATCCGGCGAACGGCGTGTGCGTTCTTTTTTAGTGTGCTTGCTTGGGTCAGACGGATCGATGGAACAATGACGTCCGCTTACTGGGTGCCATTCGTTTACGCGTCCCCCTTCCTTTGATGCATTGATGCGCATTGATGGTCAGCGTCATCCGATCATCCGAGGCGCAGCAACGTGTCGACGCGCCGACATAACGCGTCCTTCTGGTTACATGTTATGTGATGAGGGTGGAGGCCAACGTGGGCGTCGGTCTCGACTCTCTAGGCGTCTGCTATTCCTGGAGGCGTCGAGGGAAGAGGTGCAGAAGTGGACGCGTTGACCAAGGGATGTAAAGGGCGTTATAGGGCATTTGTGCGCAGGCAAGCAGCTCGTCTCCCCTGATCACTGCACCGCCACCTTCGACAGCATTAAAGGTAGGATCGTACAAGCAAGCCATGTGGTCAATGAACCACGTGACATAACGCGTCTCTCCACGCGCCCAGGTCGTCCAAGGGATAAGGGTCCCACTCCCGTCGCCATCGGCATTCCCACCCCGTCCTTTGCGCCTGCGCGCCTGACTCCTCGCCAGCTGCGTTTGCTGGGAGTGTACTGATCATGAGTCCAGGACGTGTGACCGAGCCGCACGGCATTCATGTGCGCGCTCCCGGCCCTTGCTCCCGAATGCACACGACCCGCGGATTGCCATGTCGCATTTATCACGCTGAGATTAGCGATTTTGGGACTTGACGGGTCTTTGGAACAACCCCGTGATTACACCTGGCGCGAATCCTGCGTCTTGCCCGTGCGATGTAACCAACACTTCCTGACACGGCATCTGGAAGCTCTCCAGCACTCCAGCACTCCAGAAACAGAAGAGTAGACGGTTGCTACCGAGGAAGTGCATACATCCCTCGCTTGTACGCGATACGACGCAACGCTTACCACTGATTGACTGCCAATTTGCCAAGCATCGCAGATCGCAGATCACACAGAAGACAGAAGGGATATGGAATGTCGGAGGCCGGCGCCGGTGCCTGCCGGACCGCGCCCGTTTCAGGCCCGCGTACCGCGCTCGGCGTCCTGCAGCGTCCTGGGCGTCCAAGCCTCCTGACCATCCTGAACCAAATCCACCTTGGTAGCCAACCACTACTTTGGACGTCTGCGAGTTCTTCCAGTCTGTGACGCAGGAGCACAGGACCGCAGGACGCGCAGGACCAAGGAGGGAAGAGCGCCACGCGCCATCGGGCAGGTCGGGGCGGGGGACGTGTGCGTCCGCATCCACCCCAGCATGCCCAGCAGCCAGCAGTTCCCCCGCAGCCTCAGCTTGGGCCGTTTCACGACCCACGGCCCCATGCGTCCCTCTATCCCTCTCCCTCTCCATCCACAATGCACCATGCCTGCCACTGTGTGCTGTGTGCATTGTGGAGGTTCACCACCCTCCCCTCGGCGGGCCGTGCGACGGGCTCCGTCGTAGACAACTCCTCACTCGAACATGTTGTTCGCATCGCTCTCTTCATCGCTATACCCAGGTGTCTGCACGCGCGGCGCCTCTCACACTCGTTTTCCACACTCCTTCGGCCTCGTCTTCATCGCATTGCACGTCCCCCTTTCCCTCCTCCGTTCTCATCCTCATCTTCATCCCCGGCGTTACCTTCCCTCTCCCCATCGCAGTGCCCAGCCTTCGCCTAACCTTGCTCCGCGACACTCTAACCTCTAACTCACATCTACACCTATACCTTACACGATGGCCCGCATCCCCCAGATGTACGAGGTGCGGACGCACTCGCACTCGGCGCCCGCCCCTTCCAACCCCGCCCCAGCCCCCGCCACGAACCCCTTCGCAACGCCCAACAGCTCAGTGACCAACCTTGGCGCCCCGCCGCGCGACGACGACCGCAACAGCACCAACCTGAGCTCGATCGGCGGCCTCCTCATGTCCAGCAGCTGGGACGACGCCCCGAAGATCAGGCAGGGCCGCGCGCGCTCCTCGACGATTGTACATGCCCCCTCCCCGGCACCCACAGCCCACGAATACAGCAGCAGCACGCTGCACGCGCGCGTGCAGAGCCTGGAGGGCGAGCTTGACGACGACAACCACCGCTCCTTCTTCAGCGATGCGAGCGGACCCATCGCCCCCGCGCGCGTCGGCGCCAGCGCCAGTGCACCGCCGCCACGCGGCGACTCGCTGCGCGAGGGGCAACCACCCGCTGGGGGCTCCGGCATGACCTTCCCCGTCGCAACTCCCAGTCCGCGCATCCAGCAAGCGCCCCTCCCGCAATCCTACCCCGAAAGCCCGTATCAACAGCCGCGCCCTCCCCAAGGCATGCAAGGCAATCCACAAGGCCAAGGCCCGCCAGCCGGCATCCTCCAGCCCCGTCCGCAGCGCCCCGGGATCCAGGTTGCGCTGCCCGTGTTCGCGGGCGCGGCGCCCGTTTCGCCCATGCTCGCCGCGCCGCCGCGCGCCCACTTCTCGCCCATGGTACCCTCGCCCAGCCCGTCCAACGACAACGCCAGCATCCGGGGCCACGACTTTCTGCGCGAAAAGAACGCCACATTCCGCGAGGGCGAGGAGGAGGTGTTCACCCCCTTCAGCCCGCGGGCGCGGCAGGCCGGGCCCCGTGCGCGCGCGCCTGGGCGCAAGAGCGTCTACTCGACCGTCGACTTCTGGAAGCGTCTCAGCCACGTCGCGCGGAGCCACGAGAAGGAGAGCTCGTTCCTCGTCGAGCGCCGCCGCACGATCTGGCGTAACCCCATGTTCGTCGTTCCGCTGTTGCTGGTGGGTTTGTCCCTTTGGTCGACACTGACGCACTAGACGCTGTTAGCCATCGCTGCCATTGTCGTCTGGCTGGTGGTCAAGGTCGGCGCCTAGGTCTCGGTCACGTCTCGGTCACTCACGTTTACTTTGTTGTCACCATAGCGCATGTCCGGCACACTGCTTTTTGTTTATCTCAACTCTCAACTGCATAGGGTATACCAGGTAAAGGTGGGCATACCACCCATGAATACGTCCATGGTACGCCAACAGACGGTTGAATTAGTTAGTGCAGGACATCAGAGCACACCATCAAGGTCGAGAGAGGGAGCATGTGCAGCGGCCACCCGTGCCGCCCTGGTACATGTAGGCTGATGTGGCATCGCGATCGTGGGTATCAATGAGTGAGAAGAAAGGAGGCTTAGAACAAGTCCTCGAGCGTCATTTGCCTGCTGTCAGCCATGCCGCCTACTCTTGACTCACTTGACAATGTCCGTGTTGGCCACCATGTCGGTAAACTCCTCAAACGAAAGCTTGCCATCGCTGCCGTCAGCCGCCTCCCACCCGTCCAACCCACCCATCCTTGTCCGCCTCCATGATCGTCTTGTCAACAATTTGCTGCAGCTGCTGGTCTTTGAGGTTGTTGCCGACCATCTGCTTGAGCACGAGGTAAAGCTCGCCGTTCGAAATGTACCCGTCACGGTCCATGTCATACACCTTGAACGCGACTGGAGGGTCAGCGGGTCCGAGCGGGCGGAGGGGTTCAGCGGGGCGCCGATCCCGTTCCTCAAGCGGCGCGGGACTCACAACGCAGCTTCTCGTCACGCCCACCCTTTGACGAGAACGCGCTCAAACCGCCCACAAACTCCTGGAAGTCGACGGTGCCGGAGCCGCTGTGTGTCAATCGCGTGCGGGGAGGGTTAAGGGGGACGCGGGAGATAATAGCACATCAACGGTCGAGTGAAAGGAGCAGTGACGCTCAACAGAGGGATGATGCAGCGGGAAGAAGAGAGGTAGAAGGAAGTGTGAGGTAAGATGCCAAAGAGTATTGGAGGGAAGGGAGCTCGTCGGCGCACACGTTTCAGCGTAAACCGCTGTGCCCTCCCCGTATTCCCTCCGTCCATCCCTCGGCTGCCTTCTGTGCACTATTGCGCTCCCTTCGGTGCGCATTCCGCTCCACCAGACTCACTCCTCATCAAAGATGGCAATCATGCGGTGCGCGAGCGGGTTGGTTGCGATCTGGGGAATCTGGAGGAACTCGTCCTTGTCAATCGATCCTGAGCCGTCCTTGTCGAGCTTCATGAAGCGCTTCTTGAGGCGCAGAAGCTCGGGCGCCGAGACTGTATGCGAGCGGTGATGAGGCGAGTGTGGACGGGGTAGAGGAGATGATGCGGAGCAGGGAGGGTCGGATAGCAAGGAGGGCAGACAATGATGGGCGGCAGTGGAAGGTGGGCGGGTAGCGGTAGGGGCAGGGGGAGAGGAAGGCCGAGTTCCCGTGAGTCGATGCACGACAGGTTGTCGACGCGAGCGCAGAGTTATGGGTAGGACGGCGGGGAGGTGGGTGACGAGGGTGCAGAACGGGGGCGTTATGGCGCATCATCGCGACGCGGCACATGTGAGGGCAGGGGGACGGGAGCGCAGAGCAGCGGCGGAGACCAGACACGTTTATAAGCAGAGGGATTCCGGAGAGCGAAGGAGAGAGCGTCAGCACCATGTCGCGCAACAAGTGAGGACAAACAGTTCGAGTTCTTCTCGAGGTTGGTGAAGACGGAGGACTCTGCCTGGCCCATTGTGTCGAGGCGCTGATGCGTGCGTGTAAGGTGTGAGGGGAGCGCTTCGAGCGCGGTGTGTGGGGAACGGTGAGGGGTGGGCGCTGGACCAAGTGATCGCGCGTTGAGAGATGGGACAAGAACAATGTGGAGGAGAGTGGCGGTGGACGCGTATGACGCGATGAGCTGGCGGGAAGAGCACGGGCCAGCCAGGATTTGGTAATGGTACAAGTACAAGGATTGAAACGAAGTGATATTTACGCTTCAATAAGAACAAGGGCAGGTGCGAGGGGGGCAAGGCTGGGTGCTACGTATTAGAGGAGGGGGATTGTGAATAGCCGGTGACTTCTGTGGCTCAGTTGGTTAGAGCGTCCGCTTTACATGTTTCACGCGGAAGGTCGTGAGTTCGATCCTCACCGGGGGTAATTGCTTTTGCTACCCTCAATCAGCATGAACGACCCATATGCAGCTGTCCTCCATGCGTCCTTGAGACAACAACTTTCGCGAAAGGCGGATCAGTTCTCCATATCCTCTTACCACACTCATGGGCGCAGCAGAAGAGTAAGCAGAACCGCTGCGAGCACCACAGTAGGAACCGCTGCGCCCATCTACCCGGCTCTCTTAGGCCTCTCGTTGCACTTCGCGGTCTGTCCCGCCTGCGTTACAATCTTATACATGCATCAACATAATGAGGTCACAGACCTCATACAACACACTACGCCGACCCCAGATGGTAGAGCGCGCCAAACGTAGATACAACGCCGAGCCCCACGCCCAATGCGACACCCTTCGCGAAAGCGCCGAGGCGAGCGCTCTTATGGCGGCGACGCTTGGAATGCTTGGCAGCGTCAACCGCAATAGAGGAAGGCGCGGGAGACCCCTCCTCCTCCCCCTCCTCCTCCTCCTCCTTTTCCTCCTCCTCCTCAATGGCAGAGATCTTGCGCTTGCGCGTTGAACCACTGGCTGTTGACATATTGGCGAAGCTGGTGCCCGACGAGGCGCCTGGGGCCACAGCCCCCTCCTTGATGGCGAGGAACGCCGGGGAGGGAGGCGTGAGAGGGACGCTCGAGGTGGCCGTTACCGACTTGACGTGGACGCGTTCAACATCTGGCGTGCCAGGCGAGGCAGGAGGGGAGGGCGGGGCCATGTAGACAACGGTCGTGACAAGAGGAGGAGCCGTCTCCACCTGCTCGTCGGCGGTCTCCTCAGGCACTGTGGGCTCGTCGACGTCGTCGACGACCTGAGAGTAGTCATCTTCAGCGGCCGGCTGTGGGTCCACGTTCTCCTCAGGCTTGCTGGATTCCTCAACATCGTCGATAACCATAGAGTGATCCTCTTCTTCAACTGGCTGCTCGTCCTCGTTCTCTTGATATATGTTGGATCCCTCGGCGTTGCCGTGAACAACGTCGAGGCCATCTGCCTCGGCCATCTGCTCCTGACCCTCATCATTTACGCTCGACTCCTCGACTTCGTCGGTGTAGTGGTGTTCCTCGGGGCGCTGCGCGTCCTCCCAGGAGTCATCCTCTTCGCCCGTCCCCAACGTGGCACGAACGGGAGAGCACAGGTGAGATACGCCCAGACCGCATGGGGGGTGAGGCGAGCTCCGACGTGACCCCGGGCGGCTTACTGGAGTGAACGTCGGCGACCCGGGGTGGCTCAACGGAGTGTACGTCGGTGACCCCGGATGGCTTAAAGGCGTATACGTTGGTGACCCCGGGCAGCTCAGCGGGGTGTAGACTGGTGACCCAGCGCGGCTCAACGGGGTGTAGGCCGGTGCGTCCCACTGGACATACTGGTACGTCATGTATGACGCCCCACCACTCGACGGATATGACTGGCGTGACCCTTGGTGGTTCAACAGTGTGTCGGCGGGGGGACGCTGATGCGAGGCCGCGTGGCTCACGGGGGTGTAATATGGCGACAGCCTGCCCGGCGTGCTCAAATGCGATCCCCACTGGCTCACAGGCGCGGAGCAGTATCCGTACGCACCATGAGGGTTCGCTTCCATGTCATCACTGGCCCGCATAGCCTGACGCTGGGTCATATCGTCTACTTCAGGCATGGAGCTGGGAATGACCGAGGGTGTGCCAAGCGGGGGAGGTGGGTCCCGACCGAGGTCGGAATGAAGGCGCGTGATTTCCGCGTTGACCGCGACGAGCATCTGCTCAATTCCGAGTGACAATCTACGGGTAGCGGGCACATTGTCGAAGTTCATGGCCTCTGAATCCTCCGCAGCCTGGTCAAGGGGGTGGTCGCCCTGGGGAGATTCTGGAACGTTGCCGCTAAGCGACCAGCCATTGTCTCCATACTCGGACAGCTCGTTGGCACGCTCCCTCTCGCTTGCAGCGCCCTCGTCGCTTCTAGCGTCCTCGTCGCTACTAGCGTCCTCGTCGCTACTAGCGTCCTCGTACTTGCCGCTGGAAAGAATGGTGTGAGTCTCTTCATGATCGCTGGCATCCCAGTCCTCGCTTTGCGAACGGCTCGCTCCAGCGTCGCTAAGCGAATGCTCGGAGCCTTCATACTGTGCATGATCGCTGTGTGCGCGGTCGGAGGTCGCCGAACCGCCGAAGGAGTGCTCCGAACGAATATCATCGTGGTGCGAGCATGTGGACGGAGTGGAGAGAACCAAGTCGCAGATGGAGCTACGCCTCTGAGAAGCGTGCACATCGAGGTCCTCAGCCATCGCTGGTGAGCGCGGAATGTTTGTCTCAGCATGAGAGGGTTGTGGCGAAGATGCGGAGCGCATGCAACTGTCGGCGTCGTCCTCAAGCTCATAGCCAACGGGATTGAGAGGGCTACGCGATCCCAGGTAAATGACATCGTCATCATCGCGTTTGTAACCCGGTAGATCATCCTCAAGCTCAGACTCGTAGGTGACAGGGATGCCCCACCGGTACACATGAGAGCGCGAAGGCAGCGTGATGTCGCGGATTGAGCGAGCGAAAGTGGGGGTCAAGTCCCGGCGATTGTCTGCCCCGGGGGCGTAAAGGGCGTAGTGAACCTGGACACGCAGAGGGAGGTGAGTTACACCGTCACGTGAGGCGACAGGTTTGCCGAGAATGAGCTCGTCACCCTGCTCGAGGCGGTAAGGCTTGTACGCCTCGAGGGAGATGGTGCGCTGCCTGCGAGAAATGCAGGTGCCGTGAAGACTGGCGAGATCCATGATCCAAAGTTCTCCGTTGGGGTCGATCGTGAGCTTGACGTGTTCGCGCGAGAGCACACGCGAAGAGAGGGCCTGATGTGAGCGCATGACCTTTCGGTGACGGCGAGCCCTACACTCGACCTCAACTAACCGAGGGGAGGCGTGAACCATTCTTGGAGCGTCGGCCAATGTTGGAGCGCCGGCCAATGCAGTACCCGCCAGTTACATCTTTGTAGCCTCCACGGCTGTACGAGCCGCGGGGGCCTGAGGGAGGGATTGGACCTTCCAGCTTGCTCAATAGATCGCCAACTGCGACGTCGACGACGCAATCCTCGGTTCTCTCCACGAGTTTGAGATAGATGGCTGGGTGTGAGACGAAACAGTAGAGAGAGGGTTGGTGACTCACTTTCATGGCGAAGGACATCACCGTCCTGGAGAGGTTGGGCCACACCAGACATATGGGTGGCAAATGAACCTGGAGTGCGTCCAATAAGGATGAGTGAGACCGAAACGACGGTAAGCGCGTGTGAACGCGTGAGTCTATGAGACTAGATAGATGTATATGTGGATGTGGGAAAGACAAGTTGAAGAGAGTTGAGAGAGAGAGAGAGAGAGAGAGAGAGAGAGAGAGAGAGAGAGAGACGGGAGAAAGGGGAGAGAAGAGAAATAGAGAGAGAGAGAGGGAGAGGATGATGAGGACGCTGAATGGGAACGACGGGGGCAAGGAAATTGTGAGGGAGCGGAAGCAACGAGAGCGTTGAGATCTGAGACATGCCGTCGTGATCATGCGGTCAGTTGTGCGAGGATACGGGCATTCTGATTCCGTCGCAACAATCGCATCGCTCCCTTCGGGTCCACGTAGTTCTAGGCCTCAGCCTGGTATCGCGACGCCAACATCGTGATCAACAAAGGCCTAGTAGCTCGTGGTACCGAGGCAACAAACGCGCGCAACAACACAACGGGCCAGTGGAACTGAGTTCGCTATCTCTCACTTTGCCACCCAGGCACAGTGCACTTCGGGAGTGGGCGCCGCAAGCCGGACCAGGAATGAGGGGATATTAGCCTGTACATCCTGAGCTTCCTTTGATCACATGACCCCTGGGAATCGTGGGGATCCCTAGAGATCCTGAAGGTGAGCACGCTGAGCATTCCGCACATTGCTCAAACTGAATCACCAGAGCACTGGCTTCTTCGCTTCACGATCTGATGCGCGTCTTGACCTTCCTTCACCACCCCCAAGAGCTCATGCAGCGCAATTAGTCCGCTATACACTACTCTCCGTCATCATAACATCGTCCATACGCGTTCATCATCATCATCATCATCATCATCATCTCTTTCATCTTCATCCACGACGGGCATCACAACTGCATCTCATATCCTCGCTCTCCTGCTGATCTCCGGCGGTCTCTTCTTCCGTTTTCATCACCAGCTCGTTTTTCCAACTCGCTCACTTTCTTCATCCCTCTTGTTTCCCCTCCCCGCCTTTTGCCTCTCACATTCACTCACTCTCTCCTTCTCTCCACCCCTCCTCCGTTCCCGGCCACACGCGCGCTATCCTGGCCACCTTGAGCCTTCGACGCCACCTCTCACGTCTCACCATATTAACCTGACTGTCCCGTCGTAATCCGCCAGCCATGATCAAATCCTCCTTGCAAGCAGTGAAGGGTGTGCAAAATCTCTGGGTCACTCTCCGTTGCTGACAGGCAGAGGCTCTCGTCGCTTTCTCTCAAATCAGACATCTCCTCCCGACTTGCCACGACACTCCCAGCGAAGACCGCGCAATGATCACTAATATCATCGTCGCCCTGCACTCCGCTCTTGACAAGATGCCGCCTCGCTCACGAGCGCGTAGGGAAGAACGCCAGCGGCAACGACGCTACGACCGGCTAGATGAGGAAGGTAAACAATAAGAGAATGTCAGGCTAATCCGGGCGTCCGTCTGTGGAATATCGCACTCGCTGCACAAGGCAACAAGAGCTCGGACCTCGAACCAGCTGACCTCGTCTTGCTAGCCCATAGTATGTGCCCCAGGTACTGGCAGACTAACAGTCAGTCAGATACGCTGCATTCAAATTGATTGAATCGGCGACGGACGTCTCGGTTGTCGGTCCATGTATGTATCTCGCTCCTCCATCTCGCTTACCCAGCCATCCCTCGTCTATTAAGCCTTGCTGCCAGACTTGTGTCCAAGTTTCTTGGTGTGTATGCCGCGCTGCACACTATTGACGTGCAGAGGCCAACAACATGACGATCGCCAAGTCACTCTGCGCAACAGCTGCGGAGGTTGGAGCTTTACGCAACTCCATGAGATTGACGAGCAGCTCGAGCAAAAGGTTGTCGACTTTCCTTTACCCCCTGGCTTCTTTGATGTTCAGGAGCGGCGGGATGCCTTACTAGCGTATTATCTTTCGCGGTGCGATGTGGTAAGTCTTCGTAGGAGTTTCTATCTGAACACAGGCCTTGGCGGAGGACAATGAGACACTGGGCTTCAACATGTTGGAGAAGGCTGCCGGTATCGGGATGAGAGAATCTTCTGACATCAGATCTGGTGATGGAGGAAGACATGGCCTCGGAGCTTGTGAGTAAATTGGACCATGTCCATCATTGATGCAAAAGGTTCAGCGGGTGGCTTACAAGTGTTGGGAATGCGGAAACACCCTGCGTGAGGCAGGGGCCGCAGATGCATCTCACTGGCTCTACAAGGGTCTCAATCTTGTCACAAAGACTGAAACCAGCTGTGAGACGCCAGGGTTATTACACCTACAGGTAAGCTGGTGTCTCTCTAAAGCTAACAGATGCTCGCCCTGCTTCGTTCCATTGGTGTGTCGCTTTTGCTCACGTACGGCCTGACGCGCGACAGCCCGAGCAGAGCTGGGGATCACCAAACCTGACAGTGAGAGTTTGCGGCGCGCCAGTGTGGTTGTGGACAGGCTGAGTGTCGTTGGAAGGACCCTAGTGAGGCCGTGTCATCGAGACATCTGTTGAGCTTTAGGACCCTGCGGGCGTGCAAGACATCAAGATCATCCAGCTTCACTTGCTCGAGGTCCAGGGAGCGAAAGAGAGCAGCATTCATGATTGTAACTCAGCTGCCGCCGGCCTAGTTTCCTAGTTAACCCAAGGCCTGAAGGAAACCATCTGCAGCATTACTTTCCAAATTGGCGAGGTCAAAAGGTGTGGGCAGATTGGTTGCCGTCTCTCTTCTGATTGCAGCGTCCTCACAGCGATCGCATCACTATCAAAGTACTGCTCCGCAGAGCGCAATTGACTTGCAGCATCAATCTCCAAACCTTTGGCCGCCAACAGCTCTTGGCACGGGCGGTGTCTGTTCGGGCGAGAGGTGACTGCATCATGGAGATCCTCCTCAACATCCTCCTCTCCTGCCGCAAACTGAGCAGTGACTCTAAAGCAGCGCACCGCGTCGCCTTGCAGGCTCTAGAGGGCTAGTCATCGCAATCTTCAGACTAATGTTGCAGAGATGGCGGCAGTGGGGCTGGGTCTCATACAAAGGACGGAGGCCATTGCGAGTCAGACGGTGAGCCGCCGCCAGAACTTTAACGTCTATCTAACCTCACAGATTATCTGGAGTCTCGGCGAGACGCTGTACAAGAAGGGGGTTTTCAAGCAGGCGGCGCAGTGGTGTGAGTGGAGCGCGTCTGAGGACATCTGCATTCTGATCAGCAGTTGTCCTAGGCGCGCACCCCGCTCTCATGCCGGGCGGAATCGAGAATTCTGGCAAATGCCGTCGGTACATCTTGTGGCTGTGGTAGTTGACACACGTCAGCAAAGCTGCTTTAGCATACATCAACGGAGGTGACACGGAACGTGCCAAGGAGCAGCTTCAACATTGCCCTGCGGCAGAGGCTTCGACCCACTACCTCAGCTTCCTCGCTGCAATCAACTCCGGGCGAGAGGTCGTGGGTGGGTGGGACGCTTTGAGCTGCAGCTTACCCATATAGCCACTGCAGCCATCGAGCAGATTCTCAATTGTCCCGATCTGGTTTGCAAGCACCTGCTGCTAATGGGGTACGCGGATCAGACAGTCGCTGAGCCTTACCCGTAGCCAAGCAGCACAGGAGAAGGGTATGCGTACAGCCCTCGCGCTGGCCCTCGATGCACTCCTGAGCATCATGATCCGGGGAGGAGATGAGGGGGTCACGTCGCTTCATGCTTTGACCTTAACCCGCTGCCTTATGGAAATGACCTTGACACAGATCCGCAACAGCAACAATCTGTGAATATCAAGTGAGACTCCGTCTGACCATAGCGAACGCAACTCTCTCCTTGGGGCATTCTTCCGTGATCTAGAGATTGGTCAGTGACCGGGGTGTCTTTCCATTACTCACCTGTAAGGCCACAGCGTGATCGACGAGCTCTGCCGAGAAGGAAAAGCGGCCGAGCATATCAAGGACATCGCTTGGGTTTACAAGACGGGTGGGTTGAGAAAGCGGTTCTGTTTTGACTCCAGCTTTCAATGCAGGCGTCGAGGGCGCCTTGAACTGGGACCCTAGCCTCGTTGCCGATATTTTTGACATCACGGCCCAGGTGAACTTGTCCGAGTGTATCATGAGGACTGACGGTCAGATCATGGACCTCGTGCAAATGACTGCCAAGATGGACACGGATCCGAATTTGAGCGTTCAGCGGGCGACTGCTATGTTTGCGTGCTTCTCAGGCAAGAGTTAGAGCCATGCAGCTCAGCATCTGACGCCATAGTGGAGGTGTATCGGGGAATGGGCGAGTGCGAACAGAAGGTATCTCCATTCTCTGCCGTCGCTGACGCCAGCTGGATTTACTTCGCGACCTTGTGAACTACGGAACGTTGGTTCGCCCTGTCATCGCTGCGGCCGCGACAAACAACGATAGTGAAGCGAGGACTGAACGAATGCAATCTGCACTCTCAGTTCTGGAGGCAGAGCTTCTGTGCGATCAGGGCAACTGGGAGGGGCTTGAAGAGACGGTACAGGTGAGCGTAACAGGCAATGGACACACCTAAGTTAAGCACGCAACCAAAGGCGATGGCGGGGGAGAGGGATGTTTCTCTTCTCTAGAGGCGCTGGTAACGGTGTTGGTTAGTTCTAGTCGGATCTTGCCGGGCTGCTAATAACAGGCCAAGTACCCCCGGTGCCCGACCAGTTGTAAGGCCACAGAGTTTCGTGCGCTCACCGTCAGTTTCGATCAAAATCCTTGAGTGTTTATTGGAGACGCTGTCTCAGCACGATACTGACGGAACTCAACTCGCTCATTGGATGCACCACGTAATCGCTGGGCTGTTGCACTACGACAGGACAGAAGAGGACGAACAGGCGTACCGGCTCCTGGAGCGATTCATTGAGATGATGAGCAGGAACATGGGTCTTGCCGTACCCCAGGACGAGTGTGGGTGGTTCGCGAGCGTTGCGTACAACAAGGGGATGAGCAAATACAAGTTAGCCAAGTGCTGAGCAGCGCTAACAAACAGTAGCGGTGACAAGGAGGCCGCTTGTCGTTGGTGCGATCTGGCGCTGGAGATCGCAAGTCGCATTGACGGTGCTGGTAGTATCTACAACGACGTGAGTGAATATCTTGAGATATTGCCGACTAACTCAGATGCTCCGCCGCCGCTTCAAGTACGTACTGGCAACCTCATCGCGCTCTTCGGTCGAGCTGACGCTAGGGTAATGCAGCAGCATGACGTGGGTGAACAGACCTAGCGGTACAGGATGCATAAGAACGATACATGGGCATGCAGTTGATGGTAATGCTGAGTTATGCAGACGAGTCCGACTCCTTCAACGGGCGCTACACGAGCCAACCTCTGTAAACGCACCCAGTTTCCTTCTCATCGAGTACGCGCCTGAGTTCCTCTTGCGTCGGCTCATCGCTGATTCCCTTGGGCGTCTCGACAACATCCTCATCAATGGCCAAGAGCTCGTCCCCGGCGGCCTGCGGCCACTGGACAACGAAGGTGTCCACAAAGCTGCGCAGGATCTTGCCTGACAGAGAAAGAGAGCGTACGCGCGCAAACGACTCGACGTACACAATCCGGGTGTGGGGCAAGCCAAAGATCTATCGTCAGTCGGTCGTGGGCGATGGCACGAGACACGTACGCGACGGATGTAAGCCACGGCGACGAGGACGACGGCGGTGCCAGGGCCATTGACGATTAGAACGTCAACCCATGGGCTTAGGGGAGCGTCGGCGAGAGGAAGGAGGAAGGTGTGGAGCAGGACGTGCACGGCAGTCCTCAAGACGGAGAAGACGGAGGAGATACGTCCCTGCCCGACCTTGCGGGCGCGTGGGAGAGCGACGAGACTGTACCCGCCGGCCTTGCCTTGCTTCTCTTCGCCGCCCTCGATGTCGGCGACAGCGCGCAGGCTCATCTCGTCCCCGTGGCAGTAGACGTACACCCTGGGACTGTACCGTCTCCTATCCACGCCTTGCATGAGAGCGCGCATCTCAGCGGTGTGTCCCCCCGAACCCAGGAAGACGCCGAGGGAGACGCGCTCGCCGAGCTTGCGCTGCGGCGGGGGCGTCCATGCGCTGCCGCCCGGCCGTATGATTAGGATGCGCTTGAACAGCAGGCCTATGAGCGCGATGACGGGGAGGATGAGGGCGGCAGCAACGGCACGCTGGGCGCGCGGCTCCCATTCTGAAAAGCGGGCAAACTCGCGCGCCGTCTCCACCGGGTTGATGGTAAAGATGGCGACGGCGAGGAGGCATAGAAAGAGGAGGGTGAAGGGGATCCAGACGGGGAGGGTGACGGCCTCCTTGCGTGGTCTGGGCTGGCGTTGGGGTGGTTGGGGTGCCATTGTGCGAGAGAGGGCGCTTGTTCGAGCTGATGGACAGCAATGTGAGTCCCGTTGGAATGGAGTGGGGCTCAAAATTCGGTAAGGGTGACGATGTGGCGCAGTCTGTGCGAAGGGCGACGCGCAGTGCCGGCGTCACGGTGTTGAGCGAGTGCGGCGTGTGAGGAGGCGGCGAGGCGGCCAGGGCAGGGCGTGTGATGGCGATGCTGGCGAGGGGAGGATGGAGAGAGAGATCAGGTGATAATCTGAGACGGGTACGTGGTTAAGCGCGAATCCCGAAGTCAAAGACGAGTAGCGCAATCGACTCGCTCGCCGTTTCGTTTCATCCGCGCGATCCGTTGAACCGGTCACACAAAAGTCGGGCAATTGCTGTTTGCCGGTCTCCATTGGCCGAGCCACAACCTCTGCGGAGGTCCGAGGCATTAACACGACTGCTAATCCTCGGACCTAATGCATCTAGTCCCGGATAAGACCCGAGCGGATGACGCCACGTGCACCCAAATCCCGGCACGCGGTGGCGCGGCTCGGCGCCGCGGCGAGGTCCACCACCCACAAAGGAACCCTCGCTTGTGACGCCTCCCCATGCAGCTTTATAAACAGCCCCCCATCTCTCTTGCAGGCGCACCTGCTTTCGCACCCGCCTGCCTTCTTGTCTTTACTCACCCCCTCATATTTTGCTCATTTTCTCGCCAGCTTTCGCGCCGCGACACATGATCCTGAGGATACCGACATTTTGAGCTTCGGCGCCTCCCTTCGCCTCATAACCCCACAACCCCACATCCCCACACGCCACCCATCACACAAAAGCCATAGATTCCTCTTCCCATCACTCCACCACACTACACAGCCGGCACGATGACATTCAAGTCGTTCCCGCTGAGCAGCGACATGGTGTCCGTCTCGGACGAGGACTACAACGGCATCTCAGGTGGTGAGTCGGCGTCGCAGCTTCTCCTGCACTGGCAAACTCGGCTTACATACCAGCTCATCGCATCCTGTTGCAAATCACGGCACAGATTCACCGTCTCGACGCAAGCCATAATTCGATTGGCACCAAGGGCGCCGTTTCGCTGTTTGACGGGCTGGCGAGCGCACGCAGGCGTTTCTCGAGCCAGCCTGATGCCGAGCTCTGGGGCATGAGGGAGATCAACCTCGCCCGCAACGAGATCGGGGACGAAGGCCTCGCCAGCGCACTATACTACGTCTCCAAGGACCAGGCCATGCGCTCGCTCTACATGCAGGCGAACCAGATCACTGTGAGTTGCTGTCGGCGGTGGTGGACGTTCAGCGGGCTGGCGAGCAAGCTGGGAGCGCCTGTCCAGAGAGGTGCCAGCTCGACGCGGCCCATGCATGCCAAGTGCTTCGTGCTTTGTGCTTCGTGTGAACAGCTTGGCTGCGCCCACGCTGCATGTCGAGCCGCACATTGCGAATGGGCATGCAATGTCGAAGGTGACGCACGACCGGCGACGTCATTTCGGCCGGACCAATTCTGCCCCACCCCTCCCCCTAATTTTGTGCTTCGCTGACCCCAGCTCGAGGGCATTGCCGATATCGTCGTTGAACGCATCAACACATCCAACCTCCGGAAGCTCTCGCTTACAAGCAACCCCCTGTCGGCGCAGGCGGTCAACAAGCTCTTCGCCCAGCTCAATACACCCCACCTCCGCGAGTTGCACTTGAGCATCTGCGACCTGCCACCGTCGTGCGTGCCAGCTATCGTGGAATTCCTCCGCTCGCCCCGCAGCCAAAAGCTCGGCGTGCTCGAGCTCAACGCCAATGCACTAGGACGGCTGGGCGTGACGGCGATCCTCGACGCGCTCGAGTCGGCCAACTATTCAGTCTACCGGATCGGGCTGAGCGCAAACAATGCGGCGCCGGCACGTGCGGACTCGCCGCGCAGCGACAGCGAGAACGAGGACGTGTGGCGCGAAACGCACGGCGTGTGGGAGTCGGACGAAGCGATGAGCCGGGACGACCCGCGCTCCATGAGCAACCAGATCACCCACCGCGTGCCGGCGCTGCAGAGCCGCAACGCCGAGCTGGGGCGGCGGGTGCGCAATGCCGCGAGCCGCGCCATCGCGCCCCTCCGCATGATCGTGCATGCGCGCGCGCCGACCGCCACGGAGACGGCGCAGCGCGTGCTGGCCGACGCGGCGCCCGACGCCGCCGCGCCTTCGCCCCACTTCCCCCTCCTCGAGCTCCCGCCGGAGGTGCAGCTCGTCATCGCCCGCCATGCGAGCCAGGACGCCGACGCCCTCGCGGACGACCAGTGGGCGCGCCTCGTTAGCCACGCCAAGGATCCCGCTAGCCTCTCTAAGATGGCCGCGCGCATGAAGCGCGCCCAGCAGTCGGTGCAGTTCGGCGCGCGCAACTACCGCGAGCAGGAGGTGCGCGAGGCGTGGCTCGGCGAAATGGGGTGCGAGTGGTGGGAGCTCGAGGACCAACGATACTGGGACCGCCTGTATCGCCGTGCGCCGAGCCGCCGCCGCGGCGTCAGTCCCAACGGGCATCCGGACGCCATGCTCCCGACCTAGACACAACTACGATATCCCACAACAGACTGGACTCTATCTTACATCTGTATTTTGTACTACTATATGTGACTAATCTGCTTGCCGATTGGGCTGAAGTTGGCAGTGTCGGAGTCAGCAAAGCCGACTCGCGACTGGTGAGATACAAGATAATACATGATATTCTATGTTCTATCTACTCGCCTGCCTTGTCCTGCTCTGGCCTAGGCGCCGCTCGCCCGAGAGTCATACTCTCGTCGCTCGTCGCCGCCTCCGGCTCGCCATACCCCGCCTCGATGTCGCGAGCCACACGCTCGCCCCAGCCAAACCGCGGGCGTGGGCTGGCATCGCTCAGCTCCGGCGCAGCGAACAATGTCCCTTGAACAACCTTCCACGTCGTGAACACGGAGACGTAAAGCCAGTGGAGGATGACCTGGGTTGCGAGGAACGCGCCGATGACCTTGAACGCTGTCGACTGCAGCTCCTGCCCCAGGGTGATGGATGACGTCGCGAAAGTGCCGATTGGGAATGTGAGCGCCCACAAGCTGACGGTGAAGTTGCCGAGGCCGAGGAGTTTGGGGTCGCGGCGCACGCCGTCGATGAACATCGCCATGCCGATAGTGTACCATGCCATAGCGAGACCCCAGAGCACGAGCGCCGTGACGAGGCCGCCGGCGTACATTGCGCTGGCAAGGTATCGTGCGTCTTCGCCTCTGAGGCCGGGGACGATGGAGACGTCGTAGCTGTATGCGAGGTGGCGCGCGACAATGCCCATCATCGCGATGCCGAACGAGCCCTGCCCGCATGGCCCGACGGGGAGGAACACGGCAGCGAGGCTCTGGCCGCGTGGCGCGCCGCCCGTCGCGAAGCGGAAGATAAGGAGGGCGATCACCATCATGGCGAGCGGGAGGCCGAGGCCCCACACGCAGTAGGAGGCGACGAGGGTGCCACGCGCCAGATTCGGGTTGAAGGGCATAAGAGCTTGGGCGACGACGGCGCCAGATGCCGCCGCGACAACGCACGACACGATCGGGAGCAGCCACTGCGGCGCGAGCGTCTGTTCCGTCTGGCGCTGGCGCGTGAACATGATGAATGTCATGCCCAGGGAAACGATGACGGAGATGACAATGTCAAGCCACCAGAACCCGAGGGCGATGTAGGCCCAGCGCTCGCCCCACGCCGGCACACAGACGTAGCAAATCATGGTCTGAGGTGAGCGCGGAAAGCAGGAGGGTGACTCACAACGATGGTCACGAACCCCATGGGGAACGTACCCCAGAAGAGGCCGGCGACGTTGTGTTTTGCCACGACGCGCCATACACCGGTGAAGAAGAGGTAGCGCGCGATGGTCGCAAGGAGGAGGAGAACGAAGACGACGACATTGAGCACGAACACGATCGTGCCGAGGTATCGGAGCCAGACGGCGGGGTAGGGGAAGTGGTGGAGGAGGATGGAGGCGATGCCGCAACCCATGTTGATGCTGAAGAATGAGGGAGGTGTGTTGAGGGCCGCCGAGCGCATCCATGCGATCACGGGGTGCGCCTGCCGCACGGGCCCTGCGCCGTGCGGCAAGCCATCTTGCCGTCGTGAGTCGAAGGAGGATGAGGCGAAGGGGGAGGGGGGGGATGGGGGTGGCGCGTTGTTTGTGGCGGAGCTGACAGTGGGGTTGGTGGGGGAGTGGAGGTGGGGGGCATGAGAGTGCTTATATGTTTCTGGAGGGTGGCCGGCGTGGCATGTACCCGCCAGAGTGGAATCCGACGCCAGAGTCATGCGCGAAGACGAGCTGTCCGTGCTGGCTGTGCTGTGGGTGCGTTCAAGCGTCATGTATTGGAGCGATGGCGTGCGAGGGGAGAGGGGGGAGCGCTGACAAGCGCGTCCATCGCACGCTTTTAAAGCGTCTGCCCGCAATCTCTGCGACGCTGCCAAGCCTGTGACGGTGGAATGCAAGTGGTCAAGACACAAAGAATGATGGCGACAAGTACGAAGACAAGCGCGACGAGTCCGAAGATGAGGCTCTGAAGACGAGCTCGATGGCTGTAGCCTTCGTAAAGCAATCAACTCATTCCGATTCAGGGGGAGTCGGAAGAGAATGCGGAGGTTCCGTCAGCCGCCATTCTCTGGCTTTCCAGCCGTGCTTGCGCCACCACCTGATAGTTATTAGTTTCAGGATCAGTACGAGTCAGTGCCTTGGCGATGACGCCACTTCCTAATGTTGTGAGCAGCTGGCTGTGTGATTTGGAACACTCCGATGACCACGTGACTCTGCTAACCCAGTGCGAGTTGTGAGGGCGTCAAAACATCTTGCGGGCGTGTGGGCGCCAGCTGCTATCAGCCATTCCCACACTAACAACACATGCTTACCGGGGATCCGGGGAATCCGTCTTGCAGCGACGTTGTACGGCGTCAAACCGACTGATGTACTACTGCATGTACTGATTGCGAAACGCAACTGGCGCTGCAATGTGGAGAGAGTAACCGTGGTCCGACAGCAGAACACACACACGTGGGCACGTACGCCACAGACAGACAATCCCACCGCTGAGCAACGACGACTGACCAGCCACCGATGCGCATGAGCTACTCCGGGGATGCCGCACACGCACAGGTCGCCGTGTGCCATGGGGACGGACCGTGCGCACCGGCGCTCTCTCGGCACCGCAGTCGCCCGATACTGACACAATCCAACCACTTGAAGCTCGAGGGGCGTAACCGGGCGGCGGGATATGAGAACGCAGCCGATCGCCAGCGGACGGGCATCTCGGGGCAGATCATGCGCCTCCGATGTGAGAACGCGGTCTAAGGAAGGTGTCAAGTGATGGACGAGGAGGGCGGAGTGGAGGGGCTACCGCAGGGCGGCGGTAGGGCGACGGAGGGGCAACAGAGGGGCAACGGACGACTACGGAGGGGCGTGAAGATGCAAGGATTGACGGACAGATCAACAGACGGACGGTCGGGCAGGCGGACATGCCCTACGCAGCCCCACGCCCGAAGCATTGCTCGGCGCCGTCCCTCCCTTGACCCCGCTTGCCGCTGCTCGCCACCGCTACCCCTGCGCCCATCCTTCCCCGCTCCCCGTTTACCTCCAAGCTTCTGCGCTTACCTCTTGGTTGCTCCGTGCTGCCATTCCCCGCGATCTCCGTCCGAATCCGTCACGCGCTGTAACGGTTCGATCGCGCGAGTCACTGGCACTCACCACGACCGTTCCTGCGCCCAGCCTAGTCAGCCGACGCAAGGATTGGCCAGAGGCTCGCACCACTCGTCGGCCTGGGCCTCTCCAGCGCTTTGGCCTCTTGAGCGAGCGAGAATATTCGGCCGGCACAGTTGCTCAAGGCCGAAATGGTGGGCGACTAGAAGGAACGATGGAGGCCATGGATGGGAGTTGTTTGAGCAAAGTCGAGCGGTGGCGCATGGCGCATGGCGTGCGGAAAAGGCGTTGATGGTCTGAACGGCATAAGCGGGGGTGAGAGGAGTGGAGTGAAGTAGAGTGGGAGGGAGGGAAGGTGAAGGTCCTCTCCCTCCCCCAACGTCCGTGCAGAGCGCGCAGTGACCTCCCTCGACGATTTGCCGCCGCTCACCGCTGGCTGAATGGCTTGGACGGCGGCGACGGACGATCGGGCGAAGTGAACGCCCAGACACACAATCAATCTTCCACCGTTCCGCTCTCTATCCCAGTCCTACCACGCGTCCTTCATCCTCACACCGCCAGCCCCGCGAGCTTGTGAGCTTGAGAGATTCCGAGTCCGTGAGCGCGTGAGCGCGTGAGAGTTGCAAGGGAGGCCTCTGTTTGGCCCTCTGGCTTCATTTGACAACCTCGTCACCACCATCTTCAAAACCCACTTTGGTCGAAGACTCTTCGTTTATCTTCCGCTAGAGGCATTCGACATATCTGTCACTCTCGCGTCTCTCTCTCTCTCCATCCCGCCATTCGTTGACCTGCCGTTCACACTCGTCAAACCCCCACTTCGTTACACCACGGTTTTTGACGACCACTTCGGCTTCAAGTAGCCAGCTTCGGCTCGATTACGCTCTCCGGACGCTCGCTCGGCGTGACAAAACACTTCACGCTCACAACCACACCTCCACCTCCACTCCTCCACCCACCAGCAAGCACCCTTCAAGGGCATCAGCTCGACTCGCCTCCTGGCCCCACCGCCCTCCCTCGGCACTCTCCTACTCCCTCTCTCGCTCTCATCCTCACTCTCGCTCTCACTTCCACTCCCACTCCCATTTGTTCCACCTGCCGCCCTCCCACCTCGGATAACGCCCGGTTTACTAGTGCCACATACTCTACCAACCCCGTCATCCCCATCACTCATTATTCTATTCCAAGATCAGATCCATCGCTATCCCTGGTTAGACCATGTCCCAGCAGGCTTCGGTCGCCACAGGCGGCGTAGCAGGTTCCACAACCACAGCCGGACGCAAGCGCAAGAAGTCTCCCAAGCCGAAAGAGGCGAAGCGTGCCCCAGGCGACGCGCCCAAGCGGAGCAAAGTGGCGCAACGCAAGGAGCAGGAAGCAGCCGACGCCGCAGCCGCGGCTGCCGCTGCAGCGGCCACACCTTCGGCGGGCACAGGCGGGCAACGTAATCAGCCGCAGAGCCAAACTGCTGGAGAAGATGAGGAAGTGAGCCATGAGGTTTCACTCTGCTTACGCCAGATCATCGCTCCTCGTTCACCCAATCGCCGCCGTCGAGTCATCAATACCGACCCCCCCGAGACCCCCACTCCCACTCTCGCGCCAGGACAACGCGTCAACTCTCAATCGCAGTCAATTACATCCCACCCGGGCGAGCCAAACTTCCGTTTGGGTGATGGCACCCCTGCGCACATGTGGGGCCCGTCGACGTCCTCTGACTTGTGCGCAATCCTCGAAACGCAGAGCGTTCAGATACGCCAGTTGATCCTTTGCATGCGCGAAACCGGACTTCTAACGCGCGAGCTGCTCAAGTTTGCCCTGGGCCAGACCGCTGTCATGCCCCAAACACCGACGCTGGATGTCGAAGTCGCCGATCCTGCGCCCAAATCCGCTCACCGGGCAGGAGAGCCACCAAGACCGATGGAGAATGGTCCATCTACTGTAGGGCTTGGGCTGTTTCAGAACACTACTCCGAACGACACGCCGAAGACAGGCGACCGCAGTGCACTGGGCGTAGGGCAGCCGCCACCTCGCACCTCTGTCCCGCCCCCACCCGATGACAGCATCGGCTATGCCAACGGCGTTGCCTTCAATATTGGCTCCATTACACAGCCGGTTACTGTCACTCCGCTCCCGCCCCCAAACGCAAAACCTGAGACTAGCAATCCATCTCCAGCTCATCCGGACTCCAGCCAGGCGGCTGACGGACAGCAGCGCCCCCTGCAACATGCCAACTTCGCTGGGTCGTCTAGCAGTGATCCGCATCTTCCCTCGGCCCTTTCTACCACGCCAATGTACCGCGATACTGCCCTACCGCACATTGCCGACACTCCGAGAATCCCGTCGTTTGCGGTGTCTGGGCAGCACTCCTCACTGCAGACTCCCCAGATCCCGCCTACTCAGCAGGATGCCCACAGCATAGTACCTACTGCTGCGCCTCATCAGCCCCCAAACCTACACAGCGGCTTCATGCTCCCCACCGCTCATCCCTATCTAGGTATGCCACACGGCTTCGTGCGTCCTGGCATGACCCCACAGCAGCAGGCGCTACTGCACCAACATATTCAGCAACAACAGCAACAACAGCAACAACAACAACAGCAGCACCATCAACAGCAGGCACAGATGATGGCGCAAATTCAGCGCCAGGCTGGCATGGCCAGGCCGGCTCCTCCCTACTATCCCCAGCATCATCAGCAGGTAGGCATGCACCCCGGCATGCGCTCTGTCTCGGGAAACCCGACCATTGCTCGCCCTCCGCGTCCTTTCATGGACATTGACACCGGCATTAGAGGTATGCAGACGGGCGAGGAGGTAGATCGCAGCGCATCCGATCCGTTGTCACACAGCAGTCAGCCGCGCCTCAGCCCCAACGTCCAGTTCGAGAGACTGCAGCGTCAGGCTCTGGGATACTCGCGCCAGATGAGCGGGCCCTCGTCGACCTCTCCGAACAACCATCCCCCTGCCTTCCTCGCGCCACAGTTTCCTGGTTCTACCCAGACGCATCCCGGTCAAAATCCTTTCCTCGGCGCCATGGGAGTGACCATGTCCCCTCAGCTTGTGAACGGTGCACCGACCCCTGTGAACCCATCCCCGACGACCTTCGGAGGTGGCGGTGGAGGCGGGCCTACGGCGCCTACCTCGGGCTCCGCCCAGCCTAGTGGAGCGGCGACCAACTCGGTGGGCACCCCACTCATGTACAGTCTTTACGCTGAGGCCTCGCCCTTCTCAGCGCCCTTCTCAGGTGTGCCTGGAGGCAACGATATTTCATCGCCGTTTTCGTTCGCCCCACCCGAGATAGGCGAGGGCGGGAACGTGGGCAGATCGCGGTGGGGCGAGGAGGACGACCAGGAGGAGCCGCTTCGGGAGGTGACACCTGGCAAGCGGTTTGATGCAAAGTGAACTGTCGACTATGTATGTTGAGGGGGATCACAGGTACCTGCAGACTAGGAATGTGAACGGTCAGATTTCCAGCATGAACCGGGGGTGCCTGCGGGCTCAAAGAGGTCCGGGCCGAAGCCGGCCGGTGATGTCCGCGAGTCTGTTGCGGATACCTCCTGGACTTGAGGGGACTTGTTTTTGCATCTAGTTCTCTGCACTCCTGCAATCGGCTCACGAGCTCACGATACATCGCAAGATCGCCACCTCGCTAGACGACAACTTGCCCGAGTTGAGCAGATCATCGCACATCGTTGCATCCGAGCTGGAGCCCGCGTGGTCGATTGCGCCCTATTGCGCGCTGATCGATCCGCACGTCTCGCCTCCTCTCCCACTCTTCACTTTGCCTTCCTCCTTTCGCTCTTCTCTCTTCACCGAACATGACGGACTCGGCCGTTACTACCCCCGACGACGACAAAATCGACGCGATGGAGGAGAGGAAGAGCAACCGTGAGTGCGGAGCGGCCTCCCGCCTTTGGCGGTGAAGCTAACGGCAGGCGCCTGCGTGAGTCATCTGCGCCCTAGCATCTCGACCGCGGTCGCGGCGAGGTTCTGGAGCGGTCCGGCATCAGTAAACATCTGACGGCAGGACTTCTGTCACAGAATGAAGATGAAATGCATCGGCAAGGAGAATCCGCCGTGCAATCGCTGCCGGCAGAGCGGGCACGAGTGTACCTTTGACGGTCCACGCAAGAGCAAGGCCAGCAAGGTTGAGGAGTGAGTTGGTGGCGGCAGTGGCGAGGCGGAGGGAGGTGACACGGGTAGGGCGGCGCCGAAGGGAGTCAAGGCCGACCGCCGTCGGGGAGGAAGGAGGCGAAGAGGGGGGACGAGCAACGATCAGCGAGCTAACATCAGTCGGCTCAAGGTGGTAGAGGAGCAGATGGGCGTCGTGCAGCGCTCTCTGACTGAACTGATCGCTTTGCAGAGAGCTACTGTGCGCGCAGTTCCTCAGTCTGCCTATGCGAGTCCGCCCTTTCCCGGTCAGCCACCGCTACCAAGCCCACCCGCTCCGGTGTACACTTCACCTGTGATGTTAGCGCCGCCACCGCGGGGCATGTTGCCCTCCTCTTCTGGCAAGGCGTCACATCCCACCTACTGGCAAGCAGGTAACACCACTACCGGGTACATCAACCAGGAGCCCAATCCCGCGAACATTTCCACCAAGGCAGCCAACACCTCATTCACAGGCACTTCCTACTCCCAGTATACCTCCCCTCAACCTGCCTCCCAGGCTCCACCGTTGATCATGCCGAAGTGGCGCACGACGCCGCCAAACGGCGGTGAACGTGCCGAGCGCGCATCGAATGAGCGTAGGCGCACGCCCTCGCTCCCCCCTGACTCGGGCGCCCCCAGCGATGACGAAGATGATCCGCTCGAACCTAGTGCCGTTATCTACAATAACATGCTCTCCTTGGCCGAGGCCGCCCGTCTCAAGGCAGACGGGCAGGATGGGGAAGAGGAGGCGCCGACGATACACCCGCCCCCGAAAGTGTTCAATTATGATCTTGAGCCGGGCCGGCCGCGCAAGAAGGCTCGACTTTCCGACCCGCAACTGCGCCGTGCGCTCCCCATCCAGCGCGGAGATAACACGCAGTGGCGCAACCCCGTGCAGATGGGCTTCTGTAGCGAAGCAAGGGGACGCGCGCTCTTCGACCTCTTCATGCAGGCGCAGGTGTATGTGCCGATTTTCGACCCCGATGTCGACACATGGGATAGTTTGTGCGAGCGTTCCCCGTTTGCTGTAACTGCCATTGTCATGGTCGGCTCGAAGATTGAGGACGCCGGTGGACCGCCAAGCGCCCTCCAGAAGCAGTGCCGCGAGCATGCCGAGAAGATCGGTGCGAACTCACCGGGGCTTCTGCCGCAAGATGCTGACCACAGGCATGCACACGCTTTTTACGCCGGTTGCGCGTATCGAGGTACTCCAGGCCATGATCGTCATGGCGTCGTGGGGTGATACCTCGTGGCGCCCAGGCGGACACGCACTGCGTATAGCGTAAGATGATTCTTGAGCTTACTGACACCTAGCATGGACATGGGTCTGTACCGCTGCCTTCCCTATCTGAGCCAGACTGGCATGGGCGCAGGCAAGAGCGCGGCAGAGCTCGCGGATGAGCGTCCCCTGGTGGTCGGCGCGCGTCTATGGCTTGCGGTACGTGTCGCAAGTCGTCGGAGAGACTGATCGCAGTTGTACAAGTCCGAATTTGAGATGGCGTTCAACCTCGGGCGTCCAGCGCTCTTTGCCGCCGAGGACACAATTACGCACGCTCGCCGTTTCCTCGAACATCCTCTGACAATCCGCACGGACTCGCGCCTCGTGGCCACCTGCCAGCTCTTGACGCACCGCCTGCCGCTCCACCAGCCGTTCAGCATATGGCCGAGTGCGACCCGCATCCCGGACCTCGACCGGCGCATTGAGAGAGCGAATGCCGCCTACGCCGCCTGGTTTAAAGAGTGGGACGCCTACTACGAGGGCCGCGAGCCCAAGTCGTCATTCCTCCGCGAGAGCCTCACCACGCAGTACAGCCACGCGCTGCTGCACACGAACAGCCGTATCCTGCACGGCGTGCGCTCGCGCCGGGACATGGCTCACCTGAGCGAGCATCGCGCCCAGTGGCTGCGTCAGGCCCTCACGTCCGCCCTGACCCTCGTCGAGATGGCGCTCCGCGGCGAGGCGTACCGCACTAACTTTGCGAAGGCCAACTACTACACACACATTGGCGTCGCCTTTGCGGCTCGCATGGTGATCCGTCTCACGAGCCTCATGCCCGACGCCGTCGATCTGCGTCAGACTAGCCGCGACCTGGAGGCCGTCACCAAGATCCTTGCGCTGGGTACGCTGTCTCCTGTCTCACAGCCGCTGACGCCAGTTCCCGGCTTCCAGTTTGCCCAGCAGATTCGGGACATCCTTCTCCGCGCTCGCCGGCGCCGCGTTCTCCCGCCCGCGTCGCGCGGCAGCCCGACGAGCGGCAGTGTGCCCCTCCCGGATGCGCCCGGGGTGGACACAACGCCCGAGGGCCTCCCGCTCGACTTTTTCCTTGCCGAGCAGCTGTTTGGGGACGCGGACGCGGTGGTCACGCAGCCGGATGAGACACTGGCGCTCGACGCCTGGTTCCCCTACCCCCCGCTGGAGTACAGTCCGGACGGGAGTGGATGGGCGTAGTATGGTGTCGCAGAAGAGAAGGTTCGGGGAGGGGGTAAGGGGAGAAGTGGTAAAGAGTGCGAAGGGGGGAAGGTTGGAGGATACATGGAGTGAGATAAGGATGGAGGGTACCAGCGTGGAAGGGTGGTGAGTGGCGGGCAGGAGAAACTCAAGCGGGACCCAGGATGCTGGGAATCCTGGGAACTGAAGCGGGAGTTGGAGCGACACAAGCATCCAAAAGCGGGACATGAGGAGGAGATAGACAGTTGTGCAGTCTTTTCGATAGTCGGGAACACAAGCCCCCCGCCGCCACGGCGCTGCATGCATTTGGAACGCCACCAGGGCTGATGACCGGGCATGAGGCGTTTCCGCCGCAGAGATTCGACAAGCGATGCTCGCCGGGTTACGTTTCACACTGTGGTACCAGACGGAAGCCACCTGGTCTGCCGATCGGCGGTTCCCCGCCTGTAGACAGACGGAGTTGTTAAACAGTTGATGCAGAGACGTGGTCGTGTGTGAACAACCTTCCCAAAATTACGGGCTACAAGGGAGACGCGAACCGTGTTTTGTTCGCGGTACAGAGTTACGGTGTAGTAAAAGAGATAGCCACTGCGCCAAGGGAGGCAAAGGTGCGTGTATTGGCCTCCCAACCAGTGGCGCTTTCACGTGCTGGGTCAAACCCCTTTACGGGTTCGGGAAGGCGAGTGTGCTTCCGTTGAATTGCATGTTGGGCCCATTGGGGCCATGCGCGTTGACGAGCTGGGCCATGGCGTCGACGTCAAATGAGTAAGTCGACACATCAAATGACTCAGGCTTGAACCACTGTGAGAAGTCTTTCGCCCCGTCCGGGTAGTAGACCGGAATTTGCTGTGGTTGCCCCGACGCTTGCTGTGGCTGTGTCGATATATGAGACTGCTGGGGCGGTAGCGGCTGTGACAGCGGTCGATTTGTACCGATAGTTGGAGACACCGCGGGTCCGCTTAGTGGTGAGCTCGTCTTGGATCCTGAGCCCGTAACTGGAGTCGCCTCCTGGAACGTCTTGGGGCTTAGAGTCGAGGACGAGGACGGCGTCTTGCGCGGCACGTTGCCACTGTAATCCGCATCGAAGATATTTTCGTCCCGATTGAGTACGATAATCTCGCCATCTGGCTCAATGGGCTGGGCACGAATCGCCTCGAGAACTTTAGCATATCGCAGGGCGACGGGGAACCTCTCGCCCAGGCGGTTGAGGGCACCCAGCAGCTGCTTCAAGTCCGCCTCAAACGCGGGCAGCTCCATCTGTGCCTGCACACTTTCCGATCGCGCGGCGCAGTGAATGAACCGGATCAAGTTACGCGCCGCCGAAAACCAGATAAATGAGCTATGCACCGAGAGCTGGGTGATGTCGTACGATGTTGCGGCGAGCTCGAGATAGTTTGAGACGACATGGCGGATCTCACGCAAAATGTGGCGGGCCTGAGGGAGCATCCACGACTGATGCGTGATTAGAGGGCCTCCGATGGTGATAAGGGCGCAGTGCAGGAGGTCGATCATTGTGTACTTGTCGGGGTCGACGACGGGCCCATGTGGTGTGTTCGTGGTACTGGTCTTGAACTCCTCAGGCATACTTGAGCGAAGTGTACCAATGTCGGTAAACACTTGCTGGAACCGCGGATCAGAGAAGAACCGTTGGAATGTATGGAGACCGCGCGAGTATTTGCGCATAAACGTGAGCACGTCCGACATAACCCGTGTAACCTTGATGTACATGGACAGCGTATCCCGATGTTGCGGTGGATGATGTGAATAGAAATCGGGCGACTGGAATGTCTGAACGCCAACCAACTCTCCAACTCCGCTGTCAAATATGTGGCGGGCGATCGGAAGCTCTACTGTGATGTCGTCGTCGGCGATAGCGTTTGGCCACAGCGATCCAGTGGCCGCTGCACGCTCCGTGAGGTACACAACCCACCAGGTGCGGTCTCGCTGCGCCTGTTCGAGTTCGCTACTGGCTTCTCGTAGAATGGCTCCAATGTTGTGCGATAATGGATCGGACATGCTCTCTGCGAGGTCAGCTTAAACTTTGCCCTAAACGCACTGGATGAGAGATTAAGATGGAGTGGAAGCGACATTCGAACTGCATTGCCCGACTCAACCCAGACGTCAGACCACCATCCATTCTTAACATCCACCCAGGTCGCACAAAGAACAGCTGGCCCGTCAGCAGATTTCGTGGCGACGGGGCACTCACCCTGCACTGCTTGAACGAGTTGTACTCCATTGGTTACGAGCTGACTCAAACACTCATACGACTTGCGCCTGTGCCACATTTGGAAACGGTGCAGCGGAGATCCATCCCCGATGCTTTCCGGCGTAAAGGTCACGAGTGATGACGCTGGAAGGAGAGCAGACCGAGGGGTGAAGTCGTACTCCGGATGAACATATGCCTCGGTGGAGGACCCAATGGGAAAGTATGCCCGTGACGCGAGCGACTGAGGTGGAATATAAGGTGCGGTGACAGCCAAAATGCCGTGCAAAAGTGCCAACGTCTGGGAGTCATCAGCGACCGTCACCAGATGTGGCTAAACAGTACTTACGGGGAATTCGTGGTTGGAGGGTGGCAAGGAAAGGTTGGCGAGGAAGGAGGGGCGATGGAACATGTGCGGAAGGACACGGACGCGTGCAAAGAAGACCTCGACCATGTGATGCACTGTCTCAGGCTGAGGGAGGTCTCGCGGCCAGCTTTGAGACGTTAGTACATGTGTCCCTGTAGGCGCCGCGCAACGTACTCCGAGTACATGATCTGTGAAACCGATGGGTTAAGTTGAAGGGGTGGAGTGTCGTGGACAGGGAAGGTCGCGATTGGAGTCGGGGCAATAAACTGATGTTGCGGATAGCTTGATGGCCCGCCCATGTGTGATACCGGCGGATGTGGCTCACTCCAATGGATATTGTTGGTAATGCCATGCGGGCTAAATGGTGGCAGGTGTGCACTGGGCAGAGACGTGTCCAGAAGGTCCGTCGACAGAGATGGTTGTCGTATCGGGGCGATCATGGACGGAGGCATGCCTCCACCATTGTACAACCGGTAGTAGTCTGCATCGGATTGAACGCGCGGGTCGAGCATCGACACGCCCGGCTGTGGATGTAGCACCTGATGCTGGAACATGGGTAGCGCGGTGAGACTTGTAGAACCGTTCGCCCATATAGGGGGATTGCTGGAAGGTGGCCTGCCATTGCTAATTCCTCTCGCAGCCTTTGCCTCTCGTTTGCGGAGAGTCCGAGCCGAAGGATCCCTCGTCTCGTCCCAAGTACACGTTTCTGGCGGTTCATACTTTTCTGGACCGCGCTGTCGGGGCTTGCGACAGTTCCCACAGGTGGGGCGCACGGCATCGCATTTCTAAGTGTGTCAGTTGGAGTGAATGGTGGACGTGCGTCAGGCCGGGGACAGGGCGCCCCCAAATGTGTCGACCCCGTAGAAGTTTCGTGCCCGGGCAAAGGCTGCGCACTATCCAGATCACGGAGCACTAGTCACGAGGTCTCCATAGAGTGCTCGCCACCCGCACCAGATAAGGAGTGGGGCAAAGGCAAAGGGGGCCGGCTGGGTGGAGGGAAAGGTAAAATGGTGGCGAGAGGTAACACTCACCAGCTTCCGCCTCCGACATTGGTGACAGGCGGCATTGCGCGCTAGGACGCGATGTGGGTCGCCGCCCTCGTTCATGACGACGTTGAGAGGGGCTTTGACGCGCAGCGTGGCAGACTCGTTGTCGATCTTGGGAGTAAAGAGAGGGAGACGGTGCACAGATGAGGGGCAGGTACGGTTTGGCGAGCAAGAGAGAGAGAGTTTGTGTGTGTGTGTGTGTGTGAGAGAGAGAGAGAAGAGAGAGAAAGAGGAACAGAAAGAGAAAGATGGAGATGGGCAGAGTCGGAGAGGTGGAAGGGAAGGTCGAGTCTGGGCGCGTTTGCCGGCCTGCTGCGTTCAGGCAGGGCGAAGATGATTGTGTTAATGATGGGATTGGAGTACGTAGTTGGGACGAGCGAGTCACCAGTCGGTGCTCAGCTTGGTGATGACTTTGGAACGATGGGATGCAGCGGCGGTAACGGACAAGATGCAGGAGATGGGGAGATGATGGAGATGAAGAGTGAGACGTGTTGTGTTGATGTGTTAGTGGGGAGGGGGCCATGAGGATTCCAGCAATCGCTCCTGTCGACTGCATCAACTCTGGACGAGACCATCACATACCGCACTCTACCGCACTCTGGGCCTCGCGCGGTCTCGCGGTTCTCGGCACCACCGCTCCCCTGAAGGCCACATGCTTGTCCATATTCTACCACTGATCCGACGGGCTCTATGATTGGTTTGTCACACGCCGTGTGCGCCGCAGCCGAAGCCACGCAATCTGACTTGTCTCAAGAGTGGAACCTGTTTAGTCACGGCTTGGCCGTTGCCAGCTGGCAGTTCGGCAGCTGGCAGATGAGCAGAGGGCCTCGGATTGTGCGGGAGAGTGAGGTGGGTGAGGTGCACTGCGCAGATGCAGAGTAACGACTGAAAGAACGAGGGGAGGAATGAGACGTAGACGTTTGCGGGGTCAAAGTGGAGGAAGGAGGGCACGGAGGACCTGTATTGGAGCAATCACAACGAGGGCATCGAGAGCGTGCAGGGCACACAGGGGAATTCAGCTGATCGTCTGCATATCCGCCCTTCGGGTCCTCACCCTAGCTCTGGCCCTACAATTCTTATACCCCTTGCATGCTGCATGCCTTGCGGCCTCAGGCCAGCTATTGCGGCCCACGCCACCAATCCACCCCCATCCGTGCAGCCGCTATCAAGGGTCTATTTGAATGCGTTTGCCAGGGGCCTGTACCACGTTTTCCACCTTGGGCCACTCGGGCGACTTATCCTTGGCTCTAAAAGAACTCTTGGGCTGCAATAGTTTCTGGGTAGCCCTAGCCCAGGCACTTCAGGCACCAGGATCTCCCACTGTGAATGCCTTGCACATCCTCCATACCTCCACATGCCAACTCCGCCACCATGCGAGCAAGCAGTCTTCCATCCTTCGCGACTTGCATTGTGGCGCGCCGGAGCCCGCCGGAGCGACGGAGCGACGAGTGCAATCCACCACTCTCTCCCCATCAGCCGCTCTCATCTCATAACATCCCTTCTTCTTCATCTTTGAGCTCTCTGTTGCGCGCAGCATCCGTGCCTCGTTCCTCCGCACCCACTCCGCTTGAATGCCGCAGTCCCCACGCAGCCGCCACTACCACTCATAGCAGTGGAATCCCACATTGCCACGCTGGCCTCAGGTTTGCCACGAGCACTAGCATGGAACTCGAGTTCTCAGCGTGGGATTGCGTGGGAGCCGCAATTCATTAGTTGGCATGCAAAGCCGTCGGCCAATCCCACCCGTGCAGACAGAGGCGTTACGGCGTCTTCTGGCGGCTACAGACGGTTCAACTGCGGAGAAACCCACATCTAGGGCTGCTTGCACCCTGCGATCTCTCATCCAACCACGTAGATGACAAGCGCAAGTGGCGGCAGCGACTCCCAAACACGCGATCCAGATGGCCAGATATCCAAAAGAGAGAGAGAGAACGTTCGGTATTCCGTCTGCGGGTTCCGGCGATCCGGCGATCCGGCTTCCAGCCTGAGAATCTGAGAAGCGAGAAGTTAAAGTCCCGTTCAGGGCCAGGGGTAGAACGGTCCTGTCATAGCTGACATACCAGCACGTCGAGCGCGGCGGGTGCCGCCACAACGCCATGTCTCAGATGCGAGCACAAACACAGGTCTATTGGACAATTGGACAATTGGAGCACTAACCCTCACGGTACCAAGGTATGATGGAGGACTTGATGGCGTGCGCAGCACATTTGTCGTTGTGTCTGGCCTTTGCGGGCGTCACCCCTCCCGGCGGATCGGCGGGATTGCACGCAGAGCGCATCATGGGACTCCGGTACTCCGGACGGCTCATGAATCCAAAGCTGATAGACGACAAGGGACTCAGAGTGCTGTCGTTTAAACTAAAACAAGAGTTCGATGAATATCGATCTGACCGGTTCGGATACCTAACCGGTCGTAACTTGTTGAAAGCACGAGCCCGGCCGTGAGTAGAACGGCGAGGAGGCCGGAAGAGAAAACGGCGACACACCGCGTCGAGATGCCGGGAGTCTGGGCTCGAGGTCGTATAATTAGTTGCTGATTCACTGATTCACGGATCACGGAGGATAGTCGACCGCCACCCCATTTGCGCTGATCACCTCGGATCAAGGACGGCCGGTCTCCCGACTGGATAATGACCCCAGGTCACGTGATATTACATCGGTTGACCGTGGGAGAGCGCAGCTTCAGCTGTTTAGGTAACATGGGCTGTGTGCCACGTGGAGGGCACCGCCACGATCCCTGGAACGGCGCACGCCGAGGCTGACGACACCGTTGCCGCAACACAACGCATCGTCACTACTCACTCTCTCCCCGCCGGCCCGTCGTCGACAATACATCTCCTCCCATCATCTTCTGACTTGCCTCCAAACTTCTTCTCGACTTTCCACGTGCACTTAGCTCACTCAGCTCCGCACTCCCGCATTGCCGACCAACCGCCAGGTTTGACACGAGCGACAGGTCACGTCATTGCCACCGAACTCATCTCTCTCCCTCCCCCTCCCTCACTTTCCTCCTGCCCATCATGGCGACCAACATTGTCGCCACTATTCTTGTGGCGAGCTTGATCATGATGATCTCATCAGTGATCGCGACCATCGTCGTGATGCCCTTCAAGGGCTCGCTCATCCGCTTGCGGGCCAACTACAACCCTCGCGCAGTTGGGTTTGACGGAAGCGATAACACTGTCGGGCCGCGGCTCACATCCCTCTTCGGGACCATGCAGCGCACATATCGTCTCGAGGGCTGGTACGGACTGTACAAGGGTACGTGTTGCGCACTATAATACTGCTAATCGCAGGCTCCTTTGCCATGCTCGCGTTTACGATGGCCGTTTCCGTACTCGCGGTGATCTTCGTCGGAGCCAGCGCTGTGCGCGGTCCGAAGGGAACATACACTGTTCCCAAGAACGGTGGCGTCGGCATGGCTATCTTCAGCCTGGTCCTCATCATTCTCACGCTCCCAATGACTATCATCATCAACCGTTCGATCATCACGCCCTACCGTCTTCCGTTGAACCTGCGCGAGTCACTGCGCATCCTGTTGTCGAGCCACGAGCGGTCGTCCCCGATGGCGCTTTACCTCACCCCCGGTCTTCTCGCCGTTGTTGCGCTCAAGAGTGTCGCAACCGCGATCGTTGCCGGCTCGCTCCGCCTTCTGCTTATTGGCAATGAGACGAAGATAGAACAGATTTCGGTCTGGGGCCTCATCTTCTTCGTCTTCTTCCAGATGCTTTCGGTTGCGTGGCTCTGCCCGCTCGAGGTCGTCATGACCAAGCTCAGCGTCCAGCCAAACCTCGGCAGCGAGATCAGCGTCGAGGACCCCGAGGGCGATGTGCCCGAGGGTCTCCGTTTCGCCGGCCAGGGCGAGGATGTCGTCGGTCTTCGTCCCACCACCGACCCGTACATGGGCCTTGTTGACGCCGTGCGCAAGATCATGGAAGAGGAGGGATGGCAGGCACTATACCGCGGGTGGATCTGGACCATGCTCGGCGCCGTGTTCGCCGCGCACTAAGCAATCGTAGCATAGATATCGTCCAAGCCACCCTTGTGTGGAATATTGCGAAAGCATGAAAAAATCAGCAGCCCAAGGGGAAAAGACGCAAAGGGTCTTAGCGAGAGCCACGCCAACCAGCCGCCGGGGTGAAACCATGAGTAGAGCGCCTCGAAGAGGGTGCGGAGGAGCAGGAGCGTGGTAGCAGCGCTGCGCCGCCGGCAAAGTGCACAGCGCAGCGGCGCGTGGGCGGCGTGTCCTCACGCGCAACTGGCTTGCGGCCATTTCGAGGAGGTGTCATCACCTTGCGGGTTAGTGGCACACGGCGCACCACTTGCTCCTGCAGTCTTGAGAGCATTGACCACCACTTAGTACTCCAATCCTGTGCATACGCTTTGGGACCATTGGCAACAGCGAGGTGGGGGCCGGGCTGCCAGAACGGGAGGGCCGTATGTGCGCGAGCTTGAAAGGCAAGGAGCAACGAGGACACACTCATGAACAGTCTACACATGCCTACTCGACCATCGCTCCACCTCACAAGTCGACGCATGCAGCACAACTCTGTGAGATATCAACACACAAATGCATCGCGAAGTGAATCCAACCTTACGTGTATGGGGGTCTGACTATTGACTCGGCGGTTTAATGGGCGCTCAACCTCCTCCCTTTTTGCACCTAATCAACCTATACCTTCTGCGGGCCAAAGTATCCTTGCTGTTGGGGATATGTAGCAGGCTGACCATACGCGCCTGGGCTGGGTGAGCCGGGCTTGACAGGCCCATAACCGAGGGTGCTGGTCGGGGTGGGCGTCTCGGGCTCGCCGTTGAACACGCGCTTGTGGCGCTCCTCGCCGAAGTGTGTACCCCATAGCACCCATACGGTGCGGTAGAATGCCCAGTATGCGCCCTGTGGTTAGCTGGGCATGGAAGTGACATACGAAGAGGCTGAAGGTCGCAACGAGGACGGACTGAATCAAGTTTGCGGGCTGCTTGAGCTGCCGGACCTTGCAGAGATACTGGATGTTGAAGCTCTGGTCACTCGGCGGCGTGAAACCGGGGTCGGTGAGCGGGAGCACGGTATCCGAGAACCACAAGCCGCCGGGCTGCCTGTCGAGAAGCATATCTATCATGGGGCAGTTGGTGCAACGCTGCAGGTACTGCTGCCGCCCGGCGTAGTTTCTGATGAGGTTGTCGGTGCTAGCCAAACCTAGGTCCCAGTACGCGAGCTGGATGACCCACACCGCGAGGTTGACGAACGGCGCATTCATCTGCGCTAGGATGCCCTGGTTATACCGATCCGTGGGATCCGAGTCGACTTGTGTCAGCAACAGTTTGAAACCAGCTCACTGGCACTCCAGCGCGTGTAAGTCGTCGGCTCGACGAACCGCCGTTGGCATTTGCTCAGGTCGTCAGAGACACTGGGGTCAGCTTCACACGACTGCCATATGTACATTTGGTGCCCGCAGAAATCTGTGCCGTTCGAGGCAACACTGGTGCTGAGCCGGTAGTTGGGCTGGTTCTGTGCGGCGCCATACAGGTTGAGAAGCGAGTCCCATGCCATGCTGAGGTCAAAGAGTGCATTCCAGTTGACGGCCACCTGCTTGTCGGGCGTGAACCCGACGCTGGCCATCCGCGCCTCCGCAACCTGGACATTGGCCGGGAAGCTGATGTCTGCGCCGAGTGTAACTTCGTAAGGGCCGACAGTGCAATTGAGCGAGGCCTGGGATCAGCGGGGCCGCAGCGTGGCGCACGATAATGGTTGAGATCTCGGTCTGCATGTTTGGCTCCATCACCAATTTGTAGAGGGTGCAGCTCTCGAGCTTTTCGGCCGCATAGTCGACAGACCAGCGGAAGTCGCCAGTCGCGCGATTACGCCATGTCATAATTGTCCATGGGATTACGCCGTCGGTTGTGTACACCTCGTCCCCAATTGTGAGGCTAGTGTCAGTCGCGCAGGCGGGAAGTGGGCGACGACAGACGATGTCTACGTCGGGCGAGGAGTGTCAGTCTGTGGATATGAAGCTCACAGTCGTGTGTCGCAAATACCAGTCTTCTTGGTAATGAAGATGGTGTGCCACCCCGTAAGCCTGAGGTTGTAGTTGGGCGACGATCTGGTCACCGTCTCGTACCCCGCGGTGGCGGCTGCGTGAGCGGCATCCTACCCGGACGCACTGGCATAGATGACAACAAAGACAAACACGAGGGCCGAGAAGATGAGCGTGAGGAGGTTCCACAGCCGCCCGTATGGGAACTGGGTAAGCGCGCCCGCGCACAACGTACCGGCCGCGTAACGTTGAACTCGAAGAGGTTGCGGAGCATTGGGGGCGAGCTGCAAGGGGCGCGAAGAATCCCGCGGTGAGTGGTACACTGCATATATACCGCCCGACAACTCGGCGCCTCCTTGGGGGCCCAGCGTCAGTTCCATCGCCATGGCAAGTGAGTGTTCTGTCAGGTGGTGTCGGCCATCGGCCCTCCCCGCCGCGGATAGCGGTTGGTGTACCGCCACACGGGCCTTTGGCATGGGCCAGGCTCCTTCGTACAGTGATAACGACGATCAATGAAATTCAGGCTACGGGTCGCGAACAGGCTTTCATAAATCGGATGGGTCACACCCCCATCTAGCTCAACTCGGCACCCCCGGCGTGATGGAAACGTCAGGAGAGTGGTGGCGGGGGCCTGGGCGGTGGGAACGCGGCGTCGGATTCGGGAAGGAACCTATTCGGGTCAGGCGGAGCGGGGCATCGACGCTCATCGAGATGAAGGCACCGCACCGCCAAGCGCAAAATGAGTCAGAGGATGCCAAGCATCCGTCTTGGGATGCGAGCAAGGCCACATCAGGCCCTCAGGTCGTTGGCGGCGCCAACGATATGTGAGTCGTAGGGGTGTATAAACTTCAATCGTGTGACCTTTCCTGAGCCCGTTTGGCGGGTTCACCGGGCGCGGGTCTCTAGACGCCAAGAACTCACCCAAGCTTTACGACTTCCGCGGATCAGCAGACCAGAGGCTGGCTACAGCCAGGTGATGCCAAGCAGAGTGTAGGATCAGATCACAATAAGATATAGCTGTCGCAGATCTCGAGTCAAGACATGCGCCATCCATTCCACGTGGTAAAAATGACGTGTTACACTGGTTGCTTTTGTGCCTGGATATAGGCTCCGCGACGCGTCTCTGAGACACGCTCATGTCGCCTGTTTTGTCTCCTCCACCCCACGTCCATCCTCATCCACTTCAACCACGATGAGCGACGACGAGCTCCGGACCGTTTTCCCCGCCGCGAGCGACCCAGCCATTTTGGCAGAGCTCCGCTCCATGGCCCAGGTCTACTCCATCTCTGCGCAGGACCTATTCTACAAACACGAGGCGTTCCTCCTCTCGCGTCCATCGGGGTTGCGAGCCAAGCTCAGCACGTTCACCCTTGACGTAGCGCGCGAGCTGCGCAAAGAAATCCAGCGCGAGTTTTCCGCCAAGCGCATCGCGGCCACGCCCGACAAGGTCGGCGTGCGCAAGCGTCCGATCAGCTCTGACTTCGGCGGCTTCCTTGACAGCCTCACACCGCAGCGACCCAACAAGCGGCTGAGCAATTCGGGCAACCTCATCAACCTTCCTTCACCCACGCCCGTCACCCACGCCACACCATCTAGGACACCCGCCTCCGCGTCCACCTCGAGCGCCTACCGTCCCACCAAGCTCGGCGTTACTCCTGGCCGCGCCCCGCCCACCTCACCCATTAGCGGCGGCGAGTCGCCAGGGTAAGCTCCTGCTTTGTCCTGGCTCAAACTGACAACAGTGGCGGCCTCAAACCTACGGCTCAGCCTTTTAGCTCCCGACCACAGCCCCTAGAGCTCCTCGAAACGCTCAACCCGCACCTCCCGCCCGGCGAAGGCGTGCCTGCCGGCACAAGACCACGCGTTGCCATTGCTACCACCGCCGACCCTAAGGACTGGGAGTACAGGTACATGTTCGAGAAGATCAGCGTTCGATCCGAAGCGCTGGACGAGCAGATCGATGCGTTTGCTGAGGTGATCAAGGAGTCGTACGCCCTCGCCGATCTGGGCGACCCACACCTTCCATCCGAGGACGATATTTACGTTGTGGGCCGCATCCTCTCTCCGCCCACCGACACCGCTAAGGCTTCCAGCACAGCACTTTATCTCCAGAGCTCACGTATGCTCGGTGGCGGTCATGTCGTGCCTTTGCGATTTGCGCCGAGTGGCGAGCTCAAGGTGCGCGGCGGTGCCCCGGGTGTCCGAGGCTTCGGGTTGTTTCCCGGCGCCCTTGTTTGCGTGATGGGGCGCAACGGCGGTGGCAATGCATTTGTCGTGCAAGAGGTGCTCCAGCCCCCACCCTCTCTACCGGTGATGACGCCCCGCGATGAGCTGCTGGACTACCAGCAAGGCGAGCGTCTCGGCGGGTCACCAATCTCAGTGCACGTTGTGGCCGGGCCTTATTCGTTGGAATCCAACTTGTTATACGAGCCGCTTGAAGCGTTGATCGAGGTCGCGTGTGACGAGCGGCCGGATGTGTTGGTCATGGTACGTCGAACTACAAACTTCGATCCTAACTACAGCTCGGGCCATTTGTTGACTCCTCTCATCCTCTCATCAAGGCCGGGCAGCTCACAGCTTCGCCTGTCGAGCTATTCCGAGAACAAGTCGGAGCCCGTCTCGCTCGCCTACATGATGCCTCGCCTGCCACTAGTGTTGTGCTTATCCCGAGTGTACGCGACCTGATCTCCAAGCACGCGGCCTATCCTCAGGCGATGTTGGACAAGGAGGGTCTTGGCCTTTCGAAAAAGGTCCGCATGCTTCCCAACCCCTGTACACTCAGCATCAACGAGGTGCACATCGCACTTGCGTCACCGGACGTGCTGTTCCATATGCGGCGGGAAGAGGTGTTCCAGCGCGCCGAGGAGGCCGATCCCGACCCGTCCGCACCACCCAACCCAAACCCCCAAGGCGACCCCTTGGCCAACCTCGTGCGGCACGTATTGGGTCATCGGCACTTCTACCCATTGTTCCCGCCACCTGAGAAGGACGCGGCGGATGTCAACCTGGATGTGACGCACTGGCATCAATTGAGGATGCTGGATGCGCCGGACGTATTGGTGTTGCCATCACGTTTGAAGCATTTCGCCAAGGTGAGTTTAGGCAGAGGTGGCCCTGCGGATATAGCAGACCCTGTTCATGGCATCTCCTATGACGACGGTGGCGAGCTTTTCTACAACGGAACAAAGGCTGACGACAGACGGTTGACGGTACTCTGGCAGTCAATCCAGGCCACCTCTCTCGGACTAATGCTCCAGGCACCTTTGCAAAGATCACGATCCACCCGTCAGACCCGAAGGTGCTCGAAGGCAACGGAGATGCGGACGACGATCTCGTCCCACACGATGTGTACGACCGTGCGCGAACGGAGCTGTGGCGAATTTAGCACGTGAGCATGCATTGTACGAGTGTTGGCAGGGTCAGGCACCGGAGAGCGACAAGCGCTCCATGCTTCGCTCTACATAGCTGGTCGTCAAGCGCGACAACTTGGCAGTGACCACCATCATCATGAGGCCATGATTAATGCCAGTCTCAGGACATGGTGGAGTGACCAAGAAAGGCAGTTTACAAGATTCTGCGGTGGCGTCACACGCGCGCCCGGTTGAACGGTACCTCAACTGAAGCCCTTGGTAGCGGTGGCACGGGGCCCACGTGATGACGAACAAAGGCTTGGAACCAAACAAGCTCTGGTACTCCGCATCTGCTCCACCGCCGCGCTGCGCCGTGCATTACTAGTCGCCACCGGCCGGAACCTCGCCCTTACCGTCGGCATCACGGCATGTCATACCTGACCGTGAGAGGGGCCGTGCGCAGAGGCGCCATGCTCTTGCCTCACCATGCCCGTAGCAGCCCGACGCCGAGCCTGCGCAGCCGGCCCGAGTCGTCGTCCAATTGAGCCAGACCGTGCTTACCTGTGTCGTTGTCCAGACCCCGTCCCAGCTGCCCAAGCCTCTTACGTCCTACCTATTGTGTATGGCCATGGCCATTTACTCGCCACGCCCGATGACCGCTCTGGCCAGCTCATGACGACAGCCGATACATTGATCTGCTGACTAGCGGCACTGACGTTCGGTGAGGTCTGACGTTGACGCAGCTCCACAGAGGTGGCCACTCTTGACGGAAGTTATAAGCGCTCGCCACCATGGCCTGCTTCTCCGCCACTCGTCCCCATTCTCGACCAGCACTCGACAGCACACACAATGTACCTCAACCCGGCCCTTCTTGCGAGGGACAGCCTCGACACGAACCCGCCCGTCGGCGTGGTGGCGTTCCTTTCGCGCAACGGCTCCAAGTGGCTCTGGGCTGTCACGGCCATCTACATGTTCGCACTCCTTGGCTTCATGGCCTGGGCCGCAACGGTCAAGACGGCGAACAAGGGGTTCCGGCGGGGTGGCCGCACCGGCGCCGGTGTCGGCGACACGTCTCACACCGGCATGACCGGCACTCACACTGGGATGACCGGCACGGGCACTCACACTGGGATGACCGGCACGGGCACCGGGATCGCCACCAATGACGCGTACGATGACTCGGGTGTTGGCGCTGGTGCGCACGTCGGTGGCGTTGGTGTCGGCGCCGATGCCGGCCACCACGACGGCATCAAGAAGTACCACAACATCGCTATCATGATCCTCGCCCTCGGCGCCGTCGCCTACTTCCTTATGGCGTCCAACCTCGGCTACACCGGCATTCTGACCGAGTTCGACAACCACACCCCGGCCAACGTCTCCCGCCAGGTGTGGTACGTCCGCTGGGTGTACTACATCCTCACCATGCCCCTCATGACGTTGCTCTTCGCGCTTCACGCCCGCGCTCCGCTCTCGGACCTGCTCCTCGCGTGCTTCATGGGCGCCGCATGGCCCGCAGCCCTCCTCATCGGTGCCCTCATCCGCACCTCGTACAAGTGGGGCCCATTCGTCTTCGCCGTCGTCTTCTTCGTCTACAAGATGTACCTCCTCGCTGTGCCGTGCCGCCGCGTCAGCAGCTCGACGTACATGACCAGCCTCGGCGTCTTCTTCCTCTTCGGCATCCTCTACCACATCGCGTGGGGCTGCTCTGAGGGCGGCAACGTCATCAGCACCACCAGCGAGATGGTCTGGTACGGCGTTCTCGACCTGCTCTTTAAGCCCTTCTTCCTCGCCTACTTCCTCTTCGCTGTGCGCAAGGCCCACACTGGCCGCATGAAGAACCGCCACGCCGGCACGGGCGTCGGCACGGGTGTCGGCACCGGCATGACTGACACCACCGCTGGCACGCATGCCTCGCCCCGCCTTGGCAAGAAGATGTTCGGCCGCCGCGGCCACCACGACGCTCCCATGACCGAGAAGCCCGTCGGCACCGGCATGACTGGCACCGGACCGATGGCTACCGGCACCGGCCCTATGGGCACGGGCACTGGCACCGGCATGATGGGCGGCACCGGCACCGGCGTCGGTCACACTGGTGTCGGCCACACCGATGGTGTTAACACGGGTGTGGGTGGTCTCGGCCACCACACGGGTGTGCGGGAGGCCAACCCCCGCCTTTCGGAGCAGACGGCCGTCTCGGATCACCGTCACCTGTAGGAACACCATTCGAGCAAAAGTTTATGTTCGTTCGCCACCTAATACTTAATACCTGAACATAATGGCGATAGCGTATAACCTATTTCGTTACTACTTTAATTAAGAGTATGAAAGAAGAAGTGAGAAGCGCAAGAGCTGAGGAGTAATGGTCAGATTATCGAGTGATGAAGCGGCGACGACGCTGCGGCGGAGCTAACAGACACTGGGCAGGAGCAGGCTAGCAGATTATTATTACAGAGCGTGTCGTACTCATTCCGCGATGCGTAAGCATGCACAGATAATCGTCGACGGCGCAACGCATGCCCATATAAATTCGAGGACTTATGCTTCGGAATGGGGCACGACATGTTCCATCTTAGAGTTACCCTAGGCTTCCGAGCCGCGGCCGAGACGCAAGGGCAGACGTCACCGGCGAAACCTTCCTCTTGCGGCTTGGAATGCAGGCATACGTGCTGTCTGCTCACTTTTACAGGTATTTCGTGCAAAGGATGTTGGGACATCTTGGGATCACACGAGTCGCTGCACCATGGATACTTGTGCAGTGCAGAGGTCTCAGCTTCCTTCTAAGAAGAGCATGCTCCTGTCCTGATGCCGGTCGGCGGGCTACGACTCGCTCAATTGCGAACCTAATACGACGTTTCCGGCTTAAACAGGGGCAGTTGTCTCCACGCACCGCGACTATTGTGCAAATGCAATGCAGATTATAGAATACATATCTATTGAAGGGGGTGATGCTGGATAGCGAACCGCGAGCGTTGCTTAAGGAAGGAACGGCTTAGTGGTGCTCAGCGTCCGACTCAACGTCAGAAACCTTGGCAGGGGGCTCCCAAGGGGCGTAGATGTGGTGGTTACGGCGGACGCAAGAGAAGGCATCCTGGGCAAGCCAGAAGAGGGCGATGACATTGAGACCGAACATGGCCCACGCGAGACCGGTGATGGCGGTGTACTCGGCGCACTCGCTGACAAAGGGCCGGTACTTGGGGGCAAACTTCTCGATGGGGTTGCCACACTGGAGGCCGTGGCCGAAGGGGGTCATGGTGAAGAGACCGGCGACGGTGCCGCTCATGACACCAGCGGCAAAGTGGGCAAACATGAGGACCATGTGGTTGAGGTAGGCGTGGGAGATGCCGACGAGGGTAAGGAAGATGCCGACGAAGAGGCCCAGGCCAAGGGCGTGGTAGAAGCGGCCGTCGGGGTAGGCGGTCCAGACGTTGCCATGCTTGTGGATCTGATGGGAGACGAGGCCGAGGAGGGAGATGTTCACGCAAAGGAAGAAGATGTAGAAGGAGAAGATGAGGATCTGACGGCGAGTCGAGAAGAGAGACTGCAGCATCGTCTGAGGGACCACGGGCTCTTTGGGGTCTGACGTTAGCTGGGAACTGTGGCACTGGATCACTCGAGGTACTCACCGGTATGGGCACGCTTCGCCATGGTGATTATAGTAGTGGTAACTGTGTGAAGGAGGGAGTGGTAGGCGATGGGAGGTGAGGGGAAATGGGTCTGGGAACTGATGCTGAGTGGGGACCGTTCGCTCGCTCTTAAGTGTGTCTGTGTCGACGCCGCCACATTGCAAAAGTTGCCCAACGGCCACGGCCGTGGTGGTTGGGATGGATGCGGAATCCGCCCTGTGCCTGCGTCACCCACGGGCGAGCGCGGGCTCGGAGACTCTGCTGAGGCAGCCGCGCCGCAGAGCCATGGCCCGAGGCCGACCCGTGCAGGCGGCCCACCAAGCACCCAGCCCGCGGCCGACGTTCTATTATTCATACCTCACCAACCACCGCCCCCCTAACGCCCAACCAGCGCCGTGCCTGACTCTGTCATTGAAAGGTAGAAAAAGCTGGAGGCGTGGACATGTGGATATGGCTTTAGGGTCCAACATGACGTCGTTTGATAAGGGTCCAAGCCAGGCGACGCGGCCGCGCGCGATGGCGCCTCCTTGATGCTCCTCGATGCGACATGGCGCGGCGCGCAACTCCAGCCCCATCTGGGTCGCGTCACCTTGATGGGCGACGGCTCTGTACCAAGCGGGGCGATTTTGCCTCCTCGACTTTGTGTCCTCCAGACCCGCCCAGTCCGCCTACCTGTGAAGAGTTTCAGATGGTGTAACCACGGGCTTGCGTGAGCAAAATGAGCCGCAAACCTGGAGACGTCTTCGAGCGTTGTTGTTTCCTCCGTTTGTGTCTATTTCGAGACCGGGAGAATCACGATAAACCCAAACACAGCGGCTGGCTGCTGGCTGTTGGGCGCCTTCGACATTCTTCTGACCTCATGTCCTTCAACGAGGGCCCTGACGCGCATTTATAAGCCCTGGCAGACGTCGGCGTCGATGCGCTACGTCGTCCACTCCGCCGCCGGACGGGAAATTGACATTTGCCTGGCGATATGGCTATCAGCGCTGTCTATTGTATACGTAGAGTGCATAGGCTGGGTGCACGCAATCTCCGGCCGTGAGCCGGCCACAAGTACAGGTTTCAGCGCGAGAAGCACTTCACGAATCAACCCAGCGATCGCTCCCTCTCTCTACAGACCAGGCCGAGCAGGTCATTGGTCTAGTTCACATTGCGTGCTGTACAATCATAAACTGCGTGAGCTTCATGGCTGCTCGCACAAGTGTTAACTTGTCGTGTACAGGGACTGCGTACCTAAGGCGCCCTCGACGGCTCTGGAACAATTCCGTTTGTCCAAGCCAATCTCATCAGACAATGCGAGTTGATGCATGCAACGGTATGTGAATACAGCTATGGAAACAACTAGAGCAGCAGTATAACTAATGTAATGCGCCACAGCGCAGGTATGAAATGTGTAGTGGTGATAGTCTAGTCGACTGTATTGATGGGCATATTTGAAGGTCGTTCCCAACAGTTCTACATGGCTCACTGGAGCGCTTTCTGGCGTGTCTCCCACACCTCCTCGAGCAGCTCGCCCAGGCGCGGGATGTCGACGGGCTTGCAAAGAACCGCAAAGAAGCCTGCATCCGTGCAGCGGTTCTGTGTCGCCTTGTCGACGTTGGCGCTGAGGGACGCCACGCACGGCTCACCGGCGAGTGGGCTGTCGCGAATGCGCTTGAGAGCTCCAAACCCGTCGAGGACTGGTGTTAGTCGGAGGACAAGAAGGAACTTCGAGATAGTGATTCAACTCACTGGGCATTTGCAGATCCAGCAGGATAAGGTCGTACCGGTGCTTCTCCGCCATTTCGACAGCTTGCATGCCGTCGCTCGCAGCATCTACCTCCTTGTAGCCGTAGAGCTCAAGGATACGGCGACACACGGCCACATTGACGGGCGAGTCATCGACAACAAGGACCTCGAGCGGCTTCTCCGTCGCGAGGTTTCGGTTGATCTTATGCTTAGACCGTGGCGCTGTCCTTTTCTTCTTGTTATCGGGCGGCGGGATGATCATGTTGTACAGGCTCTTGAACTTGAGTGGGCGCGCCAGGATTTCATCACGTCCGAAGCTCAATCGTTCCATTTCGCGAGAGATCTCGGTTGCTTTAGCCACGTAAATGATCTGCGGTCAGGAGCGCTCAACAGGGTGCGCTTACTTTAGCGTTTGGCTGCAGCTTCTTGATCTCGTCGAGCGTCTCTGGTTCGATCAGGCTCGTGTCAAGGATGATACCTTGGTAGTACCTTCCGCTGTTGAAACCCAGCGGGTGCCCAGGGGTCAGAGCGGCAGGGAGAGGTTCTGTGAACCACGTCGGTCGGCAGTTGAACTCCTTCAAATCCTCCTCGAGCACATGGCCCCACATCATGTCGCCACCAGAGAGAATGAACACATCCTGCGTCGTCTCGAAACGACGCAGTTTGGTTGGTTGCCAAGAAGGATCTTGCTGGGCGACAAACGTAAATGTGAAAGTCGAGCCTTTCCCGAACTCGGATTCAACAGTGCAGTCGCCGCCGAGGAGCCTCGCAAGGTCACGTGAGATAACGAGGCCCAAGCCCGAACCGCCATAAGATCTGGTGATGGATTCGTCGACCTGCGAGAAACTCTTAAAGAGCTTGTGAAGTTTAGAAGCTGGAATGCCAACACCAGTGTCTGCGACGGTCAATGCCACCTTAATGCGCCCATCGCCAAGATCCTCCCATGTTCGATCGACAGTCACACGTGCAGTGCGCCGACCGGCTTGGCCCGGTGGTGTGAACTTTACCGCGTTGGATAGCAAGTTAAGAAGCACTTGCTTAACGCGGAACGGGTCGCCAATCACGCCTGGGGGGTCCGATTTCAGCGTAGTGAGCACGGTAAGCTCAACGTTTTTGCTCTGAGCTACAGGTGCGATGATGTCGAGCGCGCCCTCAACCACCTCGCGGACAGAGAACGGGATGCTCTCCAGCTGCACCGAGTTGGACTCCAGCTTTGAGTGGTCGAGGATGTTCGAGATGAGAGCGAGTAGATCCTGCCCACTGGCGATGATGGTCTGCAAATGTTCGTGTTGCACCGCAGTTAGGCCTGAGCTGGTCTCCAAGACACTTGCCAAACCCATGATCGCGGCCAGTGGCGAGCGCAGCTCATGCGAGCACTGTGACAGGAACTGGGTCTTCGCCTGTAGAGCGTTACTGAGCTCACGCGTGCGCATCGTAACTTCAGTTTTGAGTCGCGAAGTGTAGACGTGATGCGTGTGGATGATGTGCGCGAATGTCGCAAGCGTTGAGACCACCTCGCGGGCCGACTCAGATTGCACGGCGGCACTAGTTGACGACATAGACAGCAGGAGGATCACACCAGACTGGCCACCCTGGTTGATGATGGGGAGACACAACAATGTGCGTGGCTGGCGTCCGTTGTAGAAGGGGTCGTTGCGCAAGCGAGACGCCTTGGCCGGCTTCGTAATGGGAATGCCTGTGCGGGCAACGTGCAACATAACCGATGTCGGACACACTGTCTGCGCGGCATCGTCGCTGGCATCCAGATCATAAGACGTAATGCGCTGGAAGGGGCCGGCGGCCTTGAGACGAAGCGTCGACTTATCGTCCTCGTCGCTGAGGCCGATAGCCGCATAATCGCAACGAGCAAACTGGCATAATATGCGCAGCAGGGTGCAGAGCAAGACAAGCGAGTCCTTCTCCTGCGCCAGGGCGAGTGACGAGCGCATCAGTGCAAGAGTGTCAAGATTGTTATCCGTGAAGGGACTTGACGCGTTCGGAGTGGTGGGGTCGTCATTGATCTTGGAGATCACCGTCGAATCGCTGTTTGTCAATGCCGAGACCGAGACGGACACGGACTCGCGTCGCAACGGGGGCGGCACCGCATCGGCGTTGAGGAAATCTGTAGGGCCACGAGGAGCGACGGGAGTTGACGGGCAATGCAGTGGGTAGCGGTCGCGCAGCATCTCGCACAAACCTGCGGCTTGGTAAAGCTTATAGGCGGTGAAGGCTGCGCGAATGAAACCAGCGGCAAGCTTGGGCGAACCTGTACGCTTGATGAGCAAGTCGGCGGTGTAGAAGTTGAGCAGGCCGGACAGAAGCATTTGATCATTGTCCTCGAAGTGCTCGATTGTCGCTTCCGCGTCCTTCAGCGCCTCAAATGGGTCCTTACTGAGCCGCTCGTACGTGTTGAGGAGCTCGAGCCGCGCATTGAGGTCCGGAGAGTACGGCGCGTACGTCGCGAGAAACTCGCGCCCCGAGTCCAGTAGATCAAGATTGGTGCCGGTCCGCAGCGCGGCCAGTGCGAGAAGCCAGTGCATCTCGCTTCCAGTGGCAACGCCCTCGTTCGAGGGAATGGTCTTTCGACCTCTGTTGAGCGTCTGGAGGATGAGCTCGGGTGGGGCGTCGTAGAGCAATTGGAGTCGTAGCGTCAGGACGTCGTAGGTGCCAACGTGCATCCTCAAGTTCCGCACGGAATTGAAGTCGCTGCGGCTAAAGAAAACGCCGTCCATGTCCCACGGGGCGCGCTGCTTCGGCCTCGCTAGACATTCAGCGTACTGGTGAGGCAGATTGACGAGGAGATGATGCGAAGTCGTTGCGTACGGCTTGACGAGCTCCCACCGCCGTGTAACCACTTCCCACGCGACCGGGACCTTGGCGAACAGCCTGGCGATGAGATCGAGCGCGACAACGTAAGCGGCTACCTCGTAATCGGCGAGAGCAACGGAGCCGTCGAACGCAGAGGTCATGACGTCTTGAACTCGCTCGAGACCCATAAAGCAATGCGATTGCGCGCCGAGGACTATCAGGGTCGAGTTGGTGAGAAGTCTGTTAGGCCGCATCTCCGTGATCCGCAACGCCAGCCCCCGAAGCGCATTCTGGATCGGCGCCTGCGTAATGCAGACGGAGTGGATGGCGAGAACGTAAGCTGTGGAATCGTGCAACTTGCCGAGTTCCTTGGCAACACTCAAGCCAAGTCCGAACACGGAGGCGCGACGCTCAGGCTGCGTGATATAGATTGTCGGGCCAGCGTAACCAATGAGGGACATGATGAGAACGTGATCGTCCTCACTGTCACTTCCACCGAGGACCGGCGCGCTTCTAAGCTCCTTCTCAAACTGCTCGACATCTTCAACCGACTCGGGTTGCCAAAGTTTGACGACCTGTGGGTTATCCGGGTTATACCCAAACTCGTCCAGCGTCTGGAAAAGCACGTCCATTGCCTCTTGCGTGCGATTCGCCGCGACAAGCTGTCTGACGAGAAGTGTGGCGAGAGAGATGCTTTCAGTTGACGTCTCGCATAGCGGCTTGATGGTGTCCAGCGCAGCGAATGTCGCGGCGTGATCATGAAAGACGCTCGATACCTCTGCAGAGAGTCGTACGTATCTGAAGCATAGCCCGCGGTGCTTCTTGAGCCAGCACTTCAGCCCGTCAGACTTATCGATGATATCTGCTGCACTGTTCACGAAATGGCGAGCCGCCGTAAAGTTGGCGTGATGCGTCGCTCGTGCGGTTGCGTCCAGGAGAAGAGTCACAACCACGTCTGGCGGTGCAACTTCGAAGCCGGCGGAATGGGCTGCCACAGCGAGCTCAACCGCGTCGTACAAGTAATCGTTGACAAGGTCCTCGCGAGTGAGGAAATGGAATACGCGCCGCTGCATCGCGACGCCCTCCGTGTTGAGGATGAGGCGCTGTGCCGCTTGCTGGAGGTGAGCACCGGACGTCATAATGGACTCACCCTTTGGCGCTCATGTGTGAACCGGAAGTGATCTGGTTGCAGAGACAATATCCCTATCACCGCGCACACCTGCATGAGGCTTTCCAAGTCTCGCACGGGCTTGCCCAGACCTTGCGATAGCTTGCTCAGGGGAAATCCGGCCGACGGAAGATAAGATAAGATCTGAGGGTCAACTCAGCCCTTACAGTTGAGCTTACTTTTAGCAGCTCCTGCACGTCGGGCGGCAATCTACGCATGACGTTCTCGAGGTACGAGTCGAAGTTGGCATCCGACAGGTGGGATTGCAGCGTCACGAGGTCGAAGCGCCATTGCAAACTGTCAAAGTCAAATGCGACAACCTGCTCCTTAAGGAGTGTCGACATGAGTGTTCGCAAAAACAGAGGACTCCCTCCAGTCTCTCCGTAAAGGAAGCTTGCTATTGCTTGCCCCGAAGCTGCAACGCGTCCGTTCAGGCACGTGTCGATGTATGAGACAACCCCCTCTTCTGTCAGACGCTGAACTGCGAGACTCGTTGAGCTGGCAGAGAATAGAGAGTTGGCGGGTGGGGCCACCGAAGATGTGGTTCTCGTCATTGTCACGATCACAACATGATTCAAAGGGTATGGGCCGTCGATTATTTGTCGCCATCTGTGGTCAGCCCGACACTGAGCGACGACTCACATGTCCACCTCACTCTGCGAGAGCCACTGGGTATCGTCAATTACAAGCACCAGCGGCCGCAACTTGGTCGCAAACAGCTGCAGGAACTGCCTCGACCAAGATTTGAAAGCCGAAATGAACTTCTCTCCCTGGTGTATCAGCTACGCCCATGTGTGCAAGTGGTCGGTAAACACTGACCTCTATCTTGGGGGTCAATGAAACAGCATCCTCCTCATTCAACAGCCGTCGGGATTCCACAGACAACAGCGACACAAAGAAGGGCCACCGTCCTGCCAGTGCCGTTTTGATCCGGTCAAGCCACTCCTTGCCGTCCTCTCGTGGATCTGTCAACACTCGGTCCAGAAGTGATTGGAAGATCTGCACGAAGCTCGTGAGAGGCTTGCGGATGTGTTCATCAGGCTTGGCATGCCCCACAAGGCATTTGGTGCCAAAATCGTCCGCTTCGAGCTTGGCAGACCATTCGTCCACTAACCGCGACTTGCCATTCCCGCTTTGTCCCCAAATGTTCAACACGCGACTTGATGCGTTCCCGTTGGCAACAGCGGCGAAGGCGACGTCGAGAGCCTCAAGCTCTGCGTTCCGCTCAATGACAGTAGCAGGGAGGCTGAAACGGCTCATATGGTCGACTTCTCCAACAGCAAACTTTGCGAGATCGCCGTTGGCACGGCAAATCTGCGAAAGCTTGCGCAGATCGTAGGCGAGCGTGTCTAAATTTTGGTAGCGATCTTCTGGGTCCTTAGCGAGCGCCAGCATGATGATATCGGAGAGCTGTCTTGGTGGTGGCTCAACAGTGGCACCCAGCGCGACAACGCGCTGAAGGTAATCGTGTGGGGGAATAATCTCATTGGTGATGTGTCGATGGACATCTGCGAGAAAGTCGATGTCTGTGAGATCGGGCGAGTCAGGTCCGCCGTCCACAGTCGTGCCGGTGAGGAGCTCATAGGCAAGCACGCCCCAGCTGTAGATGTCATTGCTTGCAGATACTCGCCTGGAAATGGCAGCCTCAGGTGCGAGGTAGCGGAGGTGACGGAAAATGTAGCTTTCGCTGAGGTAGGTCGAGTTGTGGTGGATTGGGTCACGGGTGAACAGGGGTGATTGGGAAAGGATCTGCGTAAGTTGGGTGCCGACTTGCAAGCCAGGAAGTGCTGTTGCCTCCCAGAGGCGGTTGACAACGACTGTCCCTGTGTAGCTGATGCCAAACACATTCGGATGGCACCAGTTGAGCGAGATATGCCGGTCATGCAATGCTTGAAGACAGACGACCGTCTGGAGGAGAAGATCACATGCGTCGGCCCAACGCAGCATGGATGGTTCTGATGGTGAGAGTGCAGTGGACGTCACGGCATCCCCATTGCTCGTCGCAGCAAACTGTGGCCAATCGGCACCAACAATCTTGCTCCATGCGTCCGTGAATGATGCGCTTGTCGTCCCTGGGCTCTCCTCGACTAGCCAATAGCCCAAATCATCCTCCCACCATGCGATGACATGGCTTGGAGGGCGATACCGTCGAGGAAAGCCCTCGTCGTGCCCGGGTAAGAGGGTTGGGGAAGAGGCGACGCCGGGGCGCTCCAGCTTGTAGGGTACGGTATCGAGAGCCTTGATCTGAGATTGGCGCCGAAAGGATGTGAGGGCTGTCGTGTGAGTCATCTTCCAGAACACGGTGGAGGAAGGATGCAAGTCTGTATATGAGGGACACCCACCTGCGGAGTCATCGTTTGGACAAAAGCTGGTCGTCAATGTCAATCCTTCTGGCTGTCTGGAGCGAGTCAGGCGACATACCTAAAGCGGACACGCCCATCTAGCCTTCTGTCGTCGAGAAGAGGGTACTCGTACGTTGGGTCCAGGCTGGCCCATCCTGTCACCCACTCGTCCTGGACGTGCTTCCGGGGTCCTGTTGAAGCACTGCGCTGGACTGGTTCGAATCCAGACGAGTTGCTCGGGGGTGAAGGGTCGACAACGACTTTGACGAGGCCACGAGCCCGAAAGTCGCCTTCTGCAGGAATGATCATGGGATGGTCGAGCGAGGGAAGCAGAAGAAGGTGAGTTCGGCCAGTGTGGGGGGAGACGCCGAAAGGGCGAAGGATGGGGAGTGGTGGTGATGGTGATGGGCGGCGGTGGTATGTTTACAAGCTCATTGCTGAAAGTCGTGGTGTGTCGAAGGAGGAAGAGGGAGGAACGGGCCGAGGTGGGGAAGCGGAAGTCGTTGGGTGGCGGATGTGGAGGGGAATGGATGGCGTGTGTTGAGGTGGGGGGGTGGGAGGTGGGGGTTTTGGGGGAGGGGGAGTGAGTGAGGTCGTGTAGATGAGCGTAGGAAGAGGAGAAGTGACAAAGAACGATCCACAAGGGTGAAAGAGAATGACAGAGAATGAGACCGAGTTTGAAGAGAAAGACGGAGTGGAGAGTTGGAGAGTGAACGGAGGTACGGTGATGGTGAGTGGCTGGGGTCGGGTGATCAGTCCATCAGTCCCGGGCTGCCTGCAGATGCCTGCCGACTGCCGGGCCTGTGGATCTCCCACCTGCCCCCGCTCCCCTAGAACCCTTGTGGTTGCCTGTAGTTTTCCTCTGCTCTCAAGGTGGTGACGAAAGCAAGGGCCTAGGGATTGGGCCAAGGGGCGCGACCAGCGGGATCAGATTTGGTTATTTTGTGCTTGGACGCTAGGTGGCGGCTGTCGACAAACCACGGCATACACGGACACTTGGCAGCCTCCAGCCTGCAGCAGTAGGCCGCGCAACCCATGTTCGGCAGTCGATGTCTGTGCCTGTCAGGCAGCAGCACAAGAGTCGCGAGCCTCCTCTAAGGTAGGAGTGACGCAGGGCTGCAGGAAAGCAGGACAGCAGGAAAGCAGGAGAGCGGCCAAATGCCAACAACCGCCAACGGCACGTAACATTCGTCTTGGCATTCTCCATTCCTCCATCAAAAACTACTTTTACTCGACGTCAGGCTCTGCAAAGCTGCAAACAGCCTCAAGCGACACACTGACAACTACTCCGGATGTTTTCTCGATCGCGCACTCTATCGCATATATCGCAGGGGCATGCAGGATATGGCAGGATTGCAGGGCGCAGAACACGCCCGACTTGTCACTGAATACTCAACCACACCCTGCAACCTGCAAGCCTGCAAGCCAACAAACTGCTTGTTAGTACTAGCACACAGAAATTCAGAAATCCTGCATCCTATCCCCGATACTCCGAACTGTCGTCGTCGTGTGCGTCGATGCGTCACTCGTCCGACCTATCTTTCTGTGGAATCGTTCCCGGAAACTTGGCACTCGAATACCTCAGGTACCTCAGACAGCCGCGCGGCCTTGAACACAAAATGACGACATTTATGTTCTCTCAACTGCCGTACGTACATAGTCGTCCGTGCAACCCTCCCGTTACTAACCGTTTCAGCCGCTCTTCTTATTCATGCACCCACTTAACATCCGGCCAACCGGCCTCCGGTCATTCCGGCCCGCCACGGCCCGGCCCAAACTGCTCCTCCTCTCGCGCCCCCCATTCACCTTCTCCCTCATAACGCTCGAGCGTCTCTCATCGTCTATGGCACATTCTACGACGTGCGCATCCGCAACATGGTGCTCCTCTTTCCCTCCACCTTCGTTGACAACCCTTTCCTCACGCGGGCCGACGTAGCGCTAGGCCTCAAGGGCCGTACGTCTTGTGAACGGGAAAGAAGTTGCTGACCCAAGTCCTCGACCCCTTGGAGCCTCATACATCGCGTGGCGGGGGTAGCATAGACATCGGCTCAACCGCTGCTCACTACGACACGCGTGCTGTGGCGCTCGAGGCGTTTGCTCGGCCACTTTGGGGACTCGCATCCTTGTTGGCCGGCGGAGATGAGTACTCGGGTACTAAGCGCTGGGTGGTGGGACTGGCGAGCGGGACAGATCCTCACAGCGACGAGTACTGGGGTCTCTCGAGAGCCAAAGACCAGCGCATGGTCGAGATGAGTCCGCTTAGTTTCGCCATAGCTCTCGTCCCCGACGCCTTCTACAACGTGAGATCCCCATGGAGCAGTGGGCCAGCTGGCCAGGTAAAGGGTTCTGCTGACGTACAGAGTCAGACGCCGGAGGCGCAGGGCAACGTCGCCACCTTCCTTGCCTCGTGCATGACTCGACCAATGCCTGACAGTGAGCCCACATTCCTTATAATTGTCCGCCACGCTGCGCCATTCTTTCCGTCATCACTATTCCTTGCCTCAAGGCCTCAAATCTCCCACCCCAGCCCACCTTCTGCCACACTCTTACCCTCGCTTCGAGCTAATATTAGCAAACTGGCTATGGTTCCGTGTCTTCGCTAACCTCGCTTTGCGCTCCATCGGCTCTGAGCTTCACCAGCCCGAAAGGATGGCAGCCGACCTGCAGCGGCTGGACTCATTCCAGCTTTCTTCTCATCCACCGACTGGTGGTGATCTCGTCGGGTCAGCGGGGTGGAGCCGCGACGGCCCCGAGGATGTCAAGCAGCTGGACTACTATTCCTCGAGCTTCGCAATACAAGTCGCGCAGATGGTCTATGCTAAAGTGGGTGGAACCGATACCACAGGTTGTACAAAGTTATAGAGCCCGAGGAATGAGTCCCTGACGGCAGCTGTGTGCCGACACGGATCCAGAGCGTGCCAAAGCATACAAACTGCGAGCTCAGGAGTTTGTCAAAGACTTCGTGTACTACTTTGACGATGAGGGTGAGCGCAACGCATCGCGTGAACTGACGCCAGGAAACGCCATCCCCTTTGGCCGCTCGATGGTCTATCGCTTCGCTGTCGTCGCGACATTTTCGGCCATGGCCCTCTGCGACGTCGAGCCCCCATCTTGTCTGGAATGGGGGCATATCAAAGGCCTGGTGCTGCGCCATCTCAGGACCTGGTCTGGCAATCGTGACATCTTCCGATCTGATGGGACCCTCAACATCGGATATGCCTACGACAACATGTACGCGACGGAGAACTATAACGCGTGAGTCGCAGCCTCGACTTCCCACCTGACATCAGCCCCGGATCGCCGTACTGGGCCTGCAAAGCCTTCCTCTGTCTCGGTGCATCTCTGAGCCATCCCTTTTGGACCTCTGACGAGCTGCCCTGGCCCAGCACCATGCCGAGCATCAAGGCCCTCCCCGACCCGGGGCACATCTTGGTCCGGTCGGGCGGACACGTCTTCCTCCTCTCGTCCGGCCAGACGGCACACTACACAATGCGCAACGGAAATGCAAAATACTCCAAGTTTTCGTACTCGTCAACCTTCGGTTTCTGCTACTCCACGGGCACGCTGGACCTGGAGCAGCTCGCCGCGGACGGGATGCTGGCCCTGCGCGACGCGACGCCAGGCATCGAGGCCTCGGACTCGGACACATGGCGCGTAAGGCGGGTGCCGCTCGATGCGCGGATTGTGGGCCGGGGAACCGACGACGTCCACCTCCGCAGTGCGTGGCGGCCATTTCCCGATGTCTATGTGGAGACGTGGCTCTTCCCGCCAAGGGACAGCCCGAACTACTATGTGCGTGTGCACAAGATTACGACGGGTCGGGCACTCGATACCGCCGAAGCAGGGTGGGCGACTTACGGTCAAGGCGAGGACGGCCGGGCGCTCGTACAGGCTTTCTCGGGGGAGACGTCGCCCGGGGGCGTGGAGGGCGAGGGCGAGGCTCGGGCAACCACGCGCGGAGGGTCAGTTGGCGTGGTCGACCTCAAGGGGTGCGGGACCGGGGTCATGCGCCGAGGCAAGTTGGTTCAGTCTGACCCAAACTCGAACGCCGTTTTTGCCCGTTCTGTCCTCCCAACCCTCCTCGGCCACCTCGAGCCAGGAGAGCACTTCTTGGCAACCGGAGTCTTTGGGGCGCCGCCTTCCGAGGGGGAGCGCTGGGATGAGGAGTGGGCACGGCGTCCTTCTGTGCCTCTACATCTGTTGTAGTGATTCGAGTCCATTAGCTGCCGCGGAGGGCGGGGTGTAAGGAGCGCCGGATGGTAGTATAAATGCACTCGGCACCGACGGTCGCTTCACTTCCGATCCGCAGTCCCTCTCCTTCCTTCGGCCACCGTGTGCCACCGTGACGCGCTCACAGTCGCTGCAGGGTATGAATACAATGTGCATCGTCAACATCTACTTCTTGAACAGCGTGATGACACTGCGGTCAGTCTCGCGTTGCTGGAACAAACTCACTCCTGGTCCTCAAGCACGTGGTCCAATCCGACCTTCTGCCCACGCGAGTGCTTGGCGCTGGTGCCGTACACAATGGCGTATTTGAATTGCCGCTTGATCTCCTTGTGGATAGCGTCACAGAAGTTGGAGACGGTGCAGCGGCCTCGACGGAGAACAACGGGCGTCTCGTAGTCGGGCACCTTGCCTTTGGGCTTGGTGTACACGCGGACGAGGTCGAGCTTCTCCCACATGACCTCGAGGAGCTCGTCGATGTTGAGCCAGTTCTTGGAGGAGATGGGCACCGAGTTGGGAATCTTGTACAAGAGGTCCAGCTCCTCGATTGAGATTGCGTCGATCTTGTTGAGGACGAAAAGGCAGGGAACGTACATGCGATTGCCCTCAACTACGTCGATGAAGTCCTCAATGGTGCAGTCGGGCTCGTGAATCATGACCTGGCACGACGTCATACGGTATTCAGACAAGACGGCGCGGATCTCCTGGGCGTCGACCTTGGTGAGCGGAACGGTGTTGGTGATCTGGATACCACCCGTCTCCTTCCGCTTAACGGTGATGTTGGGGGGCTTCTTGTTGAGTCGGATGCCAAAGCCCTCGAGTTCGTCCACTAGCACCTTGAGGTCGTTGAGTGGCTTGAGCACATCGAGCACGATGAAGATGAGGTTGCATGTCCGCGCGACGGCAATGACCTGCTTACCACGGCCCTTGCCGTCCTTTGCACCCTGGATAATACCGGGCAGGTCGAGCACCTGCAGCCGCGCACCGTTGTACGTCATTGTGCCCGGCACAGTAGTGAGCGTCGTGAACTCGTACGACGCCGCCTCCGAGTGAGTGCCCGTGAGCTTGGACATGAGGGTCGATTTCCCGACCGACGCTGGGGTGAGTCCATGTGCGAGTTTGAGTCCGCACGGCGCGCGCGCGATGGCACTTACGAAAGCCTGAAGTCAGTAGGTGGGGAGTGCGGAAGGTGAGGAAGAGCCATACTCACCCACGAAACCAATTGTTGCTTGTCCCGTTCGCGCTACGTCGAAGCCGATACCCGGGCCACCGCCGCCGCCGCCAGATGGCGTAATGAGCTCACGACGCAACTTGGCAAGCTTTGCCTTGAGCTGTCCCAGGTGGTACCTGCGGTCAGTCCGTGTCGAGGTGGAGGCTCACTCGGTCGCCTTGTTGCGCTGCGTACGCGCCATCTCCTCCTCAATGTCCTTAATCTGCATTTCGTATCATCGCGGCGCGAAGGAGACACAGGTAAGTGGTCAAACATGCGGGATTTAGATGCAGACGGGGACGAGGAAGTGCAGTAGGTGGCGAGACCGGGGTCAGCAAATAGTCGCGCGAGTGGTCAGCGGACGTACCTTCTGAGCCGTCGTCATTGTATCGTGTCTTGTGCTTTACGTGTGATGCTAGTTTTGCCACTTGGGAGAGGCTTTTGGGTCGCGGGGAGCTCGCGATCGATTGGTTATTGCTCGCTGGTGGAGACTTTGAGCTTGGGAGTAGGAGAAGAAGGGAGATTGAGGTTGGAGGAAGAATGTGGTGGAATATCACCACGTGCTTCAGATTTGAGTGATACGGCGATGCGAGACGCCACTCATCATAAGCGTCCCATTAGTATTAGCCTCGGCTAGTATCAATCAATAGATCAATAGAGTTAACATATAATTCAATTCACCCCATCTAAGTAGTAGTATCCAATATCCAAGTGGCATGACAAGAAATACACCCCAAGGTATTCCCACCCCTCGCTCATCCCTCACTTCTCCCTCACTCAATCCCGTCCAACAGTCATCCAACGCTCGAGCACCCTCCCTCGCTCCCCCCGCTCTTTCCTCCTCTCCCTCCCTCCTCCCTTCCCCTTCTTCCATCTTCTCCCACTCTCTCTCTCTCTCTCTCCTCGATCTCCTCTTAACCATCGCTCCCATCGCTCCCATCGCTCCCATCGCTCCCATCGCCACTCTCATCTCCATCCACTCCATTCTCCCGCCCCCGCGACACACCTCCTCTCACGCCCTTGTGCCAAGTCGCCACCCGCTAAACCAACATTTCTTTCCATTCTCTTCATCCCCCAGTCTTCTCCAAACAGTCATGGCCCACCCTCTTACGCAGCACCCTCCAACCGCGCTCTCGTTCGGCGCGCCCGCTTCGATGCATCCCCTCGGCTTCGGATTCGGGCAGCCATCGCATCGCCCAGCGCACATGAACATGGGGATTGGGTTTGGATCGTCCGTCGTCTCGCCAGGCCCCTCGACGCCATATAAGCGGCCGCCCGTGCGCGCGTCTCCGGCTCCCACCTCAGGACCGAGCAACAAGCGCTCGCGGCGGCGTAGCGCGAGCCCCACTCCCTCTCCGACTAGCTCTCCGACCCTTTCCCGAGCTGACGAGCGCAAGATCGCAGGCAAGGCGCCTAAGCGTGTGCGCAAGGAAATTGCGACTGCGGCGCAGGCGGTGGACGGTCCCGACGTGGGTGTTCTTCTCGGTAAGTTGTTTAGATTGTTAGATTGCGCTTGGGCGCGCTGACGCCAGCGTCCATGCCTTCCTCGTCTCACTTGGCAATTTTAATGGAGTTGCTCAACGACAATCCTGCTTTGGGCGAGCGCGTGCTCAAGCGTCTGCCAGCGCCGCCTTTGGCCAACGTGCTTGAACTGCTCGAGCGCTCAGTCGCCAAGATCAGCAAGACGGCCGGAAGCTGGGAGTCGCAGGAAGGCGTCGTCGCCCAGCGCCGCTGGCATCGCACGGAGGAGCATATCCAGGCGTTTGAGAAGAGTGCCAGCACCTTCCTCAAGTTCTTCACCTCTGGCGCGACCGGCCCCGCCGAGCCCAACACGATCTTCCATCTCCTGCATGCCCTGACAGCCCATGTCCAGCAGCTCCTCGCGCTCGTGCCCTCGCCCAATTCGCCTCCTCCCGCGGCCCGACCACTCCTCGACCTCGCCAACGCCCTCCTGACGGCTTGGAACCAGTGGGTCGGTGGCCTTAGCGACGAGGTCAACAACAGGGGAGGCATGTACCCACACGGCATGGTATCTAGCTGGGCCGATGGGCTGGCTAGCCTCGCGCGCACCCCGCCGCCGGCCCAGCAACAGGCCGCGCAGGTGTCGTGGGCGTTGGCGATGAGCACGCCTGTTCAGGTGTCTGAAAGCGAACTCGTCCGCGGGTTCCGCGACGCAATCATCCCTGTGCGCGACAGCTTTGCCAACTCGCTTGGGTGGATGATTCGGTAGCCAGCAGTTGTATGTCGAAAGGACATTCGTATCAAGACCGTTGAGAAGACCTCAAGAAGCCCTCAAGAAGATCTCGAGAATCCCCAAAGCATCGCCAGAATGACCTCTGGTCCGCGGCCCTCTTTCACATCACCTCCTTCATTCATCATTCTCCGTCTCACCCTACTCTTCCCATCACGCTCTGTCTCCATCCACCAGAAACCCGCATCTATCTCACGGGGCAACGCCCGCCGACCCCCAGCCAAGCCACCTTGTTGTGCCATCACCAGAGCGTTATATAAATGTGCCATCCATATGCAAAGGACGTTCGTGTTTCCACCTCGGCGTATGTTCCATACATAAGTTGCTGCTACTGACTAGCCTCGTACACCACGTATCCCTGCCGAATGGCGACGACGGCAGCAGCACACGACCCGGCGAAGAGGTAGAAGATGTTACCGGGGTGTCCGTGTTGGCCCATCATCACCTGCAGGGGGAGAAACGCAGACCCAACGATGAAGTTCGTTGTCCAGTTGACGGCGAGCCCCACGGCGCTGGCCGCAGGTCTTGCCCTGGGCGGCATGACCTCTCCGAGGACGACCCATGTGATGGGGCCGAGACCCACACTGAAGGCAGTAACGAACACGGCCATGCCGCCGACAGCCAGCCCACCGCGCCCAGAGTTCAGACCAGCGGCAAGCGCGAACATTGCCCCGACCATGATGCACGTGGGGAGGACGAGGAGGCGGCGGGTGCTGACCCGCTCCATGAGGAAAGCTGGTGACAACGTGATGGGGACTTTGAGAATCACGATGGCGAGGGCGATGAGCTTGGCAGAGGTGGGGAGGACGGCGGAAAGGATCGTCGTGGAGAAGTACATGACCACTGAGGGCCCAGTAGCCTGCTGGAAGAACTGGGTAGCCAGGATGAGAGGGACTGCAGTCAGCGCCGTGAGGGAGCGATGGAAAGGCACTCACGACCGCGCTTAACCTGTGGATCTCGACTGCTGAAGAGCTCGTGGATAGTGAGTATCTCGGCATCAAGGAGGGGCTCATTCTCGCCAGTTGCGGCCGAGTCGCGAGGAAGGTGGACCAGACAGCTGCCCGCGAGCTGGAGGATTGCGATGCCTGCCGCGGACGCGGGGACAAGGCGCCACACACCGGGCCCGCCGAATGGGAAGGAGAGAGCCTGGGCGACGAGGATGCCGAAAACGATGAAGAGCTGGTTTGCGATCCCGAGGGCCTTCCCCCGCGGTGCGAGATCCGTCAGCACGATGGGTACCGTTGTTGTTGCGAGGCCGCAGCCGAGGCCGACGATGATGCTGGGGTCAGACGAAGGAGGGGAGGATAAGCGCACCGCGCAATAACCATAACGGAGACACTGTTTGCGAGCGCCAGCGCGCCCGAGCCGAGCAGAATCGCGAGTGCGGAAAGGCGCAGCGTACCCCGTTGCCCGCGCTGCGCTGTCGCCGCCCGGGAGGAGAGAGAGCCTACCAAGCCGCCCACGGTGAACACCGCCACGACGAGACCGAGCTCGGCTCGCTGGGGTGAGATGCAGACGCGTCGCGGCTCACCCTCATATGTACACACGGCGCCAAACCGGAGGAGAGAGGTGGGGCGGGGTCAGCGGGGCACACCATCACATCCTGGATGCCGTTCATCGCCGCGATTGCGAAGCCGTACTGGAAAGTATGGAGGGCCGCCCATGCTGCCGTGAGCGCAGTCGCGGCGTGCATCGTGGGCGGACTCGGAGGCGAGATGTGGAAATGTGGAAATGTGGAGCTAGGGGGATGTGGGCATGTCTGACCCTCGGCGCGGTCCTGGCCGGCCCGGACTCCGGCGCCGATCGCCGGTTCATGCTTCCCCATAAGGTCCAAGCGGTGACGCATACCGCACTTGCGTGTCGCCACCTCTGCATTGACATTGAGCATGAAGCTCCCACTCCCACTCCTTCCCCTCCTCGCTCTGGCGACGCGCACCGTCGCAGCGCCGCTCGACATCCTCGACGCAGGCGCGGCCGCCCTCTCGGCCGTCGAGCACTGGCTCGCCCCCGATGACAGCGACGTCCGCGCTCACCTCGTCATTCCCGACGGCGATGAGAGCGCGCCCATCCCCGAGCTCACTGTGTCCCAGGGATACAGCGCCCACCATGGCGGGCTCGCGGGAATCTGCAACCTCCGCGCGCGAGGAGGCGGGGCCGACGACACGGACAACTTTGTCAATACGATGAAGCGGTGCGGCAAGAACAGCGTCATCTTCATGAACTCGCCGGTTTAGTGAGTCGCCTTCCCCCAACTGCGCCCGTCCGTGTGCAGATGCAGCACTGCCACCCTCACGACACATGTCACCGCTTCCCCCCACCCCCCTCCCCGGCGCGCTCCCGCTCATGCCAGCAATATCCGCCGCCCTATCAAGATTCGGCTCGAGAACAGCGTCCTCTCACTCCGCGGCTGGCTCACGTTCTCCGACGACATTGATTACTGGATTAAGCATGCCTTCGACCTGGGCTTTCAGAAGCAGAAGCTTGCTATGGTGGTCAGCGGCTCCAATTTCGTCCTGAACGGCGAGGATACCGGCGGCATCGACGGTTCCGGCCAGGCATGGTACGATCACGCGCGGGGCGTGGGCAATGTACACGGGCGGCCGATGAGCCTTGCGCTGGTCGGCGCGCGGAATGCCATCGTGACTAACTGGAGCATCCGACAGCCGCAGTTCTGGGCGCACATTGTCGTCGACAGCGACGACGTTGTCTACGAGAGTTGCTACGTAAATGCCACGAGCACCAGCGGGAGCTATGGCGAGAAGAGCTGGCTGCAGAACACCGACGGCATCGACACATACCGCTCTCGAAACGTAGCAATCAACAACTTCGTCTATCAAGGCGGAGATGACTGCATCGCGCTTAAGCCCAACAGCATCAACATTGCGGTGCGCAACGCCACATGTGTCGGGGGCACGGGTATTGCTTTTGGCTCGATCGCGCAGTACAAGGGCGTCAAGGACGTGATCGAAAATGTCGTGCTCCAGGACATCAAGCTGTATCCCTCAAACCAGTGCCGCGGTTACCAGGGCGTGTACTTCAAAAGTTGGATTGGGGAGGAGGTGGGGCACCCCCCCAACGGTGGCGGCGGAGGATACGGCCACTGCCGCAATGTCAGCATCTCAGACGTGTACATGGAGGACATTGACAGGCCGATCGCGCTCACGGCCGGCCTGACGTACCTTGACGAGGAGCACGGCAAGCACAAGTACGGTACGTTCAAGTGGAGTCACATCAACATTACACGGGTGCGCGCGACGGCAACGGGCAACCGCGCTATCTGGCTGGACTGCTCGCCGGCCCAGCCGTGTCAACACATCCGGCTCGAGGATGTCGTGGTTACGCCCGGGAAGAACGACCACCCGGAGATCCATCAGGTGTGCAACCACGTCGAGCACAGCAAGGGCGACGGGCTGGAGGCGTGTAAGCCGAACAACAGCACGCTCGAGTCTGACACGGGCGGAACGATGTAGACGAAGGTTCGGGATGCAGCAGACGGAGGCCTTCCGCCAAGCGAGCTTTTGACGAATGTAGCACATCAGTCGGACAAGTCGGCCCGAGATAAGTGTAGAGTTGTGAAGCGAGGCAGCCGAGCAAATATCGTCTCGCTTTGCGACGTCATTTGAGGAAGTACCGCGGCTGCTGCGACGCGAGCATGTGAGACAGCGCTACGTAGGGGTGTCGGTCGAGATGCTCGGGAGATCTGAACTATGCTGGCATTGCTGGCATGCAGTCTATTCGAGTGGCAGCAAATCGCGGCATTGAAGCCCGCCCGTGTTATTGAGCCACCCAATCTCAGGACGGGGCCCGGGACGATCTTTGGCCCTTCCCCGCAGTCAACGCGGCGCAGCCGCACATCCTTCCGCAGCCGCCACAACTGCGCGTCAGAGCGATATACATGCAACTCGGTGTATCTCTGCATTGTACATCCTCTCATTCTCTCATTCTCTCACGCACCTCGTTTCAACTCTTACCTCACTTTTTCTGCCTACTACGCTGCTGGCCCCACAGCCTATCCGCCACACCCAACTGCGGACATGAAGCTCGTCGCGCTCGTTCTCCTCGCGGTCGCGGCGGCACTTCCCGTCCTCCCCGAGGCCGAGCAGGCTCCAATGCGTCTAGCCTCTCCACCAGACCAGTGGGATCCTGCCCGCGCTCCACCACCTCGCCCACATCACCCACATGGCCCTCCTCCTCCCGGCCCACCACGAGGCCCCCCTCCTCCTGGTCTCCGTCCCCCGGGTCCTCCACCACCTGGCCCACGACCAGGGCCACCTGGAGGACGGCGGAAAGACCGCTCGAAGAAGAAGGAGAAAGGGCGAAAGAAGGCGGCGACAATCAAGGAGATGGCGTGGATGATGACATAGGTGGGGAGGTGTACGGACGGGCTGACTCCTAGTGCCGTTGTCTGGTAGTGGACATATATTCATGCAGCTGTGCTCGACAGCGGTGTGCAGCAGTCCGTGAGACTTGCACTGTCGTTGGGGACGTCGGCCGGAGGAAAAGACGCACGAGGAGAAGGGATTGGGCGCTTCATCCTCACGAACGTGCGGCAGCATGGGAGCGTGTTGGACACCCACACACATCATGTACGCCAGATCTCGACAAGTCTCTTGGCGAGGTAAGAGTACAGGCTTGCTGTGCGTGTTCGCGGCCAAGTTTTGCCTGCTTGGCGTAGGGTGTTGCAGGATTCTCCTGCCTCCAGCTGGCGTTCGAAATATCTGTTGATGCCACATCAACATTCGCCATTGCTGTTGCGCTCACTCGCTTAGAGGTACGCACGTGCCTATTCCAGATTATTAATGACAATCAATGTCCCTAACTCCTAAGCGAATGCTAATAGACTCTAGCCTATAGACTGCATGTACAAGCGGCGTTGCCCGACGGAGCTATATCCGGGCCCAGCCTGGGCCATGGGCCAGGGGCCCGGGCCTAGGGTCCTCCGGTCGCCCGATGGAATAAGGATAATCGGGAATCACTTGATCCCCGCAGACCGGGCGTGCGGAACTGCGGAAGCATGGGATCGCCGCGCCTCCGTCAACCGGCGACCAGGGAGCCCGGGATGACGACCTGGTGCAAACAAGTAGATGTTCTCGGATCTCGGAGCAGCTGTGCGTTCTAGATGCACCTCGCTGTGGGGCTGTAACCAGCCAAAGTCGTGCGGGTAGGTCACGTGCCCAACCCTTGACAACCCCACCCCAGTCTCGTGCAAGGCACACACCCCAAAATCACCCTTTGGTGCGGCACGTCGACTGTCGACGTCGGCGCATCTCATACGAGTGGGAGACATGTCCATCTCCACGTCTCATCTCTATCTCAAGTTGTCTTGGATGCTTGCAGTCCGGGATTCGGAAGTGACTGCGCGACGGCAATGCAGTGCAGAATCCGCCGGCCAGGGCTCGAGTGTTTCTCATATCCTCATAGCCATGGGAGAGAGGCACGGGGCCGAACAAGGGACGGTCGTGGCTGTGGCCTTTGGCGTGAAATACGACCTGCAACTCTCAACTCTGCACTGCTCCTCCACTTTCACTCTGTCTTTATCGCTCATCGCTCATCGCTCGCTGCTCGCTGCTCACTGCATGCTGCTCAACTAAACCCACAGTGGAGCGGCCAACAGCGGAGCCGCCCTCCCTAAAACGCCGGTCTGTCTCTCCCCACCATCACACCCTCCGACGTCTTCCCCCACCCACTGCCCACCATTCCCACCCATCGAGAGGCGAGGCCCAACGATGTACCTCGCCTTGTTCATTCTTTTCGCTGTGGCGTGCGTGCGCGCCCTTCCCCTCTCCCCCCTCCATTCTCTACACCGCCGAGATCCACCCCCACCCCCTCCCCCACCAGGGGACGAGGGCGCCCGCCCCCCCGCCTGGGCCAACACGTTCGATGGCGTCTGGGACGGCGAGTATCCGTCCTGGAAGTCCTCGGCCGCCGGCGACTGGTGGGACAGCGAAATGGGCATCCGCTCGCAGATCGAGCAGCTCGAGTTCATGATCCGCGTCGCCGAGGCGCTGTTGCAGCGCGAGCTCGCGGATATATGGCGCGGCGAGGTGGCCCGCCTCAAAGCCGCGCTCGCCGAGGAGGAGGAGACCGACGCCGGCTTCGAAGAGTCGTGGGTCGGCAAGCCGCTCGATCCAGAGGTGCGTTACCCCGAGATGCCGCTGACCCCAGGGTCCTGAGGAGACTGAGGCGTCCGACGGGAACGACGAGACTGAGGCGTCCCGCGCAGACGAGACTGAGGCGTCCCGCGCAGACGAGGAGACCGACGAACGCCATGGGAGCGAGGATACATGAGCTCGCGCATAAAACTTGTATGTAACATAAGGAGGCTCTTCGCATGCATCGGCAGCGGCCTAAGCATTGTCACAAACGGCGGCGCGCGTGAATCTGCAGTCATATCGAGTACGCGCAGCTGCAAAGGTCGTGTGACCCAGACTGACCTCTGACCGTTCTACCAACGTCTGCAAACCGCCGAGAGGTATGCCGCCCTCGCCTCGCAATTCTCGTCTCTCGTCTCGCGTCTTGAGATCTCGAGGCGATGGAAATATCTTTGGAGGAGCGCACGAGGCGTCAAAATCGGATAAACGCATCAAACCCCAGGGAACACTGTCACCCAACAGGGGACCCCACAACGTCCATGAGACTGGTGTTTCAGAATCGGATGTGATGCGAGCATGCTAACCGACGATGAGCTCGCGCAACCATGCAGCTGCGACCATGTCCCACAGCTACTGCAGAAGGTCTACACTTCCGAAAATCTATGACTCTGCTCTCCTTTACAGCTTGACTTCAGCGACAAGCGGCTTGCCCTCAGCGCCCGCGATGGCGTTGCGAACACACAAGTCCGCCATGGCGTTGCGGGTGTCGTAGTCCGCACTGCCCATGTGCGGAATCACAACACAGCGCTTGTTGAGCACGAGCGGGTGGTCTGGCTGGATGTGGGGCTCGCCGGTGATGACGTCGAGGCCTGCGCCGAAGAGCTCGCCGGCGTCCAGCGCGGCACTCAAGTCGTCGCTGTTGACGATGGGCCCGCGCGCGGCGTTGACGAGCACGGCCGTCTTCTTCATCTTCTTGAGAAACGCGGCGTCGACGATGCCCGTCGTCTCGGGCGTGAGCGCACACAACACGATGAGGATGTCAGCCTGCGCCGCGACATCGTCCTTTTCGACGCGGCGCACGTCGACGCCCCAGCGCTCCGAGAACCGTGCATCGATCTCTGCTTGGTTCGCACGCGCCCGCGACGAGTTGTACACGATCTTCGGCGGCGCCGCCTTGTTCGTGAATGCCAGCAGGCGGTCGACGACACACTCGGAGATGCGGCCGAAGCCCAAGAACCCGATCGTCAGGTTCGGGTGGTTCATCCCCGGCCCGCACATGACGAACGGCGCCCACGGGAGCTGCGGCCACCCGCCAGACTTGACGAGCGCGATGCCCTCCTCCACGCGCCGCATCGTCATCAGGACCAGCATCGTCGTGATGTCCGCGACCGAGTCCGAGAGGACGCCGGGCGTGTGTCCGATCTTGATGCCGCGCGCGTTCGCCGCCTTGACGTCGATGTGGTCTGGTGTCAGCGGGAAGGTCATGAATTGGGCAGGTCAAAGAAGTGGGACAGCCGTCGGCAAGGAGAGTCGATCTACCCAGCCGGCGACGCCGTGCCCTCCCTTTCCGGCGCACAAGCGACATCACCTCACGGTTCGCTTGAGCCTCCGCTGACCCCCCTCCTCCCCGCCCCAAGCCCCCGCCCCACACTCACCAAAGCCCACCGAGAACGTCGAGATAACCTTGAGCCCCTTGCCGGCGCGCTCGAGTAGCTCGGCGTCGACCTTGTCGCTCGGCTGCCCGTGCATAATACAGGCCGCGACGACGTCGGGGTCCGAGATCTTCTCGAGCACCCACTCGCGCGACGGCTCCGCGTCCTCGGGATTGACGACGAGCTCGAACGGCGTCGCCTGCAGGAGCTTCATGGCCTCGTGGCCGACGTTGCGGGTGCTGGTGTCAGAGGACAGAGGACGGATGTGACATGGGACAGGGGATATATGTGGACATCGCTTTCCTTCCGGGAAACGGAAGGCCAGAGGTGGAGTGGTCTCATCAAATGCAAAGTTCTTGGAGATGAGACCGTTGAGGAACATACGGTGCCCGGAGGGGCGTGGCATCGTGACCAAGATCGCCTGTCCTGCCATGGCCCGCCTCATTCGCACGGGCACCCACTTACACAAGAATCTTCGGCATGGCGAGAACACGGGACGTGGAGAATCGGCGAAGGAAGAGCATACGATGATGAAGAGGAGGAGAGTGGGCAGGCCGTGTGGTCGGACATGCGGTCCGGGCCGGCATCCGGGCCAGGGCGGGTGGAGGCGGGGTGTGCGGGGCTCGAAACCTCTGCGTTCTCGCTCTGTGCGGACGGGACCAAATGCACGCGCAATTCACGTGACTACCCCTTTGCCGCATTGTGGATTCGAACTCGAGACTGGCTCTCGTCAACATCAACACCATGGACGCAGCAGGACCATCACGCCACGCGACGGTCACGGACGAGGCGGAGGAGCTAGCGCTCGAGGCGGGGCATGTGGCGCCAACAGCGAACGGGGAAGGGCGGGACGCAGGGAACGTCGACGGGGACGGGGACGCCGAGATGGGCGCCGCGGTGTGCTCAACGCTCTACCTCCACAACTTGAACGAAAAGGTGCAGGTGGACGGTGAGTTTGGGAGGAGGGCTGCGTGCCCCCCGCCCTCTGTCTTCCCGTTGAGAGCGGCGCTCACGCCAGTCATGAAGCAGACGCTTGCGACGCTCTTCAAGCCGTACTACCCGCTGCAGCCGATTGTGGCGCACGGCAACGCGCGCATGAAGGGGCAGGCGTTCGTGTCGTTCCGCGACAAGGAGACGGCCGAGCGTGCCATGCTCGACGTGAACGAATTCCCGCTGTACGGGAAGCCTGTGGTGCGTTGCCTGCCGAGCCGACTGACCCAGATCATCGAGTTTGCGAAGAGCCGATCGGACGTGGTCGTCAAGCGCGAGGACGGGGACGAGGCGCTGGAAAAGTGGCAGGCTGAGCGGAAGGAGCACAAGAGTGCGTTGGCGCGCTCGAGGCTACGAGGCAGAGGCGGAGAGCCGAGAGCCGATAGGGGAGAGATGAGGAGCTGACGCGTAGAGGCGACGCGCAACACGAACAAGTGGCGCCTGAAGCAGCGCGCCAAGCACCAGGCTGGCGGTAGGTTCAGATGCGGCGACGCTGACGGTAGCCACGGACGAGCCGACAGCGGCCAAGAAGCCACGGCTGCAGATGCCGGACGAGTACTTGCCGCCCAACAATGTGCTGTTCGTCCAAAACTTGCCCGAGGGCACAACGGCCGAAGACCTGCGCGAGGTCTTCGAGCAGTATGCTGGCTTGCAGGAGATCCGTACCGTGCCCGCCAAGCGCGATATTGCGTTCGTCGAGTTTGTCGACGAGGCGACGTCGGCTGTCGCAAAGGACGCATTGCACAACTTCAAGATTGACGGCGAGACCAAGATGAAGGTGAGAGGGATGGTAGACATGATGGCTGACGACAGGTCACGTTCGCTCGCAAGTAGGCACATAGATGTAGATGTATTCTGTTACTGCACTCCACCTGTACTATGGCGCCACTGACAGACCACTTGCATGCCTTGCGCCGTCGCCCGCTCAACACGCCCGCTCAACACCTTGTACACCCATCGGCCCCCGCACATGGTATCAATGCATAATGCGCTCACAGATCCACGACGGCGTTCTGGCATGTAATAGCTCGTGTAGCGATGTATCAGTATCATATTAGAGAGGAAGGCGGCCTGCACGGAAGACACTCTGCGTGGCAATGCGGCGCGCCTGGTCGAGCGAAATGGCGTCGCGGCGCAACTGCGTGCCCTCATCGTCGTCATCGTCATCATCGTCGTCCCCGCGTCCACGCATCGCATTCATGGGGGTGCGGCCCGCGGCGCCAAACATGCCGCCGCCAGGTCCGGTCGGAAGCATGGGCGCCCCAAACACGCTCATGCCCGTGTCGGAGGCACCGAAGGGCTTGAAATCCTGCACCACGCGGCGACTGGGCGAGGCGGGCGATGTCCCGGTACGAGGAGGCGAGGAGGGCTCCGGCTTCGCGATCGCAATGCCCTCGGCCTTGGCCTCGGTGCTCATGCGACGGCGCGGCGGTAGGCGACCGCCAGGGGTGTATTTAAACCCGGCGTTGTAATTGTTCTTACGGAACTTGTCGGTGAGACGGCGGCCTGCGACCTTGGGGTCAGTCGCCAGCAACCTTCGAAAGCTCACAGGAAGGATGTTTGGTGCCGCCTCGTAGATGTACTGCGCGTTCATCCATGCCGAGACGTTCTTCCGCGACGCGTCGGTCTGGATGTAGACGTCCGGCAGGTGCACCTGCTTGGTCTGCTCGTTGCGAAGCAGAAGGCGCTCATGCAACTCCCTACATTGGTCAGCGAGGCACGAGGCGATGTGACGTACTGTGCGACCTCCTCGACGCTCTGCAAGGTCTCACCCTTCTCCTTGATGCGCTGCGCAACTTCTCGGCCGATTTCTGTACCCGTGTCAGCATCTTCTAGGACTATCGCAGGCCACGCACCTGCGATGAGACGCTCCATGTCCATGTTCTCCAATACACTGCCTACGATCGTCATAGCCAGCAAATCGGCGGTGGTTAGCGGGAGCATCACACCCGATGTCATGTTGCAGATGGCCGTGAAAAAGTCGACTGCGCGCTGTGTGTGTCAGCTAGCTCTCTTGCCGTATGTGTGGCTTACAGAGTAGTTGGACAGAGTGTCTTCACAGGCGACCATGAACTGTTATTAGCAAGCGCTCTCCTATTCCGCTGCCCACCAAGGTAATGCCATGCTGAGCCATGGTACGTGCGACAACGAGCGGGTCATGTCCTGAGAATGTCAGAGATGATTAACGTACCACTCACCATCAGGGTCGCCTTGCTTGATTTCTTGTATACGTTAGTGACAGCTCGGGAAATCAGCACGCCGCACTCACGGTCGCCGCTCTCGCCAATACCTGTGACGCGTCAGTATTGTGGCACGCTTGAAGCGGCAGAACTGACCATGAGGAGGAGCGTCCGCGATTAGGACGACCATGCGCGCTGCCTCGCGCCGCCATTCGAGCTCGGTCAAACAGGCCGCCATCGCCGCAGTGACCGCTTCTGGTCCGTCGCCTCCTCCCGCAGCTGCCATTAGTACAGCTCGCAGACGAGCGCACAGACACGTACCTGTGAGGCCCTTGAGGTAGTCCTGGACCTGAGCAATGTCGGATGTGAACGAGTTGAACTTGTAGACGTAGGTGTTGTCCTGTGGCTTGTGGTCGCGGTAGTTGACGATCAGTCGGTCAGCGCTGCCCTCGAGGTAGGACGTACCGCTACTCGCAAATCGTCTGCGCCGTTCAGTCCCTCCTCACCACGAATCATGTCGCAGATGGCAAAGATGTGGTCACGGACAGAGTTGATGTACCGCTGCATGGAGCCAGTGCAGTCGAGCACGAAGACCAGGTCGCTGTGTATCAGCGGGATGCAGCATTCATTTGATGGTTTTGCCAGTTGCTAGCTTGGCTTGCACGTACATAGCCTTGCCGCTCCGCATTGAAACGTCTTCAATGTAGCGCACGTCATAATGTGTGACGGGGTCGGGGCGGGGCGGGGTCGGCCCCAAGCGCGGGGGGTAGGCTGCGTAGTAGGACATGTATGAGTAGCTTTCGTCGTACATGTCGTCGTCCATTGGTGAGGATACGAGGTAGACAGAGGAGTTGCGAGACAAGATCGGTCGATAATGACAATGTCGAGCTAGAGTTGGGCGCGTGGCAAGAGATGAAGGAAGCTACCTTGAGTTGCGATGCCCACGAGCGAGACGCTTGTGAGAGAGGGGTAGAGCGCGTGGGGCGCTTTGAGGCAGTAAGAGTCTGTCCGTGGACTGTGGAGAGTGCCGAGGCGCAGGAAGACTGGACGGCGCGAGGTATGATCTGTGCAGGGGGGAGAGGGGGGGAGGGGGAGGAGGTCGTCAAGTGCCGTTTTGGCTGTGTGGAACGAGCGGCGGCGGGTCAGCTCGTCTCAGCCTCACTTTCGGCGTGAATGGAGATTGGACGATGCGAGATGTCCAAAGGAGGAGAAAGTGAGCAGACCTTGCGAACGGTGGACTGCAAAGGGGAAAGAGGAGACGACGAGTCGACGAGATGGAAGAGAAGTGAGAAGGAGGATGAGGGAGAGTGAGGAGGAGGAGGAGGAGGAGGAGGAGGAGATGATGGTGGCCTGTGCTCGGCAGTCGAGGAGGGTGGTGCCGGCGGTGGTGGCGAGCCGTGCATGCCATATCCGACCGGATCACTTCCCCCTTCATCGTCATTCCGCGTCCCCACTCCCCCCCACGTGATTGTTAGGCGTGGATAATACTTGGCAGTCCTATTGAGGTTGGGGTTTTCGCGCATGGCGATAACAAGACGGCGCGCCTATGCTTCACGCGAGTGCCTGCCAGCTGCCAGGTACAGGAACGGGAAGGACACGCGTTGGTTCGCGTTGGGTGGGAATCCGTCTTGCAGGGCCCTCGACCCTTGGGATCCATCTCACAGCCAGCGCGCGAAGACAAGCAGCAGCCACAAACCGCAATACACAAATCATTCATCTTGTACTCTCTCTCTTTCTCTCTCTCTCTCATCATCCCCCCTCATCTCTTCACCATCTCTCTCTTGCTCTGCGACACATCACTTAATCATACTCTACATCCCCTCCCCTCCCCGCTTCCCGCACACGACACCAAACCCCTCGTCATTAATCAACAACAAGGGTATTACGACACACCAATCGTGTTGAACAAACCCCGTCTTGGCTCATCTCCTTTCAGCTCAGCCCTGTTCCTCTCGGCCACTCAACTGCCAGTCCGCTCCTCTGTCACGCACCATTCCTCTCTCACACGTTACTTGCTCTTCTGTTCTCTCCCTCCCTCTCCCTCCCGCTCCCTCCCCCACGCCTCCGCGCACTCGCGCCGACGCCAAACTCACTCATCCCCTCCGCATAACCCCTATCTCTCCCATAATCTCTACATTGTTACATCAACTCATACTCAATCTTCATGTCAAGGCTGCCAACGCTCACAACGCCGGCACGCCTTAGCGGCTCCCCGGGAGGCGGTCCATCAGGCATTCCCGCACCCTCGTCCCGCCGCCCACGGTCCTCCATAGGCCCAAACAATGCTCAAGCCAGCTTGACCAAAAACGACCCAGAGAGGGATCAAGCCTATACCGACCTTGCAATGCGTAGGCGTCCACCATCGGCTCTGGGACGTAGCATGGGGCCAAAGGATACCGACCCGGACACGCCCACGCAAGTCAGAGGCGGCCCAGCTCAGTCCTTTCTCCAGACGCCAAGCAGCAACTCGGGCCTGAACACGTCCAGGTCTCCCGGCCTTCGTCCTCGCACCCCCTCTTCAATGACAACGCCTTCTTCCCGTGCAAACTCTCGCCCGTCCCTCTCAGCTCGTTCCTCTATGGCGAGCTCCTCAAACACGCCAGCGCGACGACCCAGCCTAGCCTCCTCCACATCCACGCCGTCATACCGCAGACCAGAATCTCGCGCCGGTCTCGAGACGTCCAAATGGACGCCTGCAGTTGGCGACCGTGTGCGCCTTCCCTCCCATGGATATGAGGGGACTCTGCGTTACCTGGGCCCCACTCACATCCGAGACGGCATTTGGGCAGGTGTCGAGCTGGAAGGTGGCTTCAAGGGCAAAGGGAGGAACGACGGTTCCGTTGACAAGTGAGAGACTAGGCATGCCAACTATGCCGCAGAGCCTGCTGACCATTTCAGCGTCAAGTACTTCCAATGCGAGCCAAACTGCGGTATCTTCGCCCTCGCTGAGAAGCTCGCCCCGCCAACCGCTGCCCCAGCACCAACGTCACGCCCTGCATCGGTAGCTTCGCATCGCTCCTTGACCTCGTCATATTCAGCCTCGGGTCGTGCGACGCCCGCTTCGGAGAGGGTGCGTCGAGGAGCAACAACACCAAGCTTTGGGAACCGCTCCGTGTCGACCCGTACTCCGAAGAAGGTCGACGATGACACAGCTGCACCGAAGAGTGCCCATGTTGCCGCCAACATCACGGAAGGCTCGCGAGCCAGCAAGTATCTGGGCATGACTGCCAAGCAGCTGGATGCTCGATCGTCTGGATCAACCTCCACCGGGCTCGCGCTCAGCAACTCGGTGACTCCCAAAGCTTCTAAAATTGGCACGACCACCCCGGGCCGGGTACCACGCCCTAGTCTGGGAGGGTCTTTGGCTACACCCAAGGCTCGCGCTGCTCGCCAGTCTGAGATGATGCCGCCTCCGCCGTCGCCGCATGCGTCCAAAACTGCTGACTATGAAAAGGAGATCGAGGAGCTGCGACGTCGAAACGCCGATCTGGATGACCAACTGGCCAGCGTTCCTGACACATCTGACGACATAAGGAAGCTAGAGGCGCTCCAAACGGAGGTTGAAAATGCCAAGGCAGAGGCCGATGCTCTACGCATTCAGCTCTCTGCCTCCAGTGGCGACGCGAAGGGCGTTAAACAGCAAATTGAGGAACTGCAATCCGCCAGCAGCAAGCTCAAAGAGGACCTCGCGTCCAAAGAGCGCGAGGTTGCCGAGCTGCAGAAGGAAATGCGCATTTCGGCCGAGCGCGCGGCTCACGAGCTTGAGGCTGGCATGGATGCGAGACGAGTGGAGATGCGCCAAGTCGAGGAGCGTGCGGACGCCGCCGAGACGGAGGTGGCAGAGCTGAAGAAACTCGTGGATGAGCTGACGACGGCTGGTAATGTGAGCTGTCCGTGAGATTGTCAGCTGACATGGCAGCAAATTATCGAGCTCAACGAGAACAAACAATTCCAGTTCGAGGAGCGGATACGTGAGCTCGAGGAGAAGCTGGCCAAGGCCGCTGAGGAGGCCGCTGTGGCTGAGGCAAAACTCAACGCTATGCCTGCCGATGCCAAACCTCGCACCGCCGCAGAAATCGACAACGAGACCCTCACCGACCAAATCAAGCACCTTCAAAGCAGAATTTTGCACCTGGAGGAGCAGCTCGAGGACACGCGCGGCCAGGCTGAGACCGACTCGGACGCGTGGCAGGCCAAGTACAACAAGTCGCGCGATGCCGAAAAGGCCGTCGAGGCTGAGTTGCAGCGGAGCAAGGCTGAGATCTCCAAGCTTAACAAGGAGGCGACCGCAACCAAGGAGCGCATTGCCGAGTTGCAGGGTGCTCTCTCCGAGAACCAGGCCGCTCTTGAGAGCGCACGCGCTGAGATTGAGACGCTGCGCCAGGAGGCTACCGAGCGGCCAGGGAAGGAAGGCGAGGGCCAGATTGCTGAGCTCAAAGAGCAACTTGAGGGAGCGGACAAGCGAGTCACCGAACTCGAGTCTCAGGTCCTGCAACTCGAGAGTGACCTGCAGGCGGCGCGCAAGCGCTCGATGGACGGAGACGTGCCGGTCGGTCGTGCGCCGCGCAAATCCAGCAGCTCAATCGAAGAGGCTGAGAAGTCCATCCGCGGTTACCACCATATCATCACCGAGATGAAGGAGGAGAACTCGCAGCTCAAGAGCAAACAAGCGGATCTGCAAGACGAGATTGGCATGCTCAAGGAGGAGATCAAACTCTTGCAGGAGATCAACGACTCGGACGCGCCTAACGGTAGCGGCGGTGATGCTGATGAGATGGTCAAGCTCCGTAGCACCCTCTCGCAGCAGAGCCAGGCGATCAAAGAGTACGAACGCGAGGTGTCCGAGCTCGAGTCGCTTGTTGAGTCCAAGATCTACCGCGAAGACGAGCTGGAGACGCGAGTGCAGGAGCTCGAGGCGGAGATGGAGCGTCTGCGCAAGGCGAAGCCTGCGCCGGCGCCCTCCTCGACTGCGTCGCACAGTCGCAATCCGTCCGAGCAATCGAACGGGTCGACGACAGTGAGTGGCGGCAGCACCGAGACAGCCCTGCGGTGCGAGCTGTGCGAGGGTCCGCACGACCTGGACGCGTGTCCCGTGTTTACTGGCGCCCCGCTCGAGGGTGGCAACACGTCGCCGCTCAACATACAGAAGGGCAAGAAGTGGTGTAACGACTGCGGGGTGAGTAGAGAGAGAGAGACTTCTAACGGCCAGAGCCCGTCTCACAACACGGCCGAGTGTCCCGTCGCCGAGGACGTCTTCTAGATAACGCTGGTTATTTTGGGCCTTTGATGTTTTGAGTTCTGGTTGTGCATGACACGGGTTAGTCTGGGCCTCTTATAGTGATGCAACCGGGTGGTTGTCAATTCAAAACCGTGAGGTAATCAACCTGGCTTTCGGGCCGGTGGGCCGGTCACCGTCAAATGACATGGTGACTGACGCGCATATATGTACAATAACAGCGTACAACTTGTCCCACTCGCTCCGTAATTCGTCAAATCAGCAATGCACGTCCTCTTAACCGGCGCCCTCGGCCGTTGCGGCATGCGCACACTATCTCAACTCCTCGACGAGGGGCACACGGTGCTCGCGACCGACCGCACCTCGCCATCCTCCCCACTCGGCGACGGCGCGGAATTTATGGCGGCAGACCTGACCTTGCTGCACGACATCGACGCTCTGTTCAAGCATCGCTTCGACGGGGTCATTCACCTGGGGGCGATTCCGAACCCGGTGCCCGAGATCGACGACCGCGAGCTGCACGCAAACAACGTCGTGAGCAGCTACAACGTAATGCGCACGGCGGTAGACCACGGCGTGCGCCGCATCGTGCAGGCGTCGAGCGTGAACGCGCACGGCTTGAGCTTTGCGCCTCCGGGCCACACGGCATTCGACCGCTTCCCCATCACGGAGGCGGTCGAGCGGCGCGACGTAGGCCCCCCTCCCACCACCGCTGACGGCAGGAAGACGCGTACGCGACGTCCAAGCACGAGTGTGAGGTCCAAGCGTCTGCGCTGGTCCGGTATGCGCCGGGCACGCGCATCGCGTCCCTCCGCCCACACATGGTGCGCGACGACTACGCGTCCGCGTACCCCGACACCGAGGCGCGCGACATCTTCTCGTGGGTGTCGTATGCGGCGGTCGCGCGCGCCGCCGTCCTCGCACTCACGTCGGAGGGGTGGGGCGGGCACGAGGTGTTCAACATCGTCGCGCCAGAGATCTGCTGGGAAGGAAGCGTGGAGGAGCAGTATATAGATAAAGACGGGGAGCCGCCGGCGCACAAGGTTGGCACACTCGAGCTTGTTCGCAAGTACTGGCCCAATGTCGAGGTCGACGAGGAATACTGGCGCGACAGGCCGAGACGCGCCGTCTGGGACTCCTCCAAGGCTGAGCGCCTGCTGGGGTGGCGGCATGAATAGACGAGCGCGTGTTGCGGTGCAGCATAAATAGGAACAATGAAAGTCTTGCCCACGCCCCATCGCGTAGTCGTACACAAACTGCATAATCCTATACACGATACACTGCTGCCTAAGCCTTGACCTCTGCCTTGGCCTTAGCCTTTGCCTTCTCAAGCTCGTCCTTGGCCTGTTCCGTGGTGATGAGCACAAAGTCGCGCTCGCAGAGGAAGAACTCGTCCTTCTTGAACCCAGCCTTGCGCGCCTCGGCCGCGTCCGTAACCTTCTTGGGGTCCTCGACGAGGCTGCTCTTGACGCCAAAGACGGCGTCCGAAGACAGGAAGATGTCCCCCTTGAAGTACAGCGCCGTGACGAGCTTCTCGAACCCGTCCGCCTCGAACATCATGTGCAAGTGCGCGGGCCGGAACACGTGCCGGTTCATGGAGCGCAGGAGCTTGCCGACCGGTCCGTCGTTGGGGATCGGGTACGGCACAGGCATGACGCAGCGGAACGCATAGTTTCCGTCCTTGTCCGAGTAGAGCCGCCCGCGGCAGTCCTGGACGTACCCGTTGGCCGAGTACTGCGTGTCGTAGTATCCGTCCTCGTCCTGTCATTAGTGGTGGTCAGGAAGCGGGGCGCTCACAGTCTCCCACGTCTCGATCAGGCAGTTCGGGATCGGCTTGCCCTCCGTGTCGAGGATACGGCCCTTGACGAGCATAGGCTCGCCCTTGTCCTCGCCGGCGATCGCTTCGCCGTTCTCGACGACACGCGCGTCCTCGACCCAGAAGGGCCCGAGCACCGTCGCCTCCGTCGCGCCCTGGTATCAGCGGTGTCCTACCATGAGGGCCCCACGGGGCCATCTAAAAGCGCAGGCCGGCTTTGCCGGCGCCGCGCCATCGGTGTAACTCACCTCGGGCTTGGGGTGGTTAAGCGTGTCAACCAGCGCTGAGACGCCGAACACGTCTGAGAGAAGGATGAACTCCTGCCGGATGTCTGAGCACATCTGTCCGGTCTTGGTAAGGAACTCGAGGCCGGTCCTGGGCGTCAGTGGGCGTGTCTTGGTGATCAGAAGCACCGGCGGGCGCACCGGCGACCGAGGCAGCTTGGGATGGAGCGCGGCTTGCGGTCTCGCCCATCTCTCCTTCTTGTGCTTCTACCATACCTCGGCCCTCGGCGCCCTCGCAACGAGCTCTCAACTCACATCCACTCCTCAGGCGTCAGCCCGACCTCCTTGACGAACGCGTGCATGTGGCGCACGAGGGCCTCGAGCACAAACTTCTGCCGAGGGTTCGCACACCCGCTGTTGATGGCGAGCACGTTCTCGGTGAGCTTGTCGGCGCTCATGTCGGTGAGGTTGGGCAGATCGTTGAGGTCGACGTCGGGCGCGCCGCGCTCGATCGCGTCCTTGATCGCCTTGCCGAGGTGGGGGACGTCGGAGACCTTGGGCATGTTTGCGAGTGATGTGGGAGGTGTGAGAGATGTGAGAACGGGCAAGAATGCGCTGGAGACTAGGAGAGACTAGAAGAACTGGTCACGAGGGCTTATAATTCAAGTCATGGCCGCGGTTCCGGGAGGATGACGCTGCGGCGACTTTACTGTGGACGCCGCCTGGCCACTCAGAGGAGCAGCAGAGGAAATCCGGAGCGAGCAGAACCGGCCCCGGAGATCTCACGGCCGGATACCGTCCGCCCTGTACAATGCTCCAGCTGTGATGCGGCATCGCGCCAAGATCCGCAAGCCCGCACACCCCTACAAGACTCCTACGCGTCTGCTTTGTCGAGCGCGTCAGGCTGCTCTTCGACTTGTCCAACTGGTCGATACGTCGATGCAATGTCGACGAAAGTGTGGTCGAGAAGAATTCGCCGCTCCCCACCTCATGACAATGACAAAGCCTTGCCACGCCCACCCCCCGGGCGCGCTCCGACCCGCGATCGAGCGCGGAACCGCCCACTTCCATTCCGCCCTCGCTGGCCGTTCGGTTCCATATTTTTGAGCAGCCTGAGCCGAAGTGGGATGTGAGAGCAGGGGAGTGGGGGAATTCGCCGGCCCCACGGGGACGGCATGACGGAGGACCCGATGTGATCGATGGGATTGGAAGGTATGGGATCCATGCGAGGCCTGACACATGTGAGAGTGCTTATCAAGAGAGAGTGGAGCCAGCAGCATGCGGCACGTGAGAGATTGCGTTGGGCGATCGATCAGGTCGGCGCGGCACGACTGAGGTCCGACATCTCCGCGGAGTGTTTTGGAGGCCCGCAGCGATCCCCTTCCATATCTGTGCCGTTTCAGAAAAACTCGTGCGAGCGCATCTCCTAGTGCGTTTTCCGCCCCGCCAGGGGTGAGCGTGCGTCGCTGCTCGTGGCGGTGCACCTTCCATGACCTCGTCTGCCGCACGTCTTCAACCGATACATGCTCTAAGCCATGCTACTATTACAAACCCAGTACACTAGATCGAAACCTCCTTGATGCCCGGAGCGACGTCAAAGGTCGCGCCCGTCTTGGCCTTGACCTCCTCGACGGTAGCCCCCGGCATGAGCTCAGTCAGAGTGAGCTTGCCGGCAGCGCGGTCGACCTCGAACACGCAGAGGTCGGTGATGATCATGCTCACACAGCGCGCGCCCGTAAGCGGCAGCGAGCACTCCTGCACAATCTTGGGCTTTCCGTGCTTGTCCGTGTGGTCGGTGCAGACGATAATCTTGGTCTGGTCGGGCGACGACACGAGGTCCATCGCGCCTCCCATGCCCTTGACGAGCTTGCCAGGGATGATCCAGTTGGCGAGGTCACCGGCAGCCGACACCTCCATCGCACCCAGCACCGAGACGTTGACGTGCCCGCCGCGGATCATCGCGAACGACTCGTCAGAGCCAAACACCGAGGCGCCAGGCACCATGGTCACCGTCTCCTTGCCGGCGTTGATGATGTCAGCGTCGACGGCGTAGCTCGCGGGCAGCGGGCCCATGCCGAGAAGACCGTTCTCGGACTGGAGCCAGATCTGGCGGTCCTTGGGCACAAAGTCGGGGATGAGCGTGGGCATGCCGATGCCGAGGTTGGCGTAGTAGCCGTCCTTGAGCTCCTGCGCCGCGCGCTTGACAATGTTCTCGCGACGCGCACGGGCCTCGCCCTTGCCGAGCGACGCGCCCGTGTCGGCTCCAGGCTCGGGCTTGGTGGTGACATACTCGATCTCGCGCGGGGTAGTCGCCTTGACAATGCGGTTGATGTAGACACCGGGCACGTGGACCTGCATGGGGTCGATCGAGCCGATAGGCACAATCTCCTCAGCCTCGACAATGGTCATGTGCGCGCTCTTGGCCATGGCACTAGAGAAGTTGTTGGCAGTGTACCGGAACACAGTGTTGCCGGCCTCGTCGACCTTCCACGCGCGGATGAGGGCTACGTCGCCCTTGATGCTCTCTTCAAGCACGTACTCGCGCCCCCCGAACTCGCGGGTCTCACGCGGCGTAGGGTACTGGTCCGGCTTGCCGTCCTTGGTGTACGTCTTGGGCACCGAGGCGTGCTGCACGGGCGTGTTGTAGCCGGTGGGGGTGTAGAACGCGGGGATACCTGCTCCCGCGGCGCGCATCTTCTCAGCGAGCGTGCCCTGGGGAGTGAGCTCGAGCTCGACCTCGCCCGTGAGGTACATGCCCTCGAGGAGCTTGTTGCTGGGGTCAGCGGCGTCGCGTGGGCGGAATGAGGGGTGCCAGAGCAGAATGAGGGGGAACCAACAGTCCCCGGCTACGAGCTTACTCACGTGCCGATGTAGGAGCAAATCAAGCGGGACAGCTGCTTGGTCTCGAGGAGCTTGCCGAGGCCGCGGGTCTCGCCGTCGACAACAGCACCGGCGTTGTTCGAGACACCGGTGAGGTTCTTGACGTCGGTACGCTTGCTGAGCGCGTTGATGAGGGTGTTGGGCACGCCACACAGTCCAAAGCCACCAGCGAGCACGGTGTCGCCCGACTTGACGCCCTCGACGGCGGCAGCGGCGCTGGGGTACACCTTTGACGCGCGGGCGGCGGCGCTGGTCGCGAAGCCGCGTGCAAAGATCGCAGACCGGACAGTGAGGCGGATCATTTTCTGAGATGCAGTAAAGAGTGGAAAATGGGAAAGGAAACGCGTCACGAGTAGTGGAGGAGTGGGCATTATCTAGGATGACCCCGGAATGGGTATGCCCGCATCGCCGGATGATGAGCATGGTTTACCCACAGAGAACCAGTCGGGTCCTCCGATCTTTCGGATCAACCCGACAGTCTACGACCGAGAGCACCGCGGATTGCGCCGCGTCGGCCTTCCGCATGGCCGCATGCACGGGTCAGTCGGTCGGCCTCGGCCTAGCATGCTTTGTAATGGTGGTATTCAACTAGCTGCCATCTGGTAATGCATCTTGGGGTAAATTGGGGTATGGAGCTGCACGGTGGAACGGAGAATCCGGGGTGTTGTTACATGTGATCGATTCTGAGCGGAGGCATGCAAGTTGGGTCGGCACGGTGCAAGCTGCGCGGGCACGGACGGAGGCCGGGCGGCACCAGCTGTTGACCGGCGAGCAGGACATGTGACCCCCGACCCGACCCCGGAACCGCGGCTGCTCGCTACCATACCATGCCGCCGGACTAACAAATCGGCCGTGGTCAACGTGGACGCGTGGACGGATGACGGTGCACCACATGATCACGACGACGACGAGCACGAGTCGAGGTATGTGGGATCTCCGTGACAAGATGAGGCGGTTAAACCAACATCTACCACCAGCGACTAACTTCGGTTAATTGTTTGATGACAAGAAGGATGCCGGTTGGCCAGTTCTGCCTCTTGTCTGCCCACTCCTCCATCATGCCATCATAATCATCGTCATCGCCAAGATCATGATCGTGCTCGTCTCGACCGCGTCGGCGCGCGTCAGTCGCGTGAGTCGCGTAGAGCGGCCAAGATCTCGGTGCGCGTGCGTTAGGCGTAAGGTCGAGCTTCCAGTTCCCCGGGCCTGGCTGCAGGACAGCCTGCTTTAGGAATGTTCACAAGGTAGTGAAGATGTCGTGCCGTGGGAGTGGGTACCTATGCTGTCATCTGGAGAGATCGTGGCTGTCACCGCGGTGACCGCGCGGGACTTGATGGTGAGGTACTCTCGATCCTCTCGCTTCAGTATGACAATCCTCGAGACGAGCGCTGGCACTCACTTAACCTTCCTTTCGCGCAGCTCGCTTCAATGTTAACAATGCTCCTCAACGTGTCTTTCAAGCTCTCAACCAACTCACTGCACCTCACGCTTTGCTCACACTCTGAAGAACTCGGCGAAGCGAGTCTCCTCTCACAGACCGCGCGAGGGGCAACGCCGTACGCGTTGGAGATGACACCTTCTCCTCCCGGCGCGTCGCGTCCTTGCCCAAGTTGCGATGTTGTCGAGCAAGCAAGACACATCAAGTTGCGAGAGAGCGTACGCAGTTCCTCAGAATGGTGTGTGTATCTATTCCAACACCTTGATCAAGACGCGCGGGTGCTGCTAACGGCTCCGTACTCACTGTTCTGTACTGTCAAGGATTCTCGTGTGCCTCTGTCGGATGCAGCACAGCCCCGATCCCAGCGCAAGAGACTTGAAGTAAGCGGGGGGCAGCCTTGGAGCCCATACTGATGTCAGTCAGCGGACTCGCTCGCCAACTCCTGCCTCGATGATGCGGATACACATGCATGGGAAACTATGCGGGCTATATGCAAGGTGCCTTTGTCAACCTCTTCTCCTGGTGCCGTCACCGTAAGTCTTCATCCATCTTCGATTGTCGCTATGATCTCACTCCCAGTCTCGGCGTCGGGGCGAGATCGAACCCTTGACTTCAGTGTCAGCTGACGCCCGCATCACCTACATACACTTAGATCAGCTGGACGAGCTCAGTCACGGCGGTCGAGTGGTAGTGGTGCTTCTCGAGGACCGAGAGAGCAAGGAGCAGCGAGTAGAAGTTCTGGACCGTGTCGCGAGGGGTGCTGATGCCGTTACCGTGGATGATGTGCGACACCTGGATGGTCTTGCCGTGACGGTGGAAGACGATCGAACGCTCAAGGTTCGAGAGGACGACCCAAGCGATGGTCACGTCGTGGCTAGCAGCGTGCTTGCCGAAGCGAACCCAGACCTGTGTGTGAGTGGAACCAACTGGGGAAAAGAAAAGCAAGGGCCTGAAACTAACCTGGGTGAGGAGGGCAAGGGCGTCGACGTGGAGGAAGGGGTCGCCGTGAGGGTCGGCAACGACGCGGCCGCGGGTCTTGTCGAAGGCGGCGCCGCTCTTGACGGCGTTGAGGACGGCGTCCATGAGCGTGTTGCTCACGACAGTCGTGGGGTGGACCTCGAGGGCGACGCCCGTGGTGCCGCCGATGTGGAGCTCCAGGCCCGAGTGGGCGTTAGAGCTGCCGCAGGGGCTGGAGAGAGTCCAGTGACGACGGTGGTCGATGCAGGCGTTGCGCGCGGCCTCCTCAAGAAGAAGAACGTTCAGCGAAAGGAGGAGGTGGCCGTAGACGACCGCCTGGAGGGCGCGGTAGCCGTCGGGGCGCTCGGTAGCCAGAAGCTGACGAGCAGTCTGGATCTTGGTGCCGGCGAGACCGGTGGTCAGGGTGCCAGGGGCCACACCCTCGGCGAGGTAACAGAGGAGGGGGTGGTGGAGGTGGTTGCGGACGAGACGGGGCTCGAAGGCAAACGCAAGGGGCGTGCGACCGGTGTCCTTGGGGAGGCAGACCGAGTGGGGCGGGTGAGGCGCGCACGTGTAGGTAATGGCGGGCATCGACAGCTGGTTGAGGTGGCCGAGAAGGAGGCTCACATCGTGGCAGTTGCCAGCGGGGTGGGTGTGGGCGTGAGCCGGGCCGCAGGGGGCGGGGTCACAAGCGGCGTGGGGGCCGCAGGCGTGCGGCTGGCAGTGGTAGGGCGCGGCGTTGTTGTACGCGTACGGGGCGGCGGGGGAGTGGGCGCGGGCGGGGGCGGGATAGTAGACCTGGGGCTCGTGGTGGTCGTGGGCCCCGTGACGGCCGTGACGACCGTGAGGCCAGTTGGCCCAGGGCGCGGCATTATGAGCGTGAGCCTCGTGGCCGGTGCCACACGAGCACACGCCAGTCGGGCAGGACTTGCAGTCGTGGGAGACGGTGTGGATGGTGCCGGGCATTGTGAGTATGTCCTGGGAGTCTTCGGAGTGGGAGTTGAGGAGGGTGAAGAGGATGGTGAAGAGGGCGTTGGCGACCAGGAGAATGGCGACAAAGGCGTTTTGTGAGAGGAGGATGAGAGAGAGAGAGAGAGAGAGGGTTATAAGATGAAGGCTGGTGGGAGTGAGGGGGAGTAGAGGCGTGTGCAAGAGGGTGAAGAGGGCGAGGTGGGTGTGTGCAGTCGTGGCATGCGTCGCAGGGAGTCGAGCGGGTGAATGACTTTGCGGTGGAAGCGAGATCGCCGGAGGGTGCGAACATGCCGCTCGGACACAACACATACCCACACCCTGCCTCCCACCCCCGGTGGCACTCTTGACACCCCGCCCTTGCATTAGCACAGTGTCCCAACTCGCTCGCAAGATGTTGAAGGCTCTGCGCCCCGTGCGGGTAGCGGTGCAGTGGGTGGGAGCTTGGGACAGACATACATGGTAACGAGGAGTTGTTAACCACTCTGGCAACGCCCGTGTTTAGCAATCAATACTGGCCGAGGATCCGAGGAGAAGCAGCCTGCATGCGGCGTTGGTGCCTAGTGCAGCAGCCGATCCGCTCGGCCGCCCCATGCTCCCTGCTGCATGCCTTCGCACCAGGCCCTGCGGCCTCCCAGCTCCCAGTCGCATCGCCGGCCGCAGTGGCGGCTGTTGCCTCTGAGCAGAGCTGCAAGTATTCCCCCGCACTCCCTGCTCCATCGTCTCCGCGTCTCCTCTGTTGAGTACTAGTCGTCGCCAGCCATCAGCGATCACTGATCCTGAGTAGGGTGGGTCCGCACGGCCCCCGAGCCCCGGCGTGACCCCGATCCGAGCGGAGAGACGGACTCTTCTTCTACGCATCTGTGATCGGATCAAGAATGCCTTGGTAAGTGCAAAGGCGAGAGCGTAAGAGACAGCGACGGCGAACAGGTGATCGAAGCACCCAGGGACTCTCACGCTGCCTTCGTTGTTAGATCGACGGATCGTTGGAGCGCCGCAAGGCGGAGGCGGGGCCAGATGTCTTCAGTTAAAATCGTTCAGCCGCTTTCGCTCCACGCCACCGCCACCGGCCACCGATGAAGGGCGGAGCCAACAGTCTCGAGAACGCGCTGGTCGGGAGCTATGAGTCGCCGAGACGTCGCGCGTTGCACGCCAGCCCGCGGAGGTCCATCAGCCTTACGAATCGGCCAATGAATATGTCTCTGTGAATGTCCCCCAGATCCGCGCATCAAGCGCCAGCGAAGAGCGTGGACGGCCACGGCATTGACGATCGCCGCCTCGACCTCCTGTCCTCTGCGCGCACATCCACCTCCACATCGGCCTCCACCGGAACCAAACAAGTCTGCCTCCGCTCCATCAGATTTTTCCGCCGCCTTACCACCACCACCCCACCACCGTCTTCCAACCTGCCGGGAGCGTCCACGAATGCTCCTGATCTCTGCAGAGCGGTCCCAGGCAAAAGGTAAGCCTCGTGTGGGGCTCGAACCCACGACCGAATGATCAACCGGAATCCAAAGATCCGCATTAAGAGTCATTTAATCTACCGACTGATATAACGAGGCATCAGATGGTGATGTGCCTGTGGTTTGAGGTTGGTATTTGTCCGTCTGCTCTACCCGGCCGTGCTGCCTCTCTGCATAGACTGATGCTGAAGAACGTCTGCTCACGGTTAGACCGGGTGCATTGACCCAGCGAGATTAAGCGACAACGATGACAAGAGCCAAGGCTGTGGCAGACATGCTTGACGCCTATCTTCCACGCATACGAGCCACGCTCCCCTGCCTTACCAGCTCTCATGATCCCAGCCTCTGGGTTTCGCTTGCACCCGTCTCTGTGAGACGCTCTACAGCTCCTACCCAAACAGCCATATCGTCCCCGGTCGACGGCAGTAGCCGGCAGCCCCACACATACCCCAGAACACCGGTCTCGGCGCCGCATGCCCATCCCCGCTCTCGTCGCACGCCACGACGTCGCGCGACTACATGGCGTTGACCCATTGCTAAGCGAGAACGACGTCAAAGCCGCTGCAGAACTGCTGATTATGGCGGTGTGCCTTCCCGCTTATCGGCTGAACTGCTGAAACTGGCCGGCATCGCCTGCCGGAACGAACGTTCAGCAGTTCTGCCGCGCATATCTCAAGATCGATCGTCGATGGCAATGTTCGCGTCCAGGCTGGGTGCAGCGTGACTTGGGGATGTAGAAGTGAGCTCAGGCGCAGAGATGGGTATTCAGATGACATTCGTGGTGTATCAGCTTCGCCCGCGTCTCTGGCAATGCCGCATACCAGAATCGTCAGCCACTGTCGCTTTTGGGAGTAGAGTAATCTGCAGAAACAGCGGAAACTCGTGCTCAGCGTTCACCCAAGCTGACACCCAGCCCAGATCCGAACGTCGAGTTTCAAGACGCGCGGCACCCGAGGCTATCGCGGGAAGATGGGGCCGCCACTAACCGCAAATTCAGCAGATCAGCCGGAGTAGGCACTTGGCATCACGTACCTCCGTCGCTTTCGTACCCATCTATCATCCCACTGCTACAAGCAATATGAGAGACAGGTGATACATAAACGAGCGATGGGACGTCTCGAGGACCCCGCACCCCCTCACTTCTCCACACTCCCTCTCTTTTCCACACCATGCCTTCGCTCGCCGTCTTCCTCGGCATCTTCGCCTCCTTCGGAGGCTTCCTGTGAGCATCCCGCGGGAAGAGGCAGAGTCTGATATGAGTTTCGGGTACGACACAGGATACATCTCCGGGACAAAGGAAATGGAGGCGTTTCTGCGCGTTTACGGCGTGCTCCAGCCTGACGGGCACTACAAGCTGTCGACGGGCACCGACTCTCTGATCACCTCGATCCTCAGTGCTGGCACCTTCATCGGCGCCCTGGCGGCCAGTACAATTGGTGACTGGATTGGCCGCCGCATCGGTATCGCCATTTACGTGGCCGTATTTTCCGTTGGCGTCGCTCTTCAGACCTGGGGCACGAGCCTCGGCGCCTTCGCGGCCGGGCGCGTCCTCGCCGGCCTCGGCGTGGGCGGCACCTCCGTCCTCGTGCCCGTATACCAAGCCGAATGCGCGCCGCGCCGTATCCGCGGCATGATCGTCTCTGGCTACCAGTGGTTCATAACCGTGGGCCTGCTCGTTGCCGCCATCGTCGTCGACCAGACCAAGAGCCGGCAAGGCAGGAGCTCGTACCAGATCCCGATTGCCATCCAGTTCGTGTGGGGCGCGATCCTCGTCGGCGGTCTCTTCGTCCTCCCCGAGTCGCCGCGCTGGCTCCTCTATAAGGGGCGAGGGGAGGCGGCTCGTGCAAGCCTCGCCCGCCTTACTAGCCAGGACCCACACTCGGACGCCGTGAGCACCGAGTACGAGGAGATCGTCGCCACCCTCGAGAACGAGCACAAGTACGGCGGCGGCAGCTGGGCCGACTGCTTCCGCCAGGGCCCGAACCGCGTCTTCCAGCGCATCGTCACCGGCATGCTTCTGCAGGCATTTTCGCAGCTCTCAGGCATCAACTTTATCTTCTACTACGGCACCTCCTTCTTCACTGCCAGCGGTATCTCGAACCCGTTCCTCATCACGATCGCCACCAATGTCGTGAACGTCGGCATGACTATCCCCGGCATGCTGCTCGTCGACCGCCTCGGCCGCCGCCCCATGCTGTTGTACGGCAGCGCGGGCATGGCTGTAGCTCAACTCATTGTGGCTGCCGTCGGCGTTGCGCGCCCCATCACGGACCAGGCGGCGCAGAAGGTCCTTGTCGCTTTCGTGTGCATCTTTATCGCACACTTTGCCAGCTGCATGGCGCCTCTCAGCTGGATCGTCACCTCCGAGCTCCCGCCGTACGCGCTCAGGACGAAGAGCATGTCTCTCAGCACGGCGAGCAACTGGATTTTGTGAGTTTACAGTTCTGAGACAACGCTGACCTCAGCAACTTCGCCATCGGGTATGCTACACCGTATCTCGTCAACACCGGGCCGGGGAACGCGGGGCTCAAGACTAACGTGTTCTGGATCTGGGGCGGATGCTGCGTCGCCTGCTTCTTCTTCACCTACTTCATGATTCCCGAGACCAAGCAGCTCTCATTGGAGCAGATCGACCTGCTCTACCTCGAGTCGACGCCGCGCACGTCGAACGCGTACCGCAAGCACCTGATCGACGGGGGTATCCACCGTATGCGCTCTGGACGTCTTTCTGTTTCGGAGAAGGCTGGCAGACCGGAGATTTCACACTTCGAGACAACGAAGCTGAAGGAGATGATGGTCTAGGGCGAGCGCTCCAGGGCGCGTAATGAGGGTGTCGGAATGCCTGTCCGTAGTTGTCAGGTAGCAGATAAATGGAAGACTCGCGGTCAGTGAAACATCTAAACCAAAAGATATAAACTACTCGGGCTTGGTTCGTCGAAGCCCTGTTCTCACGTCAGCCAGCACGCCCTGCGACACACATCGCGCCAAAGTATCCTAATGTGCTTCATCCAATGGTACTACAATGCAATGATGATCCCAACGCTCTACACCCTCCCTAGCTGTACATGATTAGAAGGAGCCGAGGTTCTCGGCAACCTTGAAGGGAGCACCAGTCTTCTGCTTGATCTCGTCGACGGTGTGGCCCTCAGCGACCTCGATGAGGGTGAGGCCACCCTTCTCGAGGTCGACGTCGAAGACGGCGAGGTCGGTGATGATGCGCGAGACGACGCGGACACCGGTGACGGGGAGAGAGCACTCCTCAAGAATCTTGGGGTTGCCCTTCTTGTCGGTGTGCATGGTGACCGAGACGACCTTGGTGCACTCGGGGTTGGAGACGAGGTCCATGGCGCCGCCCATGCCCTTGACGAGGTGGCCGGGGACCATGAAGTTGGCGAGGTCACCGTTCTGCGAGATCTCCATGGCGCCGAGAATGGACACGTCGACGTGGCCACCACGGATCATGGTGAAGGACTCGGCCGAGTCGAAGACGGAGGCACCGGGGCGGAGGGTGACGGTCTCCTTGCCGGCGTTGATGACGTCGGCGTCGAGCTCCTCGCGCGTGGGGTAGCGACCCATGCCAAGGATACCGTTCTCGGACTGGAGCCAGACGTTGACACCGGGCGGGGTGTAGTTGGCGGCGAGAACGGGGATACCGACACCGAGGTTGCAGTAGTAGCCGTCCTTGAGCTCCTTGGCCGCACGCTTGGCGATGCGGATACGGGCGGCCTGGTTGGGGTTGGCGGGGGCGGCATCGGGGTCAACCTCAGCGCCCTCCTCGGTGTGGAGGGTGACGAGCTCGATCTTCTTCTCGACAGTCGAGGGGACGATGCGGTGGACGTAGATGCCGGGGAGGTCGATCTCCATGGGGCTGAGCTCGCCGACCTCGACAATGTTCTCGGCCTCAACGATGGCGACCTTGGCGGCCTTGGCGACGAGGGTCGCGAAGGCGCGAGTGGTGTAGCGGAACACACAGTTGCCGGCCTTGTCAACCTTCCAGGCGCGGAAGATGGCAACGTCGCCCTTGAGCGCGGGCTCGAAGATGTAGCGCTTGCCGTCAAACTCGCGGACCTCCTTCTTGTTGCCGGGGACGGCAACGGTCTGCTTGCCGTTGGCGTCGGGCTTGGACCACTGAATGGGGATGCCACCGGTCTCGACGGCAGTGCCAGCACCGGTACGGGTGTAGAAGCCGGGCATACCCGCGGCGGCCGAGCGGAGACGCTCAGCGATGGTGCCCTGGGGCGAGAGCTCGAGGGCGACGTCACCGTTGATGTAGGCGTCCGAGAGCGTCTTGTTGGTACCGACGTACGAGAGGATCATCTTCGAGATCTGCTTGGACGCGATGAGGGGGTCTGCAGTCAGCATGCTGTCGCTTGAGCCCCACCAATCTCGGTGTATTGGACTGGAGTTCCGCTCCACTCTGGTTGGCCGACGTCATGACAACGTTTCCTAGCAACCAATCCCAGTATACCGAAATTTCAACAATAACTCACAGAGACCACCCTGGCCAACGTTGCCAGCGTTGTTGGAAACGACGGTGAGGTCCTTGAGCTCGGGGCGCTCGTGGAGGGCGGTGATGAGAGTCTCGGCGGTACCGCAAAGACCGAAGCCGGCAGAGAGGACCATCGAGCCGCTCTGAATGTCCTTGACAGCCTCGGCAGCGTTGGGGTAGAGCTTGCCGCCCTCGCTCGAGTCCTTGATGTAGGGGACCTCACCAACGTTCTCGACCTTGCCGGGAACCGAGTCGACGGCGGAGAAGCCGGCGGGGGTCGCAGCGACGGCGTAGGCGCGCTGGGCAGCGGCGACGTTGGCGCGAGCGATGACCACGCGCGCAGCCGAGGCGCGGGGCAGAGCGCGGGTCGCAGCACGGACAGAGGTGAGCCGGGCGAGCATTCTGAGTGGTGGAAAGAGAGGAGGATGGATCAAGGAGTGGTAGTGACCTGTGTGTGTATATACCAGAGGGCGACGTGTCGGGGTTGCGAGTGTACCGTGCGGTCGCTTGAGGGGACCCACGAAAAGAGGGAGGGTGTGTTGTGAGGTGTCGGACAAATGAGTTTGTCCAAACCACCGACTTTAAGCTGGCGTTGCGTCGAGAGGGAATCTGGGAGTAGAAGCCGATCGCCCTGAACCGTTAGAGCAAGTAAGTGCAGGCGTCCCGGGTGCAGGATGAGGGGATAATGCGAGACAAGGCGGCGCAGACGCGGGCATGTGGTATGAGAGCGGAGGAGGAGCGGGTAAGAGGAGAGGGGAAGCGGAAGGTGGTGGTGCAGGGTTATGCGATGTAGGCGGGGCTGGGCGACGTCATGCTTCGTTGAATTGCCAGGCAGCCACCGCTCCACCGAGCACGAAAATTCCTATTATCCTCCAGTCGAGTCGAATAGCGAGCTAGGCATTCGCGAGCGAGTTACAAGCTGCTGATAGGAGATGCCGTGAGCCGAATGCCGCTGATTGCGCTGATCATGGTCTCAGTCAACCGTCGCTACTTTCCCATAGTACCAGCAGCCCCTCCCCTCGCGCTACTGGCCGCGTCCAGCGATGCATCGTAGTCCCCTGTTAGAGAACATAGCGTTCAGGACCCAGGGAGGCATTGTGTTCAAGTCTCGACGTCCGGGGGCAGAGCGGAGTGGTATCGGTGGAATTGTGCTCCCACGGACCCGTTCTGCTCTAGATGACTTTTTGGTGCCACGCCGCGAGAATAGGGCGCGGGATCCGTGCGTGCGGGGGCCGGGTGTGCAAGTGCGTGTGGGGGGTGCGCGCCGCACGTTTGTTAGCCCCACAACCCCCGGCCAGATGGAGCAGGCACATTCAATACACGCGCGGAGCACAAGACCCCGGTCATTCCACACGCGTCGGAGTGATGGAACAATTCCCGTCCGCCGTCGCACACCGTGTTGTTCGCCGACGGCCCCCGCTCCCCCGGCTGGCCCCGCGGTAGGCGGCTTCCACGCTGCGATCGCGCCAATGAACACCGGGCGTGGCGGAGCGCCACGTCGCACTAATTGTGCGATGCACTGTCGTTGCATGCTTACACGTGATGCTATCGCACGGCTGCTTGGCGATCAGGGAGGGGACCAAGCCTCGAGCGACCACCGAAACGTGACCGATGGCGGGCAGACGGGAGGCCGCTGTCGCTGTGGGGGGAGGGCAAACATCACGCCTCTGCGAGCAGCGCGCGAGCAGCGCTCGAACAGTGCAAGCTGAGATCTCTGACGCTCTGGGGAGCGACCTCTAGAATTCCGGTAAACACGAGGCTTAGCGCGTCGCATTCCGCGATGCCGATTTCCTGGATACCGCATCTCCCTCCACATGACATGTCAATAGCGACATTCTCGGTGTTCGGTGTCGGTGCAATGAGTATCCTGGCGACGCTGGCGAAAGATAAGGCGGATCTCGCGAAAGTGGTGCGGGAACAGGGGGAAATGGTGGGCTGATGCGGGGCGAAAAGTGGAGGATGGTCAAGTGAGGCGAGGATGGCGAGCGATGCTGGTGGGTGGCTGATGCATGATCGCCAGCGATCGCCAGAGGGGGACTCGACTCGTCTGGCTCGTCACTAGACATAAATACATCATAGAGGTGGGCGGGCGGTGACCGCCAAGCAAATGCTAGCCGAGATGGGTAGCCGAGCGGCGTGTTCGCTGAAGTGGATGGCCTTGGTGACGGCCGCGCCCGGACGCGGCGATCGCGTGGGGCACCAGTGTGCTAGTGAGCGCGCAAGTGGCGTGGCCGAGCTCGGGGCCACAATATGCATGCTACGTGGCGCCGGCGGTTGGAGGGATCGCCACACAGCCCACAATTGAGTGGCACTCCTACCCCCTACTACCCGTGTTCAGCACGCAGTTCGGGATCTTTGACAAGTCGACTCTCGGCATGACACCTCGTCTACCGGAGCTCGTATCGTCTCTGAAGTGTGCTCATGTCATGTGGTGCTATGAGTCACGAGAACTGTGTAATTCTGAAGAATGCCAGCCACGTCTGTGCCGCTGATCGCGGGGCGCTCGGTATGTCGATCTCACCTCTCATCTCACGTCAGCCGTCAGCCTTGGGTCTGTTATGCCGTCGGACCAGCTCCGTCTCGAAGATACTGAAGCCCCCGCTTTCGTCTTCTGCATCACAGGTGCAGCACTGGCTCAAGCTGTTAAAACTGCTATATTTCCTAGGGGCCGTCCGCATTTATCGGCTTCGGGGCGATCCGGACAACCTCCACCCGGCCACCTCCACCAAGCAGACAGAGCGATATTCGAATCGTCTGAAAGTTCGAAAATAACGGCCAACGCCGAGGGTAATGTGGGCAATTTCATCTCTCCAGCGGACTCGGCGCAGCGCTCTGAACGCGAGTGATCTCATTCCACGGGGTCTACGTCCCGACCCCCATATGCCATATGCCATATGCCATGAAGCTGCAGTGAGGGCGACTTCTGTTTCATCCATTCCACCATGTCCGAGCGTCTTGTCGCCGCCACTTCGACAACGGGGTTCTTCCAAGAACATCCCGTCGTGCAAAATCAGTATGAGGAGGACGCCTCCCTACGCCGCGCCTCCGCCCTCTTCCTTCCACAGACCGTTCTCGACGAACTCGCGCCAGATCTCAAGGCCTGGGGCGACCGTGTGCTCGCCCGAGACGTGTGGGCTCACGTCGTCAACGCCGAGCGCGACCTACCCCACCTCTCCGGCTCGGGGTTCAGCGCCTTCGGCCAGCCGGTCGGTGATGCCCTTGTCACCTCCGCTGGGTGGCAGGCATTACAGGATATTGGTATCGCCGAAGGGCGCATTGTTGCGACTGGCAATGAGACGAAGTATGGCAAGGCCGCAAGGCTCGTCCAGCTCTCCCGCTTGCATTTGTGGAGCGGGTCCAGCGCCGTCGTCACTTGCCCCAGTGCGATGCAGGACGGCGCCATCAGCATCCTCCGCCGCGACTTGGCAAGCGGATACGTGTCTCCCGCATATGACAGCGAAGCGCTCCGCACCGCGCGCACCAAGGTGTTCAAACGCGCACTCGAGCGCATGCTCTCCACCGACCCTAAGGTGACGTGGACGTCGGGGCAGTGGATGACGGAGCGCGCCGGCGGCTCCGACGTCCAGGGCACGCAGACCGTTGCTGCTCGTGTTTCTGGTGGAGAGGGGGAAACAGACGTCGATGGCCTGCCGCTAGGCCCATGGACCGTGAACGGTTTCAAGTGGTTCTCATCCGCCACCGACTGCGGGTGCGTCATGCTTCTCGCGCAGACCGAGCGCGGCCTCTCCTGCTTCTTTGCCCCCACACGCAAGCTGGTTGGCGGCAAGCCCGAGATGAACGGGATTCGCATCCAGCGCCTGAAGAACAAGCTCGGCACAAAGGCGTTGCCCACCGCCGAGCTTGAGCTGCGCGACATGCGGGCATGGCTCGTCGGCGAGGAGGGGCGCGGCGTGCCTGTCATCTCAACGATTCTCAACGTCACCCGATATTACAACATTGTCGGCTCTGTGGCGGGTGTTGGCCGCGGTCTCGGCGTCGTCAAGGCGTTTGCGCGCGTCCGACGCTTCCCGAAGCAGGGCAAGGACACGACCCTCTCCAAGATTCCCATGTTCAACAAGACGATTGCGGCCATCACACTACAGTATCGCGCGGACGTCCTGCTTTCGCATCTCACGGCTGCGCTCCTCGGCTCCGTTGACGTCGGCCACGGCGGAGGACCTCTCACGCCCGCCAGCGCGGAGGAGGCCCAGCTTCTTTTGCACATCATCACGCCGGTCGCCAAGGCCTACACGGCCAAGCATGTCGTCTGGGGTCTCCAGGAATGCATGGAGAGCCTCGGCGGCGTGGGATATATGGAGAACGTAGAAAACCCCGAGCTCAACCTCGCGCGCGCGGTGCGCGACTCCAACGTCAACCCGATCTGGGAGGGCACGACCAACGTACTCTCCTCACACCTCGTGAGAGCGATCAAGGGGCGTGCGGGCGGCGCGATGGTGCGTGCGGTCGACGCATGGCTCAAGGATTCGCTCCCATCAGGCGAGGAGCGCGAGGTGGTCTTGGGCGCGTGGACGCGCCTGCGCGCCGAGTTCGCCAAAAGCGAGGACGAGCTTCTCGCCGGCGGGCGCCGCATCCTGTGGCGCCACGGCGACATCTTCTGCGCGACCCTCCTTCTTGCCGACGCGGCGCGGGACAGCGACGCCGTGGCTGTCGAGTGTGCGCGCCGCTTCCTGCATGACAAGAAGGCGACGTTCGGGCTGGACGCACCAGAAGGCGACTGGAAGGAGGTGGCTGCGTGGGACGAGCGCATCGTGTACTGTGAGCCGGAGGCGGGACAGGAGGGAGCCCGCGCTAACCTGTGACTAGCCTCAAGCAGTCACGCGCCTCGAGATCACGCACCTGTCGAGTCAGTGCCGGGCACCGGTGCCGAACGAGGAATCATCGCCGAGCTCCAACGCCTCCTCCTCGACTTCGAGCTGGAGTGGGGCGCCGACGGGGCAGAGTCATCAGACGCGACATGCTGGGGCGACAGACGGAATTCCACGACGTTGTAAGCAGAGATTAGTTGTATTATGGATGTCCCATGTCACGTATCATAGGTGCACGTGCACAACCGCACGAGAACGACTCACGTAAAGCGATTCGATGCGTACATCAGATGTGGTACAAAAAAAAAGTCTGGAATGACTGCACGCAGCCGCCTTTTGCTTGCTCCGTCTACTGCTTCTCGCCACGCATGACAGCTCCAATCTCGTCCACGCTCTCGATTACCCATGTCACACCCTCGTCGGACGTGAGCCACTCCTGCCCCTGGAGGACAGACCCGTCGCCGCCCCCACCCTCCAGCAACGCCTTCTTAAGGCCGAACACGTGCGACGTAACCTGCGGTCCGACACCAGTCTGCGCGCGCAGCCCTGCGATCGCAATGACAGACGTGAGCACGCGGCCGAGGAGGAACGCGCCCTCGGGCACCTGCACAGCGGGGTCGGACAGCAGCGGGCCGTAGTGCGAGTTGAGGATGTGCACGGGCAGGTCCGGGTGGCTGTCGGCGAGCTTCGCCACGAGCTTCTTGCTGTGCGGCTCGTAGATGCCGTCCCAGAGGGCCATGCCGCGCGCGAAGAGCGCGGGAATGTCTGTGGGCTGGCGCAGCGACTGCGTCGACAGGCCCGCCTTGACGTCCTCGGGCATGTGGTCACGCAGCGCGTTCAGGTTGTTAATAACCTTGGGAATCTGCACATGGCGTCAGCTTCCGGTCTTGGCGCGGACTGGTGGACTCACACCCGTGAAGGAGATGCTCTTCAATCCAGACTCGCGCATCACCGCGGCGGCCTGCACGCGACCCCTGACATTGTCAGAGGCCACGGCGTAGTCGTAGAGTGCACACAACGCGTCAGGGCTGTTGATCGCGAAGAGAGCGCTGGTGTTCATCGAGAGCCAGGTGTCGCGGCCGATGCCGCCGGCCTCACCGCGCGAGCGGACGCGGTCGAACAGCCCGCGCAGGACGGGGAGGGCAGGGGCAGGGGTCGGCGAGCCGCGCGCGGCAGGCAGCTTGATGAGCGCCTTGAGCGCCGGCGAGAGCTTGAGGGCGGAGGCCATGTCGTCGTCCTCTTCGGGGTCCCACGAGGGTGGGCGGGGAAAGCCGTACGGCGGGAGCGAGGGGGAGCCGACGGGGGTGTCGGCGGGGCTGTTGAAGGTCGAGGTTATGGTGTGTCTCGCTCAGAGACGGAGCGATGGGCGATCCGAGCGCGATGTGGGGGAGATATGTGGAGCAGAAGTTGCGACAGATACGTCACTCGTGACGAGATCGGCAAGTTGGGTGAGAGCGGTGACTTGCTGACGAGAGCACGAAATGATGAGGCACGCACGCGATGGCGATCATGCTGGGACTGCTCTCAGATATGAATGGCCCTCTGCGAGGGCTCGGGCGTGCTCCGGATCGATGCTGAGGAGATGCTGGGTGGGCAGCGAGGACGAGGAGAGGAGGTTGACCCGATCGGACAATCGGCCGTAAGATCCGCCGTAATCCTCCGTCCACACAGGCCCGATAAGCACGTGGCTTCAGTTCAGGCAGTACTTCATCCATGCATGTCTCGGTGTTCAACGCGGGCGAGATTGCGGGGCCAGCTATGCTGCGATGTATTTGTGGCGCTGAGCCGTAGCATAACATGAGGTGGTGTGGGGAGATGGTGGGGTTACTCTGAAGCAAATGCGGAAAGGTGTCCAGGAGTTCACGACTTCTGCTGTGTTTAGCGTCCCATCCAATAGTCCATCAGTACTTCCACCGTGACTCAATTATTAATTATGTTCCGGCATCCCCCTCCTCGCCGAATCCACTCACACACGGCTCTAGTAATGCGTACATATGCTTCGTCTACGTGTGGTTGTCAAGGATCGACTCATGAGGTTGAGAAGGTCGGAAGACGCAACTACTTCTTCTTGCCACCCTTCGCCGCAGGCTTAGCGCCGGTCTTGGTGCCGCCCTGTGGTCAGCCTAGTGTGGGTAGCGAGCTACCTTTGCGTTCTTGTCGTCCTTGCTACCCCTGCTGTCAGCTCCGAGATCCCAGGTTTGGAGACGGCAAGTGTGCTCGTGTACGCTGGGTGGCGACAGCGACTCACTTGGCTCCCTTGGCGTCGGGCTTGGGCTTGGTGGGCTGCTTCTTGGGAGGCATTGGTGTGAGGTGAGGACTCGGAGACTAGTACGTGTAGTGAGTGGCGATGAGAAACGAGGACATAGGCAGAAAGAGATGGGACAATAGTCGTACATTTATATCGCTCACACTGATTGTGCTCGGTGCCGTCAGAAGCCACTCGAGGCCGGAGGTCTCGACTCAACCTTTCTGCACATGGATTGTTCCGGGTGACTGCCGGCTCTGATTAGGAAGTTGGAGTCTTGTGTCTTTTGTCGAGGTTGGGCACCGCCCCATGGCGAGTGGAAGCATTGGACTGGGACGAGCAGTGGTGAGCGGACGCGTGTCTTTGAGCGAGTGACTGGACGCAATCGCTTGCAGCAAGACGCCCGGAGCCGACGGTCAGTGAAATGACGACTCGGCACCAGCGCACGGACGCGCTGTGAAAGTACGGCAATGCTCACCACATGAGCTACCCTTCATCGCCCATCTCCCCATTCAATGTCTCGACAAACAACGGCCGTGCATTGCGATCGCATCAATTCGCTTCCCCGCACCCCGCGTCAAGGCGGCAGACCAGTGCGTGCTCGTTACCACAGAAGCATCCCCTGTGAACTGTGCACAGCTATGATCAGCTCTGATGTATGGTCATCCACACCGTACACCGTCTCAGGTGTGGACTCGTCCATCCTCCAATTCCGCCTTCGTCTCGGCCGCGGTTGGCTATCCCCGCATCCACCTCACCCATCTCTTCTCGTCCGCTTCCGTCCCACAAAAAATGAACCGCGCGCCCTCCTCTTTGAGCCCTCTGAGTAGGCGGCACGACTCGACGTCCTCGCGCTCCTCCGAGGCCTCGACGGCACGGCGCCTCGTAGCGCGTGCACGCGCGATCGCCTCCCTCCTCGGCCTCCGCCTCAAGCGCGGCCGGAAGCGCGATCCCGGCATGCGGCTGCACTCGTGGATTGACGACGGGTGGGAGAAGGACCAGGCCAAGGAGGAGCACGTTGTGGGGGTCGGGACGGGCCACCGGCGAAACGAGAGCCGCGAGACGTACAACCCGCCGTACGAGGTGCGCGCTGCGCGCTCGCCTCGGGCGAGCTACACCGAAGGGCGGGCCGAGATCGGGTACGTCCGCTCCGAGGGCCAGCGGGCGAGCTACGAGGCGCGCGAAAGCTGGGACAACTACCGCGCCAGCGTGGACAGCTATACCCGCTCGAGCCATGGGCACGGGTCGCTGGGCCGCACAAGCTCGGTCGGGCACTCTAGCTCGGGCCACACGTATCCGGGAGGGGACAACCGTTCCGCGGACGCCTCGGCGTGGCGCCGTGATCGCGTACATCATGCAGTGCGGCACAACCGCGCACCGGCGCGCTGGACAGATATGGTCGACTGGGTCGAAGTCGAGCTTACTGAGCGTGAGTGGTGACGGGGTAAGGCTGACGACAGGCCAGCCGGATGCGGGTCGTAGCGACAAGGAGCGCGAGTTTATGCGCGAGGCGGCGAGGGTGGGGCGAGTGACGAGAGCGTAGGTGTAAGAAAAAGGTCCAAGACCACAGTCAATCTTTGCGGAAAACAGTGCGTTAATTATGAGCAGAGTCCATAGTGCAGTCGTAGATTAGAGCGTTGCGTTAATCGCGTCGACGATTACGTCGACGACGTGCGCGACCTCGTCCTCAGTGATGGTGTATGGTGGGCAGATCATGATATGGTCGCCCTCCCAGCCGTCCGCCTGGGGTTAGATGTGTCAATATGAGGGCGGAGGAGTCGAACGAAACAGTTGCAGGGGTGGGGGCGAGGGAGGGGTCACTCACACATCCGGCGCCGTGGTACACGGCCACGCCGCGGGCCAGAATCGCGTCCGCCAACTTGCCGTTGACGTTATCCTCGTACTTGAACGGTGTCTTTGTTTTCTTGTCGGTCACCAACTCGATGCCCCAGAAAAGACCCATGCCGCGGACGTCGCCGACATGCTTGAGCGGCGCCACGCGCTCTCTCAAGAGCTTGGCGAGGAGCTCGCCGCGGGCTGCACACTGTTCGATGCTGATGTCAGTGGGTGCGACCGAGTTCCTCACTCACAGGTTGTGCTTCTTAATATAGTTGTACACGGCGAGGCCGGCCGCTGTCCCCGTTCCGGAGCTCTGGAAAGTGTATCCGTTCACAAACGCGCCGGTGCCCTTCCTCAAGACCTCAACCACGCGCTCGCCTACGAGCACAGCACTGAGCGGCGCGTATCCGCCACACAGCCCCTTCCCGAGTGTCTGGACGTCTGGGCGCGCGTCGTCGTGCATCCACGCATGCATTTTGCCGCTGCGGCCCGCGCCGCACATGATCTCGTCGAGGCAGAAGAGCACGCCGTGTTTCTCGCACACGGCCTTCATAGCCCGCAGGTATCCTGGGACGAAGGGGACGCATCCGGATGCGGCGCCGACGACGGGCTCGGCGAAGAACGCTGCAACGGTGTGTGCGCCGAGCGCTGTGATTTTCGCGTCAAGCTCGTCCGCCAAGCGCTGGACGTATGCCGCGTCGCTCTCGCCCTCGGCTTTGAAGCGCCACGCGTTGCACGCCGACACGGCGTGGAACACGCCCTCAGGCATGAGCGGGAGATAGAGCTTGCGGCGGCGGTTGTGGCGGCCGAGCGCGAGCGCGCCCATCGTGTTGCCGTGGTACGAGATTTCGCGCGCGATAAAGTTCACGCGCGCCGGCTCCCCGTTCTCGACGTGGTACTGCCTGCAGAGTTTGAGGGCACTTTCGACGGCCTCGGAACCGCCAGAGAGGAAGATGGCGCGCGCCATGCCGGCTTCTTCGCACATTTTGCGCGCGAGCTCCTCGGCCGGCTCGATCCCGAAGACAGCCGAGGACACGTACGGCAGCGTGCCGACCTGTGTCGAGACGGCGGCGATGATCTCGGGCACGCCGTGCCCGACGCTCACGACTGCCGCACCGCCGCTCGCGTCGAGAATGCGCGAGCCGTCGCTCATGTACAGGTAGTTGCCCTCGGCGCGGGTTGCCATCGGCATGCCGAGGCCCAAGGAGCGGTGGAGGACGCGCGAGGAGGCGTCGGCGCCGCCTGCGGCAAGGGACGGTCCGGTCGTGTCCGAGGTCATGGTTGTGGACGTTAGATGATGCGTGAGTGTGTCGTGGCAAGATATCAGGAGACCCGATAAGCTGATGACTTTGTCGAGGTTGCCCGAGTCGCTTCGAGTCGAGTGGGCTGCGGCAATCAGCGGAGATCGCCGAGCCCTGGGTCAATCGCTTATATCCGATTGCGGGGGGTTCATTTTGTGGGGAGAGAGGCAGGCTCGAGCGCTGTGGTGTGGAGGAGGACGGTGCCCAACATGGCGCTCTGGGGATGTCAACGGATGCACGCTGGGATTGATGAGGCGGGAGACGGGTTGTGAGGCTATGTGTGGCAGTTGTACAGCGAATCTGGGCGTTTTGCCAGCTCACGGCGGTGATCTGCTATCGATGAGAGTTATTCGGTCATAGCAGTTGTCTTGTGCTGGCCAACCCATCGGATCCAGCTCGTTGTGAAGCCAAACGCGCCACACCCTCGCCGTGCGTATTCTCACCCCCTCTCACCTCCATGCACTCCACTTGTCTCCTCGCGCGCGCTACCCTCCACCCCCGCCATGACTGCATCCTGCTACGACTTCTGACCCCCCTCACACCTATCCCTTCAAACCCCCCGTGATCGCGGCGGCGTCCCCCACACCCGCAACGGTCCCCGCAGGCGGCGGGTCCGCGATCTGCGTGACAAACACGCGCTCGGGATCCCACACCCCGGCGGTATAGTACACGTCTTCTTTGACGCGCGCCCACGCCTCCTCGAGGCTGGGGTAGCGGAGCATGAGCACGCTCCCGCCCATGGGCTGCACGTTTGGCGGGAGGACCGCGAGGCGGTCGGGGGAGTACAGCTCGTCGCCGGGGGGCGGGAGGAACGCGCGGCCGAATTCTGGTGTCAGCGCGCGGCGGCGGTGCGATGGCCAGTGACCATTGTGTGTGGAGCGGAAGGAGCGATTGAGCCGCACAGCCCACTGAGCCGGCGACGAGCGACGCTCCGCGCTCCGCCCGGACGCACCAGCATTGCCCGCCTCCAGCGTGCGCTTGTAGCCCGCAAAGTGCTCGGCGCGGACCTTGAGGCGCGTCTCGAGCACGCCGGGGCCCGTGCGGTCGGGGCAGTAACAGAGGAAGAGGGAGGTCTTGGACATGGTGCTGTGTGCGCGCAGGGCACGGGTGGTGGGGAGGGGTAAGCGCGGAATCTTGAGAGCGAGTGAGCGAGCGAGCGAGTGAGTGGGCGAGTTGAGATCGAGGCGGGGTGTGGGGTGTATGCGGGGCCTGCGCTTGCCCACTTGTACGCTGTGTGTGTCCGGTTGTCCGCGTGTTCGCCGCGTGGCTACGTCGCCGACCCAGCTCGCTTCACTTCGCGCTTCGCGTCATCGGCTGCCGCCCGACGATCGTGTCGTCCTGACTCCTACTCTGGGCTGGATCCGAGCACATCTCCCGCTCACGGCATCGAGGAGGAACGGGGAAGACGGAACAGCCGGAGGCGGCGCAGACGTGACGCGGGCGGTTGACGCGGCCCAAGTTTTTCCGCGTATCTCGTTAATCGCCCGCCCGAAGCCCGAAAGTCTGAAAGACTGGGCTGGACCGATCTCCAGTGCCTTCTTGGCGACAGAGGCTAGACGCCAGAGGGCGACAGGGAGAGGGCCAAGACAACGTGCACAAGGCAGGCGCGCAGGGTGCGGAAAAATCCATCATGCCTTGATTTTGCAGGAATCGGATGGATGCGCGCGCTTGGGCGGTTGCTCGGGTGTGCGGCGGATGAGCAGACGTACAGATTGATGATGGAACGCTCAAAGGCAATGCAGGATGCAGGATGCAGGATGCAGGATGCAGGATGCAGGATGCAGGATGCAGGATGCAGGATGCAGGATGCAGGATGCAAGACCGTTATAGGAGCTCCGCATCACGCGGAGGCGCACGCACGTTCCAAGCTCACGCTCAGCGATCACCGCGCGCGGTCTCGATCCTCCCTGTTCTCCACGCTGACGCTGACCGCCGCCCGGATCGCCATGGCGTCATGCGCTATCGCTCATTGCGGCTGACGTCGGCCGTCTCATCATCCAACGCCTCGTCAATCCTCACCATTGCCCGCCACCCGCCACCCGCTTCCCGCCACCCTCTTCCCCCGCGACACGTATCGATCATAGTGTAAAAAAAATGTATCGCATCTATTGTATTGTATCTACCACTGTCCGACGTGTACATACACCAGGCATCTCCGTATCTAGGCTCCAACAAATGTCACTGCGCGTCAAGGGCTCCATTTTCAGTTGCCTCGTCGGCCAGACTCAAGCCTGCCCGTCCAGCTCCATCAGATGCACTGGAGAGGGACCCCGAGAAAAGCTGGGAAGACTGGGCTTCACGTCAGGGTTGCCGTGACCCAAGGGAGCGAGCTTTGGAGGGGGCGACGAATGCCCAATTACGCTCTTGGGCGAGGGGTTGGTTGTGACGGTGGAGGGCGTATCTGACCCCCGAAACATAGGGGTCATGCCAAAGGCCTGGCGGACAGAGTTGGCCAAGTGCGAGTGCGAAGAAGCGGACGTGTTGTGGACAGGCGAGCTAGAGCGCGAGCCAACGGGGCTGGCGTGCGCTGAGCCCGCGTTCAGCGAGTAGCTCATACTGGGCACCGAGGCAAATGCAGCGTTCGAGTGGGGCGGCGGAAGAGTACGGTCCTTGACAGGCGGCGGAGGCGGGATAGCCGAAGAGTTCAGAATCTCTTCTACACTCTTGTGGCCGTGGGGAGTGTCAAGCTTGGGTGGGGACATACGCGACTTGGTTGCAGAGACAAGGGGCGAACTGGGAACGGAAGCATGCGCGTGGTGGTGCAGCGCATGGCCATGGTGGTGGGAATGCGTGCTGTACGGGTGCGCGCGGTTCTTGGCGTCGCGCGCAGTGTGCGAACTAGGCCCATGTTTGCCTGACGACGCGCTGTGACCACCCTCAACTGGCGAGGTGGCGCGCGACGTAACAGGGCTGCCGGACGCCGACACGGGTGCGGTCATGACATTGCGGCCGGGGAATATAGACATGCCCCTCATGCCTGCGAGCACCGGGCTCGTGTGGGCAAACTGCGGGTGAGGGTGATGCACATGCGGAGCCTGCTCATCGTCAGACGAATCGCTCGTCGCTGGGCTAGCGGCGCGCGACACCTCAGCCGAAGGTGCGAGCGACGCGTGGGAGGAGCGGTGCTGGTGCATGTTCACCGGATAGGGGTTGAGCTGGTGGTGACGGCGGTTCTTGTGCTGGTGCATCTGCTGAGTGTGCTGCTGCTGCAGACGAGCCAGCTGCTGCTGAAGGCTCGCGTGGTGAAGGTGGTACGTGTTGCCACCTGGCCCGTTACCAGCCAACTTGGTAAGATCGTCTGCCGAGTCGACTCCGGAGCGGTCCTTGGGAGTTGACCCGTTGCTCGAGTGGTGGTCATTGCCACCGTGGGGTCCGGAGCCCGAGCCGCGGCCAGCACCGCTAGCGCCGTGACTCTTGTGCGGGACGCCCGCCGCCGGGGTCAGGCAGTTGGGGCAAGCGGCAGTCTCACGAGCGACCTTGAGACGCTTGCGGTAACTCTTGTGGCAGTCGGGATGGTGGCACGAGGGCGGCACAAGATACGTGGGGTCCGCAAGCGTGCCGGCTGGGACGGCGGGGTGATTGGCCGTAGCCGGCTGGGGAGCAGACACGGGGAAAACGATCTGCCCGCCGTTGGGGGCGGGGGCGCCCTGCGTAATACGGTCGCGCTCGTTCGAAAAGCCGTACGGGGTAGGCGTGTTGGCGCTGGGCGAGCCGCCATTCGACTTGCGGCCAGCACCCGCAGCAATCTGACGGTGACGGAGCTCATACTCGGCACGACGGAAGGCCTCGTGACGTTCAAGCTCGTAAAGCTGGTCGCTGGCGGCAGCGGCAAGGGCCGAGATGTCGTTCATTCCAGAGCCCGCAGCAGCGCCATTTCCCATGGCGAGCGGGGGAAGGTAAGGGTTGGCGTAGTCGTGGCGACCGTCAAAGTCCATGCCGTACGAGGGGCCAAGGTGAGGAAGGTGGCCACGACGGTCACCATCCATGTCGTGATCTTCGTCTTCAAGCCTCGCCTTGCCCTTTGAGCCGTTTTCTGTCGCCGGGGGAAGGTGAATACGAGCATGACGCGTCAACTCGTCCGAGCGCGAGAAGCGCTTGTCACAACCCGGGTGAGTGCACGCGTGAGGCTTCTCGCCAGTGTGAGTGCGGATGTGACGCGTCTGAGGTAGATTAGCGCCTGCTCCTCCTTTGTTGAAATTAGGTGCTACTCACCTGGTGCTCGAGACGGTAGAAAGCGCGCTCGCAAAGGGGGCACTTGTATGGTCGGGGAATCTTGCTCTTGTCCATGTTGAGGGCGGCATCGGTGAGAGCCTTGACGGCGGGGTCGTTGGGATCCAGACGACCAGTGATGGGGTCTGGAACGGGAGTTGGGAGGGAGGCCAAGGGGTTATCCGAGGAAGCTTCAGCCATTGTTGCTGGTTGATGGTGTTGGGACATTAGAGAAGCAAGGAGGAAGCCAGTTCCGAGTGGGTGGGTGGAAGACTAGAGAGCTAGTCAAGAGCTAATCGAGAGCTAGTCGAGAAGGAGGATGACCAGATGATGCGATGAGCAAAGATTGGAGGTAAGTTGATGGGATATATGTGTTGCAGGGAGATTTGGAGACAAGGGTGGTAGGGTGGGGGTGGATGGATGATGATAAGACAGGAGACTGCTTTCGGATTTTGACACGGTACCCGTTTCCGAGAGGCGAGGGAGGAGGAGGGGTGGGCAGATGATGATGATGATGAATAGGAGGCGGTGGAGGGGTGAGAGGATGAGAAGGGATGGGGAGGGTGTAAGAGTGTGAGAGTGTGAGAGTGAGATGGAGAGAGAGAGAGAGAGTGACGAGGATGGAAGATTAGATGAAGAGTGTGGGGTTGATGGATGGAAAGGTGGAGATGGAGGTGGATGGAGTGATTGTAAAGTTGGAGAATTCGAGAGAGGGGGGGGGAGGGGGAGGGGGAGGGGGATTGTGGAGAAGTCTTGCACCTCGGCGGAGTCGGGGGGACTACTGGGGGGAGAGAGATCGGGCGGCGGGGCGGCGGGGCGGGTGGCGGGTGGGCGGCGGGGCGAACGGTGGATGGTGACAGGGCGTGGGGCCACGAGGCAGGGGGGGGCGATGAGCGGTGAAAACTCGCGCCTGCGGGGAACTGGCCTGCCAGCTGCCAGAGCAACGTGTGTGGGCGCACGGAACCTTTTTTTCAATCTCCTTGGGGCCGACGCAGCACATCTGCAGGCCCCCGTTGACGTATTTTAGCCCTGGCATTGCGAGGTATTCCCTGTCCCTTATTCATCGACGTCGCCTCCTTGCTCCTCTTCTTCTCCCTCTCACTACTACTAGAACTGATTGCGATTATCGCGCACGAGGCACGAGCTCGACGCTAGCCACTGAGATATCTACTCTCGATAGCTCATGCAGAGGGTCGAAGCATCCCCTTCATCCCAAGTGGACAGAAGTAAGCCAAGTCGTCTGGGGCCACTGGGGCCAACTGGGGCGAGGAGCGCGAGCGTGTCAGTAGATAGATAGAATTTCGCTCAAATGCGTTCATAACAAGACTGCCCGTCCCGGCCGGTACTCTGAGTGGCTGGTGGCGGGGTGGCTGTTTGTGATCATGAGCGCCAACGGCCGAGAGCGGGGCAAGATTCAAGTCTCAATCCAGGGTCCTCCTGAAGATTGCAACAGCTGCAGCAGCAAAGTCTGGAGATTACGCAGGGGATGAGAGCGGGCCTTGGCGGTATGGCACGGGGCGAACGGCCGGATGCTGCTCGAGTGTGATATCACAACGTACTCCTCCTGCGATGAACAGCTTGTGAGGCCCGTGGCATGTGACCTCCTTGACACGGCACTGAGCTGAATGCCCCAACCTCCTCGGCCAGATGCCTCGGGTCTCTTGCGCTTGGTCATGCTCCGTGGCAGCTATACAACACAACGCACGGCGACCAAGGGTGCCAGTAGCTCACACCATTCGACCCGATCTCACCGATGCGCATGACCCATCAGCTTGCATGCCGTTGTGGTACGTGTGGTCATCAGCTGCCAGATGCGGGTGGAATGCCTGAATGCCTGAGAGCGATGTGCCTTTGCCACCCAGTCTATTGTTTACGTCTTCGGCGACTCTGCTGGTGTCATCGGGATCAAATTTTCTCTTTGTCCTGTCAGCTTCATGCCCGTGCTCTGTGGTTCCCCGAGGTCTGGGCTCTGTAGCAGCAGCCGTGCGCCACGTCTCGTATCTCGCTGCCAAGCTGCCATGTCACTTGCGCGCTTGGCTGAAAATCCAGGTAGACGCCACAGTCGACGAGTAGGGCCGCTCTTCGCCCACTCCCTCCGGCGGCAGCCAACACGTGAAACTCCGGGGACATGCGGAGCCACCCAGCCAAAGGTGGGCCACGGGGCCCTTGGGAGATGTGGTGATGCCGAGAGTCTATCGTGGCTCCAGCAAACCTTGTGAGGTATGGTTCCACTACGCATGCTTCAGAGTTCGTGATGCACCATGCACAACGCCTGCTTCCTAACGCGCTATGAAATATCAAGATGTAGGTGTGGCTGGGCTTTCTTTCGCCACAACAACGCCTCCAAGCTGCAGGCTGCAGGTCTGTGGGCCTCAGTGCTAAGGGACCTGTGCGGTGACAATCTCTCGATCTCTCGCATCTCGCGTCTCGCACATCTCGTCAGATCGTCTGTCGGTGGGATCGGCCTGCAATCCCGTTCACCTCCGAGAGTCAAGCTCCACGTGCACTTTTACGTGGCATAAACCACGTGTCCTTATCATCAGTGCCACATTCGCGGCATCTGCCACGCGACTGATTGGAGAACCCAAGCAAGCTCAGGTCCGATCTTGCATCATGTCCACCTCCCAACTCTACTTCCCCGCCAGCCGCCAGCCAGTGTTCCAGAGATTACCACAACAAACACTCGACCCTCTCCTCGTGTTCCCTCCTCTCTCCTCGGCATGGCAGCTCCCCAACATGAGCAGGCAACTGCGACCGTGCTTGAGGCTCTCCAGGCGCTCTACCACAACCCCGACGCTCAGGCAAAGAAGCAGGCAAACGACTGGCTGCAAGAGTTCCAGCACAGCGTGCGTACCCTGGCAACTGACAATAACAACACATGCCATCTCTCCACTGAGACCCACAACTCCTCTAACCATCGCAGGTAGATGCATGGCAGACATGCCACACTCTGCTCGTCAATGAATCCGCGCCGTTAGAAGGTCGCATGTTCTCGGCGCAGACCTTGCGTGCAAAGGTGAGCTCCCACAATGCCGCCTTCCTCGCTTATATACCCAGATACTCTACGACCTTTCTCAGCTTCCCAGAGATTCGCTTCCGCCCCTCCGCGACTCGCTGTTGGGGGCATTGACTCCCTTGGTTCAGCCCGGCGCACCATCGGGGTCGCGCGCGGTTTTGACACAGCTTGCGTTGGCCCTGGCAGACCTCGCGCTCCAGATGCCAGAGTGGACTGATGTGGTGCAGGGCATGATCTCGCAGTATGGCAACGACCCAAACACTGTCATGGTTTTGCTCCGCTTCCTTTCTTCGCTGGCCGAGGAGTCGCTCAACCCAAGATTGCCACCACAGGTACGTCCGAGTCCGGCGCGCATCGTCCCCACCGTGACACATCGCATGGGCCTTCCTCGTCATGCCACCGCACGGTGATCACTCCGCTAACCCCCCCAGCAAGATAACTCTACCGCCGTAGATGCACTGGTCAGCGGTTCGGCAGAACAGGTCATCTCCATCCTGTCCATGTACATCCAGGCTCCAGGTGAGTTGCCGGTTCTGGCAAGGGAACGGTGTTTGCTGACATGCAAGGGATCACAGCGCCCATCCAGGTAGCCATCTTCGAGACCATGCGGGCATGGCTGCGGGCCGGCGAGTTCCCGGTGATGGCTGTTGCCCACTCGCCTCTCTTCCCTGCAATGTTTGACGGCCTCGAGTCGGACGAGTTGTTTGACGCTGCGGTCGACGTCATCTGCGATCTGGTTCACGAGACACAGGAGGTCCAGGACAACCCAGAGATCGTTCAACAGATCCTTCCCCGCATCATTGCTCTGCGCCCGAAGCTGGAGGAGTTTAAGGAGGACCCCGACAGGATACGCGGGTATTGTCGCCTGTTCTGCGAGACCGGCGAGTCATATCGAGACATCATCAAAATGCACCCCCGCGAAGCGTTCCCTTTGGTTGAGGCTATTCTGGCCTGCACCGCGTACCCCGACCTCGACATTGTCCCCATTACATTCCAGTTCTGGTGGATCTTGGCTGGCATCGTTAACCGTCGCTCAGACGTGGCACGGGACGAGAGCTTTACTCCTTACTTTGACGTGTACGTCAACCTCCAGTCTGCAATCATTGGCCACCTCCACTTCCCTGCCGACAACGAGAATCAAACACCACAGGAGCGCGACGAGTTCCGAACTTTCCGTCACCGCATGGGCGACACGCTCAAGGACTGCTGCCAAGTTCTTGGTGCTCCGGCCTGCCTGCGGAAGTCGTACGATATGGTGGTCGCCGCCATGTCCAAGCCCAACCCCTCGTGGCAGGAAATCGAGGCCCCGCTCTTCTCCATGCGATCAATGGGCGCTGAGGTCGACCCGGACGATGATGAGGTTATGCCCCACATCATGGACATTCTTCCCAAGCTTCCGGACCACCCACGTATCCGTTACGCCGCCATTCTAGTCATATCCCGCTACACTCAGTGGATTGACCGTCACCCCGAAAATCTATCCTTCCAGCTGCAGTATATCTCGGCCGGATTCGACATGAAGGACGAGGAGGTGTCTGCAGCGGCGGCGCAGGCCATGAAGTTCATGTGCCAGGACTGCCAGCGGCATCTTGTTCCCTTCCTCCCGCAGCTCCACCAGTTCGTCACGACCGTCGGCGAGCAGTTGGATCAACCCGACATGGTCGAGGTGTGCGAGGCGATAGGCTTCGTCATTTCATCGTTGCCGTCCGTCGACGCTGCCGCGCTGCTTCAGCAGTTCTGTGCGCCCTTGATCAAGCGGGTAGAGCTGGTGGCCAACGCCCCGGCCGAGGCTCACAAGGTCGACCTGCAGAAGGTCGCAGATGCGCTTGAGCAAATCGACTCGTACCTCACCAGCGTGCGGACATTGGACCCAGTGCCGGAGTCTTGCTACCCGACCGCGGCGAGCATCTACCAGATCCTGGACAAGCTTTTGGAGCGGTATGCCAAGCTTTACTTCATCTCCGAGCGCGTAGGATCCATTCTCCGCCGCGGCCTGACGTTCTTCCCCGAGCGAGCACTTGAGCCAGTGATTCGGACAGTGCTGGCACGCCTCTCTACCTCGTTTGCGCAGACTGGCTATTCGTCATATCTCTGGATAACTGGCAAGATCGCAACCAAGTTTGCCCGAACCGCGCAGCGGCCCGGCAACGAGGCTCTCGCGCAGCTGCTCATTGGCGCCTTCCAGACGGTCACGGATTCGTTGGGCAAGCTTCTGACGCTCAAGGACGCAACAGAGATTGCCGACGTCATGGACGACTATGTTCATTGCTTCATGGCGTACATCGACGCTCTGCCGCAGCAGACACTCTCCTGTCCGGCGTTGTCGCAGGCCGTGTCTCACACGCTTGCCGCCATCTTGTGCCCGGCACCGCAGACCATCCTGGTGTGCCTCGACACCCTAAACATGCTTGCCGGACGCATGGCGGAGGGGCAGTACCAGGCGCAGCTGCATGCCGTCTTCGCCCAGTTCGCAAAGCCGCTGCTGGCGCTGGTGCTGCAGGGCCTCGTACAGGGCTTCCCGGAAGACGGAATGGACCAATTGCCGCTGATTGTTCAAGCGGCGGTTTCATCTGTGCCCGCTGCCCAGGCAGAGAGCTTTGCGACTGAGGCCTTGGCCAACATCCCTGGGCATGTGCTGCCAGCGGCGGACAAGGCCAAGTTCATTCATGCGCTGCAGGACTACCAGGCCAGCCCGACAAACGACAAGATCAAGGCAGCGCTGCTGGGCCTGTTGCGTGCGGCGCGGCGGGCAAAGGACCGTGGACGGCAGAACCGCAAGAGTCTTGGTGTGTAGGATGTTTGAGGGTAGCATGGCGGTAATTTGGGACGGGGGTCATCACATGTGCATTCAAAAGTAGAGCGTATGTCTATGCATTTACCAGGGTTGCTGGTCTGCTGTGCGTGGAGAGAAATGGATGGGGTGACGAGAGGCGCGAAGGACAGATGGAGATGCTTTGTGGGGTTTGGGGCAGGAACGGGAATCCTGGGAACTGCGAGATAAGCGATGGTGACCGAGTTGTGATGTGAAAGGCACGACGATCCGAACACGCGATCCGAGCGATCAAAGCAATCGCTGCTCATCAATTCATCAAACAACTCTGAATCTGTCATCTGTGGACACGGAGAGCCGCTTCACATTTTTAGACCTGGTACCTCTGGTCTACATGCTCCAACCTACTGTATAACCTCACTCATCCCCATCTCTCGCCTAGCCCCTGCCGAGCTGCCGGGCGGAGATCAGCTGACGATCGGTGACCTCCGCAGTGACAAGCCCATGCGGCAATGGAATGCCGGAATCCACCACCTGCTGCCAGCTGCCCGCTGCCCACTCCCACCTAATATATCCCGTTCCCAGCCACGTCGACTCCCATCTCTCACGCTCACTCTCACGCTCACCATGACGGTCAACTCCCGCGTCGCAATCATCACCGGTGCGAGCCAGGGCATTGGGGCCGCCATCGCCCGCCGGCTCGCCAAGGACGGGCTCGACCTCGCGCTCGCCGACCTCGAGGGCGCGCAGCCTGCGCTCGCCAAGCTTGTCGCGGAGCTCAACGCGGGCGGCGGCAAGGCTATTGCCGTGACCTGCGACGTGCGCAGCAAGGAGGACGTGGATGCGCTCGTCGAGAAGGCTGCGGCGGAGCTGGGGCGCGTTGACGGTGAGTTGCTAGGTGGATTACGGGGTCGGCGGAGCGGGTCGGCCCTGTCGACGTTCGACACCGCATCGATCGGCAAGCACTCGCGGGCCCAAGTCCCATCGGAACGCCGGAACGCCGGAACGCCGGATCGGCGGAGCTGAGCATGGTCAGGTATCCTCTTACATGATCGGTGGAGCTGCGCACGCATCTCGCTCTCAGTTACCGCTTCGGCTCCTCGCGCCCTAGCCTCGCTTCGCATGCGCCACATGGTGCCATCCATGCTCTGCCCCGCTCCCGATCCCCTGCGCCTCCCCCTCTCCAACTAACCCCAGTCATGATCGCCAACGCGGGCATCGCGCCCGTCGGCCCGTTCCTCGACGTCTCCGTCGAGACCATGGACAACCTGCACGCCGTGAATGTCCGCGGCGTGTTCCTGTGCTACCAGGCCGCGGCGCGCCAGATGATCAAGCAGGGCGGGGGGGGCAAGCTCATCGCGGCCTGCTCGACGGCTGGATGGCAGGGATACCCCGGCTTCTCAATGTACTCCGCGACGTGAGTGCGCCGGCGTCGCCCCACTGTGCCGCTCGCGTACGCCCGCTGACAGCAGCAAATTCGCCGTGCGCTCGCTCAACCAGTCGGCCGCCAAAGAACTGGGCCGGCACAACATCACGTGCAACGTGTACTGTCCTTCGCCGGTGGACACGCAGATGTGGACGGACATCGACAAGACGCTCAGCGCGCAGCTCGGCGGGCAGCAGGGCGCGATCACCGAAGCCCGCCTCAAAGTCACGCCGATGGGCCGGCTCGTGCAGGCCACGGACGTGGCCAACCTCGTGTCGTTCCTCGTCGGGCCCGACTCGAACTTTATCTCGGGCGAGAGTATTGTGGTTTCCGTGAGTGGCGCGGGAGGTGGAGGATTGAGGAGGGAGAGGGTTGGGAGAGCAGCGCAGGATGGTGGAACGCTGACGCCAGGGCGCGGACTCGGTCGCCTAAAGATATGGTACCGTAGGACGGGACGTCCAGGACGTTGACGGCGCGGAGACGTGTAGGAAAAGTCAGAAGTGGCAATGTGATGATGTGGATGATACGCGAGCGAGCCGAGATAACCCTCGGCGACCTAGGAATAACTGACAGCCCGCGGCCGAGCGTGGCATACGTGTGTTGAGGTGAGCCAGCCAGCCACTCTTCAGCGCCGAGACTACGTCGCGACGCCTCCGCGCTCCGCGATCCCGGGACGCACACGTATCCGCACGTACCGCCAACATGCGGCTGGCGACGCCATCCCACTCCACTCCAATGGGAGACCCCCCCGCGGCTGCGGGGCCGCGGCTGAGCGCCGAGCAAGGGAGCAGCGGCGCACCCTCCCTGCACGATCGCCTTGGCGCCGAGTATGAATTGCAGGCTGGTCGTGCCAGAGGAGAAAAGTTTTTCGCACATAGGCGACCACGCATACACTGTCAGGACGCGTTGTCATTGCGTCGCTCTCGCGCTCAGCCACAATAGCACTGCATCATACAACGCGCTTTGAGCGCTATATCAACCAAATTGGTACCAAGATCCGTATCACTGGAACGCTGGCGCTGTGTAGCGCCACCAAAGGCTATTCACAATGAATGAGAACTCCCTAGTTTACAAGGCGAACGCCGCTTGGTCCGCCGCATAGCTGGCCTGCTGCTCGGCGTTCATCCACACATCTGGAGCGCCCTGGAGCGCTATCCCAAGCCACTCATCGAACTGAGCCTGGCTGAGGGCATCCTCACCCTTGACCTGCGTGTTCGAGTTTGCTCGCCGCGGCAACGCGCGCAGCATCGGCACCTCGACCGAGCCAGGGGCAGCAAGTTGTTCCCCGTCTGGCAAGCCGGGTATTGTGATGCGACACGCTCTAGCAAACTCGATGAGTAGCTCTGCCGAGCGGTTGCCTGCCGGGCGGCGCTGGCCGAGCTTCGTAAGGACTAGGATGGACGCGCAGAGACCCTGCAGCGCAACCTGTAGGACGTTGTCGCCTGATGGAGGCGAATTGCGCACATGCAAGATGACGCCGATGAGACCAGCGCCGGCCTGAGTCAATTGCGAAATCTGACGTCAGTAAAGGGCGTAGGAAGTCACACGAGGTGTACTCACGGCGTGGGCACCAAAGTAGTCGAGGCGAGCCTGTGTGTCGATGATCGAATACGTGCCGATGATGCCGAGAGCAGACTGCGTGATCTGCTGCAGGACAGCCTGCTCTTCCGACGTCCCTGGCGAACCGGGCCCTTCTGGCTGAGCAAGCAGCTCGGTGAAGCGGTGCCGAGCAGACAGCAGTCGGATGAATTGCTGCAGCGTGAACACGCGTGTGCGCTGGAAAAAGCGAACAGAGTCTGAGTCGGAGACAGTCGAAGGAGAAAACGACCAGTCGCCCACCAACCCGTCCGTGACATGAGGGAGAAGCTCCAGTTCATCTGGGATGCGGTATGTCCGCAGGGTTCCTCCAGAGACGAGGTCGAGGAAGGAAGGGTTGATGCTCTCCACGGGGCGGGTCACCATGTTGACACGGCGGATGGTGCGCTCCAGGATCATGTGGAGACGAACACCGGCGACGAAACCTGCCATGACTGATGGACGGTCAGGAGGCTGGGTGCCGATACCGCCGTCGACTGAAATGTACACGTCGTCGACAGCCGCTGGCTCGTCCATGTCGATATCGATGAGGCGGAGCATCGGTGGGCGGCCGTATGTGCAGGATGCCTGGACGGTCTGGCAGTACAAAGCCCAGAAGGTGCGCTTTTGCTCCTCCATCTCGACGCTGACATCAGCTGAGGCAAGTGTGCCATACTCACGCATTGAAGTTGTATTCGTCCTTGCGACGGTGGAGGCCGAGGTCGAGGGCAATGCTCACACCCTGTGAGAGGAACGTCCACAGCTGGTTTGTGCGGGCAGTGCCCTCCTGCACAACAGCAAGGTTGAACAGCGCCTGGACGATGTACAGATCTGACCGCTCGGCCGACGCCTGTGCGGTGATATCTTTAGCGAGCTCGATCAGGTCGTACGCCAGCATGTTGCCTGTCTTTCTAACCTGCCGCAACCTGTCGTCTGGGGTGTAGCGCGAAGACAGGGAGCAGATCGAGAGAACAAGCGCAACGAACGACGGGTTCTTCCGGTGCTCGGGGTCGACGTAGGACTGCATGAACGTCGGGGCGTGCAGGATAGGCCAAACTGGGCGTTAGATTTGTATTTTAAACGTCATGAAGCAAACTCACGCAGGTGGGAGATAGTAAAGTACGAGCGCACCAGCGAGTCGACAAGATCTGATGGCACCACGTTGGTGACGCGCTCCCAAATAAAGTCGTCGTTAGAGCTGGAGGGAGACACCGCTGCAGATGGATTGGCGGAGGTGAAGTCATTGATATGCTGCGCGTTGCCGACATCAACGCCGATGGCGTTGGTGAGGGACATCCACTCGTCGGTCATTGCGTTCCCGTTATCATCCAATGGCGGGTTAAAGTTGCCGTTGACTTTGAGCCTCTCCAACAGCGGCATGCCAGAGCTTGGGCCGAGCCACTTGGTCTGGCCTTCAGCGTCGCGATACAGCAGGTCCTTGCCGCCCTGCTTGTGCTGCGGGCTGCGCATCCCCTGGTACAGTGTTGGGTCATTGACGGCCGGTCCCAGGGTCTGGTTCATTCCCGAGACCATGGCGTTCGGGATCTGCTGCTGGCTCGGACCTGGAACGCCGAATGGGTCAAAGATGATCGACGGGACATAGTTGCCATCCACCGGGGCACCGCCGTTGGCGTTGGGCGGCAAGTGGTTGGCGTTCATCGAGGGGGTGGGGACAGGCGGGGCAGTGGGCGTCGAGTTGGTGTTGGGGTTGGGTGTCGCGTTTGGCTCACTCGGAGTGCCAACCCAAGGCTTAGTTTCTCGGTTAGCCGCGGCCTCGTTCATTTCTGATCCAGGTGATGTCTCGGGTCCAGGGGTGATGTGGGCGGCGACACGGATCTGGTCCAACTCTCTCCGCGAAAGCGTCAGGGCCGCCGACGAGTTGCCATTGGAGATTGAGGCGAGCAAGGACTCGAGGTTACGGAGACGCGACTCGACATCGCGGTTACGGGGTCTGGTGGGGTTAGTAAGCTGAGTCCGACAGCGGCGAGGGGTGCCCGAGCCGAGGGAATGAGGGAGGGAAGGTGGCACGAGCAACGCATTCCAACGCCTCCGTTCCAACCCCTCATGAGGTGGCAAAAGAGAAGAAAGCAACCCTCGCACAGCAGCGAGGCGCGGGTACACGAGCAAAGCACTCACTTTGGCCTCGGTCCGCGCTTGAGCACCGGCGCGTCGTGTGTGCAAGTTACATTCGCCTCGGCGCAGTTCCTGCATGGAACCTGTTGGTCTGCTAGTCAGCATTTGAGGGGCGTATTTCGCAGCCGAAGCCTGAGTTGCGTACCGCATCGAGCCTTGCGTTTGCGGCCTGTTTGACGTTAGCTACGAGTGCCGTGGTTCCTGTGCATTGGCCACTAGGCGAGGAGACGACGGAGTTGGGTCGCCTCCTGGTTGCGCCGCTGGACGAAGTACTCACAACGATCACACGCGCGGGGGACCCATGAGCGAGGGGCTTTGCCGCTGCTCGGGGCCTGTTGGCCTGGCTCGGACGAGAACTTCTGGTCCGGCATGGTGACAGGAGGGGG